GTCGTCGTTGTCGTCGTTGTCGTCGTTGTCGTCGTTGTCGTCGTTGTCGTCGTTGTCGTCGTTGTCGTCGTTGTCGTCGTTGTCGTCGTTGTCGTAGTCCGTTCTGCCGATGTCGAATTCAAGATTGGCGATTACCTCGTCAAGAGACAATTCCCCTAGAACGTCGATCTGATTGAATTGGTACTACGTTTGGAAAAGAATGCGGTATTCATGGACGAGTGCTGGGAGGGACTGAATACATTGCGAGCAGCCAGATTTAACCCCTTGGAGAGCTACAATGGAGAGGTCGACGGTGTCGTCAAACGGCTCTTGTCCTTCTGGGTGAGGGGTCTTCTGACATTGCACGAAGGACGATAAATAGGGAAATTTGGCTAAATCAACATTGTTGCTGACCACGCCAGTTCTGATTGGTGTCTTGACTCCATCTGACGAGGTTGCGGGCTGTACTCCATCCATTAGCACCGTTCATAGTAGTGTCCATCCAGTGTCGCATACCGTGTCGGTGCTTTGTCGTCCTGCTTCGGCCACCTCAAGTCCATGGCTGCCTTCGTGCCGGTCGTCAATGCCTACACCTTCTTCTTGGTCCTCATCCCATTTCGAATACAAGTCTTGAGGCAGCATCTTTTTCCTATCAACCTTGTAGATGAGCAGTTTGTCAGGATCGCCATCGGATTGGACGACAGCGGTTCCTCCACACTGCCTTGCGAGGCTGATGACCCTTCGAATCAAGATTGCTAGTTTCTGGAGGTCTTTGTGGTTGCGCTTTTCCCAATCTTGGATCTCTGTGGTAACGTTTTGCACCATTGGAGTCGTAAAAACGCCATTCTGGTGATATGCTCGGACCAGGTTCGGGGTTTGAGATATCCAGAGCTGTGGGATAATTTGTTGGAGATCAAGAGGCTTGTGAATGACTCTTGTTTTGATTTCAATGGTGGACGTCCGCGATACTGTCTGTCCTAGCTTCTTGATTCTCAATTTGGACACAGCAAACTGAGGCGGGAGGGATTCGGGACCAGGTTTGGATGCTGACAGAGACAGTCCATCCAGCAATTTGGACAGGTACTCGTCTGAAGGGGCTTCTTTTTCCGCCAGATATCCATCTGTTTCGTAGCGCACAAGAAACTTCAAGCCACCGAAATGGTACGAAATGACTCTATGATGTCCTGTGCTACCGTAGATCTGGCTAGCAGTATGAGCTTTCTCGAATTCATGGCCAAACCCTCGGAATTCGTTGGGTCCAATGAATTCCATGGAGTTGACCTCCTCTCGACAGAATATTGCGGTGTTCTTGATGATCTCGACATTGATCTTGAAAGGCTCCAGGCCATTTCTGGAGGAGCCTGGGTCGACGAATGAAAGGAGCTTACGCATGTTGTTTCGATCGGTCACAATATCAATAGGTGTGATATCGAACAAAGGATGTGTAGTGTACAATGCGCGAAAAAGTGGTTCAAGGGGATATTCGGGGTGTCGTGCTGCATTCTGGGAGATATAAATGAGGCCGGAATCCTTGTCAACTCGTGTTGGTGTTGGTGGAGGTGCCCACAGAGCGGGACAGCCAGGAACAGCGATTGTTGGAGTCGTCTCGGGTGCCTCGATCCAGTTGTATGAGGTCAAGTCTTCGACGAGGTTGATTGATGCTGAAGAATCGATCTCGCATTCCTGGAGATCCAGGCGAGGGATCTCGAATACAGCAGAAGATGCCATGGTTGAGATCGTTGCAGAATATCGCCCTGGGGATGGACGAAGGAAAGGCAGAATGATATAAAGAAGTATGGGAAAGGCAAACGGTCTAACATGTTGTTATGTAGGTACTTTTCTTGTTTGATGTCGCACAACTGAAGTTTCACGGCATACTCCCGCATGATGTCAATGTGGCTAGCGACCCAATCGTTGCAGTCTGGCCTGTTGTTACTGCAAGGCATTCTGGAGCCTAAGGGACACGTAACAATCTCGCGTCATGGGGCAATTGGCGAGGGGACAACCAAAACACAACGGTGAATGCTCGCTGTGAGGCTGCACGACATTTTGCTGGATGAGGTGATTAAAGGCCAATGCAGAAGATTCCATTAGCATCTAGCATTGTACGTCGCTGATGCGTACACAAAGACCGATATCCAGTCTCGTTCCATGGAATGCAGTAGTGGTGGGTGTTTGCCTACCTGATAAGCCATGGGCATACCTTCGAACACGTAAGTCTTTAGGCATCTTCCTGTGACCTCGATATTGGCTGTCCGTGATTGTTAGGGTGATGCCCTCTTATCTAGTGTCAGCAGATGAATTATAGTTATTCACTGGTGGGCTTCGGTCTGGGTTCAATGTGGATAATTGCATGTTTACGAGGACCAGTGTTTCTTGTAGGTACCTAAGATAGAGTAGTATCCGCCAAGTTGCTAAGACTATGGGGTTATCCTTTAGCCTCCGAGGTAGATCAACGTAGGTGACACATGGGTTGTCAACACCACAAGCCCAGCCACCTGCAGATCATCAAAGATGGCTCTGTAGTCCCTGGCTGGGGCCAATAGTCTCGTTGTACACTCCGGGAATGCACAGCATGACCCAAAGACGAATGAGTCAGGGCATAATTGAATCATTGAGGTATAAAGCATCGTATGAGTCATGCTCTAAAAAGGGGTATGAAAGTCAGACAAGAAGTCGAGATGAGGCGCGCAGAATCATGACCGTCTTGATCACAATACTGAGACCAGCATGGCTTTCGATCCCTTTCAACTACATGTCCCGCATGCATCATTGGATGTGGTTGTGACTGCAGCAAAACACGAGGATGGACCGACAGTGATACGAGCACTCAACGATCCACGGGTCCATCTGAATCTAGACCAGCCGCCATTTCCCTATACAGAAGCAGATTGGGAGTCGTGGTTCAAGCACGTGAAAGAGATCAATGACAGGACGCGAGAGGAATGGCAGGCGATGGCAACGTCGGACGAGAAGCGAGATGTCGAGACGAGCCGAAGCACGAGATGGATCGGATCCAAGGGATGGGGTTCGATGATCCGGGTGAGGGTCGCGAAATCCGACGCTTCAGTCTTTGGCAATAATAGTGACAGGACAGAGGTCATGATAGGGACCATTGACGTGCGCCGGAGCGGATTTCCAGGGGTCGTAGATCGACAGGAACAAGCCGCCGCTGTCGCGTTCAACGATTCTCTCCCTCTGGGAGACCCTGGGATCGTCTGGGAGGTCGGGTACTACCTGATATCCGAATATCACGGACGAGGGATCATGCCAGCAACACTACAGACTCTAAGGAGTAAAGTACTGGTCCCATTGATGAATGTGCATATCTTGACGGGGTATTACTTTGAAGGCAACGATGCCAGCCGACGGGTCTTTGAAAAATGCGGATTTCAGGCCCAGGGAATGGTCCCCGATGCCTTGGTGTTGCCTGATTCTAAGGCTCGAGCATCTGGTAATAGCATTGGAATGGGAATTATGCGTTGGACAAGGGCTGGCGATTCTCAGGATGAGATGGATGCAAGTCAATCTACTTGATTCTTTGGTCTCTTCCCACATGGAATATGGCTGTCATTCTATCAGAGGTGGAGCTTTCAGCACTTGGGCTACTAGTCTGTCCTGTTAGTGTCTACGGGCTTGTCTGGTGTGAAGGTGAAGTGGTGAGCAAGCAAAGATGGTCTATTGGCGTTTGGTCTTGGATAGGGGCGGGTGTTGGAAGTGAGTGACCGCTGAAACAGGGCATTTTTCTTTCTCACATCAACGTTGACATGATATAAGGTGGCATGACACAGTAAATGAGGCAGGATAATGCAATGAGCATCGATAAATGAGAGATTATTGAAGCTTGGAATTCTACGCTTGGACACCGTATCGTGCACGGGGACCATCCCAACCCCGCCAACCGCATGGGTGACAGCGGAGTGATCAAAGCGCAATGTCATTGGACCCTTGGAAACCTGAGTCTTGCTTGGATGTGCCTTTTTGACAGACAGGTTGACGGGTGATCTGGCCAGGCCCAGGCACCGGATGAGCAAGATCCAAGCCGATTTTGACTTGAGGTGGCCCAGTGCCCAAGGAGGCCACAGGAGTTGCATGGCTTAGGGGAAATCATGGCTCTTTGTCACAGCTTCTGATGGCTGGCCAAGGGGTGATAGCGCACTAAGTACTCAAGTCAGGAAATGTCATGGCAATTGATGCGACATGTCAATTTCACTTGATCAAGATGTTGATTACCATATTGCTGGGTTGGCTGGGATTGTAAATGGGAGGGTCGATAGAGGAGAGCTCGATGTTGAGAGGGTGAAGCGTTCATTCTAGGGCCCCTCGGGCACTCTCCAGGCATGGTTGACCGTGCACTGGCCCTAAACAACGCCTGGAGCAACCTCGATGGCTCAATCCATCTTAGCTATACTTTTATCCATAGATAACTTAGTTCAATAGTACGTCTACACAATGATGCGTAATGTAGGCAGCGTTGGCTTGGACAACTCAGTCAAGATCCACCAACCACGGCCAAATAACTAGTGTCGAGGTTCAGTCACGTTTGTGTGCCCATGGCGTCGATTTTGAATTTCCACCTTGGAAAGAACGCCAGCACCAGGGTGATGAGGTCAAAAGGCAAGATAAAGGGAATGGGTCCACTGCCAGCTGAGATGATGGGGCTGCCACGAGGAAGAGAACGACATTCGGTACGTCTGAGTAGCACGAGAATCGACAGCTGGCAAAAGGAAGAAAACGATCTGTCGGGTGTAATTACCAAGAGGGCAAGAGAACAGACCGCCGGAAGAGGTTAGAGAGATGCAGGAGAGGAGGGGGAAAGGGTTTCCTTTGGGCATAGCATTCGTCGAGGACCCAGTAACTTTGGTGGTAGTAGGTGATGACAGGGGCCGGTTAAGCGAGTGAGTGATGCCTAATCAGCCTAGATCCGAAGCTTGGATGGGGGCCGAGGGACCCAAATCGTCCACCCTGGTCCCTGGAGACCTCTGGTCCTCTGGGATTCTCGATTGACGCCACAATCCATAGTTTCTGCATTTTCCATTAATCGACAGGAGAGAAAAGGCTGGCCGCAAGAGTATGTTCTGTACGTACATGCATATGCAATGTACTGGAATGTGTTCACAGCTGTGTTGATATGATGAAAACAGAAGGCTGCCAACAGCCTATGACTATGTGCAGTTCCAATGCTGGTGCGAGAATCTGCTCTCTCCAGGCATTTGCATGCGCATACAGTAGGTAGGTACCTACGGAGTACGCACTGCACACCTGTCAGGTATGGGCAGCATTCAGCCTAATCCAGCCCTAAGCATCTCGGATAACGGCTATGATTCGTCTAAGATCGACCCTAGAGTGCTTGAGTAGCGAAGGCTTAACTCGGTTCCTGGGTAGTGGATTTTGTGGGTGCTGGGGGGTGGATCCAATACCCAGAGAATCTTGCTCGTAAGCCCCCTCGGCCCAATCCTGCACCCATGCACCCATGCACCCATGAACTCACCCATGCAAGCAGCCCAGGAGACCCAAACTCTGCTTTCGGCGGGTTTCTTCAGCCGCAGATGGATCGATGGATGGATGATGGATGAGTAGATGGAATGGATGGATCGAGATGGGAATCAGGATGCGTGAATCAGGATGAAGCGTGTAACCCGTTGGAAACTCTTTCCAGACACTTACCGAGTAATGCTTCCTGCATCCGTCTGTCTCGACCGTCAAAGCCCTCTTCTGTTCTCGTTGCTTTTTGCTTTGGTGGCTGACTGACTTGATCAACTGCTTCCCTTTTGGATTGACCATCAATCATTCGGCTCTCGGGCCACTTTTACGGCCCCTTCTGGCTTTTTGTAGCAGTGGAACTTCCCAATACAAGGTACTTTAGTACCGTGAGGATGCGTACGGTGTAGATGTACTTCTGACTGTCCATTACAATATAATTTATTTGATAATCAGGCCATCCTCCCTGCCTCCCCACACTTTCTATCCAAATTCAAATCCACGCCTACACACGCCTACACACAACTACACAATAGTCTCACAATATTTCCCCTTCCACTTGCAGCACTGATCTGCACAGTCCGACCACCTTCACAATAAACATCAACCACTTTCCCGTCGACAACTCGACCTTTTGCTTCCCGATCCTTCTCAACTTCACTCCTCTGGCATGTTCTGGTAGGACTGGTCATGTCAAGGCCTTGCTCTCCATCACCTCATTTTCGTCATACTGGACCTCTCAACTCTCACAAACCCCTCGAGTTCACTTCTCAGCCTCAACCTTTAGCACAAATGGCACCCGTCGTTGCCGCCAGATTACTCTATGTTTCCAACTGGAAACTCAACTCAGAATCAGCCAAGAATGAACCGCGATTAGGCAGACTTCTCGGCCACATTGCCATTTTTGAAAGCAGTCGCTCTTGCATGGAGTCAAGTTCGGCCGATCCGGAATCAGAACTCAACGAACTGTCCTCATATCTGCAGGACCATGTCCCTTCGTTCAGACAATTCCAAGCCGCCATCCAAGAACAAATCTCCGCTATGACAGACCTCGCATCTCCTCCTCCCTACTCCATCGTCGATGAATTCCAGAGCGATGAGGATGACAGTGAAGACGACGATAGCAGCGATGGCGAGTTGTGTCATGAAGGTGATTGGAGCGACGATGACACTGCTGCCGAAAGCGATGGCTCCCTGACAGACGCTGAATGCTCTGAAGACCAATCAGCAGAACCTTCGAGTCCCTTGTCTTCGTGTTCAGAGGATGACGATGCCGGCCTTTGGGCTGTCCGCCCACTCGCCACCCTTCTCAGTCGGGCAACTCTTAAGTGCTCATAGCCAGGCGTGGTCATAAGAGTCAAAAGTATTTACGAGTAGGGCCGGAACCAATGGGCAGTCTTGGCCACGTTTCAGCTTCGTATTGCTTTCAGCCAAGCCACCGTCTCACTACTACGAGTACTCGTTACTATCAATGTGGGGTGTCTACGATACGCTATGCGTAGGAAATTTGGACACACAAAACCTCACCACGCCATGGAATGGTTTGAAACTGAAGTTATAAAAGCGTGGAGTTGGTGGAGGAAAGGTCACGTGGAGTCACGTGCATGTGCATCACCACGTTGGGAATCTTAAGAGATTTTTATAATACCCCAGGGGGCGTTTTGTGTATAACATGTATATATATCCCAAAGTGGGTTGTATGTTAATTGAATTGTTGGATCAAATCGTTTCTGCTGTGCAGAGTTTCCACAAAAACATCCCTCCAAACGCCGTGTCCCCCTACAAGCTTGCTCTTTTCGCCGAGGATCAGAACGCCCGCCATATAATATAAACTCCACAAATAAATCACCACGAGCTCTGACCCATCACAGGCGATTCAAGCGGCGAGACATGGCATGATTGACATGACAATGCATACGTGCAAGCAGTAATCAGTGTCTAGGTGCTAGCCATTTGTTGACGTCGGCGCCTTCCAAAAACCATTTTGAAGAGTCGAGGCTGAGGTTCTTCTTCTGGTACCGGGTGCCGACTCGGTTGCCTGATCGTGCAGCCTATCAGGGAAGATCATGTCAGTGGCCATTCATCTTTTGTATGCGAGGCTCGACAATACTTACTGCGAATGCAACACCGCTGAGAGTTGCTGCTGTGCCCGCTGTGAAGACCATTCTCATATTTTTGCGATCCTTGGGCGTCATGGATGTCGAAGAGTGTCGTACGGGTGCGGTCAATCTTGGACCCATACCAGTCACCATTCTTCGTGTAATTGTTTGAGCGGCGTTCATTTTGAATGCGTGAGTGAGTGAGTTGATTATGTAATTAATCGTTTTGTCTGAATTGAGCGGGGATTGGATGACTGTTGTTCTTGTCGAGGCTGAGGAGTCGAGTGTCTTTTTGTTTGGTGTTCTTTGATGTTGGAACTGCTGATTGGAGTCAATATGGTACCACCTACCTCGATGCTGGGTATAGTTGATCCTTTTTAAACTGATACAGCACCTCTCCTACCTTCCAGGCACGTCCTGCATTTTCCGAAAGCTTCAGTATCAAAACGTGCACTCATGGTGACCTGTGAGCGATTTCGTCAGCAGAGGTCAATTCGTGGTGGCACAGGCACACATCACTCGATCAGATGTTGGCATGATCACATCACCAGCTCGCAGAAGCCTCTAGACCCTCAGAGCTGCGCGACATCGTGTGATGGATGATCGACGCATGGTGCGGACGGCAGACTCCGATCGTTCGATCCAGGCACGAGGCTGCGGTAGTTAAACGGACCAATCAGCTATTCGCGGACTGAGTCGGGCTCAACGGCTCGAGTCAGGCCACTTGATGAAATCTCAAAACGTCATTTGACAGGACATTACGGGCTGTTTTGGTGGTGTACGGTTGTATTTACCGTCACAGCAAAAGTGTCTCCTGTTCGAAAATCTAGACGTGTCCAGGGGTGGACCCTAAGACAACCCTTGTAAACTGTAATATTGAAACGATCATACACCACGTGACTCGCTTAACGTAATTCAACACAACTATTGGTTAATGCCATTCACGTGATTTCTTGGCAATACCGCCTCTCCTCCTCGTGGTGTGACAACTTCTGATCATCTCTGATCTTCTCCTCTTACTCATGCTTTGCGCTGTTCCCACATCCTGGACCAAGGCTGCACCGCCGTTCTTGGATCCTCCCGCCCCTCCGTCATGTTTTACCGATCCCAAGGCCCGTGAGCCTTCATCACCTTACAACAAAAGCGTCAACTCCACAAACTACACTCAAGTCTTCAGCACCGTGGCCTGACATCTTCATCTCTTTGTTCACCATCGCCCCAAAACAACTGCGTTTCTTACCAGCTCCTGTTAGTGCCGACCCTGCCTTGGTTTTGCCCGTACATTCTCTGGCATAGCTGCGTCTCACCGTTGGCCCTTGACTCTGATACACGTACGCCAGACAGCAATCTTGCGGGACTTTGCCCGGGCGGACGAGCAGAATCGTCCTAGCCACGCCGACATCAAACCGCGCTACGGGTCATACTCCCAGCGAATCCCCAGGGGTCCAGCCGTCGAGAAGTGAAAGAAGTCCCAGCGGCGGCTCAAGTCATGCCGTACAGCTCCCTTTATCGAGACCAACATGGCTCTCATGACTTTCATAACAATCCCAATTTCCAACGTCACCAGTCCCGACTAGCCATTGTTGATCCGGATATTGGTGATTACAATCGGTGGCATGAGATGGACTTTACCTCTGCACCCCTCAATCCCTCCACAACTTCCTCGCCCCTCGACTCCCAGAAGTACTCGTCCAACATGGACACCGATGGTGATTCGCTGTCTTACCTACGCCCCTCGAATCGTCTCAACTCGACAGACTCTCGCCTGAACCAACAGCAACAGTCTCCCGAGGTGGACTCTCTCTCAGGAGATCTCTACAGCACTGGACCATTTTCCTACTCCCAACTTCTCAATATGGACTCGGATCTGTCGTCCATGGATCAGTCGAGCATCAGCTCACGCGCCGATTACGACTCCAAGATGCTCGACACCAACAACAGCCACCTTGCCGCCTCACTGTCTGCGAATGACTCTATCAACACCTCACCACCCGTCGCTACTCTTGATCCCATTGCCATCTCCATCTCATCCAAAACGGATTCCTCAGAGAAGCTGTGTCCGCTGATAGCAGGCCAAGTTGACAGCTGCCAACCACAACGCTGTGGCCCTGACGCTCCGTGCATGAATTTCACCACCCTGCCTCCCATCGAGGAATGTACTTCGGTGCCCTGTATCACCGGCTCAGCCTCGCCCAACGAGACCATGATCACCAGCGACAGTGTTTCCGTCTCTCTACACTCGCGGCCGACTCCTAGTACACGCAACAGCACAGTCAGTTCCGCCTCGATGCGTCGCTCCTCAGCATCATCCAACGATAACAGCCAAGTTCAGTCGGTCCCCTTGCCGCCTCGCAAACCTACGGCGGCAGCAGCTCGCCGTCGCGCCAACCAGCGCTCCAACCCCACCACCACCGTTTCCACCTCCGCCACTATGTTGTCCGACGATGAGGAGCAAGATTCGAAACCCAAAGGCGGCGCTCCTAGCAAAGCTGATGCAAAGCAGCGGGCGAAACAAGCCCACAGCCTCGTTGAGCGCAAGTACCGTGAAAATCTCAACGCCAAGATCGCACAGCTTCACAATACCCTACAATCATCACACTACGGACCCAAGGCTAGCCTTGAAGATGACAGCGACAATCCCAGCTCTCTGATGGCTGCCATTCCCGCGAGCAAGGTCCGAAAGAGCGACGTCTTGACCGAAGCCATGAACTACGTCAACCAAACCGAAGTCGAAATGCGCCACATGGAGAACGAGATCAACCGGCTCAGCGAGAGAGTCCGGGTGTTGGAAAAATTGGTCAGGTGTGAGGATTGCAGCCTGTTGAAGCAGATGGTCAATCTGCAAGTTCAACCAGTTTGAACCTCAACCAAGTCACACCTGACGTGGGTCACACCTCTCGATTGACCAACTCATATCTCCATGTTTGTACAGGCAATCACTCGGTGGTAACGACATTGATCCTCGCGGGGCCGAGAGACGTCTGTCGCTGTGGGATTGGCACTGGTCCACATACAGGCACATAAAACCCACCCCCTTCTTGTGTCATTTTTTTTTTTGCTGGCGTTTTGGGACGGGCACGAATCTGGATATTGGGTCTACATTTCGGCCCGCGGGGATTTCCGCCAAGTAAAGTCTTGTAGAGACTACTTATGGGCATGAGAAAGGCAAAGGCATGGTTGTTTATGATCACGGCTCAAAATAGTCGTCTGTCGATATGTTTGGCATTCTCCTCCTTGTTCGAGTCTACCGATTCGCATTGATGCAATGACAATTCAACGCACAATTTTTACCCTTTTGACTAAATCCTTTTCCCGCTCATTCCTGCATTAAATCCTTGCAAGGGGCTTTTTTGGGACCTCTGGCACAAACCCGTATGAACATGAGTCGACGCTCTTGCGGGCCCATGCATTATGAACCAAAAGGGGAGGGGGGCTAATTCCTGTCTCTAGCCTCGAACCGAGCCTGGGATTCTTCCAATATTTCCATCATATGACTCGTGGGACTTATCATTGAGATTGCGATACAAATCATTCAATCTCAATTCTTACGCCGCCATGCTGTTGGATCTCCTCTGCCTCGACGCTACGCTTGGGAACATCGATTCTCAGCAGGCCGCCATCGAGTCTGGCCTTCAACTCCCTAATCTCGACGTCGTCGGGCAACGTAAACGTGCGTCTCCAAGGTCCGACTTTGCGCTCCGACAGGAGGATCGTGGGTTTGGTGTCGTTACGAAGCTCAGCCTCAACTGTCTCGCGCGAGGGCGTTCGTTCGATTGGACCGCCATCGGTGGTATCGGGCTAAGAATTTTGAACCATCGCGTTAGAGGAACAGTGTAACTGAAGGGACCAAATTTTTATTGCCAAATCCAACAATAAACATACCTTTGCATGACCAGTCTCCTTCGCCCAACCATCATCCTCTCCTTCCCAGACCTTTTCGCCCTCTGACGGGTCTAAGAGGCCCAATGGACCCGGTCGCTTGATTTCACCCTGTACCAACAAGGTATGCGGGCTCAGCCACTGGATCAAAAGGCTATCTTTGTCCGTAGTGCCGGCTGTCTCGATCTCAATGTGATACAATCTCAATGTCTCGCGGATATCAGTCGCCGGCGCCCAGTTGCCGGTCGTCGACGTCCGTATGCTTCCTGGTGCGTGTGGGCCGTGGTAATGCGCCTTGAGCGTCAAATTATGCAACGACACCGGTGGGAATTGGAAATGGTGTGGGTATGATGGATGTGGTGGTGGGTGTGGCTGTACTGGCTCCTGGTGGCCAACTGGCCCGTCTGCCAGTGATCCTTCTTCAACTAGCCGGATCACATAGTTGGGAGGAACGGCGTATGGAAGATTCGCCATGTCTTCGTCTATGGAAGTGGTAGTGGTGGAAGTAGTATAAATGGTGTCAATGGAAATGAGGCTTATGAATGCGAGTTAGGTGGTCGTGTTCGTGAGAGTATAGTAATGCTGATTAGAAGATGATGACAAGTTCTTTACTTAATATGATCTTTGAGAGGAGGTGATAGGCTTCATCAATGGTCGTCCAACGGACAGGGTCGATCTTTATAAAGCAGAACCAAATACACCCATGCACAGTTGATATGCGCGACAAATTCCATCGTTGAATGATTGTCCTCAATTTCACTCCCGATACTCCTGTTACTCCTCTTCCGCTCTTCCTTCATGCATAGAACGTGACGGATTGTCTCCTCGCCCACTTGGCATTCATGATGAAAAGCTAATAAATGTCACCATTGCACACGGATCGAAACATGTGACGGGCACATGACAAGACCTAGCAAGGTCATTGAAGCGGAAACACGGATGCGTGTAGATCCACCGATGTGACGTGCCAGTCCTTGCTGCGAGTATCATGAGATATGCGGCTTATCAACCAAGATTCTGGGGTACTTTAGAGAGGGGATTTCCTAGATTAGCCGCAGCCATGGAACAAGCGAGTCTCGTCGCTATGCGAAATCGGACCCTTGCGAAGCTTGTAGCTTGACCCCTGGCCTGTGAGGCCCAAAGGGATCGTCCTCATTGGTCCCAACACCCCAACACGCGTCCATTCTGCTGGTCTCGAAGATCGCGACATATTTCCCACATTGGTGGTGCTACATACATGGTGTCCGGATCAATGGGTGACCAACTTAGGTACCCAGGGGACTTTCCATTTCTGAGCAAGAGGACTAGAAGAAAGAGGTGTAATCAGAAGAAGTCTCTACTCATGCTTCCATATGCAGAGGGATATCATTCTACGGGCATGCGGCTGTTTTCGATGCTGACGATAATCCTCCGAAGAACCAATGGAACGGGTCAAACTAGTATCATGGCCTAGGGCGGGACCTTTAACCAGCACAGCACAGCCGATTGTCGCGTCTGTGTGACACTGCAAGAAATTCAGACCGTCGCCAGCCAAGTCACAGTACTGAGTATCTGGCAAAGGCCTCAAGTACGGAGTATCGATCGGCATAAGGCTCGGGGGACCCGCTAGAGCTTACTGCTTAATCAGGCTATCAGGCCAGGTGCTCGAAAGTCAAGAGTCATTTTGTTGCTAAGAACCTTCAAAGGTGGTGTGATATTAGAAACCGAAATCCACTCAGAGAGATCAGATCCTGGAAATTTTACCGGCTGCTTCCGTAATGGGTCCTAATTGGTTATGGCGGCAGAAATAGTTGATTGGCCCAGAGGTGGACAGGGGGAGCTGGCCAACGTTGGGTCTAGAACACATCCTCCGTGCGCATTGGACACGCAATGTTGATTGAGTGATGATCGACGTTCAGCAGTGCACCAAGAGGGTGTACTATCATTGGCAAAATCAGATCACACACGATTTCTCACGGCGATTCTCATGTACAAGGCGTCTGAATAGATAGCAGGAGCATTATTTCGTTCCAGTGACAGTTACAAGATGCTCGAGATACCGAGCCATGTTTGATTACTGTAGATAAAGCTTGAAGCAATATATTCTTTTCTCATCGCGTGGCCTGGGGCTCCTGGCTAACCAGCACAGGGCCCAGTCTCGCACAAGTAAGTAGTTGTGCTATTTCGCTACTCATCAATTGACACAAGCCAGTCCCATGGGATCGATCCGCCGCCCAGAGTCCAATTCATAACTCCAATCCGAGACTGTTGCTATAGTGTCTGTAAAAGACATCCCAATGATCCAATTCATAAATAATCCGTGACGTGACATCATGCTGCATATCCTATGTTCAGAGCCGGGACTGTCTGGCTTCCATGTCAGCCAGCATCTCCTCGTGCATGATCTCACTGACTTGGTCCATGGCTTCTTGTTCGGTGCTTTGCCTTCGCACCTTGATTGGACCAGAGTGATCGTCAATGCCGTACCGGGCACTCAGATTGTCCACGGGTTTGACACTTTCGCAGTGGCAGTCGTGGTGGTAGCCGGACGAGTTGTGTCGGCACGCTCTAGGCTTGACCGTCATCTGTGTTGGCGAGTGCGTCCCATCCGAGAACTCTTGTGCCACCAAGTTTTCAGGGCAGAGACCAGAATGTCTTCGTGTGTGATGCATAGCAGGCCGTTGGCATTTCGGCATCGCTATATCCGGACAAAAGTCATCGACTGTGTCTGTTGTGATTGAGAGGAGCTCTTGAGAAGGCCGACGCATGTGGCAGCTGGAGCAGTAGTGCTCATATGGTGCGTGGCTGCTGGATAGTCTCCTTAAATGCGGATTGACTGGATGATGGGAGCCATCTAATCGAGCGGAGTCAGTCTCGGTCCTCATTGGATAAATCTGTGAATTTCTCGGGCTTACCTTGATGTGGTGATCCTTCTTTTCGTGAATGTGGTGTGCTGGGACTGCTTTGTCGTCCGCCGATGTTGAAGAGATCAGCCCCTTCAATTGTGATCGGGCTATCGACAAGGCTGGGAGTTGTCCCGCCAGAGGTACTCTTACTCCGCGTTGGGAGTTCGGTGTTAACCATTAATGGAGCAAATGGGTCGTACTGCACCATGATGAGGCTTGTTGAGTTGTTATAGAGGATAGATGGTATTGGTTGTGAGGGTGCTGTTTGTATTGGCTGAGTGATGATGATTCATGGTTCTGTTTGGCCGCGTCTTCCCTTCCAATTTATGGATTTCACCTTCGTGGCACACTTGTGCGCGAATAGAGAGTATGACTACACTCCTGTCCATTTTGGGACGACAAGGCCTGTCTCCGCTCCGCTGATGTTCCTGCCTCCGCCGAACAATGGGACATCGGTAATGGGTGAAACTTCTGGATGGGTCTGGTGATGGTCGTGGGCGCAAGACCGCCGGGGGGCCAGCTGACCCTAACCTAAACCGGGCTGAAAGGGGGCGTTTACTGTTGATACTGACAGGTAGTTTACGCACAGCTGACTCGGTGTAAGTAGCCCGAGACGGCCTCCCGTATCTGGGGGCAGGCTAGAGCTCGAGGCTTTCCTTAGGCGCTCGGTGGCCGCCGAGGTTTTTCGCGGTTCAGACTATGTAAAGAAAAGCCGCAACACGCCACCTGGGCACTTGGCTAGGCCCGAGCTGGGAGACACATCACCCCAGACCGCCCATGTTCGCACCCTCCAGGGGCTAAATCACGAAGGTAATCGTGCCGTAATGCCAACAATTTGGGGTTCCGTTTCAACCGCCAAGTAGTTCTGTGTATCCCGCCCGCGCTCCCACCCAGTGCCAAACAGCCTGTTTAGTATACGAGGTGTACCGACCATGTACTCAAGGTCGTCCTGATCGTCGATGTGAAACTATGGGCACATCATATCTCGTCGCTAAATTAATGACGTCGCGCATCAAGTCACCAAAGCGATCATGTCCTGACTGACACATCGTCTTGAGAATGTGGTGTTGTAAATTACCAACCTTCTCGTGTTGTACCTAAATTGCGCCGGCATCAGGTGTGCTTCCAAAAAGAACACACACATCAATTGATGATACCACTGACCACGGCAGTTTTACTGGATAATACAGCCGGATGCGTCAATTGATTCGGTTGGCAAATCTGAAATTTTACCCCTGATGATCACAGGGTCGATTGCAATAGTTTGGTTTTCATTCCCATGTTCTCGAGCATCAGACCAGGTCGTCGAGATCGAAGATGTGTATGCCATCTTCAGCATTTTCAGAAACGCCTCATTCCACCCCTATCATCGAGTATTTCATGTTTGGAAACCCAAGAGCTCGGTTTCCACCTTCTAAATCGTGATTGGTCTCTGTTGGGTAGCATGGGAAAGCGGTAGTCGGTTACCAGATATCGATGTACAGTATCTCGCAGGAGATGGCAAAGTAAGCACGGAGAGCCGATTGAGCGAATCACAGTCAACAAATGACACTATGTGATTGATACCATTAGCAACCCCATGACCTACGGACTGCTCTATGAGTGCTTAGGATTTAGGCAAGTTTGGGCAGGTTATGTTCGTGATTGAGACATGGAAATGCTCGATTTGTCGGAAATGGATTGAGGTCTTTGTGAAAACATTACCGACAAGTATCTGTTGTGGAATGTCGGAGAATTAACCAGTCATAAAAGATCATCTCGAGTATGTGAAATACATGTGATATCTTCTGAGATTGGAAAGAGCAATATCTCAGCAATATCTCGTCACTAAATCTCGACCTTTCAACGATGTGATCCTATTTATAGAGATCCTGCCCACCCTCACGTAAACCTTCATAACGTATACGATACGGGAGAGTATGGCGCCCAACGGCACCTATCTAACTACAACTGGAGCCAACTGCTAGTTTGGTAAACAGTCAGTCTCTCTTGTTCTCTCGAATCCCTCCACGACCGTGGCTGATATGGTTCGTGACGTTGAAAAGTCGACCCTTGAACTATCCGCACTGCCCGTTGGTATTGGGTCTAGGATCATTGTTGTCCAGCTCGACTCCCCGTCTGTGGAGCGTGTAAAGCGACCTTGAATCGACTGCTAGAATGACTTCACGTCGAAGAGCCTTGACGCGATCCATTCTGATTCGGTCTGCCATTACCAGGGCTGCATGACCGCAGACACCGATGCCGAGGGTATCTCGAAGACTCTGGTTGCGGCGTCGAGGCAATCAAGCGGGACCCTTGTGAACTTTGGTGGACAAGTCCTGCCGTTGTTGTTTGGTGGAGTAAAATGCTGTATGTGGCAATCTTGCTCCTTGGAAATAGATCAACCTGAAGAAAAATGATCCGTCCGCTGGGTCAAATGTGAGAGGTTGAGAAGCATCTGAGAAGAGCGGGCATTTAAATGCTCCAGAAACAGGAGACTGATGATGGTGCCTCGTCAATATAATGTGGATAGACGAACAGCGCCTTGCAGTCCCTACTTCCTAGATTCGGGCCAATAACCAAGGCCAGGCCAGCCAAAAGTGTCTGTTTCTGCTGCCATATCAATGGCTTCCAGCGTAGCAGCCTCGAGTCTCGGCTCCAGGCCCAAGGTTCGCTCTTTCTCGCTCATCTTTCCAACCTTTGTCCGTGGCCTTTCGCGCTCTGGCCACGACCCTAATCCAGGCCAGCCCCAGGCGGACGGCGCCTGATGTGATTTCTCGCCCATGTTGTTCTCGTTGTTCTCGGACATTCTGCGTGCTTCAATGGCAGGACTGATGGATTCTTCGTCATTCCAGGCCACTTGTTCCCGGGGACTGGATCCTTCGGAACTGTTGGTGTCTGGGTAGGTCGTCGCGGCGCCAGATTTCTCAGGGAGACGCTCATGTTCATGGGCAAGACCATGTCGAATGGAGGATATGATACCTCCCATGTGAGAGTGCCGTTTGTTGACTTGATCTTGTTCTCCGCTTTTTTTGAGGAAGGATAGCCATGATGAATGAGTCTCTGGAGTTTCGGGGTAGTCTGTGAGGTTACCAGAGCTGTGTCTTCTCATTTTGGCTTTATGGTTGTGTCTGGGTGATTGAATATGCAGTGATGCTGTGGTATAGGTATTGTGTGAATCTTTGCTTAGCTTGATGACGATGTGCAATACGATGGGGATGCGGCAGCAGCTTACTTATACTCTCACCTGGGCACGAAGCAAAGAACTTACGGGGTTGGCAACTGACCATAATGTGGACACTGACCACAATAGTCAGCAGTAAAGCCTGACACTGGTGCAAATGGTCAAACAATCAAGCTCTTGACACGAGCCACAATACCCGTGTACCGTAGCCGATCCTGCAGTGGAATTGTGGAGGTCATGTGATGGGTATGATCAGACCACCACCTGAATGGCCAGCCCCGAGGGTCCCTACATCAGCCGAAATCACGCACGAGGACGAGACCATCCCTGGGGCATAGAGTATGGGGTATGTTCCTTGGCTTTGTCTCCTCGTAAGCAGCGGAATCGACTACAGTGGACGTCATGTTCTGTGTCCTTAGTTCATAGCACAAAATACTTTGGCTAGAAAGGCATGCGTATGGCAAGCCTTCGTGCCTACATCAAAATTTCGTCTTCAGGGGCACTACTACCGCTGGGCAAATCCCCTTATGCCGCTCATCATGATGCACCTTCGATAGAGACCACCCCATCAAGCTTCGGTTCCCATTCCTGGCGGTTCCTGCAGTAGACCTCTACAACAGGTTTCTCAATCTTGTCGAACAGACCAAGTTTCACAACTAATGAGACCCAGGGTCAGCAGTTGATTTAAGGTGAAATCTAGCCAGGGCGGCCTTACTCTTCTTTCCCGCAAATAGCGGCGAGGTTGACATTACAGGACTGTTCAAGATTCACTCAGCCCTATCTTGACTGCCGTTTGGTCGAAAGAACAAACAGATAAAAATGTAAGGAACTGAAACTCACCACCCGCAGACTTCACAAAACCATCGATGGAGCGATGTCCCAGAGTCAGTTTTGTCGTCCAAGTATGCCTTGAGAGGTCCGGTGACAGTAACGTCGCCCTCCGGGAGCACTAGGACATATGTACCCACTATCATCAGATTAGCCTTCATATTTGGCGATCTTTGAAGCAAAGGTGAACCCACGAGCGCCGCTTTGGCGTCTGCAGCTCAGGCAATGGCAGAAGATAGGCTTGTTCTCTGCGGCTGCTTCATCTTCGATGGAGACCTTGATGCCCCCGCAATTACACTCTCCCTGGTAGGGCATGGCAAACAGTCTGCTCCACGAGTTGCCGGAATCTGTCCGAGATATATTTGTTATTGCCTTTGAATACACACAGAATAGCTCCCAAGCGGCTCTCGAGCTGAGCTTGCCCTTTTGAACCTTTTTTCTTCTATGAGCGCCTCGGACATACCAGGCCCTCGGTAAGGCCATGGTGGGGATGGACCCGCCGTCGACCTGCGCTATTCGTTCGATGCTCTCGCTACCCCCCCTCCCCACCAAAGGATTGGCAGGACCCTGAACTCCCTCACTGTAGACTTTTTGTGGCGCTCGAAGAGGGCTTCAACCAGCTGTTCACTACTGGAACCAACCACGCTCGCGCGCATATAGAATGTGTCACAATGGCATTGAACATTGCTATTCTAGTGTTGGAACATTGTCAAGATACTTTAGCCATGTGGTCAGGGCCCGAGATCTAGATCGGACTTAAGCGAATTCATCCCACCTATTAACGTTGCGGAAATACTCCGGCGGATTCGGAGTGCCTGATTGTGTCATCTTCATCACGATTCCGCTGCCTCTGCTTGGATCATCGCCATAGCTCGAGGAAGTGTCGGATCCATCACGCTGATGATCTCAAGATAGCCTTATCACACTTGATGACCACTTGGGGTTATCCTGCAGACACTGCCCGATATGACAAAGGCTCTGATCTTTGGTACGGGTTCTGTGGGATGTGTGTACGGATATATCTTGTCCAAAGCCGGTGTCCAAGTGGTCACAGCGTGTCGAAGTAACTACGAAGCTGTCAACGAGGCCGGCATCACCATTCGTTCGGCGCTTTTCGGCAACATTCATTACAGGCCGACTGCCGTCCGCAACTTGGTAGAAGCCAACTCTCATGGCCCCTTCGATTACATTTTGGTCTGCAGCAAGGCCTTCCCTGGCGTCAGCACCCAGATCGAGATAGCTGTTGGCGCCGAGACTTCCATCGTGGTCGCCCAGAATGGGATCGGCATTGAGGAAGAGTATCTGCAGCGATATCCCAACAACACCATCATTTCCGGCGTCGTCTGGCTACCGACCGTACAAGTAGCACCAGGCGTCGTGGTGATGGGCCCAAACGAACGAATCGACCTGGGAACATACCCTGCGAACGCGCCAGCCTCGGCCAAAGCCAAAGTTGATGCTCTGTCGAAACTGTGGGTAGCTGGCGGAGGAAATGCCCCAGTGTACGATGATGTTCAGGCCCGCCGCTGGTTGAAACTCTCCGTTAATTTTGCCTTCAACCCTATATCAGCTTTGACCCGATGTGACGGGCCCAATTTCCTGCTCTCCTCCGAGGTCGCCGACGATATCATCGTCAAAGTGATGAGGCAAGTTGGCCAGATCGCAGCGGCTGAGGGCTATACCGACATCACCGAAGAGTCCATCCAGGAGAGGATGAAATTCCACCGGGCTCGGACGAAGACCGGAGGCAAAGATCCCAGTATGTTGATGGATGTGAAGGCAGGAAGGCCCATTGAGGTAGATGCAATCTTGGGGAACACACTCCGAATTGCGCAGAAGCATAATATCGACGTGCCTTTGGTAGAAATGCTGTATGGGTTAGCCACTGCTTTGAATTTCTCGATTGTCAAGGATGAGCGCTGGGTTCCGGTCCTCGTGGGCTGAAGAAACGAAAATTTCAGCGGCAAGAGAGGCAACAGAATAGAAGCATCATATTCTTAGAATTCATCAAGAGCTCTGCACAACTATGTGACCACCTCGGTCATCAGATCCTCCGGCCACTTTGCGGCATCCTTTCCATTTCCTCGAGTTCCCACATTGTATTTCAGCACCACTTGATCATTCTTGTATTGAACAATCGGTTTCACTGTTTTAACGATCGAGTCGATAGCCTTACTCTCCCGGTCCTCGAAAAACTTGGGGTCTAGGAGGTTGGAGTTCTTCGCAATGTAGGACATATATCGTGGGATCAGGTAAGGCATGTTGTGGTAAGACCTTGGAAAAATTAGACGTCATTGTAAGAATCAGCTCCGACGAAACGTACCTGAATACTTCACTGCCGTTCCGTTTCCACACGTCTTGCCATACCTCCTCTGGATACTCTCCCACCGAGTTGGCGAGCCACTGGTTGTAGTAGTTTAGCGCCACGTCGACCTTGTAACTACCCCCCTTTTCGGCCATTTGCATCAATGCAGACAAGATGCCTGTCACCCCGGCGATTCCGGTCATGTAATCGCTATTGGGGAAAACAGGTGTCACGGCTTCATTGTCCTTCAGTCCCATTGCCTTGCCGAATCCTGCCGAGATACCGATGCAAGCATCACTTATTTGTTGCCTGGCCTGTGTGTTAGATCCATCCTGACTCAACAATGCAACAACGAAAGGGCCTCTAGCTCTGCTCGACCCATGACTTGCACGGGGAGCCGACGTAAAGTAGATTGGCGTAGACTTACCATCCTGAGCGATAGGACCAAGGACCGTTCCAACCATAGCAGTTTTCACGTACGGAGACGATGCCGCGTTCACGATCTTTAACCAGATCGATAATAGCATCTTGGCTGAATCCATACTTATCGAGGACGCCTGGTCGATAGCCTTGAACCACCACATCTGCATCTCGAATCAGTTCTTTGAGCTTCTTCTTTCCCTCTTCGCTCTTTAAGTCGATGCTACATTGCCACTTTCCCCAGCTCAAATCGACGTGTAGCTGGCTGAAGTCGACAAGGTTCGGGGATGTCACTCGCATTACGCTAGCACCCAACTCTGCCAGCCCACGTGTGATTGCCGGCGCTGCAATAACGCGGGTAAGATCGACGACCTTGAGACCAGCAAGCGGGCGTTGAGCCGACGTCTGTGGTGATGATGGCCACCACGATGGTTTATGGTTAGGATTGGATACCGGATGAATCTCAAAGAGGCCGACGTGAGCATTAGCTTTGCCATGCTCGGTCGCTCGGAAAGAGTCAACCGTCTCAGCGATGACGCCGGCTTGCTTGTATTCCTCTGACGCCAATCGTTGAATTTCTTTGGACTCGATGGTGGCCAATTTTTCGATAAAAGGCTGCATAGCAGCCTCCCAGGTGGTGAGTTCTGGTCTGTCTTCTGGAAACCCAATGCTCTCCAACGTTGGATTGGGATTCATGCTCCCGTGCAGGTGGAAGAATCTGTTATCCTTGGTTCGGTAGATGTTGGTGGCACAAATGCGATAGAGACTTGAACTTTGCTTGTGGAAGTCATAGTTGGGGATCAGCTCGTCAAGTTTTCCCGGGTTCGTGGTATATGTAATTGGTTCACCACTTCCGTTCTTGATGGACCAGACTAGTGTTGACATGAAAAAGAGTTGCGCATGATCGGTATCGATGGTCGCACCAGCGAACTCGGTATTGTACTTGCGTTTGAGGAGAGCAGCCACGATGCATGCCTCAAAAGCTTTCAAGGATGCAGCAGACTCGGCGAATCTCCAGTTGATGGGGATAGATGGTAGATCAGAACCAGTGAAGCTGATTTTGGAAGCATATTGAGCAGCCTCATTAGGAATGTCTTTGGATATCTTGGGGTTCTTTAGTAGTTCAGTGGTCAAAAGTTTCTCGCATTCCTTGGGAATGGAGTACGATTCCGCGACACCAATGCTTCCCATCTTGACGATTGATATGACACTCTACGAAGGGTCGCAATACCCTTGTCACAGAATCTTCGCAGGTTAGGGAACCGTTGGCTGTAAATCGTCGGCTACGTAGTCCAAAGGGGCCGATGTATTAAGGGGCAAGAAATATTGGAATGGAACTATCTCTCGTCACGGTCAGCTTCACAGAGATCTTCTACAAATGCATTTACTTCTGCGTGGTCGTTGAATATTAGCACTACCTAGGTAGGTATTCTCCAATGTGTAAAGCGCACTAGACAGACCTCGGTCCAAGAACGGAAACTTAAAAACCTCCTCATCGAATTGCATGGCAATTTCCTACCGCCCTATTGTCGTAACGGCAGAAGAGTCAGCGTGGGGTAATTGATAGTGCATGACATCCTGACGGGAAGAGTCTGTGGCGTATCATTGGTCACATCATGACTGAGTCAACATATGTGACATGAGCCGAGGGGTCTTTGGTCTCGCCTGGAATTGTGCATCTACGTACCTCAACCACACGCAGTCATTGATCACGAGTCGGTTATGCACTCCGCACATCCGAGACCGAGACATTTTGGCTGACTGCTGCCAAAGCCAGGCACAAAGAACGGGTCGGTTTGGGTGATAATCTGTCTGAGCCTTGGTGTTGACCAAGATGTCACTCGCTTCGATTTGGATTACCTCGGGAAGACCCCGGGGAACTTTTGTCATGCGAACCTAGCCACGCGGGGAATGTAGTTAACGGGAGTCTTGACTGCATCATGTACTCTTGGACTTTCCAAACTCACTCCTGTCTCGAAATCCTGCATACTATCTTGCAAGCACCGTGAGCCATAGATAAGGCGAGGACGCAGATCCATAGTAACAAATCAGGTCGACCAGTAATCCGAAATGGGTGACCCAGGACCAGCAGCGCCGCCATCAACGCGCCCATGCCGGATTGCTAACTGCTCCGGGGCCCGTGGGGACCCTGGGTATCAGATGCGCCGTCAAGCAACATATGGGCCTGTCGACTTTATTACGGGTGATTACCTGGCGGAGATGAATCTTGCCGAAAATGCGGAGAAACTGGCAAAGGGCCAGCATGATGGGTGGGAGCCAACGGCTTGGGATGGTCTCGAGCAAACAATTGATGTCATCAAGAACAAAAACATCAAAATTATCATTAATGGCGGCGCCCTCAACCCCAAGGGGCTGGCGCAAAAGACGCAGAAGCTTGCTAACGAGAAAGGACTGGACCTGAAGATTGCATATGTCTATGGCGACGATCTAATGGAAGAGGTCAAGACAGAGCTAGAGAAGACAGGCAAACTTCCTCCACACTTGGACAGTGAGAACGACAAAGTTTCATTAGCAGAGAACGCTGCAGCACTTCTTGACACAAAAGGCAAGCCCATCGTCAGCTCCAATGCTTACCTAGGGGCAAGAGCCATTGTCAGAGGCTTGGAGCTCGGCGCAGATGTCATCATCTGTGGTCGTGTAGCTGATGCATCGCCTGTTATCGGGGCAGCCTGGTATTGGCATCAATGGTCTGATACAGATTTTGATCGCCTGGCTGGGGCGTTGGTGGCCGGCCATTTGATAGAATGCTCGGCTTACGCAACGGGGTCCAACTTCTCTGGGTTTAATGAATACCCACTCGATACCTTCGTTGACCTGTCGTACGGCATTGCTGAGATTGCCGAAGATGGAACTTCGGTCATCACCAAGCATGAAAATACTAAAGGGCTGGTCAACGAAGACAATATCAAATGTCAATTCCTGTACGAGCTGCAGGGGGGCATCTACCTCAACAGCGACGTGTCAGCTGACACCTCAGGGATCAAGGTGGAACAAGTTGGGAAAAACAGAGTGAAGCTGTCCAACATTAAGGGCTATGCACCTCCGCCAACCACCAAGCTGGCCATTTTCTACCACGGTGGATATGAAGCACAGCTCTTGACCAACGCTACCGGATACGCAACGGCAGAAAAATGGCAGCTATTTGAAACACAAATGAGGACTGTACTCACCCAGAAGGGATTGATCGACAAGTTTCAATTGCTTGATTTCCAGGTCTTGGGAACTCCAGAACAGAATCCACGGTCGCAGTTCGCCAGCACGACATATGGGAGAGTGTTTGTGCAAGCTGATAGCGAGATGGCGGTGTATGGCTTGTTGAAAGCATGGAGCGAGATAGGGATGCATCACTTTTCAGGGTTCCACCTGTCGTTGGACACAAGAACGGCGTTACCACGGTCTTACCTCGCCTTCTATCCGGCGCTTTACCCTCAAGACAAGCTCAAAGAAGGCGTTGCAATTCTGTCGAAAGATGGCCAGGTTGCAGAGACTGCAGATGCGGGTCATCCTCCAAAATACCAGAAACTTGCACCAAGAGAAAATTACGAGACTGCTAGTCCCGTCGATCTGTCGTCGTTCGGACCAACCAAGAAAGCTCGGCTTGGGGACGTGTGTTTGGCCCGATCGGGTGATAAAGGAGCCAACATCAACTTTGGATTGTTTGTGCGAAAGGCGGACCAGTATCCATGGTTACAAAGCTTCATGACGAGATCCAGAATGCAAGAGCTGATCGGTGACGATTGGAGGGACGACTTCTTCGTTGAACGAATGGAATTTCCAAACATCTGGGCAGTCCATTTTGTGATCTATGGGCCTCTCGGACGAGGAGTCAGCAGCTGTCGCCTTTTGGACGCTCTGGGCAAGGGCTTTGCGGATTATATTCGTGATAAAGTCATTGAGGTACCAGAGCGGTTTCTGGCAGACATCGAGGAAGTCAAGACCCAGAGGAGATCAATGCTATAGGCCTGTACGATTTTTCATGTCACCAACATGACTGCCTCGTATTTCGTATACCAATTTTGCGTTCCATGAATATACGTAAACATCGATTTGTTGAATGATGTCGTTTGTGAATGCTTAGTCAGAAGATGATAGCAACCAACGCACCCACCATTGCTTTCGGGAAAGTGTCGGTAATTGGTGTCACTCATATGCAGACACATGAGTACGAGTGTGCAGTAGTAAACATACCAATGCGCCTCTCATACTGCTATAAGTTTGCCCCCTTATCAAGCTGAACACGTGGATCTTAAACAGGTCTCCATCATGAAAACCATCTGATAGGAGGAGGATATCCACAGCCTTGCTCCAAAGATAAGAAGTGGCCGACGCAAAGCTTTATGCCGAGGTTAGTCAGGCTACGCTAGTCCTGATATGGATTTATCGCCGTTCTTCCAAAATTTCCTACTTTGTTCAATGCGCGGCGTAAATCGCTCACAACGACTGTTACTTACTGCCATGAAAAGTCTTGATTTGAGCAAGCCTCGAGCCTCGAGCCTCGAGCCTCGGAGGTTCCAGTACTGCGGCCCAACTGCAAACTCTTAGTGATCAACATTGAACACGTCACTTGCGTGTTTGGTTTATCAGTCAGGCTAGGAGCGCATGTGATCGATTTGTGGCCCGAAGTGCACCATCCTTGACCATCTCCACCCAAGTGGAATTGGCAGATGGCAGACCACCAGCCTCGAGAGCATGTTAAAGAAATCTCCGTGAGTTGCAGGTTTGGATCATGTGTAAAACACACTCGTAGATTAGTAGTAACAATCGGCATGGCCGAGCGCAGCCTCTCTTATCCGGCTTTGCGGCACAGTGTGGTTTACCCAGGAGGTCCAGATTTGTGTCACTCGGCACGCACTATTATACTTCCGGAAAAGAGTTCGCCGGCAGTTGCCATGTATCCATGCCGATGATGTCGCCTCTCCTGAAGTGCGGACCCATAACCTCATCTAACTTTGCAAACGACGTGGACAATAAAAACATGGGCCCTGTGCCTAGTTCTTCTCAACGGACTTTATGTCTTTATCACGACACACTCCTAGAAAGTTGATGTTACGCGTAAAGCATCTTTTCCTTCAAAGATGGCAGTCAACGACGAGAAACTCGACCCTCCACCACCGCCCCTTTCACTGTTCCGGCTGGTTCTTGACCAGGCTCGCGTCACAGAAGAAGTCGTCGCCCATGAGTACGAAGGAGCTGGTACGACCGAAGACCCTTACATTGTCACATATATCCCTAACGACGCTGGCAATCCTTTCACCTGGACTCAGGGCCGGAGATGGTTCGTCACTGGAATCGTGGCTCTCGAAACCCTGTGCACAGCCTTCTGCTCCTCTGCCTTCTCTGGCACCATTCGTGAACTTCGAGTCGACCTAGGAGCGAGCAATCAACTCATTACTGCTGGTATATCACTTTTTGTCCTGGGCTTCGCGACTGGACCACTTATCTTTGCCCCACTGAGCGAGATCTATGGCCGACAAATCATTTTCACCATCAGCTTCGGAGCATTCACAGCGTTCAACGCGGGATGCGCCGCCGCCAACAATATAGGAACTCTCTTGGTGCTCCGTTTCTTCGCTGGAGCCTTTGGTTCATCTCCTCTTACCAATGCCGGAGGCGTCATCGCTGATGTTTTCCCTGCATCTCAACGGGGCCTTGCCATGGGCATTTTTGCGCTTGCTCCTTCCATGGGTCCCACGTTTTCGCCCTGGATTGCAGGTTTCTTGGGACAAAGTGAGGGCTGGCGATGGGTTATGGGCCTGTTGACAATCTTTTCAGGTGTCCTTTGGATTCTCGGCACCGTCTTCGTCCCCGAGACATATGGCCCCATTATTCTTCGAAAGAGAGTCGCCATCCTCGCGCAAAAAACCGGAAAGGTCTACGCATTGCAGGGCGATAAAGAGAAAGGTACTCCGTCATTAGGCGCGGTATTGAGCACTGCTCTTCTTCGCCCATGGATCTTGCTCTTCCGTGAGCCGATTGTCCTCCTGCTTTCGATCTACATTGCCATTGTTTACGGCACTCTGTATCTCCTTTTCGGGGCGTATCCAATCGTCTTCCAGCAAGTTAGAGGTTGGTCGGCCGGTATCGGGGGTCTTCCATTTCTAGGAGTTGCTGGCGGCATGATCATTGGTATCGTATTTATTGGATGGGCCAACAAGTGGTACATTGCCGCAGCCGAGGCGAACGGTGGAGTTGCCCCCCCAGAGGCAAGACTGCGACCGACCCTCTATGGCTCGTTTGCCATTCCAATCGGCATGTTCTGGTTTGCTTGGACCAACTCTCCTTCTATCCACTGGATCTCCCCAGTCCTTGCTGGAGCACCTTTTGGATTTGGGCTGAATATCGTCTTCCTGGGCATCACCAACTATCTGATCGACTCCTACACGATCTACGCGGCATCCGTCCTGGCAGCCAACACCGTACTTCGGTCGCTGTTTGGTGCGGCATTCCCCCTTTTCACCGCCGATATGTATAGTGCATTGGGAATTCATTGGGCTAGTTCGGTACCTGCCTTCCTGGCCCTGGCATGTGTGCCCTTCCCTTTCATTTTCTACAAATATGGAGCACAAATCCGTGCCCGATGCTTGTATTCTGCGCAAGCCGAAGCCGTTATGAACCAATTACGAGCCAAGAATGGCAATGCTATCAGGCAGGCTGAAGCAGAGGAGACTCCCGATCTTAGCAGAACCACAACGGGGGGCAGCAATGTCGGTGCTGACGGTGTCTTACAAGACACTGACGGAGAGTCTTTGAAGTCTCGAGCGACAAGACATTCCACCTCAGATACAATTACCCGAACACAATTGGCTCGCACGAGATCGCGTGCTGAGAGCATTCCAGAGGCTGCCCAATACAATGCCAGCCCTTACAACATTGACAGAGTTTATACCTCGACTTCAGTGGCTGGCCTTGAGCTTACGAGAACAAAGACAAACCGATCTCATGGTCGACGAGGCTAGCAGTCTACGCTGTTGGTCTTAATGATTTTGAATACTGCTGCATGGCGATGGCGTTGCGTCCCGAGGGGGGACTTGTACAACATCCTTCAATAGAATAGACTAGCGACTGATCGTGCATTTCATGGCGCACGTATGGGGTATATCAACGTATAAATAGTACAATTTGATCCCAAACTCATAAAATGTGCGTGACTTTCTTCCAAACACCATCCCAAACATCATGCAGCAACTCAACAGGACTTTCGATGCTATATGATGAGAACTGGCCAGCGAAGTCTAGCTCGTTGTATTCGTTCCCTAGTTGTCCACAGTTCGAGTTGTTGGTCAAGAACAGAGCTCCTGTCGACTCAGATGATGGTAATGGTCGAGGCTCGAGCGCTTCTTTCTGCTGATGAAAGTTAGCAAGCCGCGGCCCAACATCGTTCTATGATACCATTCAGCAATGACTTACCGAAGTCTCTTCTGCGTGAAGAACGTGAATGCCCTTCATTATTGGTATTGTGTGATAGATAGGTTTTGTAGATTGACTTTGGTGCCACAAAGTGACAGGTGAATGATTTGGTTGGTATTCTTGATTGGGTTGCTTTTTGGTCGTTGGTTGTTACTGATTAGCTTTCCTTGCAATCAAGGGGGTTGTCTCGCGAAGTATATGTGCATTGCAACATGCCGAGGTCACAAGACAAAAGTCCTTTGGACATTCGTAGAATCCTTGGTCAACACTGTCACATGCTGAGAAATTTCCATGTGCAGTGGTGGTATGATCAGGTCTATGACCATTCTGAGTAACAAGCACTTCGCTAGTCGGAGATGAGATCTCTAGAACCTACGGGTCGCGACTCACAGTTAGGGGAGCATGCTCTTCACCAATTAGCGACCGTGATTTCTTTATGGCGCCCATACCGCCCACGGTAATAGTTGTTGGGCCCTATCGGAGCTTTTGTCCTTTGCGGTTAGCCAGCACCCCGGGCGCAACTGAGCCTTATTACTCGTGCCTGTCACAGGCTCTCGGGCATCTGACGTAGGCCGAGGGGGCGCCTACGGAGTAGAACGTGGCCTCACCGGGAATGCCCCCGGGAGCTGGAACCTCGGAGAGAATATCCTGGCGATAAGGACTCCATCCAGTTAGGCCACCATGCCGCAAATGGCTCTGGTATCCTCATACGAAGTACGAAAAAAGCGTCTGTCTCTGAAACCTTTGCTCTTATAGATTTCCAAGTCAATGTTACAGGCTCAATATGTCCTAGCTGTTGAACGGTGGGTCTGTAGCGACGGGTACCTTAATGACCACAGCAATGGGTTTACGGTGGGGTCCAAGCATCAGTCGCGACTTGCCGGACCTTGCGAAAGGACCATTGGTATGATACTATTATCATTTGCCCCTCTGGAATAGCCGCAGCAGTAGAGACCTAACTGAGTGTAGATTTATGGACCTCAGATAGACCAATCGTTGCATAGAAGAGTTGGTATAGGACGGTTCGAAACATTACGGCGATCCATATGAGAGTCCTACATCCTCAAAGCGACTCACTTCAAGTCTCCTTTTAGTTACCTCGTTCAGTCATTGCTTTGACACGAGAAAACTAATGACTCACACCACAGACCCCTCTCTGACATCTACTTCATCTACTAGTACTTCAACGCTTCTTTGACAACGATATGAAGCCATGAGGCGCACCTTGCTCTATTTGCGCTTGGCAGGAGACCACTAGAGATCTCCAACCAGAGGGAGCTCTCTTCTCTCTCTACAACTCTTACAACTCATATTGAGCTACGAAATCCCGAAGAAGATTTGTTTGCTAAACTTGTCACTCAAGTACAACATCGCACAATCAATAACTGCTCTGAGCGTCAAACCACGAGCAAGATCTGTGTCTTCTCAGACGATTCCGAACGGTGTATCGAATGCCAAAACGCCCCCGGGCGACGTTGTACAGACCCTGTTGAGGACGAGGACACTGATCGGTTCCAAGCTGCGCTAGACAGCGTCAAGAGCCAGATTGACGAGATTTTGTCCCACAATCTCCCCAATTCAGATCTCTATCGATCACTGAAGGCCCGGCTGGAGCAAGAGAGTAATGCCACAGCAGCGTATACGGTGCACCTTGGCTCAACACCTCAGGATCAGACGCAATACGTCGCTCGTGTTGCCCATACGAACAGCACAAACGAGGAGGTTCAAAATTTTCATCAGAGCCTCATAGATGACAAAGCATACCAAGAACTCTTAGTACGTCGGCGAATGATGGAAGCATGTCTCGGCGAGCTACTCAGTCGCCGACTCTTCTACTTTGACGAGCTCGAGGCACTTATGGGACACCCGGAAAGGCGAGGGCTTAAAAGGGTCGAATAAATGGACCATGATGAATATCGTGAGGCGGTGGAATCGGCAGCCAAACATCCTGGCGCATGGCCGGATTTTCCTATCCTCGTCGGGATCCAGGAAATTGGATCTGACTCCGGAATTGAAGTTTAATGCTACCGAGCCACGTTGTTCAACATCTCTAATCACCTGGAACATCGAGCTGTTGTGGCCCTGATCGATGGTTATGTCCTATCTGAACGAGATCTAGAGCTTGAGTGAGAAGACACTCGGAGCAGACACTGATGAAACGATAGCTCGTTGGGAAAACGTTGGACTTTGACAGTATGAGATGTCGATGCGCTGGGCACTGACTGGTTCGCATCGGAACATTGCAAAAACACAATTGCTGTCTACGAGGGACATGGTTCACATGATGGAACCTCCTGTTATTATTATCGGGACACTCCAATTAGAAGTCATACTATCGGCCACTAGTCGTGGATAGTCGATGTTGCTATTGGAGTTGTGAGGTGAATAGAGTTCTAGAACGTTATAGAGTTCTAGAAGGTTATAAAGTTCCAGAACGTCCAGCCAGCCCGTATGCCTGGACCGCCCGTTTCAGTCGATCATTTGGATTTACTCAGCGGCGCACCGACCAACAGCTATGGCCACAATACTGAACCAAATTGTATGCACGTTCGATATTAGCAAACTCAATCCCTCGATGCGATAATTATAGGTCACAGTCAACGAAGCCGGTGGCGAATAGGCAGTGAATGGTAGAACGGGAGGACATACAAGAACTTAGGTCGTGTACGCTATAATGATTAGCCAGTAGAGTACAGATAGTTGTTCCATATCTTCTACACTCCATCCTGCTCTCTCGACGCCTTGTTGAAGATACTGTACTTGAGGAAAAATAAAAATGTTCTCCGAGATCTTCCTCGCCTGTGCCTTGGCTACAGGTGTACTGGGATGCGCTGATCACTCCAACCACTATGTGTACCGGAATGTGCGGCGAGACGTCCCATTCACCGAAGTGGATCCGGGCAGAGACTCCAACGACTGGACGTATGAAGCCTCTTCAAACTGGGGATATATCAATCCGAGTAAGTCATCTCCGTCTTGGAGTTGTATGTCAGAACTCCATGCTGATATTCGACCGGCACAGAATACTTCCTCTGCCAGAACGGCACTCAACAAGCTCCCGTCGGCCTGACGTCCACTCAAGGCTTCTCCGCGGTCCATAAACCGGAGTTCGGGAACTATTCGCAGAACGTCTCGGGCAACTACTTCAACTGGGGATACGGCCCAGCGTTCACACCTCATTATGACAAAGACAACGTGACTGAACTCCCCAGCATCACGTTCGACGGGGTCACAGCCTACATGGTCGGCTGGCACATACACACTCCTGCCGAGCACCCAGTCAACGGCAAACGCAGTATGGCGGAGATGCATTTCGTGCATGCCGACGCCGATAGTAACTATGTCGGTGTCCTGGCCTTCCGCATCGATCCTGCTGGAGATACGGACTCCCCGTTCGTGTCTCAGTGGCCGTGGTATATTGGCTTCAATGAGACGAAGCAGATAACCAATGTCAGCCAGGATCTCGACCTAGCGCTGAATGAGGTTGATTCATTTGACAATTTCTGGACTTATATGGGGGGCCTGACTGTTCCTCCTTGCTCCGAGGGCATTCGGTTCTTCATAGCGGACAAGGTCTTGACAGTTAGCAACAAGCAGATGCAGCGGATTATGGGCATGTCGGCTTACTCGACCCGCATTGAGCAGCAGATTTGGTTGCAGGGTGTCAATCAATAAGTGCCATAAGGTTGAAGAGAGAACGCACATAGAACACAGGAAAGTTGCAAGAGAGTCCTATACCATTTTTCGAGTGACTTCTGCTGCTTTGCCACATTTTCCACCTCCGTCACATTGTTGGGGTCTTCCTTAAGACGTTCATGTTAATGTAGGAGTGCATTTCATTAAGCTTTTCTTTCTTGGTATTTGCGGCCCGTAATTTCCACATATGATCCAATGTTGTGATTCAACAGATTCAACACTTGCGGGACTGTCGGTCATAGCTGAGTATGGCAAACTCCTCAACCAAGTAATGCCCAGACTGAAACGGCGAGTCAACCAAGTGCTCGAGACCACCAAGAAAAGTCCCGGCCTTGAATGATTTTTGTGTCCCTTTGCCAACAATTATACTCACTCAGGTTGTCAGCGAAAATCGTCCTAGGTCGCCGCCTTTAGGGCCGAAAATAAGTGCCAATGCCGATGAGGGGATTGCTGGACCAGCCTCGACTGACCACAATTGGATCCAAGGGCATTGGTACGGACTTGGCCTGAGATTTGCCCAGAGCGAAGTTCGGGTCTATTCTTGGCAACATACTCTGGGGTAGAACTCTGGGGTATGAGATTGAGATCTAACTAACATGTCTCCGGAGATCGCATCGACTTCTAGGGGGCATTGATGTTCGGGGTAATCATGCTCTGCTTCGCCGGCCGGTGCGAGGGTATAAGACCACCAATACTCTTCAATGAATCTCACGAGAATCCAGCATCTAGTTTTCGTCGAAGAAAGAACCTTAGCATCTAAAGAGTCAAAGATGGGCGCCACCATGACTGATATCGAAAAGGAACCTGTTGCCGCTGCGCACATAGATGCCACCAAACACACCGACGTCACGAATCAGGAGGTGGACATGTCGATCGTCGACGACCCGACCTTCCTCAAGGAGGAGAAGAAGGTTGTACTAAAGCAGGATCTCGTCATCATGCCTTGCCTTGCCCTTGGGTTGTTTTTCGCGTATTTGGTAAGTTGAAGTCTGTCGCCTAGTCCTTTGACCGACATCCCACTAAACGTGTAACTAGGATCGTGGAGCCATTGGGAACGCTCGAGTGCTAGGAATGCAGGACGAGTTGAACTTCACCCCTCAGCAGTTCTACAACTGCGTGATGATGTTCTGTGAGTATCTCAGTCTTGCAAATATTGGGTTTGCTTCTCTGGGTATGTACTGACAGATTTGACCAGATGTTGGCTATATGCTTTTCGACTTGCCTGCGGCACTGGCCCTTCGATATATCAAACCTCGATTCGTCATAGGCACTGCTTTGGTCGTTTTTGGCACACTGGCAGCATTGCTCGCAGTGGTCAAGTCATACGCAGCCATCATGGTGATCCGAGTCGGCATTGGATTGGGCGAGTGCTTCGTCAACGTTGCTTGGATATTTGCCAGTCAGTGGTATAAGCCTAGCGAGATGGGTCTCCGAGCCGGTACGTGGTGTTCCAGGTTTCCGGGCGTCCATGTTCACTATCTCATTGATTCTTTGACAGGACTCTTGTATTGTATGACTCCAATTGCAGGAGCTTTTAGCGGACTCATCGCCTATGCCATTGGTATTACGATGGAGGGGAGGAACGGACTCAACGCCTGGGAATGGCTTTTCATCGTTGAAGGCTGTATGACAGTCGGCTTCGGAATCGTCGTTTGGGTGGTATTCCAAGGCTTTCCCGAGGATGTTGCTAGAGAAGGAAGCTGGCTGTTCAGATCTCAAAGGGAACGTAACATCATACGGGCAAGGTTCAAGTTGTGTAAGTTATGCCTCCCCGTGTCGAGTATTTTGGTCGGTTTGTGGCTTTGTTGCAGGGGTGTGAGCACCAATACATCGTGGGGCCCCGCTTGAAGGCAACGGGCCTGCCTGATTTTACACGACAGAATTGTACTGACATGTCTTCTGCTAGCACAAAACATCGAAGGCGCTAAGGCTCGCTGGCATCTGTTTGTTCTCGCTCTCAAAGACCCGAAGATCTACGCAGGCTCCATGATTTTAGGGGCTCAGGGTGTTGGGATCGGGTCCTTTTCTGTCTTCCTCCCTACCTTTGTTCGAGAATTTGGCTTCGGTCGTCTCCAGACCCAACTCATCACTATTATCCCCTACTCGTTCGCCATTGTTGGTCTCTTCGGTCTGTCTTACCTTTCTGACAAGGTGCCTCGAAGAGCACCAATGGTGATCGCGCTACTCGGAACCACCGCTACCGGCTTCATCATCCTTCTCTCTACGACGAACACGATCGCATTGGTTGCTGGCTCCTGCTTTGTTGCGGGCGGTGCTTACCCGTGTCTTGTGATATCTGTCGCTTGGACCATCACATTGCACGGGGGTTATACGAAACGGGCCACCGCAACCACTGCGTCGAGCATCGTTATTCAAGGCCTCAGTATGGTTTCTTCTCAAGTCTACAGACACCCCCCAAGGTTCTTTCTGGGACACGGCTTCAGCCTGGGGGTCTACCTAGTTTCAATGTGCACAGCATATTGGCTATACCGACACGTCATCCGGGAGAATAGGAAGAGGGAGCAGACTAGGCAGGAGTGGGCGGCTCGCGGAGAGATCAACCCGTTGTCAAGCAAGACCTTTGAGGATCTTGGAGACTTTCACCCAGATTACAGATACACTCTCTAAGCTCAGAGAGGATTACTGCACGCTTTAGAAGCCCTACACGTCACTACAGCATCTGAGATGCGAAGTAGTTGTCTTACTCTTATAGCTTCCGTGGTATTCATGCCTCCTGTCATGACTGCTCAACTTGGAGCTTGTATTCATGATCTGAAAAGCTGTTTCTTATTATACTGACATTTCGAGTGAAATTCGGGTAAGGCTTGCTTCAATACTGATCCAGACCATCGTCCCCTCTACATCTCTCTAGAACACCATGCCCTTGACTTGATCAATCTTGGCGAGATTGATGTTCTTGATCAGAAGCACCCAGACCAGGGCAAGACCCATAATGCAGGTGCCCGCGATCAACATTCGCTGTTGTGCATAGGCGTATGCTTCCTGAATGCCGAGTCTTGCAGCAGAACCCCACTCATAGCTCAATTGGACGTCCAGACTGTTGTAGATATCCTCCAGATTGGCTTGCTCCTCCTCGGGAAGAAATCTCGCCAGTGCCTGGCCAAAGGTATTTGTCCAGATCGCGCCTGAAATTGTATTGCCAATGGCCCCGCCAATGTTACCAACGACGTAGAGCAAGGCAAGAACTGCAGCAACGTGTTGATGATCGGCCGCCGCCAGGACTGCCAACTGCTCGCAAATGATGATCACACTACCACCGATGGAGATGAAGATCTGACACATGACAAGGAAGCCGATGTTTTGGTGTGGACGGCGGAAATAGATCATCAACCCCTGTCCAAAGATGTATAGTGGCACGGCAATGAACAAAAGCCATCGGAAGTAACCGACTTTGCGGATGACAAAGCCAACACCGAGTAGAAGAACCCCAGAAACCACATCAAATGTGCTGCTCACGTAGCCAGCTTCAGAGATCGACAGGTCGTTGACCACTTGAAGAAATGAGGTAAAGTAGCTGGCCCAACAGTAATAACCGATCTGGTAGGTTCCACACAAGAGACAGCCACCAATGATGGTCCGGTTTGCGAGTAGGCTGGCTGTGAGGAATGGCTGTGGGGCAAGGTATGCTTCGTACAGTCCAAAAAGCACGAGCACAACAAAGCCGACAACAATCATGGCAATGATGTATCCGGTTGCCCATCCATTGGGTGCCGCGTCAGCTAGGGAAAATGGAAGCAGGAATACAACCAAGCCACTTGCGAACAAGAAAACACCAGGAGCTGTTGAGTGAGCTAGTGATCTAGAATGTAGAAACGAAGCACTTACCATCGAATTCTTTCGTGTAGTGCCAAATACTCTGTACGATGGTTCGATCAGTCTTGCGCCTGAGCAAAACCCCTTGCTTTTCTGCTTTCCGCAGATTCAACTTGAGGACGATGAACAAGGGAGCTGCAACGAATGGCAATATGATTGAGAAAGCACCGAATCCCCAGCGCCAGCTGATGTTGTCGTAAAAACCTTCTGAAGCTTTTGGACCAGCAAATGCCGTAATGATATATGGGGAAGAGGTGAAAGCAAATGCCAGCCCTCGATTCTTTAGCTTTGAAGCGTCGGAAGTGATGACATCAACGGAGTAGGTCATGCCTCCAAAACCGATTGTATAGAAGACCTGTGCCGCACAAAAGGTGTAAAGGCTGTTGCAAGATGCCATGAGGATCAAGCCTAGCGTTGCAAAGGCGACCATAATCAAGAAACCTTCTGCTCGTCCCCAGAGATCGAGTATTTTGGCGACGGGAATGTAGGTAGCGGCTGCCATACAATTTGACACAATGTAGATGACAGTGAGGAGGGAATGTTCTTCGAAATTGCTCGTCACGTATGGGGTCAAGTTACTGAGAATCGATGACTGAAAGGCATTGACAAAGTACAGTAGCCACATGCTAAGCAAGGATCAGCAATGGTGAGTAGGAGGTTGGAGGCTATGTACTTCACAAAGACCCAGATCAAAGACGTTTTGGTCCATGTCAGGGTTACGGCCTCCACCATTCTAACACCTCGTTGCGCATCTTCGTCCGGTAACTCAAGGGCCTGTTGGGCCTTCTCATCTGCAGCGACATCTGCATCAGGGCTGGGTTTACTGTCGGCGACATTTTCATTTGCCACATCACTGGCTGGATCTGGTGATGTGCTCTGGACGGACCGAAGAGCATTCGGTAGGAACCTGGAGATGGAGAATGTAGGCATTTTGGGAGGCTTGAAGAGATTCAAGAGCTTGGGCAACGAATAACTTCAAAAGATTGCAGCTAGCTGCGCGATAAAGATGGCGGTCCCATTGGACCTTATATCTGTGCGAACCTGTGGAGGTCGCTGGGACACGAGTGGGATCATGTTGCATTGGTATGAAGCAAAATCCTACCAGGGTCTCTGTTGGAGTCTCGTTTTCGTTACATGAGAGAAAGTCCACCAGATCAGCCTCTGGGGCAATGCTTCCGAAATCGGGCCCCTCTCATCAGATGTATTCACTTATAGCGACTTCTCCAGTGAATCTGATTCGCTTAGAGAGGGTGGGGGGAAAGAAATGCCAGACAAGCATGTGTGGATAGAAGTTGAAGAAGGCTTACTCTAGCTTGCCCACATGCGGCCTGGACCTTTGGAAGCTTGTTCAACCTAACCAATAATAAGATTAGATTAGATCAATCAGATAAAAATCTTGTCTTATCCCCACTTCGCGTGGTGGCGACGGAACTGGCACGACGGGATATACTGTAATGCCGGCGAATCTGCCGGGAAAGGTGACGAGGGCCATTCAGCCCGACTCTGCAGACATACCACATGTGACAATGCAGGCTTTTCCAATAAGCGAAGTCTTGTAACAGTGGTTGAATGGGTCATGAGATCCAAAAGTACCTACAAAGTCTCGCGGGTTTGCTTGCGATATCGTCGCCTTTATGTCTGCCTATAAGAAGAACAGAGCGGTTTATATATATAAAGGGTGACTGAATCTCGATTGACCATTAAGAAGCAGGATTGAGTTGAGAAAAGACGATGGAACCTAGTCCTCAACACCAAAAAAATGAGGCTAGTGAGGCAGATCCTGATGTCATGTGATCATACAACTATCCTTGGCGTTATGGCTTGGCATGTTTTCCAAGTTGGCTGGAACACATGGTTATGACGGTGTGCAGTTCAAAGCAGTCAGCAATCCACACCTGAGGTCCCAGATTCATACCTCAGTCACAATGGCAGATGATACGCGACCTGAAGAAGGGATTCAGACGGGGTTTCCCCAGTCGCCGTCGGCGTTTGATTCAGACGAACGTGTCTCCTTCTCCACGCTCGACGACAAATTCATCCTCGAAACGGCTGAGGGCAACGAATTCGAATGGGATACGGCATTAAGACGGTGGATACCAGTGGTAGGCTTGACCGCAATGCATGAATATTACCTCGCCCTCTGCAACCCTTAAGCTCTTGTCCAATGGAGTAGCCAGTCAGGATAGATTCTAACGCGCTGGATCGTCTTTGTTTCTACAGCTGGACCAGTCACTTCTGGACCAACAGGGCGAAATTTACAAGGTCGAAGGTGTGGACGAGAATGCAACCACGAATCCTAAGAAGAAGAGGAAGCAGGCCAACGGAGATGAGGTTAGTGTCTTTGATCTCGTTTGCGGACTCGTACTTACCGAATTCTAGTCGGGCAGCAAGCCCAAGAAAGCCCGAGTCAACACCGCGGTGTACGTAACTTCGATTCCTCTAGACGCCGATGAAGACGAGATCAATTCTACATTCTCCAAGTGTGGAGTCATCGCAGAAGAGATTGATTCAGGTCGACCACGGATCAAGATGTACGAAAATGACAAAGGAGACTTCAAAGGCGATGCGCTGGTGGTGTATTTCAGACCCGAGTCTGTCAATCTTGCGGTTCAGATGCTGGATGACACCGACTTTCGGCTGGGGCAGGAAGGCCCGTCAGGCAAGATGAGGGTCCAGGCTGCGGACTTTTCTTACAAGAGTCAACAAGAGGCTCCCGTCAAGACCAATAAGAAGGACCAGAAGAAGATTATCAAACGCACGCAGAAGATGATGAAGTACGCATGGAGTCCCCACTCGAACAGGGCCTGGGCTAACCAGTCGCAGCAAACTGACGGACTGGGATGATGATGATCCTGGAACACTGCAAGAGACAAGTTCACGATGGGACAAGGTTGTCATGTTAAAGCACATGTTTACCTTGCAGGAACTTGAGGTAAGTATAGCGAGATTGACATAGAGGTCATACTGATCTGTTGTAGGAGGATCCAGCCGCAATGCTAGAGATCAAAGAAGATATCCGAGAAGAATGTTCCAAATTGGGAGAAGTGACTAATGTTGTATTGTTTGACAAGGAAGAAGAAGGAATTGCCAGTATTCGCTTCACCAGTGCCGCAGCCGCCGCAGCATGTGTCCGAGTGAGTTACATGAATCTTGGATTGAACGGGCGCAACTAATTGAAAATAGGTTATGGACGGCCGGTGGTTCGACGAGAGGCAGCTCAGCGCCTCAATTGCTACAGGGAATGAGAAGTACAAAAAGTCCAGCGACAGGAGCATTGGCCTAGATGAAGATGAGGATGATGAAGAAAGCGGTCGACTGGACAAGTTTGGGGAATGGCTAGAGACGAAGAAGTGAGAGTTGGCCTCTAGGCACCTAGGAGAGACCACATTACTGGCAACCAATTGGCTTGAATTGGATGCCTCTAGAGGTGGGTTTGATGCTGTCCATGACATGTCAGAAAACCCATTCAACTAGTCCTCAAGACATGGTTTTTACCTGTGTAGATCAATGGCAATGCACATGACGATGAAAATTTGCTGCTTGACTGCAGGATTACCTACATGGGCAAATTTTAGTGGGTTCCCTTTAACTAGAAGTAGGGGTCCGGGGGCGACTCCCGGCTGGCCACCTGTGATGGCTTAACTAAACTCTAGCCTATAGGTCCCCTCGTCTCCACGTCGTTGCTTAAGAAGTAGTGATCGTGTGAAAAATGCAGGGACAGACCAATAGATAAGCTCCTCTTTCCTCTCCCCGCTTCTCTTATCGCCAGCCTTTCCCCTGCCCGCAGCTTTTTTTTTCGTCCCGCAAAAAGAGTCATTTTCCTCTTGTGACCGCCCTACTACGAGTACTACTACAACCTGGTCCTGGAAGTTCTCAATCTGTGTCACCGCCTTCATTCCCAATCCATATTTTTCTCGTCAGCAAAAAACGAGCCCCATCGATTGTCACCGGTCCTACTCTTTCGTCCCCCAAACCTCCCTCATTCACCTGACTCAATCATAATTTACCTATCCACAAGCTCCAATCATGCCTGAAAAGCAGCGAGTTTGTCTGGCCTACTCTGGTGGCCTCGATACCTCATGTATTCTTGCATGGCTGATCGAAAAGGGCTACGATGTCATTTGCTTCATGGCCAATATTGGACAAGAGGAGGACTTTGAAGCTGCCAAAGCAAAGGCCTTGAAGATTGGTGCAAAGGAGTGCTACGTTGAGGACGTGGTTGACGAGTTTGTCAAGGAGCTGTGCTTTCCTGCGATCCAGTGCAATGCCAGCTACGAAAACATCTACCTTCTTGGTACATCCCTCGCTCGACCAGTCATTGCCCGAGCCCAAGTTGCCGTTGCACAAAAGGAAGGTTGTCAATTCATCTCTCACGGTTGCACTGGCAAGGGTAACGATCAGGTCCGATTCGAGTTGGCCTTTTACGCCCTTCAACCCTCCATCCAGGTCATTGCTCCATGGCGAATTCCAGAATTCTACGAGACCTTCAAGGGCCGAAATGACCTGCTGGACTATGCTGCAAAGATGGGAATCCCTGTCACCTCCACCAAATCCAAGCCCTGGTCCATGGATGAGAATCTGGCCCACTGCAGTTACGAAGCTGGTATTCTAGAAGACCCAGACACCACCCCTCCTAGCGACATGTGGAAGTTGACAGCCGACCCCATTCTGTCTGCGCCCAACGAGCCTGAAGACCTTGTTATTGAGTTCGAGAAGGGTCGACCCGTCAAGCTCACCTCGCCCTCCACCGGCACCAAGACTACTCCAACTGAGATCTTCCTTGCTGCCAACGCCCTCGCCCGCAAGCATGGTGTCGGCCGAATCGACATTGTGGAGAACCGATTCATCGGTATCAAGTCACGAGGATGCTACGAAACCCCCGGCTTGACCGTCCTCCGCAACGCTCACATTGATCTCGAGGGTCTGACTCTGGACCGAGAAGTTCGTGCTCTACGAGATCAATTCGTCACTATCTCCTACTCCCGAGTTCTCTACAATGGACTCTACTTCTCGCCTGAACGCGAGTTCCTCGAGGCCAGCATTGTCGAGTCTCAAAAGAGCGTCAACGGACAGGTCCGAGTCCGCCTCTACAAGGGTAATACCATCATCCTTGGCCGAAGCAGCCAGACTGAGAAGCTGTACGATGAGAGCGAAAGCTCCATGGACGAGATTGGAAGCTTCGAGCCCAACGAGACCGGTGGCTTCATCAAGGTGCAAGCCATCCGACTCAAGAAGTACGGCCAAAGCAAAGCAGAAAAGGGTGAGAGGCTGTAGATGTTGTCGTTCAGCCAAACGACAAATCTTATACCTGGCCGTGGCTATTACTACGTAATGAGGGATTCTGGAAGAATCAAGGGCTTGGAGTCTTGCGATAGGAATAGGAACGATGGATGGGTGGAATGATTTTGTCTTGGGACAAATCACGTGGCTAAGTTGATGAAGTTTCTTGATTGCATAGCTACTCCACCCCATAAAATACAGTCGACCATAAAATCATGAAATGTAACTCATTACGTCTACCAGCCTGGGACCATACAAGACATCATTGTACACACTGCAACCAGGTCGCCATCGCTAAAATCATCCGACTCTATAGGCTTGGTTCTTTGCCCGGAGAACCGGCCCATATTTGTACAGGACAATAGGAATTGGGATCATCAGAGCAGCCAAGCAGCCGAGAAGTGTGCTGGCCCATTGCACTCCCATTCCCTTGTACTAATGAAACAGAAAATCAGCCACGTCAACTGGACCAGGTTAGGTATGTGGAAATGACACTTACCATATAAAACCCAAAAAGCGGAAAGACGCTTCCAAACAAGGAACGAAGAAAAGTATGTGCAGCGACCGCGGACGCAGGCCTATCGAGGTAGGTGATCAGTCAATGAGCGCGCGCGTGTGAAATGCCAACCAACAAGGGAAAACATACCTGTCTGCACGCGCTTGGATCAGATACGCGATAGACGGTACAAATGTACACACCAAGCCAAAACCCGTCAAGATGCCTGACAATGTGGGCACAATCCAATGGATATCGCGTCGATAACCGGTCCAACCATACCAGAACAGACCGATTGAAAAGGACACAGCGCCTGGCACAGCGACAGGGAGATTCCACTCTGGCATTAGGACTCCATTGTTTTCTTTAGTCTTACGCAGCATCCAAGGCTGCTGGAGGAAGATGGCCACAACGGCAAGTACCTGTCCGACAATGAGGCCGAGGTAGGGCAAACCACCCACACCTGGCGACATGCCATGGATCATTTGAAACACCACGGGGTATCCAATGAGGAACAGATACAGGAGACCATAGACGAATGATCCAAACAGACTCATCAACAGGACGATTGGGTCGGAAATGAGCATCGTGATAGGAAGACCGACGTATTCGACAAGTATGACGCGCAACGAGAGTGGCACAGCTTCATGCTCGGCGATGATTGACATGTTACCCGTCTCTTTTCGTATCGACGCGGCCTTTCTAGCCAGGATGACCGGCGCATATGTCTCCTTGAGAACGAATATCAGTGGCACCAAGGCCGCAGCTCCGAGAATGCCACAGAGATACTGTGTCCATTTCCAACCAAGGTGTTCATTCATGACGATGAAGCCGCCGACGGGTTGACCGACCACGGGGCCCATGAAGACCGTAAACGCGAACATGACCATGGATATACCGAACGACTTGCCCTCGAACATGTCGGCGTTGATCGGTCCAGCGAGAGTTAAAGGTCCAGCGCCGAAGAATCCCGCTAGGTATCGACAGATGAGGATTGAGGGAGTGTTTTTGGATACTGCGGTGCCGAATGAAAAGGCTGTGAATCCAAATACCGATATGATGAATGGTAGGTATCGTCCTTTGAGTTCCGAGAATGATGCCCATACCATAGGACCAAGGGCAAAGCCTAATACAAACAGAGAAACTCCGAGGGTTGCTACCTCTCGGTCGATTTGGTAAATGCGCATCAATGACGGAACTGCTGTTGCGAAGATGGCACTGGCGAATGTCACAATCATGGTTGCGTATGTCGTTAATGCGGCGATTGTGACTCTACCGATGATCGACATTTTGTGTCAGTTGGGGTTCACATGAAGACTAGACTCAGATGGGGGTTGGGATGTGGAAAAAGAGAAAGGGCAAGGGTTAGGTTGGTAGCCTACCTTTTACTCAGAGGCCATGTCCGTGGATTCAGACTATCCTTGTCATCAAAGTTGATATATTTGGACCCCTTTAACGACTGAGAGGCTCCATGTACTGTCACTGGAGACTCTGCTCCAGTGGAAGCCTCGACATCTTGGAAATCTTGCATCTTATGGTGACGGGATGGGATATCGATCAATAATAGGTAGGTAGTATTTCAAGACTTGATTGTTTCGCTCGTGCAATTAATTAAATTTTGTCGTATGAACTCAAGAACTCTCTCCCTCTCCCTCCTCGACAAACTGCAGTGAACCAGAGGATAATATACCATGAAATCTCCATGATCCAGAGACAACGGGCATGGAGCCACATCAATGGTTTCAATGGCTTTAAGGGACGGCGTCGGCGTCATGATTACTGAATAACGTCCGGGTGTGTGGTTCGTACTGGTTCGTAGTATGCCCTTCGTACTTCCTTGTCTGCCATGGTGTCTTGCAGCGGCTGGTAGATCCTCCGAAGTAAACCTCTAGAGTACTAGCATAAGGATTAGAACTTGGGCTGCGGCCGAAGCTGGAGTTTGGCCAGAGAAATGATTGCATGCATGTGTTCTGCTACGGCCGAGAGCGATGCCTCCGTGTGCGTGTCGTGTCGTCAGTAGCACGCCACTAGCTTCGCTTCTTTTTTCGTGCTGCCTTTAGAATATGGGAGATAATTTATTAGCCACGCAATTAATGGTCGTTGTTGCTGGAATTACTCGTTTGCCGTTTGGTTTGGTCCTCAGAGAGATGACAATGTTGCTTGGTCATGTCCGTTGAAAAGGCTTTCTGTTATTTCTGCTTTGGGTCAGCACCCGTGCTCGTTAGTGGGAGATACGATGCATGGATCTCGTGCTGCGAGTTCCTACAATATATCAAGAACGGAGATTTCATAGCTCTCTCCATAGATCGACTTGAAGGTAGGCGAGTAGCTGGCTACATGAACCTCGGATATGTTTGAACTCTCAAGCTTATAGCATTTAAACATGCTAGGCATGGAGTTTTGAGTACCCGTTGTGGCAAAAACGACCCTATTCATGAATCACTATCCGCAGGTTTGAATAGGCTCATTTGGTGCTTCAGCGTCATGCCGACCTCCTAGTAAGGGACAGAAAGTACCTGAGGCTGCATCCCAGATTCGCGGTGTGTCAACAAGATCTTCCCAGGGAGGTGGCTTAGAAATGTAAGCGTTCAACAGCATGCGACTTCGAGAAGCCGCCGCAAGAACATGCCTATCCTTCATCTTTTCAGACTCCTGTAGGACAACCATTTGTTGCTTGCTAACGTCGGAGAACCCACATCTGAAGCGCCGACCGTCGATGGCCACGACTGTAGCGTGGATTGGCAGGCTCATGTCCTCCAACAAATGCTTCACGCGACGCAGACCACGAAGAGATATGGCCCGGAGAGCACTATACGACCTCTCTGAGAGGACATATGAGGGTCGATATTGCCGATCCTTGCCAAGCACCTGACAACGACTGGGAGGACCGGAAATGCGTAGCGGGTGTGGATTCTCCGTGATCTGTAGCAGACAACAGAAAGACCTCGTTAATGATACCGCATCAGCACGAGTGTCACGGGGAACCGCACTCCTGTCACCAGACAGATGACCAGTGCAGACATGGATCGAAAATTAGATACCGGTTCATTCCATGATAGATACTTGCAATTCGCCATGAAAGGTGTGGCACCTCAGTTCTCAGGATGGTATGAAACCGGAAACTATTCAGGGTGGACCGTTTCGACAATGTGAGTAATTTCGGTCGCAGGAATGTGGCTTGGACATGTAGAAAACTGTGTTATATTCGTCATCAGCTTGCGCTCGATGGGCTATTTATGCATCTCGTAACAGTCGTAAGAATGGCGGTATTGGTGACCAGACCTTCCGCATGTTTCAGGACTCCTCGAATGAGTCCTCTTCGCTAGAGTTGGTCAAGCTCAGGTAAGCCGTCCATGCAATTCCAACAGTACTCACAAAAGGGATCTGGAATTGGAGTGGCATGACGCGGAAGTTGAGGATCTGAACGGCAGGCCAGAGGATGTAGTTGGCCCTCAAGGTTGGAAGATAGACATCTTTAAATTTCCTTATGACGTCTCTTCGTCCACCTCCTTCTGCGACAGTCATAAAGGTGAAGAAGCATGAGAGACCGATGGGGGCGAATATCAATTGGTCCATAGCGACTCTCTTCAGGGCAGGAATGGTGGCGCTCTTGGAGGTTAAGGGAAACCATTTGGTCAGGCGGCCGAACCATACGAATTGGACTGGAGCCATCAGAAAGCCGTAAGACATGAATCTGGTCAGGCGTTCAAAGTCGAATGGTTGTGGTCCGACGGATCGAGGAGACAGGGTGGGAGACAGCCTGGCAGGCTTTTCGTTGAGATCTTCTAACTCAACGCCAGAGGATATCCAGGACCTCGAATCATCGTTGGCGGGTAGGAGGGCCTGTCGGGCACGAAAAGCGGTGATTGATTGAGCCACGGTATCGGCAATCCCTCCGAGAACCTATACGACATCAGACTGCGAGACAGGGAGGGGTGGGAATTGTAGGCATACAGCGTTGGTAACCATAGTGGTTAAGACGGGTTTCTGGGCATAATAAGAGTTGAACTTTGCAACGAGTCGAGCGGCCATGAGGAGCTCAATGAAGAAGATGATGGCGTGTAGGAGGGGCTATTGAGGACAAAGGTCAGTGTTGGGACATGCCACGCGGGAGGTCGAGTGACCTGAAACAAGGTCACTACAGACGACATACAATTCTGCCATATATAAATGTACAGTTGAGCCAGGCCAGATAACTTCGTCTTGAAGGTTCAAGCATGGTCAATGGATGTTGAGGTGAAGATGGGGATGAGAACTCGGTAAGTGTTGAAGGATGATGTCGAGATTTTGAGGTGATGGAGGGTCGGTGACGACAGAGGCGAGGATCAGGCGCAGGCAACAAGAAGCGGCATGGAGTGGCAGGTGGGCGTTCGTTGGGAGTGAAGCGTCTTTCTAGGGTTGGTCGCCAGTCACTGATATATTGGAACTATGCTACCGTGTGTCACACTCGCTGGTAGATGTGTTGTAGTTGAAGCACTGATCGTCGATACATTGAGGTGGAAGTTGAAGCCAAAGATGTGAGGTGGAAGATCGAAGGACAATAGGCTGTAAGAAAGAGAGAAAGGCTGCGGCGGCGTGGCGGCTTGGATGATGATTGGCATGGAGCAGCCAACCGAGTGGATGAAGCGAGCACAAAAGGCTTGGATGGAGGAGGCTGGAACCCGTGATCAGCAAATATATTGGCGGGGAATGCCTGAAAGGGCCACGAGCGGCCTCTCGGGCCAACATTGGCTAGCCTCCTAGGCGCTCCTCTCATGGGTTTCAGGGTGGCCATCTGTCCATGGAGTGCATAACTCAGGTACCTATAATTGTTCTCTCTTCCTTTTAGTCGCTCTCTAGGTGTCCCCCTAGGTGGCTCCTGCAGGCTCTAGCCAGTGCTCACTCCGACCTCGCACCGTGCAACCTCATCCTTTCAGATCTCACATGTCTGGGCAGGCACCAGGGAACAGCAAAGTTGATAAATGCCTTCTCGGCTTTCCATGCCCATTCATGTAGGTAGGTACATGATAACATCCAACCATTCCTATGACCAACGAGGTGAGCTGCTGCAAATTTTCCAAGAGATTTGTCTGGTCAGCCAAAAAAGCAATACCCTAAAGAAAGTCGTGTCATGCCACTGTTGCATCCCAACTTTCATGAGCGTGCTGAGTGAGGTGAGCATGATTGATTGATTGATTTTGCTTGAGACAAGTCTCTTAGCAAGTTGCATGTGCAAGCAACCGGAAGCACGATGGACATCGATGCAGCAAATGCCCTCCATGTTCTCAGGCTTTTAGGGGCCTCGAATGGGAATCTTTGGGGCCGAGGGGGCCCGGACGCCCCTCCTTTGGCTAAAAAAAAGCCGCCCCTCCCTCCCCCAACAACGTCAGTCACGCCTGCTTCCGGTTGCTCCTCTTGCTGCCCCACCTGCCCACCAGCCCACCAACGTGCGTGAAGCTTTGCCAGATCCTCCCGATTCAACCCCTCCATAACACAGTCCCAAGCCGCAGTCCTTGTTACGCATTCAAAGCCTCAACAGACCCCGATCTCTTTTCGTTGCTCAATTTATTTCTATTTTCTTCTCTAGAAACCAATCTTTCGCACTCTATATTCCTACTCACAATTCACCATGTCTCTCTCCAACAAACTCAGCATCAGCGACCTTGATCTCAAGGACAAGCGTGTCTTTATCCGGGTGCGAACAAATGTTGAGACTGAGCCGCTGTTCACATTCCACTGACTCTTCTCCCAGGTCGATTTCAATGTCCCTCTAGACTCGGAAAAGAAGGTCACCAACACCCAGAGAATAGCTGGCGCCATTCCCACCATCAAGTATGCTGTCGAAAACGGTGCAAAGGCCGTTGTCCTGGCGTCCCATCTCGGCAGGCCCGATGGCAAGGCCAACCCCAAATATAGCTTGAAGCCCGTTGTCCCCGAGCTCGAGAAGCTTCTTGGAAAGAGTGTAACATTTGCCAACGATTGTGTGGGCCCCGAGGTTGAGGAGATTGTCAACAAGGCTTCCGGCGGACAGGTCATCCTTCTTGAAAACCTCCGTTTCCACGCTGAAGAGGAAGGCAGTAGCAAAGATGCTGAGGGCAAGAAGGTCAAGGCAGACAAGGCAGATGTGGAAAAGTTCCGTGCCGGCTTGACTGCCTTGGCTGATGTCTATGTCAACGACGCTTTTGGGACTGCTCACCGTGGTCACAGCTCCATGGTCGGTGTCAATCTACCCCAAAAGGCTGCCGGCTTCCTGGTCAAGAAGGAGCTCGATTATTTCGCCCAAGCTCTCGAAAACCCCAAGAGACCATTTTTGGCCATCCTCGGTGGTGCCAAGGTCTCGGACAAGATTCAGCTCATTGACAACCTGCTCGGAAAGGTAAACATGCTGATCATCACGGGTGCCATGGCTTTCACATTCAAGAAAACCCTTGAAGGCGTCAAGATTGGCAACAGCTTGTTCGACCAGGCTGGAAGTGAAAAGGTTGAGGGCATTGTGGCAAAGGCGAAAGAGAGCAATGTCAAGATCATCCTCCCCGTCGACTACATCACTGCCGACAAATTTGGCGCGGATGCGCAAACGGGCTATGCTACTGATGCCGATGGCATTCCTGATGGCTGGTTGGGTCTCGACGTGGGCAAGAAGAGTGTGGAGCTGTATAAAGAGGCGATCGGCGAGGCCCAGACCATCCTCTGGAACGGTCCTCCGGGTGTTTTTGAAATTGAAAAGTTTGCCAGCGGCACTAAGGACACTTTGGATGCTGCCGTGGCAGCGGCGCAAAGCGGCAAGGTGGTCATCATCGGAGGTGGAGACACGGCCACAGTGGCAGCCAAATATGGAGTCGAGGACAAGTTGAGCCATGTGTCGACTGGAGGCGGTGCCTCCCTGGAGCTTCTTGAAGGCAAGGACTTACCGGGGGTGTCTGCTCTGTCCAGCAAGTTGTAACCTGGTGTTTCAATGCGGGAAGAGTGAAATTCAGTCAAGCGAGCGCGTATCCAAACCCCGAACCTATGACGAGCAAGAAGAAAGTCACATAAGTCTCGCTGTATGATAGTTTTAACGAGTTGCAGTTGCCGACCCAGGAAACCTTTCGGACCTGACTAGTGCAATATCTCTATGGCCTCAATAAACCCAAGAACGCCGTGCACAATGCAACTTGATTTGACCTTTGGTGATGTAGACGAAAGCCTATTTATTTCCTTCGACCTTTTTAAGCTCCTCTCTGGTATGCGTGGTCAGTGGTCGTGGCTAGGAACGGAGTGTGGGAGAGGTACTTTAATTGCTTGCTGAAGTCTTCGTTCTCGTCATCATCGTCCCAACTCTCCTCCCATAGATGTGAGGAGCCACCGGGCACTTCAGTATCTTCTTGCGACCAATCTGCACCGGAGCCACTGTCAGCAATGTGTACACAATCTTGGGATTCTCGTCAGCCTAGGGTAGCAGGCATAGAACGCACCCTCAACAGGAAAGTCCTCAAACTCATCATCCTCCTCCAGCAGAGCGGGGGCTTGATTTGCGGTCGTCTTGGATGTCTGTGAGACGTCGGCTTCATTGTTCTCCGAAGGTTGCAGTTTGCTCATGGGCGCGGTCGAAGACATGTTGGTGATGAGGGGGGATGGAGTAGCAGAAGCAGCTGTTAGAAGACTGCGGGTTTGAGGTCGACGAAGGCAACGGAGGAGGGCTAACACCGAAGGAAATGATTGAGGAGGGAATTATGGCTATCGTAGACACCAGATTGTGTCGGATTTGCTGCAATATTGGCGAGATTGATTCGTTGTGCAGGAAGTCGTCAACAGAGGTCGCCTGGAGAGTGAACAATGTGTCTCGATTGGATGAGTGTTCAGTCGCAGTCTCGTGGTGATTGCGGCTCGGAAAAACTTGACTGCCGAGTGGCCAACCTCGAGGGCATCTGCGGAGTATGTACATGAATTGTCCAATCGTGCCAATACACTACACAAGAAACTCACCGGGCTTAGAATTCACGTGGCCTAATGATCTGAGGCATCTGTCCGCATTCAGCTTCAGAGAGAATTAGGCTATACAGACGTTGATGAGCGACAATTTTGAGTTCTGCCGGGCAGACATCAGTCTACAAGCCATGTTGCGGCAGTTAACTATTAGCCACAATGCCACTTGCAACGTATGCTTGCCCTGAAACCCAACCCTTACATAGCACAATGTGACCATTCCTCAGGTCCCCTGTATCTCCTTAATGAGAGAGACAAAACATATGGAGTGACTCTTGGTACATGATTCAAGAAGGACCAGAAACGTTGGTTGGTCCTGCCTTACAAGAGAGAGTTTATGCACCGCCACATGCCTCGCAACTAAAATCTCCCCTTTATCTTGGCCCTTCGCCCGTAAGGCTTTCTAGGCGTGCTAGGTCTCTGTTAACCGCGGGCGCCACACTCACCCCACGTCCCTCGAGCCTCATTCGTACCTCATTCGTACCCAGATCCCGTCTGCGCCTCACTCCAAATCCAAGTTCCTGCCACGACTGACGACGTGCAGACAGGCAGACCATTTAATGATTCTCAGTGTCACTACACCAATACCACTTCACCATCTCAACCATGACTCTGGCCTCATTACTGTAAGCCTCTTGTGATAGAGACTCATCCTCTCTTCTCTCTCGACATCTTCTTCAGCCAGATCCTCTTTCCATCTTGCTCTGATCTTACCCTTGGTCGCTCCACCGCCTTGCTTGATCAACTGATAATCTCAAACGTGTACCTCACATCCACCTGGCATATCGATACCATGCCCAGTGAACGCTGTCATCACTCCATCATTTCCCTTTGAAAGCTCATCTTCAGGGCTAATCATGGTCGCCCGAAAGACCGACCATCCTCTCTCCCCCAATACCTCGGATCAACCCGCTTTCGCCAACTACGATCCCCTCCATGAACAGAATCTCTTCTCCAATTCCTCTCATCCCCCATACCACCAACCCTACCAGGACCAAGTAAATCCATGGTCCGATGCTCCCAGCCATGACCTCTCTTCCGATCGTCCTGTCCCAGACATCCTAAGACCTGGCTCACGCACTCCCGAGACCCGTCCCACGCAACCCCACGTCTCCCTAAGCAATGTTCCAGACGTTCTACGGTCCGCGAACACCGGCCAAAGTCGAGATACCCCGAGATCTTCATTCGAAAGTGATCGCTCGAGAGGCTTTTGGGAGGACTCGGATGATGAACAAGGCCAAAAAAGCCCAAAGAAGAATAGGAGCCCTCAGCGCTCCTTTCTGCCCGAGATAACCACCGGCAATCCCAGCGAGCCCTGGATAGCCATTGATCCACCAGAAAAATCTCCCGGAATCAAGAGGAAGCCAGTGGGCCTTTCGCAATCTCAGCTATCAGAGACCAGACTTGACCAACCTTCCCCCTCGGCCTTTGCATCCAACAATCCCTTTCGCAGACTATCCCAGACCAGTGCCACAGATCTTGTTCACGAGGCACCGGACTGGGGACAGGATACCAAGGGCAAAGCACCAGCTCGACAGCACTCCGATGCCCAACTCACTGACCATTTTCAAGATCTCAATATTGGAGTCAGTCAGCCCTTCAATCCTTCCTTCTCCCAGTTGGCCCCAGATAGTCATCTTGCTCAACCTGCTCAACCCGCACCTCCCATGCCTCAGGCCGCCCCTCCTCCGCCTCCGCCTATGAATGGGCCCCCATCACCATTCAGCCAACAACCTCCACTCATACCCGTCATCACTCCCCAGCAGGACTTGACCGAAAGTCCCTGGGCCGTCCCTCCACGGGTCGAGGATTCAACCCCATCCCCTATTCCCTTCGCCCCGTCTCAGAAGCAACCTTCTATGTATAATGATAACTTATTGGATCGAGGCCAGCAGAACGGCACAGTCTCCCTTCAAAATGAACTTTCCACCATCCCCAACGCTGCCACTACCACTGCCGCTTCGTCATTTCCGGATGAGCCTTCTTTGCTCGAGGATGAGGATGACATCGGACCTCCGCTACCGATTCGTCCCAACCAGAGACCCAATACTGAATACTTTGAACCTCCAGAAGGGCCGCCGCCGCCAAAACCCCCTCGTCCAACCATTAGGACCACTGGCCCCTCGTCGGATGACCTAGCCAAGATGCGCGAACAGAGAAACGAAACATACCAGGTCAAGCATTTCAATTGGTTTGACCACAACTCTCGTCGATTGCGAACCTCATCCATGTTGACCCAGAATAAGAATGGTCCCTGTCCTTTACTCGCGCTGGTCAACGCCTTGATCTTGGGAGCCAAAGACGAATCCCAGGCGTCTCTCGACGATGCTCTTCGTTCTCGAGAGCAAGTCACTCTGGGTCTCATCATTGAAACATTGATGGATGAACTTCTCTCGCGAGGCATGGAGTCAGTCGGAGAGGTACTTCCCGATGTCGACGAGCTAAACGCCTTCCTACTGCGTCTCCGGACCGGCATGAACGCCAACCCACGATTCGTCGCTCCGGTTGATCCTCCTGTCAACCTCATGGATGCAGATGATGCCATGATCAACATGCCCCAGCAGCGGCGAGCACAACTCCAGCGAGGAGGTTTCGAAAGCACCATCGACATGAAACTCTACGGCGCGTTCAATGTGCCACTGGTCCATGGCTGGCTGCCTGACCCAGGCTCAGATGCTGAAAAGGCTTTCCGGCATTCAGCCCCGACCTATGAAGACGCCCAGGCCCTCCAATTCGGCGAAGAAGAGCTCGAATACAAACTCACCAATTCGAGCTTGACTGCTGATGAACAAAACATGTGGCAGAACATTCAATCCATCAAGGCATTTTTAAGCAGTTACCCTACGCAACTGACTCCAAGCGGGCTGAAAGCCGTCCAGTCGTCGATTCCCTCGGGCTCCTTTGCCATCATGTTCCGCAATGACCATTTCAGCACCATTTACAAGCACCCAGAAAGTGGACAACTATTTACACTCATCACAGATGCTGGATATGCAGACCGGGACGAGATCATTTGGGAGAGTTTGGTCGACATCAGTGGCAGTAGCAATGAATTTTTCTCCGGAGACTTTATGCCCGTCAGCCACAACAGTGGAGGAGGTGACACCTCATCCATACATCCCAGTGCTCGCCGGACCTCACAGTTTTTGTCGGCCAACGAGCAGACCCCAGGGCCAATGTCCCCTCAGGAACGACAAGAACAGCATGATGCTGATTTTGCCATGGCACTGCAACTGCAGGAGGAAGAAGAACAACGCCAACGTGCTGAGAGAAATCGACGAAGAAGTGGAACGACCCCAGCGAGCAATACGGGCGCTGGTAACACGCCGGGTAATACGCGAAGGCAGTCAGGCAATATACCAATTCCTCTCCGGTCTCAAGCGGAAGCACGGCCTTCGATCCCACCGCGAGTGTCGAGGGCGAACATCCCGGCGGTAAATCGGCCAGCTGATGCTGATAGCGAGGATGCACCTCCCGCGTACGAGGAGGCTGCCAAAGGAGCTCCTTATATTCCACCGGTTGGCAGTCCACTGCACCCTCATGCGGACCCAAGCCCGATGAACTCACAGGCGCAACTCACAGGAACCATCAGCAATACATCACACTCCGGCGCGGATGGACATCCCCCTGGACCGCATGCACCTCCAACTGCTGGACCCAGTTCCGGGGCAGGTCGTCGTCCGACGGGGCGAAGGACAAGTGCATATCACGAGCAGAGTCAGCAGCAGTATTCGATGCCACAGAGAACTTATGGATTAAATGTGGCACAGCAACCTATGGCATATCCCGGACCTTCTAGGAGGAAAGAGGACCGAGATTGCATTGTAATGTGAGAAGAAGATGAAATGGCCACGCATAAATCATGCTCTAATAAGGCCTTTGGAAGCCATGACGAGGTGACTTGAGGGCGTGTGAGGAATTTGTTTCTTGGGTCCGCGTCCATGGCTCAGTAAGTCGATAGAGGTTTCATGGGACCACAACTCGATGTAAATGTAATTTGGATGAGGAATGATTCATGATTTGACAAGAGCAACAATACCTATACACAGTGGGTGTCTGCTGTGTATTCCAGACCTCATCCATATCTAGAGGGGCGGATTGATTTCTTGACTGAGCCTTGCCACGGGAACGTATCAGGGCATCTACACATGCATCCTACGCCTTATCATAGACCCTATAGGTATTTACTTATGTAAACCCGACGGCCCCTCGGCCCCTTCGTAGGCAATTCTCTAAGGGCTACTTGGGTACTTGAGGCACTCCCAGAGGGACTTGTAGAGGGACTCTCTCCAAGGCACCCTTCACACAGAGAGAGGACCATTGAGAGAACTAATATATGGACGGCACCCTTGGGAGAATGACCTCAGAGAAATACCAAGGCACCCTCCATATGGCACTTCTCTTAAGTGCACTCTCTCCGAGGCACCTACCATCAAGTACTTCTCTTCAAGGTTCTCTCTTCAGGGCACTCTCCATATGGCGCTCCCATTAGGAATAGAATATAGAGCAGGAGGGTCCCTAGCACAAAGGTTACTGTCTCAGGTATTCACTCCTTAATAGGTTTCGTAACAAGATAGACTTAGAGCATGGAAATATCATGACGGATGTGCCGTATATGCTGCCGTTGATTTTTGTGCCCCTTATCTCACCTCCCATGACCTTTCTTTCTATACTTGCAACTCACAATGCCAGAGCCTCATTTGGCCCAGTAGGGACATGCTCCTTCTTCAGCTTAGCCTCCCACTGTTTATTCTCACTTGCATGGACAGCGTGCTCTTTGGCTCGCGCAGCAAGCTCCTTTTTAGAGGGGTCCGTCGTCGTTTCACCACTGCCAACGGCATTCACTCGACCAGTCAAGATGCCCCTCAATACATCTGCCACAGCATCACCGACTTGTTTGGTCGTCGACTTGCCACCGAGATCCCCCGTTCTGATTTCCAATCCTCCAATATCTTTGCCGTCTAGAACCTTTTCCACCGCCTGTTCAATAGCAAGAGCATCCTCTCCGAGCCCGAAACTGTATCTCAGCATCAATGCAGCGGATAGAATCTGGGCTGTGGGATTCACAATTCCTTTGCCAGATATATCTGGCGCTGAGCCATGGGTTGGCTCATAGATTCCATTGCATTTCCCTCCATCTGGAACTCCACAGATAGAGGCACTAGGAAGAACTCCCAGAGTACCCACCACACCACCTGCTTGGTCTGAAAGCATATCGCCGAATGTATTGTCAGTATGAATCACCCCATTGAACATCTTAGGATCTTTGACCATCAGCATCGACAAGGAATCAGCCAATTGATGCTTCAATTCAACATCAGGAAATTCATCTTTGAAGACCTGACTCGTCACTTTTCTCCACAATCGTCCACTTGCCAATACATTCGCCTTATCACTCGACCAAACAGTCGCTGGGCCAGCGGCACATTTCCCAGTACCCAGTCCATCTTTCCCCATTGTGCGAGCCAACGCTGCAGCAACTCGAGATGCCCTCACGATCTCGTCCTGGGAATAGGCCCATGAATCAGAAGCATAGTCGTCCCGTTCGACCTTTTCGCCAAAATACGCTCCACCACAGTTTTCACGAAGCACGATGAAGTTTGTGCCGGTGGCTATCTCGGGCTTAAGTGGTGAAAGTGGCACGAGGGATCGTGAATAGAATGTACAAGGGCGGATGTTGGCAAAGGCATCGAGATGGCGACGGAGTCGGAGGAGGCCGGATTCAGGGTTGGGATAGGCAGTGCCCCTATATTTGGAGATAGGGTTGTTTGTGTCAGTTGCGTAGATTCAATGTATGCTCTCGAACCCCGGTTTAGGTGAGCTGAGCTCAGTCGAGGAGAAGTAGAAGAAGCAAGCAAGCAAGCAAGCAAGCAGACTCACCACTCAGGTCCACCTACACTACCGAACAAAACAGCATCACTTTCCTCCTTTGCAATTCTCAAGACCTCATCGGTGATAGGGGTTTTGTGTTTATCGATACTCGAGCCACCGGCGATTTGATGATTATATTGGAACCTGACATTTGATGGGGAGAATTGTTGGACGATGTCAAGGACTTTCAGGGCTTCGGTCATGACTTCTGGCCCGACATGGTCGCCGGCGATGACGAGGACGCGGAATGTTTGAGGTGATGACATGATTGGAGCTGGTATTTTGGTTTGAGGTTTGATTTGAATGGCCTACTCGTCAAAAACGATTGATATATCCAGAGACACAGGAGGAGCTGCCAGCGTCTGCAGAAAGTTGTCTCGACGACGTTTAGTTGTACATTCAACCTTGGATTCAAGCCGTCTTCGTTCTCAACGTCTAATTGCGTAGATAGACCTTAGATGTCAAATAATCAAGTAGGTACGTAGTTGGTGGGCTTTGATATGTTGTTCATATCTTCAAGGTTGATCATCTACGTTTACAACAAGTCTATTTATTCTCTTCTTTCTCCTCACGCATTCACGGACAACTGCCCCAATAGCATGGGGTATGACACCGACACCGGGGCTAGAGAAGTATGAACGCCTCTCGGCCCCTCTCTCACCCCACGATCGCGGGTTAATAGCGACCGAACTTGCCCCTCAGCACGTTTGGAGTTGGAGTTGGCATTTGGAGAAACAGGATGATAACAGGATGATGCGTAGGGGGGACAGATGGGTGTAATAATGATCGCCTCATACGTGAATATGCTCCAATCCTTCGTCTCCGATTACGGAAGTAATACGGAAGTAAGACAGGCAGCAGGGAGTAATATACAAGTAATACATCGGGACATGTCCAGTATACCTACATGCCCGCCATCCCACTCCTTAACAATTCTACACTGTCAAGTCACATGATAGCCTAATCATCCCCATAGGAATGCCCGAGTCTACCCTACAAATACCTCTAGAAGTGAGGAGTATCCCAGAGAGAAGTTGTCATGCACGAGGCTGATAGAAAGGATATCACCCAACCTAGGAGAGTCGCCTAAATAAGCAGAGCTTGCCTACCATGGCAGCTGTATTTGTGCCTCGATCGATGAGGAAGAATCAGAGTCAAATATCAACCACGTGCAATGTCACTGGCTCTTGCCCATGACTTCCAAGACCACCGCATTCTGGATGGGCGGCGTGTAATTAGAATAAATCATGCTAACACTGTCATAAAGGCTAATCTTCATGCAAATAATTCGTCTCTATGACTTTTGGCAGATCAGACATCAAGTTTACAAAAGCGCAACGGCGCCAAGAACTGCAGCACCGATAACACCCCAACCAGCGGTGAGCATATTGGCGTAGTTTCCAGTTTCTGCGGGCGCAGCGCTTTCTGTGGCCGAAGCCGTGGACGAAGGGGCAGAGTCGGTGCTAGATGCGCTGGCGCTGGAATCACCGTGTCCATCGTGGTCTTCGGTAGTTTCGTTGGCATTGGTGTACACATCAGCTGCTAGAGGGACGGCAGAGATGCCTGTTCCATTTGTGCATGATGATGGAGTTTCGGGCTCTGTTGATGTAAAAGTAATATCGGCACACTAGAATGAAATGTCAGTATCGTGTGGGAAATGAAGAGATTGAACATATCGGGCTCATACGTTGTAAAGACCGCCACCGCTGTGGGCGTTGGTGATGACTTGAATGGTTCCATTTGTACCATCAGTGATGTTGAGGTCGGAAGGAATCTCCACGTTAGGCAAGCAGAAGTCTCCAGGGCCAAATTCTTGAATCGTGGGCAGGATAACGTGTTGGAAGTTGTCCCCCTCGTCGCCAATAGAAAGTACGATTTGGAACAGGTTCTCGGTGTGGCCGAGCTCGACTGAGACAGGGAAACCAGTCAGTGAGACACTGGTTCGTTCGGAAACAGAGTCATGGCCACCACATGGCCACGTTCCTTGGTTTGTGTCATCGTCATCTCGCGCAGGGGGGAAAGAGAGCTCGAAATGAGCAGATGAGAGGAGGGGAAGTGCGAGGAGCGCGAGGAGCGATTGAGCAATCATGTTGATAGGGTGAACTGGTTTTGTTTTATCCTGACGACTTGGGTGATTGAATTGGATTGATCGAGGAATGAAATGTTTGTGAGAAAAGTCAAAGGATGTGCTCTCTTTATGAGCAAGGCCTGTGTGAGCATGTTTATGCAGGAACCCTCGGCAATGGCCGTCGCGACTGGGTCTAAGTAGCTACAGTACTCCGTAGACGTGTGAGCCAAGGGTACTCCGTCCTCGTAGAAACTCACATTGGACGAACCCTCGTGGCAACACTCAAGGTACTCCGTCGTGCAAGGTGATGGCTGGGGCTGGACTCCATCTCCACTATCAGCCGCCACGCTATGTACTCGGTACTCCGTAGCTTTCAAGGGGGTTCAGAGTGCGCATGATGAGCAGCGGCCCCACCATATCGATCTTCTCGAGGTGTCTCCATAACTCAGCTACGATATTTGGGGTGAAGAGGTGTTTCTGAAGTTGTCCTGTCTATACTGGCGTTGTCAATCGAGAGATGAGAGATGTCTCTGCCCTTTACAGATTCCTCTTCATTTCTTTGATACCTAGGTATGGAAAATGAGGACATCAAAGTACTCCGTACGCGTCGGAGGCGGGAATCTGGAAATGTGCTCGTCGTCTGAGCCAAGCTCAAAAGCCAAGGCGCTACTCTCTCGGCAATAAGCAGAGTTCCTTGGCGAGCAAGTTTCCAGTCTCCGCCTTCAGGCGGGAGTATCTGCGAAAAGGACCAGATCTCTTTCATAGGTATCTTTGTGGATAGGAACGCTTATAGCATAAGACTCCTTGCTACAAGCGTCTTGCTGATGAGTGACTCAATCTGACAGCTAACACATAAGCCGTTGTAATCGAATGTCGCAGATGCGCTGGCTGATGCGCCGTTCCCCTTTCAGTGTTGATGACTTCTCCTCAGAAACGACCTCCCCACAGCTTCCCTCACGTGACATCTGCTGGTCCTCTGTGGTAATTCCGGCCTCGACTTACATCTTATTTTAAAGTCTTGATATGATCCTCTATCAGCCCAATGAACACATCCTAGGTCATCAAGCAAAAACTCAATTCATCTATTCCAGCCTCGAGACTAATCGATCTTTATGGCACATCTTCCACAGAACATGACACATTCCGTCGCACAAGGCTGCTAACCTTTGTTGCTGGAAGTACTGGCTGGAACTGGAATCGAAATCCAAGCTAGTTGCGCTTCCAGGCTTTCTTTGACTTCAACTCGCTTCTTGTTTGCCATATGCTCTTTTCTGACATGACTTCTACCGAAGGTCACATGCCCTATCCAGTGCAACTATGCTCCAAGGTTGGTATTATCCCTTGAGCAAATCTATGATATCTCCCCTGGAAATCAAACACCATTGACACTTACACCACCCACGTTCCACAAACCGCAGCATCGAGTGATACAATGATCAGACGGTCAAGTCTGTTCCCAAATGACGCATATCTTCGTTGAGGCAGGTCGCGGCAACCTGTATCATTAAGATGCAAGTTATCCGTTCTACGTCAGGAGGAATACATGGTGACTGGTGAGCACACAGGACGTTTGTTACTGATTGAAGAAGCAGCGTGCGGACGGTCAACCGCATTATTACCACTCATATCCCCGACATCTCCCACCAGATATACTCACATACCTCATCAACCTTCCTCCCTCCCTCTATAACATACCCTTCTAAACCACCTCTAACCCCCTTCCCTCGATAACATCACGCATGATTCTCTCATTCTCAATCCTAATCTTCTCCTTTTCCTGACACGCCGCGCATTCGTCCTTGTAATAGTCCGACCAAGTCAACTTTGGATGGACTCCTTGCGAGCAGGATTTGCGAGCTCGGTATTCTTGGCAAGGCTGGAATCGTGCTGGTTCGGTATAGAATTGGATACTGCAGTTGAGACAGTGTTTTCGTGTGGGGCCGGATGTACACATCTTCAAGGAGATGTTGGGGATTGGATTGGATATGATATGATATGGGTGTGGCGGGAGGCAATGTGGATTGGTTCGAAGATGTCAGGTTGGAATCTGGGTTATTGAGGCCGTCAAGTATTGAACAAGTTGACTTTGACTGTCGTTGACCTCCTGGGGGTGTGGTGCCTTGTACTGCCTTTGTATTCAAGAGGAGATAGTCCTGGGCAGACGGCATATGGAAAAGGAGTGGTATCGATCATGGTTTATACCTTTCATTTTTCTGTGGGATAGCTCCATTGAAACAAAGAGGTTTCTAGCACCTAGGAGAGACACGGGCAGTTCTAAAACCTATTGACTCTAAGCTGAAAATGAAGCAAGCCCTTTGTTAATTGACGTTGATTGAGGCCATGTCTTAGACATGCCATTTATGTCTAGGCCCAGATACAAAGGATCTCTCCTCCAAAGCCCTGGTGCCCGTCATGAAGGTCAGAGACGACATACTCCCAAGTCCCATGCCCACGTATGTTTGGCTTGGAACATCACCACTGGCCAGGCAGTAGTAACCCCCTGAAAAGAACAAAGCTCTCTATGTGCGGGCTGTCTCTGCCTATGAAGTAGGATTGCCAGCGCAGCGGGCTCCTGCCTTGTTTGTGTTGTTGTTGTCGTTCTAGTCGTGGGAAGGAACGGCCTAACACCGAGGGCCTTGTTTGCTCACAGCCACCACCCCTTTCTCAAGAGTTCACCAATGATGACATCGGCATCACAAAGACAGCCCCAGCCTTGCTCTATCTGGGATTGAAAGTCTCCCAGAAGGGAAGACGTTGTCCATGGCGCCCTCATCACTTTTGATCCAACAAGGCATGCACAATTTGGTTTGGTCGCCGCCATGCTCATCCACTCTCATAACCACGAGCAACACGATCCGCTCTCACATTCGCCAGTGCTGAAAGACAAGCGAGGACGTTGTCTTCGGCACCATCTCTCTCAGCCATCGTATCTCGCAACACCTTTTCCGCATGATCATGACGTTTCGTTGCCAAAGCAGCTTCCTCCTGCAACTTCTTGAATCTCTCGATCGCCTTGTAGAGTGCTCCCTTCTTGGCATCGAGTCCTGCTATCTTGAGAAACTTGACCTTCTCGCGAGCTTCAAATGCACTTCTTGCTGCCTCGGATCCCTCCAGACAAAGTTTCTCGTGGATCGAGAGGGCTTCGTTGACGTTCCCTTGTTTTTGCAGCATGTCTAGAGCAGCGAATGCGACTTCTGTCTTGGCATGCTCGAGTTGCTTGTCGCTCTCCTTTCTTGCCTCGATGGACAAGCTGCAGGATCCACAGAGAGCTTTTAAGTAGACTGGAGCTCCATTTTTTTTTCGGGCACAGGGACCAGTCACTCCGGCTGCAGAGCATGCGATCGTGAATGGCGCCACTAGTGCAATGTCATTGCTGCAAATGACACATTTCGTCACGGCCGAGCAAGTGTAACACATCGGTGCTCTGACTGGCTGACTGGCTGGCTGGTTGGCTGGTCTGTCGGTCGTTCTTCGGTTCGGATAAGGAGGTGACTGGGGAGGCTGAGGGTCAGGGGGTCAGGCCCTGGTCCAAGGGGCTTGAAGGAGTAGGAGGCGGTTGATGTCGGATCTGATCTTCAGCGAGGATCTATGCGTTTCAGTCAGTAAGCATCTACAGGAGCCTCATGATCAAACCTACTGGTGTTGAAGGACAAACAGAGGCTCAAGTTGGGCAGTACCTTGACTGGATAGCATAAAAAACTTGATGGCTGTTGATGACTGATTTGAGGGAGAGTGGAAGGAGGAGAACGAGATAATCAAGATCAAAACATTGAGTGATGGAGATCTAATTGAATCGTGAGCGTCAGGGAAATTTGCCTGCGCATTCTAGACATGATATTCACACGATAGTCTCGGCGTTTGAGTGTCTTCACAAGATTTCTCTCGCGGTCGAGGTCACCTTCTCACAATGGATCGCAAAATTCCATCTAAAGTCATTCTTCGCTTGGCTCTTAAGAGGACATAAATCGTTAAACGGGGATAGGCGATCCTTCCACCCATCAAGTCGGATCACTATGACTTTGCCAGGGCTCCTAAAAGTTTGTCCCAGTATATTTGCTCTGCACAGAGGCGAATCTAAAACATGTCAGCGGGTTGCAGACGCACAGGACCATGACACTCACCCTTGTGGACAAAGTCGTCCTAGAGCAACATTGGCACTTCTCATATAGCACACCTTGGCCTCGGCACAGGCATCACTCGTGCAATTTGGGCTCTTGATGCTTGTTTTACCTTGGAAAGTATTGAATCTTGATACAAGCGTATGATTGAGTGCCATTGCCTCTGTCACGAGATGCCAGAAGGTGGCGTTCAAGGGTGCGTCGACAGGCCAGTTAATCGGATACGCATCCCTTGCCGAATACTCATATTTGAAGACCGGGCCTGTCTCAGTGGCATTGATCGAGCCAAAAGTGCTGACATTGGCATAAAATGTGTATGCGTTGTAGATGCTGAAATCTCCAGTGTCAACCTCATACATGCGGTATCCGGAATTGAGATTGGTCAAAGGAGTTATACTGGGCCCAATCCAGCCCACGGTCTGTGCATTCGCAGCATCGAGTGTCGTACCATTGTTGGCGTAATAGATCATGAACTGGTCTTCGTGAGTATGACCAAAGAAGACACCGGCGATGACATGGGGAGAATAGCGATCAATGATTTGATAGAAAAGATCTGTCAGGTGAATGAATCAGCAACGTCCGAAACTTGTCATGGAGAGGACAAACCAGTTGGATTTGGAAGGGGGTTGCTGCCATCCCAGCCAGTCAGGACATGGCCAACCACCCATACTCTTTCCCCTTTATCTTCAGCGTCTTGGAGCTCGCTGGCCAGGAACATCAAGTTTCCGCTGACATCGGGGTTTGTGGTGTTTCTGTTACAATGTCAGTGTTGGACGACAAAGAAAAGGACTACATACATGTAGTTGAAAAGATTGCTTCTGTACCAGAAGTCTGTGTTGAGGGTGATCACACGCAGTTTGGGATATTTGGGGTGATTGATACTATAAGCGCCGTAGTGCATTCGAGCTTGGTTCGCTGCGGTCTCGGAAATCCAATTGTTCTGTCGCCAAAGAGCTGAAACGTGCTCAAAGTTCCAAGATCTGTCATAACTTAGCGCTTGAGCCTACAAGCGTGTGGGCTATACCAACTGTTGCTGACCAAGATTACCAGGAAGGCTGTGTGGGGCGTCGATGCCATCTGTAGATGTCAACTCAATATGCATTCTGGGTACACGGGAAGATACCAACTTACCAGGGTTAGTATCGTGGTTCCCTAGCGCGGCGAAGATGGGACCACTTGGTATATAAGACTTGAGAAGGTGGTAGATTGACCATTCAGAGTACATGACATAGTCCCTAGAAAGCTCATTCTGGCCTTCATGACTGACAAGGTCACCAGTGTAGAGGGCGAAGGCAAACTGGTCGTTCTCGGACTTGTTATCGTGAGTGGTTCCTGTGAGAGGAGAGATGGATCTTAATGCAGCCGTGAGAAGGAAGAATGGACTGTCGCATTTGAAGGCTCCGTACAGAGGTGCTTCAACATTCAGATCTCCCGAGGCACTCTCGACATTCGGCCGACAACACATGGAATCTGTACAGTTTGCCTCTGAGCCTACTTGGTACCTGGGGTCAATATGCATGTCACTCATGTGCAAGACTTTGACTCGATTGCCACTTGGCTTAGGAGCAGTGAGGGACTTGGGCTTTGGACCGAAATATGCAGAGGTGTCCGAACTTATGGTGTAAGGTCGAGGACAAAAATTGCTGCTCAGGTAGTTGCAAATATATTGACCGTCGGAGCCGGTAACGTTAGCAAATGAAAGGACTTGACTCCAAACCGCACCATAGTTCTGGGCCGCATAACTCTCCAAGCAGCTGGCGTTTGATTTGAACTTGTTACTGATGCAAAGATCAACCAAGAGGTCAGGGAGTAACTCTGGAACCCGATGAGCAACGTATTGGCCGACTTCCAATGCTGATATGCATTTCGAACAATTCGACCCGCTCCCGGCAATGATTTCAGTCACTCGCTTCGTAGCGTTTGCGATGATAGCTGATGCATCAGATACCGGGTAGAGTGCCTCTGGAAAGAAGATCGGGTCTTCATTTTCCTCAGGGATTGAAGCTGGATCGGTCAACTCTAGTGGGTAGGTGTAGTTAAGAGCAGCATCGTAGATAATAGGTTGAGGCTAGCGAAATTAGTTTCAATAGCTCAGGCTTGATTTTATCAAGCATATCTTCTCACCTGCTGCGTCGGCGAAGGAGGAATATAGTATGCAGAGAAGAGATCTGTTGGAAAACCTGGTGGAACCGTGTATGCAGAGACTTGATTGACCGGAGATTGTTGACTGTTCACAAAGTGGATGGAGCAACTGCTAATTGCAGACAGCAGGAGAGACTGACGGCAATGCATGTTTGTATACTCTCTCTACACGTAAGAGAATGATCCCTCTCTCACGTCTTCGAGACAGTAGGTATGTATCAAACTGGTTGAGGGAGAGAGGAAGAGAGTGGTCATCCCAGACTCCATCGTAGGTACCTACATCGGACCTTATACACTGTAACATCGTTCCATAAATCCTTCCATCCGATTGAGACACCCGTGCCCATGTTCGAGATTTAGTCGGTGACTAGGTATCTGATATTCAGTGACGAGCACAGACCATGACGTTACCTCGCATGGAAGCATAAGACGATTCCGCCAAGAGAGCCTGTTTCAGCCAATGAATCCGCACGTGGTACATTAGTCGGGGTATTGGATCACGGCTCAAAGTCTGTGACGCCGAACGGTCTTCCATCGATCTAGCATCACGGATGGGGAAATAGAAGCACGGGCTGGGCACGGGCTTAATTAATTGGCTGTCTCCCATAGAGAAGAATAAGGCCCTTTTAACTCTTACACCCGAAGCTTGTCCACCGACTTGGCCACAATATCCTCGTACTGTTGCATGCCTCTTTCAAGCTTGCGGATACCAGCCTTGCGCACGTGGTATACTGTACCCGGGGTCTCTTCGTCCGAATCCTCACTGGAGCTGCTGTCATCGTCGTCTCCATGACGGACAAGTTTCTCACGGTCGACCACGCACCGCATAAAGTGGCGATCGTGAGTGATCACGAGTAGGCCACCTTCCCATGTCTTCAAGGCTTCGATCATCCCATCGATCGTGTCGGCATCAAGGTGAGTGGTGACCTCGTCCAATACCACCAGATGAGGCGACGAGAAGAAGACCTGTGCGAGAGCAAGCCGCACTCGTTGACCACCCGACAATGCCATCAGCGGCACGTCTGAGGCAAGGTTTCCACGAAGTCCAAGTTTTGCAAGTGTTCCTCTCGCTTCCTGCTCGTCTCCTGTCCAACCCTCAGTCTGCATGAGGTGAGCCAGCGCTGTGCGCTCAGGGTTGTCTCTGCCAATTGATTCAAGCTCCTCCACCGCATGCTGGGAATAGCAAGCAACTCGCGCCTTGGAATGCACGGTGATAGTCCCTTTTCTCGGCCGGGGCTCGCCACCAGACACCGCACCCATCAGCAATTTCACCATAGTCGACTTGCCGCTTCCGTTCAATCCAGCAAGACCGATACGTTCACCAGGATGCATAACGAGACTGATCTCCTTGAGGGTCCAGATCCCAGACTTCGGATACGAATACCAGACGTCCTCGAAACTGAACAGCGGTCCTGCGTGACGAAGTGGCGTCGGCTGGTCTGGTAATGCAATCGACACAGGAGGATCAAACTCGGGAATTTCGATGCCGTTTCTGTTATTTGTGAAGAAGCCGACCATGTCTCGATTGAGCTTGAATCTTCCTCCATTCTGACCGACTTCCATGCCCATTCTTTCGTCCAGTTTCTTCTTCCTCGACGCAGCTTGTTTCAATTTCTTGTCATCTCCTGTCCTTTTCGCGGCCTTGACGTTCTTGGAGATGGTTTCTTCGATATGCTTGGTCTTGCGATCCTGTGCCTCGGCCATTTTGGTCATCCTCCTGATTTGCCTCCTCTTTTCGTTTTCATACTCTGAAAGGTTTCCTTTGAACACCTCGAGAGTCTTTGCGGGAGCCATTCGTACAAGCAAGAGCTCTTGAGCCACAGCATCGGCAAAATCACGGTCATGGGTAACCACAACCACGGAGACGCCGGTGAGTGATGATTCGATGTATCTTTGGAGCCAGACAATGGCCGGTAGATCGAGGAAATTGGTCGGTTCGTCCAGCATGAGAACGTCTGTCTTTTGAATGAGCGCACATGCAAGATCGCATCGCGTCCGCCAACCTCCTGACAATGATGTGACAGGCTTGTCGATCTGTTCCTCAGAGAAACGCAGACCTAGAAGAATCGTCCTTGCACGAGCCTCTGTGCTACCGGCGTCCATTGCTTCCAACGCCAACCTCGTAGCCTCGAGCATATCAATGCCCGCTTTCATCGCATCGTGTTCATCTTCGATATTTGATTCTTCAAACCTGTCGAATGTTAAAAGATCATGGCATCCGCAAGGTCTCGGAACCTACTGCTTCTCCGCGTCATTCACTGCCTTCTCTTTCTCAATCAAGACCTGCCTGGCCTTGAGTCCTCTCGCTCCACTTCTCCTCGCAGCAATCAATTGCGCTTCTGATAGTTCCTGCCTGGCCTGTTCAAGCTGCAATGAGCGAACGGTTCTGACGATCTTCTTTGCATCGGCCTTCTCCTCAATCGCCATTGATAGACCTTTGACTCTGATTAGCATACAAAGATAATATTCACGGCTGGCACTCTCGTGCAAACTTACGCGTTGCATTCCTCAAGGCTCGTTCTCTCCTTTTGTCACTTGTCGTAACGTGCTCCAGAACGGTCTTCTCTTTGGTGCTCTCCCTTTCATCCTCTCTGTCCACACTGGCATCCGCTTCCTCACCGGCGTCGATCCGAGTTTGTCCTAATAGCAAGATCCTGAGATTCGACGGCACACCCGGCACTCGTCTCTCGGCGAGCGCTCTCAACAGCGAACTCTTGCCTGTTCCATTACGACCTGCAAGGACATAATGGACGCCCTCCACGATGCGTAAATGGGCGTGATCAAGCAATTCACGACCACCAATGGATAAAGTCAAGTCCTTGACATCAATGTCTTTGGATGTTGGAGCGTCAACTGCATCGACATGGAAGCGCGACTGTTGGCTGGTGACAACGAGTGTGGTGGAGGTGGGGTCGATGGCGGATTTAGTGGCAGCTTTGCTTGCTTTAGGCATAGCTCTCGGCCCTGGGAGTTTCAGGGTTGGGATCTTCTGTTGTAACTGAAAAAGTTTGGTGTATTGCAAAGACGTTGGATTTGTGATGTCGCTAGAGTCTTTGACAGAGCATTGCTCACAGACTCACATGGATGCTCCTAGGAAAGTTGTTGTTATTTAGGTAAATGATCAATCAAGTCAATCGATCACCAATGTCACCAAGAAACTTGATGAAAATCTAGAGATGAGATGTCAAGAAGTAACCCTGCAGATTCTCAGGGTTTAGGGATCTCTGGGGGCGGCCCATGCACCAACTGGTTGCTCTTGCGGGTCGTTGCCACTAACACGGCATGGCAGCGAGTGTCACGACATCCACTGTGACTCACCAGGAAGCTTGACCAGACCCCTCCAGGACTATCAATTCGTCCTTAGATTTCGCCGATACCAACTGTGCCTCTTGGATGGAAACTATCAAAGTCGCAGCCAGCGCAAATCACTGGATGACTCACAAGCTTGCATACACATGATGACGATAATTTAACGTCGATGCGATGCACAGCCGAGCAATCTCTGAGGAATATTGTGATTTATATGTTGGTATATCATTGCAGAAGTTTCAAGCAGAAGTTCCTCCGGCTTACTTACTCCTTACCTATCCTTCTTCATCCTGCGCTATATTGAAGTGCCCAACGGTGTTGTTGAAACAACTTTCTGCGCCTCCACCCCCAGCAGCGGAAGTGAATATTTAAGCAGTCAAAAGCGCTATGCAATATGATATACAAACGAGTGATGGTAAGACAATGCAAAAATCATCATCATCAGAAGAAGAAGACCCATGTCCATCCTGTCCCGTGCGAACGCCCACAACCAACCTACTTAGTCATTACATGCCTGATAGACTCCATCCTGTCTTATGCACTGCTCCCCACAAAGCAAACACTATTTCCTTCCCTATGGGGCTGCTTTGTCTGTGAACTTGCTCCTGGCACGCAACTTTGCGCCATAGAAGTACAAGCCGTAGTGACCGATGACACCAAGGAAAGACAGGCCAGCCAGGATAGACACACCACGGTCGATGCCGAGTCGGATATACATGGGACGAGTGAATTGAACGAAGCCGGCAGCGAGTAGCGAGCGGGTAAAGTCGTTAGAGGCAAAGAGTGAGGCGACATAGCGCGGATATGTCGGCGGCAGCCAGCAGACGATGCTCTGGAAGACGGCAAAGGAGAAGGCGGCCCAGATGGCGATACCAGCGGTGGGTGCAATCCAATGGATGTCCTGGCGTGCGGTGAAAGCGAAGACGAGTAGTCCCGCGGGAACACCCCAGACTCCGACTAGCCCAGCCTCCAGCCAGATCTCAGGTTCGATCGGCTTGCCGCTGTTCTCGTGGTATCGCTTTGCGCGGGGGATGAAATAGCACCGCATGTAAGTTGTGTATGCGGCAGCGCCGACGACGCAGCCGACACTCAGTGCGGTGAAGATCAGGCCCAATCCGCCCAAGCTCATGCCATACATTTCGATGTATACGATTGGGAAGGCTTCGAAGAAGGAGTAATATGTGGCATAGACGATGGCGCAGTAGATGCAGGCATAGCCGATGGCGGGATCTTTGATCGCAATCTCGGTGGGTTTGGACAGTGCTTCGGCGAGTGTTCTTCCGAAATGCAGTTCCCTGAGCTCAGATGGAGCCATGTAGGCAGGGTTGCCGCTCCTCTGGCACAGTCGCTTGGCCTTGTCGAGCAGGATCTTGGGACCCCAGGTCTCTGGCAGAAACGGGACAAGTATCAGGACAATGCCTGCCATAATGACCATCTCCCACACTGCCCATCTCCAGTTGTCAACGACGGCATATCCTGCTAGAAGTGGACCGAACGATGGGCCGCAGTACATGGCACCGATCCACCAGACATATCCGTAGGGCGCGGTGTACATGTCGTAGATGTCTTCAAGTGAAGCTGCTCCGCTGACCAAGGCGGGACTTCCAAACAACCCTTGTAAGAACCGAAGCACGATCAAAGCAGGGAAGTTGTCCACCACTGCCATAATAATCGACACGATGAAGAAGAGGACAACCGAGATCAGGTACGGTGGGTTGCGGCCCACCCATGGAATCTCGCTGATGGGAGAGAAGAACATTGGGCCAATACCATCTAGAATTGTTCAGTAAGATCGTCGACCACAGGTTGTAAGAGAAGAGGATAAGAGACTTACAGCCCACAACATACATAGACAAGCCCAAGCTTGCAAGATCATCTGAGACATTGTACCGGGCCTTGACATATTCTACCGTCGGCGCGATGATCGAGGCAGCGCAGTAGACAACAAAGGTATAAATCAGAATCACACCCAGAATCCAGTTCTTTTTGGCATTCGACCAGTTGCGTGGGTTTTCGGGGTCATTCTCTTTCCAAGTTACTAGGATCACGTCCGACACGCCTCGTTGTGAGAGCCGTCGGGCTAAAGGACCCTGAGGAACATGCTCTGTAGCTGCAATGTTAGAGACAACCTTTTCAAAGTGTGTCTTGTCCTGGGTCTCGGCGTCAGTCGTGCTGGGGGTCGGTGGGGAGATTTGATATTCGGGTGTTTCTTCTGGATAGAGAAGCCATGAGCGTAACCCCAAAAGTCGAAGGAGTTGGCCTGCCGGGGTCTCCCGGAGAGAATTGAGGCTCTGAAGCATGATGCCTGGTGAATCTGCAACTAGAAAGAAAGCTCGTATTGCAAAGGAAGGCTTGCAGGATGATCGTCGAGATTGCTGGCTTCTCTGAGGTCTTTATCGTTATTTAAGCACAAGCAAACAAGTCATTCAACCAGCAACCATCCTGAGACGGTAGATTACCTAGAATTGGGATACACCGTCCATAGTCAAGGCTGGCTGAACGGCGAAACAAGCGATGCGATGTGCGGCACCATGTTTTGATGGAGTTCCTTGACTATCCCCAATCATGATCGCCATGATCTTTGTCAGCCTTCGGAGTGACCGTCGATAGGGCGGGTGGAGGCAGTAGGCAATCTATTCAAGGGGGTGGGAGATTCAATTCCCATACCTGGGGATGCCATTTCACAAAGAGAACCAGGCTCCCTAGAGGCCTAGATTGGGCCTGATGGTACCAATGGTGTGTGAAAGATGAGACGGCTAGAGCTTGTCGTGGCTCAGCTGCAGACAACAAACCATCTGTAAAGACGGAGCAAGAAGCCATTTTAGGCATGGAGATCCGACAGCATTCCCTATAGTGGGATTTTTTGGGAGGGGGATTTTGGCTATAGAGCCTGATGCCTGTCCTGCAGACCGACAAAAGACATGCCGACGGATGCAAAACGGCTGGTGTAGATTATGAACATGTGTTGAGAGGCTGCAAGCCACGCGGCTGTCTGGCAGTTTGATCGTGGCTTGCTGAGAACGATTTGTGGAGGGGTCGAAGATGGGCTGTAAGAAGCCACGCCCAGTTCCTACCTGCAACCGACGTCGATCCTAGGATCATGATTGGAAAGAATAAGTTCAAAAGCCGATGGTTGGCGGACTGGCCTGACGTCGGTTATCTGTTTGGGTTAAGCGTGGCATAACGTATCCTATACTCGATCTTGACTAGTTGACACGAATTGCTCAAATAGATTTGCAAGGCTGGCAATGACTGAACCCTAGTTTCAGCACTGCTCGAGAATAACGGCAAGGATGCTGGCGACAACGATGAACATAGGATTAGATGGGGTCAACCAAATTCAACATGCACGGTCTAGGCTCAGGGGTCATACCAGGTAGTGAAGGGGAGATGCAAGTCTGAAATGCTGATGCATCTTGACTCACCGTTCATCGGCGCGTGCTGCACCATACGTACTGGGTATGACACTCACACCGAAGGGTTCCTTCTGCATAGTATGTAACTGGGCTCGGTAGCTAGGTTCCCAGTGTCAAGCAGTCGGCAAGCAGTCGGTGTACAAGGGAAGGTTCCCATTGCCAATATGTTCCGTTGAAGTCAAGCCTGGAATTCATTGGCATAGGAGACCAAGCCAGTCATACCTGATACATGTGGTCGTATGCATGGGCGAGGCGTCTCATTGTTGGCGCCAGCCACCATCAAAGCCAGGCGGTGTCAAAAGATAGGTTGGCAATCCATTGCGGGGGATTGAGCCTCTTAAGGGCCGCGGAGAGTCCAGGAAGAGAAGGTGTTGCCGGAAGGGACAGATAAAAATGGGTTGATATGCCCTTACAGGCTGCCAATCATGAACTACCGTGTGTATCGGGTGCCATGGCTGGACGGGCAATGTTCAAGTGGTATAGCAACCATTCAGGTCGATTCAGGCCCAGAGCTGCCGCATAATTCTTCATCAGCAACAATTGATGAAGAGGCTGGCTGCGATAGCTACAGGAGCGGTTTGAACGTCCTCGTGACTTCCAGGTGGATATGTCTGCTTTGACTGTCGTGTTGACATTTTCGAGCCTACCTGGGAGTGTAGAATTGTGGCTTGCTCGTCGATTCGTTGGGCTATGTATGCCTCATATGCGGCTCAGTAAATCGACAGAGAATGGTCGACACACTGGCCTCTTTGGAAGGCGTCAATACACTTTGCATCGTTCATATCGCTTGTGAATGCAAAGACTGGTGATGAGTGAAGGATCAACGCAGTAAAAAGCGGCTAACTGATATCACGTGATGTAAAGGATAAAGTTTGATGCCAAGCCCAACGCTGCAATGATACTCACGTGACTCCAGCTTTCAGGTCGAGGTTCGGGAGATGAACTTTGGACTTCAAATTCATATTCAACAGCATCATCGTCGCCAATACCTCACCCTCAACAACGCCATCAGGCCGCAAACCAACCCATTCCCCTCTCCTCCGACCTCCTCTGGTGATTTCACATCAGATTTCCCACAATGGCCGCACCCGCCTCAGCATCGGCCCGGGCGCGCAAGCTCGACCTGGGCGGCTTCCTCAACATTCGCATCCTGCGGGACCATACCAAGCGCAAAGCTTTCGAGCAGGCCGAGCCACACCGACAGGCCTTGCGGTACATGATCCGGAACACAAAGCTGCCAGAATCCATCCGCCAACGTGCCGTGCTCGAGCTCAATCAAATGAGCAATTATACTCGACGGACGCAGATCAAAAATCGTTGTGTTATGGGTGGTGTGGCGAGGGGTGTCTTCAGAGCCTTCAGACTGGGCAGGGTGAGCATTATTTCCCGTTGATGTTGCGAGCTGGACTAGGTTCTATAGCTGCGGTCACTAACAATTGGTGTGCGACAGTACCAATTCAGAGAATTGGCTCTGGAAGGGAGCTTGCCTGGTGTGAAGAAAGCTAGTTGGTAAAATATTGGTGATGGGGACAACATGAATTTGTACATTACTACAGGCATACCTGAGGGAACATGCCTGGGATCAAGCCAGCATATCAAGTTGGTGTAGCATAGCATGTGGCGTTGGAATCTGTGTTCAAGATGATTACATCCAAGCTCCAAGCATTTCTTTTTGCTTGACCACGTTTCTCCTTTCCAATGGTGACAAGCTCTTTACCGTATCTTGGTATCCTCACGAGTCCGAGTCGGAAGTGGCATAGAGCGCGGCCTCAAAGTCGTCAAGATCCTCTTTCTTGGGCTTCATGACGATGGGCAAGCTGGTCGCAAAGACGGCTTTGCCATGCCCAGTAACGCTAGCAGGAAGTCTTTGGCTGTCTTCATCGGTCCATCCTTTCGCCCGCCCATGGAATGTGCTCTCCATAGCACGACTGTTGATGTCCTCGCGCTCAACATCCGATGAAACCATCCCATCCTCCTTGCTCGTAAGAATAGGCTCTGGCTGTGTATCTTCTCGTCTACCACGAGCCCCTCCCTCACAGGTAATTTGGTCTTGCAGCTTCAAGGTTTCCTCCAGTCTAGACTCCAGAGCCATGACCACTAGAGCTTCCAAAGTGTATCTCGCGTCATTGCCCCCATTGTGCATGTAATGGCATGGGCGGCCCAGTTCTTTGAGGACTGTTGCTAACTTTCGGGGAGATTTCTCCTGTTTCCAGGCCCGGTATATTTGGGTTGTATCCAAGGGTTGATCGATAATCAGAGACTGGGGATTGGTCGACAGATCGTCACCATCCACTGCGATTACCGACTGATGTCCCAGATAAGAGTTGAACGTCTTACTGCCGAGATTCTTGAGAAAGTCAAAATCAGCGCTGATGGCGTGGCCCACAATCACAATGTTGCGCTGCCTGTTTCCCCGCTGTTGGCTGATAGGGTCAGGCGGCATCGACCACTTATCGGGAACTGAATTCGTGGCGCCAATGTCTTTTAATACATTAGTCGCCGCGCTTCTGCTGGCGGTATCTTGTTCATCATTGGTAGGACCAATCTTGACTCCTCCGAATCCCTCGTCATCTGAGGCGTTGTCATTCAGAAGGGCTTCAGTGTGCTTGCGAGCTGGAGAAGCTGCATTCCAGTCGTCTTTGATAGCAGCATGTTTGTATTGGACTGAGAAGGGCCACTGGAGACATTTGTCGATCTCGCCTCCAACGGCATTCACATCAACAAATTCTGATTTTCCAAACTGGAAATGATCTGGGTGACCGGGGCAAAAGTCTTTGTTTACCAGGTGTTCTCGGCCGCTGATGCGAAAATGACGGGATCGGATCTGATCAATCCAGTTGATGGCACCGGGTCCGGGAGGAAGGTCCTCAAGATCGAGAGTGTCAAGGGTGCTGATTCCCACCTCGGTGATGAGATGGTGAGCTCTCTCGTAAGCCTCAAGGTCCAGTGAAATGAGGACCGGCGCCTTATCAAACGGATATGATGGTGGGCTTGTAATGTCAAGTCGGTGTAGGAGTGTTCCAGCCGCTTTCTCCTGTTCGATGGATGGCAGACTCTCTTTGGGGGACTGCGGTTTCTTGCTGGGAGGGCGTAAGCCGAGGTATCTTTGGGCTTGATGCAGACTGTGCAGCCCGTGGCCGGTGCCTGAGGAGAAACCAGGTGAGCCATATTTGTTGTGGGCACGTCCTGCTTTTCCCTTGCCCTTGCATGCTGTTATCGCCTCGTGGCACATTTGTTGAAAGCATTCAAATGCTTCTTGCACTGAAGCTGATGTATCTGGTGGAGCTTGGCCGTGACCGACCGGGGGTTGCGGGATTTCAGTTTCTAGCTGACGAGCCATTTCCCGTGAGGTAGAAGTGCCTAGACGTTTTGGATAAGGAGTACCATCGTCGCGGAACTTCAGGGTTAACGGAAATCCAGGGACTGAGACGTCGATTTGAAAAGCGTCACTAATCTCGTTTACAAGTTGTTGCATCTGGGCAAATGGAACGAGAATGATGGGCTTATATGTGTACTGATTGGAGGGAGGATGAATGTAATACCTAGGAATCCATGTCAGTGGTCATTGGTTAGAGGTGGATAGACGAGGAGGAAGCTCACAGATCCCACGGTCTACTGTAGAACTGGTTGTTTGCAAAGAACTGCCGGGAGACTTGATCATCGACGTCTGCCATGTATTTGTAGGGGAATTTCGCGGCAAGGGTGAATTGACAGAATCTACCAAGCAATGGGCGTGCCTGTTCTCTTTGGGACGAGAATGCCGTGTCGTTGTCATCATGCTCACCGCGCAGCACATGGTGGTTCTCATTGTGCTGCGTCGGCAAGTATTTGGGCATGGGCTGGTGATAAACTTGAGGGGGCCTCATTGAGGGTTTGGTGACCCAGGCGTTGGTGTAGTCATCGTCATCGGAATACTGGGCGGTGTTGGTGCTCAGTGCGGTTTGTACAGTTTGGTTCAGTTGTGCTGTAGGTGGTTTAGGAGAAGTAGGTGGTGGCTGTTTGGGAGGATTGTTCTTGATGGCTTGGTCAATAAACTCCTGCTCTGAGAAGTGAACTTGATCAGGAGGGTTTGTGGCTGGCAGGGCGATCTCGCCAAACAACTGATTGAGACGGCTCTGGGGAGATGTCGACATTCTGAAGGTCAAGAATAGATAATGCGACGAATGACTTGGTATTCAGCCACGAGGATGATAGAGTCGATAGAGATCAGGAGAGACATCAAGGCTGTGGATGATGAAGGCAGGGGCTTTTTCCATGAGGTCCTTGAACAGAAGACGAGCAAAGAAAGATCAGGGAAGAAGGAAGAAGGAAGGAAGGATGCAGGCAGGTGAAGTCCACAAGCAGAGCACCTTCCACTTCAGACTGTGAATCCCAGGCGACCAATGACCAGCCACCACAGAGCCTCATGCAATGACAACAACAGACATGTACATGAAGAATTGCTCTGCTGTCTCTGAGGGGTTACCAGGATTCAATGGATCTCTTGATGTCCCAGATTGTAGAACTCCAAGGCAAGACGAGGTGGGAGTCCACAAACATGGCCACAGTTTGTCGGTACAGTTGAGCCCTTAGATGCCTGTTTGGAGGACTTGTGCTTTGACTTTGAGTTCTTTGATTTATTGATCATCCACTATACACACCTGTGCCTTGCCAGACGCTGTATCCCACTGTTGCTGTCGATTGTTACTTTCTTGGAGGTTTATCACCGACTCCCGGCACTGGATATACTTTCGCCCGAGACAACCAGCAATGCTCATCACGTGCCAATAATTCTGCCACCTTCCTCGCGTGGTCGTGCATTGCGCCTGCTTGCGTTGGCCTCTTCCCGCGTCTCACCGCCTTTGCATGTTTGCATCTCAAGACACGAACACGAACAGAGATACAGACACGGGCCTGACAATTGCGGCTGCGGTTTATTGACAGCCAGCACAGCATTCTATACTCTGAACCCTCCAGCTTGTGTTCGATATCAATACATCACTTTCGACATCATCCAAGACCTCGAGACTAGAGCCGTGCGCAGTCAACTTCACCCCAGAGTAACAGACGTCTGACGTTGTCTGGCGACGCTCTGTAACAACTCTCGTTTGGAATACTCTCCATCGACGCTCTAGTCCCATTCCCGTGAGGGACCTACTTCCCACCCATGTCACACATCCGGTGACAATCCGCCTCCATGGTCACCATGGCCGACATTGTCAGCAGTCGCGCTGTCGACCCAGATGCGCAGGCTGCAGTCACCGACTTCCTAGACTACACCGAATATCTCCCCGCTGACATGATGCGCTCCTTGACCCTCATCCGTGGTCTTGACGATGCCTATCAGACAACGACCGGTCTAATACATGATCTGACTTTGGCGTATGGCACCTGGCCCTCTCAAAATCCAGCCACTCGTCCAGATCCTGCACAACTGCGCCTCCAGATCTCCTCCCAGCTCGATGCCGCTCTCAGAGCCCGAGATTCCTCCTTTGCTGAGGCTTCCCGTCTATATGATGAGGTTGACAGACACCAAAATCGGCTTCGTAGCATCATTGCAAAACTCAAGGCCATACCAAAGCCTCCTTCGCGGGATCCCACGCCTCAACCACCCCCCTCCACCCGCACCAAGCGCTCTAGAAGCGGCCGAAAGATCGAGACGGCCTCGCGACTCACCCTGAACCCCCCTCGAGGGAACGCCGTTGCGGCCGCCCTTCTTAAAAGACCTCGTGGACGACGGGTCACCGTACCTGGTGAAGTCATGCCGCCCTACGACCCCGACTCCCCAATCGCTAGTACCGAAGTGTCGGATTGGGACTCGTCTCCACCTCCACCCTCCCCTCCTAAGCCAGTCTTGAAGCTCAAGCCACTTAAAGCGTCGGCATCTTCCCAGCGTGACCGGTCTGTCGTCGCTCAAGAAAAGCTTCGGACCACACGAGAAACAACCGAGCCGCAGAACAGACCAACTCCCCCACCTGAGGACGCGGCGATTGGCAGCAAGTACAAGCCGTGGACCTACCTGACCGAATACGAATTGTATAAACTACGAAAGAAGATGAAAAAGAACCTGAACTGGGAACCGAGCGAGGTCATGGTCAAGCGAGAACTCGCCGACAGGGGTCGCGGATGGGAAAACTACTACCGCTCTAAAGCTCTTGCGACGGCGAATGGAACAAAATTTGTTGACCTGGACTTTGTTGAGAAGGTCTTGAAGCCGTCTTCCGACGACAAGGGTACCACGGACAAGGGCGGTCAACCCCACAGGAGCGAAAAGGCCAACGAGTCTGAGCCTCAGTCCGAGTCTGATTCGTCAGACGATTCAGAATCCGCCGAAGACTCCTCAAGTCCCGAATCTAGCGATGAAGAGCAAGAAGATGACGATTCATCTGCTGTAGGCTCATCTGTGGAGCAACCAGTGGAAAAGTCGCAAGCCACGCCAACTCAGAGCAATATCACTTCAACTGTCACCCCAGCTACCAGATCTCGCCAGACAGACAAGACTCAAAAGGACAACAAGACTCAGACTGGTCCCAAGGACCCACCCGTCAAATCTCAAGCAGCACTTGCAGCGCAGGAGGCTGAACTTGCTGCGCGTCGGTTAGGCGATATCGGGTCCAAGTTTCGAACTCTGTTCACCACACCGTTTGCTTCTGCCCTAGCCTCGCTCGGTAGAGGTGCGAGCACACCGACTGCCACTCCGATGGCAGGCAAAAGAACGACCAGTCGGCCATCGCGGAAACGAAAGGCGGAGGAAACACCAAGTGCATCAATTTCACCTTCGGCGGAATCGGACCCTTCGAGAAAGAAACAAAAAACGGCTCCCAAACCCTCTCCACTCGCCATGAGCCCAGTTTCGCTACCAGGCTCGGTCTCGGCGACGACAACCAGCTCCGTCAGTGAAGCACCACCTCAGCAAGCTCAGCCGCTCCCCGATACTCAAAGTGCCGGAACCATTAAGATACCGCTCAAGCTCACTATATCCTCGTCAGCAGCTCCCCACTCGAAAACTCCGACTCCAGCGCCGACGATCCGCGCGGCTAGCGTCCAGCGTGCCAGTGTCGTTCCAAAAACCGAGTCTACTCCTCCCGCACCCTCCCGACCACCCTCACGTCGCTCAGCTGCCGCTTCCGTGGAACCACAAGCCTCCCGGCGTAGTAGCCGACGACCATCCATGACCCCTTCCTTTGTCGGGCGGCGGACTCCCGGAGCAGGGGGCATTGATGCGAGTCCCAGGACAACGGCAGCCGGTCGGCGCAGCAAGCGCGATGCCCCGGGGACGTTGAAGCAAAGCAGTCAGGATGGCGGAGCTGCTGTCAGTGTCAGCAAGCGTCGAACCAAGCCAATGAAACAGACCAAGACGACACCGAGATCCTCTGCGGCGTTGCAGGCGGAGAACGTGCCACAGATTCGAGTCGATGTCGATGGACGACAGGAGCTTGTTGATCCCGAGGAAGAGAGATATTGCATTTGTGGTGATGTCTCTTGGGGGGAGATGATATGCTGTGAGCTGGATGACAAGGTACGTGACACGTGTTGGGCGTTATCGTCCACTCCATTAGGCGTACTAACCGTTGATCAGTGTGACTTTGGACAATGGTTTCACATGGAGTGTGTTGAGCTCAACGAGCTACCTCCTCGTACTATCAAATGGTACTGCCCAGGAGACCGCAAGAAGCTGCACAGAGGGGAAACTTCCAATGGGTTAGTGGGACGCGGTATCAAGGGAACGCCTGCAAGTTGATGGGCTTGAGATGCGTGATATCTGCTATGGAAAGGGCTACAAAGGATGTTGTTAGTAGAGCTTGAAGGATTGCTTGATATCCAGCGCTCGGTTTATAGGGACAAGATTGGTATCCCAAGCCTGGACAATCGAACGGCATCCGGCATGGTTGATAGGCGGATATGTATATATATAGATATACACTGGTTACAGGAGATACGAAGGATGAATGAGTATGCTTTGCTGGGTAAACTCGACGTAAACTCGGACCCCCGTGGTACGGGAAACGGGAAACGACCCAACAGAACATGGATAGCAGAATAACAGCATCATTATGAGTGCACAATGTGCACAATGCTCATCATTCTTTGCTAGAAGCTTGATCCTTGAATAAGTCAAAAGCGAGTCATTTATTTTCCACTTGGCCCACTGTCCCTCTAACCAAAGAAACGAATTAATGTCACATACACACACACACACACACAAATGACCTCTCCATCCCTCTCCATCCCTCACCTCAATTGCCTACTAACCTTAGTACCTACCCATACTGTAATACATATATATCCGTCCTACCTCCAAGAATCGACCCATGGAGCCTACCGGTAAGGTCTAAGAGTGCTAGGTTAGTACCTTGGGGACATGATAAGGAAACAAAGCCCCGAGTTCACCCTCCTGACGCCTCTCCGACCCACTCTTCGAATTTGATGATTTGATGATTTGCCCATTACTTAAATATACGGACTCCGTATTTCTCCATGTTCGTGCTCTCTTTCTCCACTTTCCACCATCCACCATCCACCATCCACCGGGTGTCGACATCGATGTCGTGATCGCTGTTGGCGGCTTCGGACTGGTTCGTTACAACATTGATTGAGAAGATGACTGACTTACTGGCTGACTGAACTGAAGTCAACTGAGTGCCCCCTCTTGGTTCTGATTCATGCCCCTCCTTTGTGCCATGTATGGGTACTACCTTGTTACTAGTACTGGGTCACCGACTGGTTCGAAATGACGACTTTTATATTATTACGTAGGTACCTAGTAGGTACTATGAGGGCCGGTACTGCTAATTAATACTAATCATCCCACATTTTCAGTAGGTAGGTAGGTACTTGAGGGATGGAGGGAGGTCGTCAGATGGTAGCTACGTAGCCAGCCCCAACCATGCGTAGTGTAGCCTGGCTACCTAACTCCATAGTTCCTATGTGGTATGGAAACAAGTTGTGTGTTTTCGTGTTTTCTCGTGTCATACCGACCTTGTTCCTTGTCCCTCCTCGGTGTTATATTGCATTTGTAATCGCGTTTCGTCCAAGCAGTCACTTTGACCATTTATCCTCTGCATATATCAAGTTGATCTTTCATCACCTCCCCAACTCTTGCATTTGGTCTCCTCTTGGTTCTAGTCTGTTGGTCACAGATCCCATTCAAGTCATTCATCACAATAGTGTAGATGATATACACTCCACACCACCAATCATGACAGACACCCCGAAACAACTTCATCTCACGGCCTTCATGCGGCCTGTGTCACTCCACACCGGCGCATGGAGGTATCCAGGAGCGGTCCCCGAGGCGAACTTCTCTCTGCCTCATTTAAAGTCCTTCATCCAGAAGCTCGAGGCTGCTAAATTCGATGCCTTTTTTATGGCAGACCATCTCGCCGTGCTCAACATGCCAACCGAGGCTCTCAAACGTAGTCACACAGTCACGTCGTTCGAACCATTTACCTTACTTTCAGCCTTGTCTCAGGTCACCGACAGAATCGGTCTCGCAGCCACAGCTTCCACCACGTATGATGAGCCGTACCACATTGCGCGTCGCTTTGCTTCCTTGGACCATCTCAGCGGTGGCCGGGCTGCCTGGAACATCGTCACCACCGGGAACCCCGATTCATCCAAGAACTTCGGTTTGGATGAGCATATGGAGCATAGCGATCGTTATAAACGCGCCAGGGAGTTTTATGACGTCGTCACTGGCCTCTGGGACAGTTTTGCCGATGATGCCTTTATCAGGGATGCCGAAACCGGCGTCTTTTTTGATCCCGAAAAGCTCCATACCTTGAATCATCGAGGCGACGATTTGAAAGTCAAAGGACCCTTAAATATTGCCAGGCCAGTCCAAGGCTGGCCTGTGATTGTTCAGGCTGGTCAATCCGAGCCGGGGAAGCAGTTGGCTGCAGAGACCGCTGAAGCCGTCTTTTGCTCGCCGAGGGATTTGGCTGCCGCAAAACTCTTGTACAGTGACATCAAAGGGAGGGCAGTCAAGGCTGGAAGAAACCCAGATCATATCAAGATCTTGCCGGCCGCCCTGGTCATTGTTGGCGACACGGTCGAAGACGCCAAAGCAAAAAGACTGCAGCTGGATAGTTTGGTACATTACGATAGTGCCATTGCGTCGCTGTCAGTCGCTCTTGGGGTAGATGCTTCAAAATTCGATCCGGATGGTCCCTTACCTAAGGATTTGCCTGACACGAATGCCAGCAAGACAGGCCGTGCCTCAGTCTTGAAGCTCGCTAAAGATGAGGGCCTCACAGTGCGACAGCTGGCCGGACGGTATGGTGGCTACTCTGGACTGGCCTTTGTTGGGCCTCCAGATCAAATTGCCCTAGAGTTTGAGACCTGGTTACGGGAAGAGGGAGCCGACGGTTTTACCATCACATTTCCTTTTGTGCCGCAAGGTCTGGACGATGTGACCCAACGCTTGGTGCCGGAATTACAACGCCGAGGTCTATTCCGCAAAGAATACGAAGGGACGACTCTGAGAGAACATTTTGGTCTTCCACGACCCAAGAACCAGTTCTTTCCTTGAGTATCCACACTCTCCTTCGTCGTTCCAACGACTGAACGTTGGGCATTTCGACACTATGGTGCATCAGTGTTTTTGGTATGACCAAATCTCGGCGCTGGAGTAAGATGTTGATACTTGCTCCAGTTCCCTCAGTAGTTCGGCTAATGAATAGCTTGAAGGGAACACTGTCGTTTGTAGCCTTAGGTGAATCAAAGAGATATGCAACACGGCCTCAATGTCGAGTCCGTCAGTAGCTTCAAGACTCCCAGCAACAAATCTCGTGCTGGAACAGCTCTAGTCGTCAGTCTGACTAGAACGAGGAAAAACTTCCTGGTAAAGCGGACTCGACAGGATCGACTTGCCACATGTAGACCATTTGGAGCACTGTGTAGTAACAGTTGGAATGGATGAGACATGTACTTGACCTCTCTTCGCCCATCGGCCTCTCACCTTGCTGCAAGGACAGCTCGCAAGTCCCAACAGATACTCTTGATCTGTGGCTTCCAACCTTTGTAACACAACCGTCCGTCCTCTCCGAGAATCTCAGACAGGCCTGAACATGACACTTTTCATTGGTGTGACGATGATGATAAGGTGGCGTTGATGGAAGACTGGAAAGGCCTGCCCGAAACCCGTTCGCAAACTTGACCAGTCAACGAGGATTGCGGTTTCGTAGTCTCGGTGCGTACGTATACACTGACAGGCTCCACAAATCTTTATCCAACGCTCGCTTCAAGTCTTCCACGCCACAGTTGCCAAGGGCAATCGACATTCCAAAACGGTCGGATATTCCCAGCGGACAGCCTTGCCTCATTGATAACGGCAAACCACTGGAAGACTGACAAGGCACCAAGGTATTCAGGGGATCAAATAACTGGCCTTTCGGAATTGTGCATGTTGCACGATCTATGCAGTAGTCTGTCGTGTCTGTGAAAGGAAAATGGTACAGATCGAGGGTACATTCCACCGGTAGTTCAGGATTCTAGATGATTGGGGGGGGGACTCAAATGCCGTGCCATTTTAGGCATATGCCTTGGCCGACCAAATAATTTCCGAGACCAAGTTGGCGGATCTGGAGCTAATGTGGTAGCCCGAGGGGCCCTGGGGCCTCACACATGGTCCCCCTACACATACGGAGGACTCCGTACGCGCGGTAGCCTTGACCAGGAACGCCAGGACAGGGGTGCAGGCCAGGGAGGGGGTAGGGAAGCTGACTTGCCAAGGCCTGCAAGGTCACTCACTGTGGAGTATCCTTGTGTTCGTTTGAATCAAAGCACCATCCCAGTCTCGAGAGGATCAGTTGCGACAGTATCCGAACGCAGGGATCGATCGCAGGCCTGGTCTTGGTCAGAAGGACTACGCATACCATCAGTGCTGTACATGACTCCGATGTGACATGGTTTCCGATAGCAGTGAAAGCATCGTGAATTTGTTGGACTAAGTTGCGAGCGATCGAAGCCTGCGTGACGATCACTTTTGACAAGACAAGTTCGGGTGACTTGGCACGCCTCAACAAGCTGAAGAGGATCAATGCTGTAATATGATCATTCCAATAGGCCGTTGGAATGCATAATTAGAGACAGATCCGAACTGCATGTACCTAATGTAGGTGTGCTAAGTCTTGATAGAGTTCACATACTCGTCCGAGTACACAAAAATTTGAGAGTGGCATATCGGAGGGATAGGAGCCATATCAGAGACTGGGGCACAACCGCCATGTGGCTAACCTTGAGCTTAGTCTGATATGCACACCCTTTGCAGACTTGACTGACAGGGATCTCATATTGGTGTGAGATTGATTGAGTGACCAACTGATAAGGATGATCGCAACCATCAGGTTCTGCCAGAAGGACCAAGTGTGAAAGTTTCACATCAAAAACATTCGAGTACGTACTGAGAAATGTGTTCAAGATTAAATTGTGGCATACGGGTTTGATGAAGGCAAGGCCCACACTCGAGACAGTGGGCGTGATCCAGATCTGAGAGAGTTGCGAAGCTCCCAAGTTCTGAATCAGGGACTGCGTGAGCCGTGGAATATTTAGTGAATGGCTCTGAAAATTGTCTGAAAAGTGTTGGGACTGCGGCGGCTCCGCACCCTACGACGAACTGGCAAGGAAGCGATAATTTCTCCCTGGTCGCATCGGAAGGCTTGACTTGACCACCAAGTGGTTGGCGGTAATTTAGGCAAACCTTGGGCGTAAGGCCCACTAACGCGCTCTGGAAGTGACTTTCCTGGGGCCGGGGAAGATGAGTAGCGCACTCCCACGACCTTCTAGGGTATTCTAGTCGTTTGAACCAGGTCTTGTATGTCTGTCATGCCGACATGAATGTTCGGGGCGACGGGTTGTTCTGGTTTGCAGGCGCCAAGTCGACGGCCAGCAACCATCTCTAAAGCCGAAATGTGAGGACCAGCTTTTGCGGAGGCTGGGACGAAGACAAGGTGATGTTTCAAACAACGTCAAAAGCAGGTTCATGGTTGGCAGAGGAGCCATGTGATGGCTGCAGCAACAGGAGTGGTTCCGAGAATACTGAATGAGAGCGACCAAAAACAGAATGAGTCACAGACTAGATCTCGGAAGGTGCCAAACTGACATATGTCAATAATCTGTGAGGATGTGTACCAATACACCTGTCTGGGTGCTTGTCTTGGTCTGATAACCGAACTTTCATCGAGTTGTTTCCGAGACTTTTGATCCGTGATCGCTGCATCGGCCCCGGGACAGGGCCATGGCCCAAGCTTGTTGGCCAGGCTTCTCCATATTTTATTATCTTTGTGTAGACATGCTTTGAAGCCTGACAGGTGTCAGAAATCGATGAAGATGGGGTGGTTGCATCCACAGCGAAGAAGACATCGGCCACAGGTGACACCAACCGGTCAACGGAGCATTTGAAGGTATCTTTGTGACTGGTGTGATTTTTTTTTGGACACGGGCTAAGGAGAATTTGAACCGATTGGGAATGGGATATTGCGGTACTGCAATAAATCCCCGAACGCATGGATGGGGCCGGGGGGGCCTTTGTGGCTCTCTGCCTTGATCACGCTTGTGAGGGCGCTTGCGCAGGTACCGGCGTATCAGTGGACTCGATGGGAGCAGCCCATGTCAGCTCCCGGGAGTCAAAAGAACGCCAGTGGGTAACCCGATGGGTCTGCGGCTCCAATACACTGGCTCCCCGAAGTGAAGTGTGAATATTAGTCTGGAGAGTGTCAGCCATCGTAGCGAGGCACCGAGGATTGAGGGAGGGGAGGGTGGCACCTTGAGTTTTCCATCGAGACAAGAAGGCTGCTGGGCTTCCTTTCCGTGCCCAAGTGGGCCCGAGGGCCGAGGGGCTCCACGCCTGTAAGGCGAGTTTGCTGGGGTGGACAAATAGGTGCTTCCAACTTCGAGGGTGCATTATCGATTCGTTCTAGACGATTGACTACGAGGTCGAATGGTTGGAATTTTCAACATCGCAGCCAATAATTGAAATGTGTGAAAAATGTGTGATTGATTCAAATCAAGGTAGGCGCAGCACACTCAACTCCCACTCGGGGTCGCTCCTGCCACGAATTGAATTGAGTAGAGGAAAGAGAGATTTGCATAGGGAAGGCGCGATCACGAACTGTAACTCAGGCAGAAGGAACTCTTCCACAGAACTTCATCCCATTTCATCCCACCTTTAGCCTGCTCTCCCAATCTGCTTATCACTTGTTGCCATTGATAGTCACCGTTTTCTATGCATATTATCCCGTGCCCAGTAATAGGCCACTTTTCTACAGCGTGGGTGGTCCATTTGCTTCTTGAAACAGGTGTACAATGACGGCAAATCTCCCCAAAATGGCAGAAGTTTTTTCTGGCACGTCATTCTTTACTCTTCTCACTCTAGATTAAATGCCCACATGTGACACAAGTCACAGCAAGACAGGGCAAACTCTATGTATCTGCATTTACTCATTCAACGTCTTCCCCGGCCGCCTCCACGCGTCATTATCGCCACAAGCAGAGTGATGTGCCTTCAATACTTGATCAAGCTGAATGACACAATCGTTGAAAGGTGTGTCAGGTTTGTCAGGTTTGTCAGGTTTGTCGTTGGCTGAGTGGCTTGATGGGGGTCTGATGGCCTTCCCAATGAGCCGTCATCCCAAGCATGGCCTAGTCCAAGTGGCCGACGGGTGGTTTCCAGCAATCCAGTAATCTGGGACACGAGCTGCCACCCCACCAGCTGTGGTGCTGCGGACCTGGCTGTGGCGTGGGTAGGCTGGATGTATAGGTGTCTACAGGCGTGACAGGCTGCTCTGGGTGAACATTCTTCTCAAGGCTCAGCCGCCGAGGGCGCCCAGGTTCGGACCCCCTGGGTCCTGGAACCTCTCCGGATGCGTCATTAGCTTTCCACGCTTCGATTCGAACTGTGCAGGCGCCTTCTTGTGCACACTACGATCACGGATCACCTTCCCTACGTTTTAGAGCGTGGGCCAAAGAGAGACTTGAGACGCGTTCCGGACGCCTCCCTCTCTTGGAACCGTGGAAACGCACAACTTGTTCCGGATAATGATCCTGCTCGTTTTAGGGCGATCACCCTTCTCTTGCACCATCCTGGACAACCATGCAATACCAGAGAGGCTGACCCTGAGTTGTCGGACCGCTTTAAACGAGAACACTCGACTCGAGGCGCGTCTTCGGGAGTCGCATACGGAGTACACAGGCATGGCCAACCTTGGACTTACGGAGTAGTCACAGGACAAGGGAACCAATCACCTCCCCTGGCCATCCGCACAACCCTGGACAAGCTTGGGCCGGGCGACGTGTGGTTGAGAAGGGGTGTCAAGGCTAACAGATTTAGACTCGGTCGCCCTCACCACGGGTTCCACTATCCGGTTTTCTGGCACGGTACGGGAAGCTGGAAAATGGATCACAGGGAGAAGGCTTAGGGTCCTGGTGCCAGAAAGGATGCCCTGTGGATCCATCCGCGCAAAGTCCACCTTCAGCATTGAGATTCCGAGGTACCGAAAGGGGGTAACTGCAGCTTGACTTTTAATCCCCTTATGTCGCCAGAAAGTCGACGCAACTTTTTGTTACACGTTCGACTTTTGCTTGCCGCACCTCTCCTCTCACTTTTTTACATGAACTTTTTACGTTGCCTGGGTTGATAATTGAATTTACTGGTCTTTTGAGTTTGTCTGCAAGCGAGAAACCTGCCCTGGCTGAGCCGATCGCTAAATCACGCCCCCCCAAAAAGTCGATACATCAGATACTTGGACACGCTGGATCCACCCCGACCAGACTCTCAATACACCCAATCTCGAGTCCTCCTGGATCAGTCCGGTCTGGCATCCAATCTGTCTGCAATCAAGATACCCGAGACCTCCAAAACTACCTGTGATATTTGTCCCAGTCTCGACAGCTTTTGCACCCGACGGCCACCTTGTTGCCCGGGATCAACTCCCCTTGGCTCACTGCGCCAGCCCTCTCTGCCCGACCGTCTGGGTCCGGATTTTGACAGTTGGGAAACTCAAATAGTCGACACGCGCGACCACTCCTTTCTTGATCCCGCATTCCTCCCTTGACAACCCTATAATTCTCTTACAAAGAGAAATCGCCTCCGTCAGTCAGAGACATCCCCTTGTACAACGTGCGTGGTGACTGTTGCGGTTCCCTGGTGCAGTCTGGTACCATCTCACTCATCACTCGACGTCGTTTTGAACGTGAGTCAATGCCCAGAATTCCCGTTTGTCAATAGGCTATATAATCCACCACCTTTTACATCCCTGGATGCAATTCTGGTCAACAATCTTTACTGACATTTTTCCACCAGACAGATTTCCACCATGACTTCAACACAGTCAACGACACCCTGCGACATGGGTCGTGGCGCCTATGACACCACAGGCGTGCCCAAGCCCAAGCCACCACCGAAACCCCGTCATCATTGATCCTCCTCTCGGTTCCAACAACAAGCCCCGAGCACAAGCGGAGACGGGTGATGGACCTACCTGTGGTCCGCTCATGACATGGGTTGCTGACCATGTCGAGTCGGGCAACAACGGCTCTGACAGCACAGCCGTGCATTCAGTCAGCACGACTCGCCTGTGCTGCTGACCAACATTGTTCCAACAGCGCAAACAACAAGATTGCAATCTCCTACGTGCGTTTCTTTCGAATTACCCTGTACAAATACTTCGCTTCAAGATTTGAGCGTTCTCGGCGACACATTAATCGTGTTATTACCACCCTTGTTGCATGTACGGCGCACCATGAATCTTTTCAGGGATCATTTCCAACCACACGACCTTTCTTGTACAACCACTTTTCAACAAACACATCTTTTATGGTGCCGCAAAAGTCGATTTAGGGTTCGGCGTTTCAACTAGACTCGAGGGGACATCTGGGTTGGGGTTCGGGAATGGAAAAAGAGCGATCTGGTACGAGGGTTCATTGGACATGCAATAGATTTTTCCACGACTCGGGTCATCACATTTTCTGGTTCATGCTTTTCTGGGCGCGCCGGGCTGTGGCAGTGCCTTTGCCCATGGTCGGGTGGGTCTGGACGAAGCAATCAAGGGCATCGTCAAGAGGCGGAGCTCTTCACTCGTCGACTCAATAGAGCGGGCGCAGACTGTCATGTCTGCCTGAAGGACGGATGCCTGAGTGGACGGCTGGTCTGCCGTGGGACTGAAGACTCACGATAGACGACGCACTGAAAGCAGTGATTCATCCTAGTTGCACCTAGTCTGTATGAGATTAATATGATGAAAAGAGTAAAAAAACACTCGCAAGATGACTTGGACTGATATTGATAGCCGTGCCAATTAACCACCTCACCACCTCGCGTAGATAAAGTTCCGCAAACATGAGGGGCTTTTGCAGCAGATCACGGGATTGGACAAATGCATGAGACCTCCGGGTCGCAGATGCACAGAAGAATAGAATGCGATTGAAGGATGCATGCAGGAGATGTGTTGTCGAGGCGAGGGTGTTTGGTGGCGCTTCGTTCTGGATGAGGGCGCAGACAAAGGAAAATCCCAATGCTACAACTGTCTGAATATCCCACCGTAATATTCAATGGTCAAGCATATTAGTCTTAAATGCAAGCGGGTCGCCGTCGTCGTCAACTCCAACTCCAACTTCTTGTCCCTCCAGCACAACTACACACAACTCAACATCTTCATTCGCATTCCACCCAACTCTCTCCTCCAGTGGACTCCTTACTTCATCTCCATCGCATCTGTTAGACCCTCAAGCAGTCACCAGTCTTCCTGTCTATCGGCCCAATCCCCCTTCGCGGCACTGTGTGGTAAATCCCGCTAGTCCACACCTGGTGCCTGCTGCCACTCGTCGCTCAACCTGTCCTCCCTCCTCTTCCACAATTGACACGGCGTCGGTGTTCTCGATCCCTCTCTCCTCCCAGATTCGAGCGGCCCTTACTCTGTCAGCACTTGACTAAAAGTCATACTTGACATTGATCCCAACAGCGAACACGCCGACTGTTGTCCAGGCCTGCCTCAAATTATCACCTGACACACCCTATATCTCAAGAGCATGGCAGACAATTCATCAGCCCCCAAACCTAGCAGCAGCGTCAAGCTTGTGCTACTGGGCGAGGCTGCCGTTGGAAAGGTGGGTCGTACATCCATCCTAGGCGACACAAACCGACGTTCGGCATTCGATAGCCTCCTCTGTCTGCCTCTTCTTCATTCCCTCTTCTCCTACCATTTTTTGGACACCAATTTCTCATCGGGTCCTTTTGGCTGTACCCATGTCATCGCGAGACCTTATCCCCACATCACTTGTCCTAAACACTTGTTCTCAATGCTTTTACCGCCCTTGCTGACGTCTGACTTACCAGTCATCTTTGGTTCTCCGCTTCGTTAACAATGATTTCCAAGAAAATAAAGAACCAACCATTGGAGGTGAGTCCCCGGTCGCCTGTCCTGTTGATCCCCCCAGCCTCAATGACTGCCTCATCAAATGCAACGCGCCATGCTGACGTAGATGACGATACAGCGGCTTTTCTGACGCAGAAAATCTCTCTTCCCAATCGAATCATCAAGTTCGAAATCTGGGACACCGCGGGCCAAGAACGTTTCGCGTCGTTGGCGCCCATGTACTACCGCAACGCCCAGGCCGCACTTGTCGTGTACGACCTGACCAAGCCCACCTCCTTGACCAAGGCAAAACATTGGGTTGCAGAATTGCAGCGACAAGCTTCCCCTGGAATCGTCATTGCCCTGGTTGGAAACAAACTAGATCTGTGCGCGGAATCTTCATCATCCGATGCCGAAGAAACACCAGCTGCCTCGGACGCCGAGTCAGGCACAGAAGGAGACGGCGAGCCTGGCGAGGCCGAACCTACTGATGACGGTGACGCAAGAAAGATCTCGACTCGCGAAGCAAAGTCATATGCTGAGGAGGAATCACTCCTGTTTTTCGAGACAAGCGCCAAGACTGGTGTCAACGTTGCGGATGTGTTCAGTGCTATTGCCAATGCCATTCCTGAGACTAGCCTGAAAGGATCAAGAGGCGCAAGTGGTGGCGGAACCCAGGCTGCCTTGAGCGGTGCCGCCAACCGCGCTGAAGAGGCCAGAGTCAATTTGGCCGATCGGACAAAACAGAAGGGAGGTGACAACTGTGCTTGCTAGAATAATCCTATGTGGATTTGCTTTGGAGTCGGGTGGTTGGGTCTATCGGGGTTTAATCACGTCCTTGATGCTCGAGAGTTCAGACGATGCTCTCGCGCTCGTTGTTGCTACAGTGGATAAGATGCCGCGGATTCTACTTTTTAGCACCAGAAAGCAGTCTCACGGCAATGACATGGACATAGTCGTCGAGACAAGGAATCATTTCAGAATATCCGTTTGATCTATAGGATGCATCGTCAATCATGTTTTATTCTTTAGTTGAAATGGGCCAGAGCCGTGCCATGTCTTCACAGATACGCGACGTAGCTCAACCAAATAGGAGCACCTACATACATCGTTACGAGATCTTGATTCAACACTACCACGTACGTCGCCATGCCCGATCGACAACGTCATCCTAAACGTCATGCTAAACCTCATACACCCATAGCTCGTTGATCATCGACATTTCCAAACCATCAAACAGACATTCACCATCGACCATGGACCATGTCAGCCACCCACAGGCCTCACTCATATCTTCCACAGAAGATGATCAGGAGAAAGACCAGCAAAGACATCAGAGATGACAGCCTTCGCCTGGGTAATACAGGCACGTTCATTCTTAGTCCAGGCCTCCATCCTCCCGAGACGACGAGCCTCAGAGATACGGTCCGCGCCCGTCAGAATGGCCGATGCGAAACAAATGCAATTAATCCCTTGCTCATCCTTTCCCGTATGCGTTTCGTCCGATAGCCGCTTCACCACATCGACACATTTCTGAAAGACAGCCAACAGATTGAGTCGCGACATGGGAAGTCGAGATCCTCCTCCTCCTTCTCCTCCTGATGACGAAGACCAAGTAATCGACTCCTCCACCCTCGACGATAGAATCTGCATATTCCTCGCCACCGTCGTCAAGTCATGCGCCGCATCATTCATCTCACCCTCCTGTAAACCCCAATCCTCATCACCAACATGATACCCCTGCTTTATTAACCGGAAAATCAAACAATCCATCGTCAGACCTTGCTGCGGTCCGCTCTCACGAGTCGATCCCAACCCGGCCGCCCGTCTCGCCGCATGCGCAGGGATAGCCATACACCAACTATCTCTACTATTCCTATTCTTATGGCCCTTTTTGAACTTCAATCTCGCTCCCACATATCTTCCCCAACAGGAACGGTAACTATAACTGGGCCTGACCCCACCGGGGAACAGCACATCGTGAAACAATTCGCATAGATCTTCCAGCACGGGAATCTGTTCCAGACCGCCGAGTTTCTGCAAGACATTATATGAATGTAGCACGGCGCCCACGTAATGTCGATAATTAATCAGTCGCATGCCGTAATAGTGGCATAGATCCAGGATTTCTAATACGTGGGTGCCGGCCACCCAGGGAGATTGGAAATATAGGTCCCAGCATTTATGGCGGCTGAAGTCGAGGAGGTCGTGTTCGAGCGTTTGGAGGTGGTAGCCTAGCGTTTGGGTGCAGCGGCAAGGGAAGCAGGTTTTGTCGTTGACAATGGATGTGACGTGGCTGAGGGCTTGTTGGGCGAGTTGGAGGGCCGTGATGCGATGTTTGGATATGAGGTTTGGAGTCGGGGTGGATGAGAGGTAGGTTTTGTAGCCTTGGTTCAAGAGGTGGAGGCCCATGATAGCAGACCAGGATTGGGGCTCTTGATCACGGTGGGTGAGGAAATAGCCGACGTCGGCGTAGACGGGGGTACTGGTTCGGACAATGTTGGATGGAGGGGATGGGGTGACGACTAAATGGATGATGTTGTCGATGATGGCATCGAGGAGTTTGGGTCGGGTGTGGTTATGGATGGAAGGTGATTGGATGTAATCAGCAGGTTTTTGTACACAGGAGGCGCATGACGAGATGGGTGTAAGCTGATGTCCATCTCGGTAGTGGCCTAGTGATCTCTCGACTTCTTGAAGGGTGTCAAGTAAGCGGTGACTCGATTCAGGACCGTCTTTCCCGCCAATACTGCAGCATATCTGATGTAGGTCTGATATGTCGAGTTTTATGTCCTGTTCGAGTAACTCGAGGCCCAGTCGACGAAGAGATGCGAAGCCAACGTTTGTCATGAACGCAGCGGTGACAAAAGAGATTTCACCTTGTCCCGCAGACTCCCAGCATCGTTCGACAGAGTTGACTATGTCTTGAGCACGCTTATCCTGGTGTCAGTCATGTCAGGGGTAATCGAGGGGAATAGTTAAACTCACTTGAATTGTTGCGGTGACTTCCATAGCTCTACCGAGATCATCATCAGCCAAGAAGACGTCGAGTCCTGAGCCATCGCAATGCGGTGGAGCTACTGCGATGCATTCTGAACACTCCGAAGGTGAAGTCGAAGCTGAAGCTGAAGTATTCGAAGTCTCGGACGAGTCATCTGCCACGTCTTCAACGTCTTGGACAGTCAAGGCTTCATAATGATTGATGAGGCCCCCTTCAGAGATCAAAGACGACTTGCGAGTCCGCCGCAGGTCTCTTGGCTGATGTTCAGGTTTCCCGCAGGAGACACATAGGTCGGCATAGATTCGAGAAAGACTTGTCGAAGTAAGCTTCACTCCCACCATCTTGAAAGGCATGATGCCGATGCCACAGGGACATCAACTTACCTCGAAGTGAAATGTTCATGATTGACAGTATCTACCTCGTCATCAGAAGCATCAATAGTTCCACGAAAATGCTTGCTGAGTCTGTTTCGAGCCGCGATCGTCTCACGAAAATGAAAATGAATGACATCTGGAAGCTGTTTCAATGAACTGGCAATCACTTGTGCTAGAGATGCCAGCTCTTTGATGGGTAAACTCTTGACCTTCCGATTCGGCGCATTGCTGTATGAAACGAACCAGGCCACTAAGGCTCGTGTGCCCTTTTTATAACGGACATAGGCATCGAGGATGTCGGGCGGCAGGCCACTGAATGTCACCTTATGTGAAGGGTTAAGAAGCATTTTCAATTTTATTGCTGGGTTGAGGATTTTTGGTGGTCTTTTAGTTCAAGATGTATTCAATTTCAAGGTCTGGGTATGGAGAAAGTTGAGGAAGCGAAGAGTTGTTTCAAATCAGGAACAGGGACAGGAACAGGGGGGGCTTGAGAGAGAAGTAGTCATGCATACACACATTGAAGAAACGTGTTTGACAAACTGAGTTTGAGGACATTAAGACCAACCTTTGCTTTGCTGCCGATTTCAATAGGTATTTGGTCAATATCATGGTTGAAGTTGGACATTCTGATTGGTCTCTGGGCCGACAAGATGAGGCTCGAATGGCTCTTCATGACCGATCGACGAATGGTCCGTGATGGAACTGGAGTGAGGACCTTAACTTGCGATGATGAAAGATGAAGAGGAGAAGTTGATAAGATCACGTGATAAAAATGAAGGCGAGGTCATGTGATTTTACTATACCACGTGACTGAGGCTATGGTCGGTGCTGTCTTTAAGAGATTCAATCATAACATTCAGCTGTGAATATTGTATGTTTCCACTACAAATACATGTCTGCTCAAAAGCATATTCAAATACGGTCAGGTCAGTACACACTTTGCATCATCGCTATCGTCGTTATCGTGGCCATTCATTCCAGAGCATCACCTTTGCATATTCCTAATCCTTTCTCCCTCCCCGTATTGACCACGTCTCCTGCTTCCATGGTCACCATTCCATCACTTTGTCCCAAGAATCTGCCATACTGGCAAGCTCTGTTTGCGGGACTTGAGGTCCTCAAAAGAAGTCTTGTCGGTATATGGATGAGGTTGCGATGCAGCTCGAGGTCGAGGAGAGTCATCAGTTGGGATAAGATCCAGCTCCTGGTCCCACCAAGCTGGTCTACAGACACTGAATTCATGGCTGGGAATTTTTGCGGGCGATCCTAGAAGCGCGTCTTTTGATGTTGCCGTATCGGTTCGGGTGAGTGGATGTCTTTGCAATGGAGACGGTCGTCTATCCAAAGGACATCTTCCGGCATCCAAGGTGGACACCGAGGCAATGGAGAACATTCTCGACATTGTTGACGGCTTGGAGAAGTGAGACTTGAGATCGTCTTCTCCAATAAAGTCGTTCCACAGGCCTTCACTGTGCCTTTGAAGCCAGTTGCTTTCCCTTCTTTCTTCCATCGGACAGACTTGTTGCATTCCGGATTCGAGGCTATCGGCTGGATTTACCCGCCGACAGACTCGAACGATGACATATGCTATCCCCGCAAATATCAGGGCGGTGGCTATTGAGATGGCAACGATTCCAACTACTACCATTTCTGGCGGTACATCTTGCATCCACAGAAAGTGGCCAGAGCTAGGATCGTGACTGGTGTTTTGTGGTGGAGATGTCGTCGTGTCCAAGATCATTGGTGCCATTCTGGTAGGTTTGGGATGGGAAGTAGATGGATGACAGCACGTTTGAGTAGGTGAGCGAGCGATAATGCCACAGTTCTGAAGCAATGGATCAATTCAGTAAAGCCTTGAGAAAGATGAAACAGAATGAGAATTGTAAGATACAACCCACGAGGAGGTTGCCCATGATTTATCAAAGTTGGACTACAAGGCTCGTGCAGCCAAGGGGTTCCCAGATCCTGATATCCTTCCACATTCACGCCTTACGCGGCCAAAGGGTGGGTGGTCTTTGCCCTCGTGTGGAAAGCCCCGAGCCATGGGCCTAGACCCGAGTTGGTCCGTGCACATCTCCTTCCCAGCCTTGTCGAGGTGCTGGTATATAGCACGCGGGGAGCGGGATGGGGAGGCTGGGACAATGGACGAACTCTCGCGCATCATGCATCAGATTCGCATGCTTGACAGATCGAGGAGTTTCAAGTTTCAGATTCGAGGCTGGTTCCAGATCAATGGAACGATCTAACCCCACCCCCTCCCCCTCCAGCGTCATGAATCGCCCTCTCATCTAGATCCACCGATGATGTGATCACACTCCCATACTCCGCCTATGTTGCCTCTGTCTGGCTTTCCTCAATGCCAAATATTCTGCGTCAAGACTGTTGATTGGTGATATAGGAGTTGGGGGTAGTGTTCGGCCGATTGTGGGCAACGTAGACGTGTTGACGGCCTGATAACTCGCGGGGTTATAAGGTACGTATTGATGAGCTGACCCTGTCATCGATGCATGATAGCTAGAGGATCGATGTCGACGAGTGAAGTCATACGGGGGCATGTACTCCGAGTAGGGTGGTGGCGGATCTAGATGTTCGGGCGGAAGGGCCGTGGCTATCTCCACCTTCATCGACTTTGTTGCATCTACAACTCTCTCCGATCGAACGGAGCCCTGCCACGGATTGTTTCGTAGATCCAAGGCCGATCTCCGTCGATAAGTATTTGGATTAGGGTGGCTAAGCGTCGGCGTCACGGGTCCGTGTAATGCTTGAGATATCGGCCGTGGTGAAACGGTCCGTGGACGAGGTGGTGGTCCGGGCACATTGGCCAGACCATGAGATGTGGAATAATAACCTGGAACGAGACGAGCTTCTCGTCGTACGACTGGCTGATATGCCGTCGGTATTCCATCCCAGAGTTTGGAGTTTGGAGGCTGCGAGACCAGATGCTGAGAAGTGCTGAATCTCAGTTGCCGAGTCGAGGTCGTTTGTCGAAGGGTGCGATGATCGCTGGTCCACATATTAAAACCCTCCATCAATGTCCTGTTAGATGGCGGAATGCAGATGCGTTGGCTCTCGATGAGCGCTTGAGGGGTCGGGTCATGCCACGTTGATGCTCGTCCACGGGCGAGGACTGAGGTTGTCTTCTTTCCCGGAGGGTTGCTCGGGGCGGTAAGTGACTGACGAAACGTGATTTGTTCAGCCGCCGTGATCAGTGATGCCGATGATGACTCCGTTGGATCAGTCTTAGCATGTGAGACGAAAGAGACTTCCCCCATATATCAGATTCCTGTGGCGAGCTCGACCAAGTTGGACTATACCTAAAGCCATTAGGGACGCCTACCAAGACAAATAACGGGCCAGAAATGCTACGTTGGCGCGCCGTAGTGTATCGGGCGTATTGGTAACAAGCCTCATCACTCTAAGTTTGGGGGGTGAGAGACTGGCTACCTCCTGTAGGGGCCAAAAGAGATAGGATATCCATAAAGGATCGGGTAGAACTGGTTAGGATGTAATCGAACAACTGTCTGCTCGCAGGAGTTCGTCTAGCCGTCGGCCTAGCGATGGGATCAAGCTTGACAGATTAGGCGGATTGTTAGAGAAAATGGGTTCAATCATTGCTGGCGCGAAGGAATGGCAATGTAGAATATGACAAAGGACTGCTGCACGCCATGGATGCTGCGGGATTCACAGCCCCAGAGCCTATTTTGGTATGTCGACATAGCCAGCCAGGCAATGCAATTCATTAATGCTGACATTTTCGACACAGAGCCTCGGGGGATGAGGCTGCTACTGAAAGCGGCCATTCTGCTTTGAAGGTCTTGAGACGTTGATTTACTTGAGATAGACTCCTTCGAGACATGATGACAGTCAGCACAAAATGCAGTAATAATTCCTCGCTCAGGCACAGGGAAGGGAAGCCAAGTTGTTAGTAGACTCGGGTTCTAGGTCGGTCGGCCCCCAACATTCATTGCACCCTCACCAAACGGTAATTTGATGCGAGCTCTGATATCGTGCATCTGTGCATATAGGCTATGATGGCCAGAACGACTCATTGAGTACGGAGTTCCAGATAAATTTAAAAGTGTAGCAGCTCCAGAGGCACATCTGCAACGAGACCTGCGAGTATCGAAGGTCTGGAGTCTTCCTCAGAGGGGAGTCTAAAATTAGTACAGGCGATGTGCTTCCCTTGAGAGGCAGGCACAGTAATACTCGCAAGTGGCCGTCAGAACTCTGCTGCCTAACTAAGGGCATCATGTACATACTCCGTATATGGAGACGGTTGTTCAGGCTCCTCATCGTTCCGCATTACCGGTTCTGGCGCAGCCTGCAAGTCAAAATCAGAGCGCGACTCTAGTCACCAAAGGCCGGGTGTCAGTGGGCGATGACGGCGCCTAAGAATAATGACGAGTCTACGGTGAATGAAGCCATGCAAAGTCGTCATCGTTGTACAGGAGAATTTGCGATGCTGCTCACCTAGTTATTACAGTACATACGCGTCGCGTCGGGTATCATTGTCTTGGACAGTGAGAGATTGCATATAGGATCAAACAAGAAACACAGTCAAAGAGAGGTAATTCTTCGGGAAGTTGAATGTTAGGAGATGCCTTCCATGAGCATCACCATGGTGTCGGCCATTGAATGGCACTCGTAGAGCACAGATAGGCCTTGACGTATGATTATGATCGACACCATTGCATCATCACTACTACACAACAAAATCACAAAGTGTATGCAGCATCCGTGTCAAGTCTAGATGTTTGGAACAGAAATGATGATCGAATGGCATGATGTCAATCTGGTCCGCAAGCCACAGAGGATCGAAATTGCATTCCAAGATTTCAACGCCACGGATGGTGGAGGAGAACCACGTGCGGGATCGGTGCTTCACCAGAGCTATCCGCCACGGCAAGACGAACCGAGATTATTTTCGCCATGGCAATCAGAGGAGCAGAAGCGGTTATAGAAACTAGTTTAGCGATTGGATATGTGACGAGACAAAGAATGAAGTCGGAGCAGCGGTTCCAGAAGGGTAGCCCTGGGCGTGCCAGGATTATAGAGTCGCTTTGAACCTCACTACGAGTATAAGCGCGTGCATCGTATGAGGCAGTGCCAGTGAGGGTCGAGGGGTTATGTGTTCGTAGCATTAGGCCTAGGGGAGGTCACGGGAGGACCACGGGCCTTTGACGACACCATCTAAAGCCAAATACTGATACAGGTATAGGAGGTGACGAGAGGCCCCCTCAATGCCCCAGTGTTTTTGCAATTATGCTTCTGGCCATCGAATCGTGGCACAGAAAAAGCTTGGAGTGGCTTGGGCGAAGCGAAGCTGGCGCTAGGCCGGCGTCTCAATTACAGACTGCCAATTTCCCTGACAACTTGTCGCGTTGGAAGAAGCACGTCCTCTCTTTTTTGTTGTTTCCTCTCAACCTGAGGTATCGCGTCATTCCCCCGTCAGATCCCCCAGATCTGAAACCGCCTCAAGTCAGCAAAGTCCAGAAGAGAGGATGAACTCGAAACACATTCATGCACACGAGAAATATGCACGTTTTTCAATGGATTTTTCATATTACGAAATAATCACCATGCAAAGCCAGATCTACCAGAAACAGAAATAGAGCAAGGAACTCCCACGGGAAACAGTAAGATGAACGCATCAAAGACTTCCGATAAAAACAGGTATTACGCAATGTTGGCTACAGTGGTCTAGCCAACATCTCCTTGATGCGTCCAAAAAAATGTGCATAGAATGTTTCCCTCCAACCGATCGAGACTGGATGTCGTCAGGCCACGAAAAGGTAAACGGTTCGCGGGCCTGTGTCCGTCCAGCTTCCACTTAATTACAAAAGCCACACACATTCAGTTTCTCCGTGCATCCCCTAGGTGTGTCCGTCATCCTCAGACATGCCGCTTGGTGGTGGTATCTTGTATGCTGCAATCGGGCCATGAGAATCGTGAAATGCTTGATCAAAACGTCTTCAGTCCAAGAACCAGGACTTTAAGACATTTATGCAATGACCATGACGGCAGCGGCGGCGAAACCGGCCAGGGCGAAAGAGCCAGCGTTGGCGTTGGCAGCGCCGGTGAACTCAGCGGGCTTGACGCCAGTGCTACACAGGGAGTGGTCAGCATTCAAAAAAAAAATACGACTTGGATCGATCAAATGGAAATTCCTTTCTTTTTCCTTACCTGGTGTATGTCCAGACTGGGACGGAGGAGGTGGGTGCAACGGGAGCAGGGGTGGTGGACTCCCAGTCTTCCCATGGGCCGGTGGTGGTCTCGGGGGAGACGGGGACGGTGCTCAAGGTGGTGACCCAGTCACCCCAGACGGGGGTGGTGGTGGTGGTGACGGGAGCCACGGGGGTGGTCGCGGTGGTCTCCCAGTCCTCCCAAGGAGCAGGGGTGGTGGTGGTGGTGATCGGGGCGACGGGGGTGGTGGTGGTGGTCTCCCAATCCTCCCAGGCGGGGGTGGTAGTGGTGGTGGTGATCGGAGCGACGGGGGTAGTGGTAGTGGTCTCCCAATCTTCCCAGTCCCCGGTTGAGGTAGGCTTGTAAGGACAGTTAGAGACAGTCGGCTCGCAGGAGGTGATAGTTACATCAACCGTGTCGGTAACGGTGACACCTGCGGAAGCAACAGCAATGATGCTGGCAATGGCGATGGAGGCACGCATTTTGAATTTGTTTGGGTGGGTTGGGTTTGGTAGGGTGAGAATTAACCGGAAGCTGGAGGCTCGGGGTTGGAGTTAAGTAACGAATGTAATGAGCTGAACTCGAACGAGTGGACGACCGAAGTCAAGAATTGTTTTCTGGGGATACTGGAAGTTCTGGCTTGAGTATGAAGGAGGAAAGAAACAAAGCCTTGGGCAACTGGAGGTCCTTATACTGTTCTATTGCCCTGGGAGATTTGCGCGGACCCAGACAACGGTGGAGCCAGGTTACAAGCACTCCCTATTCCACACCCAAGCCTGCCGGCCGAGCACATTGGCCATCCACCGCCAGTGTTTGAAATTGCGCTCTGGAGAAAGCGTGAATGGTGTGCTCCACGGACAGGGGAGGATAGGGGATGGGACCCAGTTGGGAGACTGAGTCGACTCATGAACTGGAAATTAAGGCTGTCGGTAGCAAATGCAGGTACCCTGACAGATGCCCAATCACAATAAGAGCTTGGACGTTTCGGGCGCTATTCTTGGACGCCACATTTCTTAATTGGGGCTAGCCCGCCGTTCAGTGGGTCTTGGAGCCGCCAACATCCATCCGGTCACGCTTCGAGGTCTTCCGTTGGTGGTCAAACTTGTTCTGCACCGTAGCTTACTGGGAAACATTACCAGAGATGGAGTGCTTAGTTAAGTGTCGAGACAAGCACCTGTATTATTGACCTTTAGGGCGGTCAGTGCCTAAAGGAAGGGCCGAGGGGCCTACAAGATCGAGACAGGTGGATAGACGCGCGTCTGAAGTATCTGTTGCTGTATGCTCATATTCTACGGAGTATGCTATTAGGAAAGACTTTTGATACATCGATGGTGGCAAGATGATGCACTCGAGGGTGCAGTCATTCAGACTCTCAAAACTCGTAATAGATGACCTGAAGGACCTCTGTCCAGCTACTCGCCAACATCTAGACCTCCAAAGAGCTGGTCTGCACAGTATCAATGGACATGACGTGCGATGGATGGATGATGTGCATGTATTGCCAGTGAAATGACAGCATTATGCTGCCTTCGCCACCCGATGAGCGCTTTCATTCTACAGTCAAAGCTCGATGTGACCTCAAGACTGGCAAGATAATTTGGTTGGTTTCATAATGAGTTGGGTCTGCGGCGGTCTCGGTGGACAACCACCCCCAAGTGTAGCCCCGTCCCCAACAAGCACCACACTCTCAGGGGGCCGATGGAGTCGACCCGCGTCGGTGGGCTCATTGGACAATCGATAACCGCTTGGCAAATCTCTCAAAGACAACAACATACTCCGTACTTCGCCCCGTCGGCTGATTACTGCTTGAAGAAATCGCTTCAGTAGTCTCCACGCGAGAAACTCTTGCTGGATCAACGACCTTGTCCATCTCGTTCGACAGGGCTTGTGTGATCTCTTTGATGTTCATGTCTTGGAGATCATTTTACACGACTGGAACTCTTGGAAGTTGGAACACCATCTGGACAGTCCCGTCTTTGCCACACTCTTTTCGCTTAACTGGGGCAAATTGACCTAAAAAGTTGCTTACACTGTATTCGTACTTTGCATCCTGTACGGAGTGTGGCCATGTCTTTCATCCTCTGTGCGGCTGTCTGGGACCTTCTCTGCCCATGTGTCTGTCCACACGGGATCACCATCCCGTGCACCAACCGTCCTAGTTAGTGGGCCACGATTGCGACGATTCTGCGTCTAAAATAAAACCCATGGACCATGTTACCCAACAAGACTGCAACAGTCATCTTCTTTTCTGGCCAAGGAGCATCTTCGGCTCAAGGGGCTAGAACCTTCCCTTTTGTGGTGCTTGCAACCCATCGTCCAAATGCCTGTCCCCAATCACCAATATTTAGAAGTATTGCTAAGATGGCTACAAACAGTCCAGCTACAGTAGGGGAGCTTGACTCACCACCTCACACAGTTTTACGGAGTACCTCGTATGCCTGTTTCCAAGTGCAAATTCGAGTTCAACCAATATGGGTCAAACTTTTGAATTTAGCGACATTAGGTGATTGGAATGACGAGACCCAATATCTTAATGAGCTGATTTGTTTGTTTTCCTAACCCCCCTCGTCGATATACTTTCTCCTAGGCTTTCACAGCTTTCCACCTGCGTGGCACCAAGGTTGCACTAGTACAACACCTACTCCGTAGGTCAAGAATAGCGAGGTGGTCCAAACAGCCGACGTTCATGCACATGCCCTCGAATACGCTACCAGGCTACCTCCAAATCTACTCCGTACAGGCTCCCATCGTAACCACAGTTTGACCTATACTGAGACTACTGATCAACAAGCTCTCGGGTTTTGATCCACCCAGAAGCGCCACCCGCACCTATGGGACGTGTACATCTCGGTTATTCGGCGGAAGATGCCTCCTTTCCCTTGTCTCAGAAGTCAACAAGGAGCAAAAAGTCTACGAGTATGAGTTATGGCTGAAGCAAAGACAAAGAGACAATTTCGGTTTCACATGGCAGTTACGGTCGGGTATTCGAATGCATGCCATCGTCGTTGCTTCGCGTGTTTACTTGCTTTTTAGCTATACACTAGGTAAGGGGGGACGTGAGCCAACAATAATAATAATGTCAACACGATACCTATTTAGGCGGATACTCACGTATGGATATTGAACTCTACGACGTCCAAAGGTTTTGTTTTCCTCGGCTATTTGCCTTCTGGGTGTACTGTAGCAAGATCGAATGATACTAAAAATGTATCCTGGATCAAAGAGGGTTCTTAATCTGGGAGAACAAATTTGGGCCGACCAGGCCAGCCAGCATGCATCAAATCAAGCGACCCATGTGCAATCACGCTTCTCGCAAGTCTTAAATTCTGGCTGAAAGGATAACAAGGTCTTGCCCAAACACGATGACGATGTGGTGGTGGAAGGGGTTTGATCGGTCGTCGAAACGCTGGTTTTCTCAACTGGAAGCCTGTCCGGCTGTGTTTTTGGAGCAATGCCCGCATCTGTCCTTTCATGAGCGTTGTGATACTAATGCAAAGCTTTTGAGGCGTTTTGAATACGATCACGATAAACAAGACCTGAGCACCGGGTAGCCGTTCATGGACCATGCTCTCGAAATACGAACGGAACGAGCGAACGAGGTCCAGAACCCCCAGACGGAATCGCAGCCAAGGTCTCTTCTCTCGTGTACGCATACGACACGAAGTTGACTGCCGGATCATATGATTGCGCAGATACCATGCAACGTGCACAAGTAAAAACATCAAACTGCGGCCTGGGTCGATGACCATTCAGCCGGAATGATCATATAAAATAAAGCAAGGTCCAGCGATCCACCACGTGAGCTGGGTCGAGCGGGATGTGTCATACGAGTCACCAAGCTGCCAGATACGCGGTGCAATATGGAGGAGGATGGGTTTGTTTGTTCTTTGCTTTTTTCAGTTGACAAGACGTCAAACCACAACTGACGTGTGTCGTGGGCGGGCGTTCGAGCTGTGCTTTAACTCCACTGACGCATGTCTCTGACGATTTGGCTCAACCTGTCAGTGAGATAACTCAGCGGATGTGCACGCGACCGGACCTCGGTGCTTGTGCAGCACACCAGATGGTGCGTGGTGTTCGAGGTCCTTTACGTGAGATGCGTGAACGGACGTGCCCCTCTACCAACGACAAATTTGCGACCGTCGTTCATCCACCGACGTCAAACATGTCATTTATGCTTTCACCCCAAAAGTGAAGAGCCCAAGCTTCACTCGAGTATCCATCGGCTATTCCTTAAGCCTCGCACGTCAGCAAAACCCGCTCGCGGGTCAAAACAATTACATGTTATACACATACCCACGTCCAGATATATGGAGTACTGGTCGGATCGGAAGCGTCGTCTCATGGTATATTCTTGGGTCTTCCGAGATCAACTTTCATACCATGTCATAGTCTACTCCACTGGGTCCCACGAATGGATTTGGTTGAACCGGGCAACGCATCGTCAAAGGTGCCATGAGTCCACCGCGACACTGATGCCAGGAGGGCCAGAACGAGGCGCAGTCTGTGTGTCAAGCCATGGCGTCAATGGCGGTGGTGTGGCATGATTTCAGCATGGATGATGGTACTCTGCTTTGATGATATACCAAAGGACTGGTCATAAGGTCTCGGGGCAGAGTTCCGGTGTTGATACCTGAGTCGATCTGCACACCATTCTGAACGTTGATTGTGCTTGATTTGGCAAGGTTCCAGTATTGTCATATGTACTCACTGAAACTGACGATCAAACGTCGACAGGATATCCAAATGCTGAGCTCTCAGTATCTACAGTCATCGACATTGATCTCCCACCTCACATTGTGTCGCCTTCTCTTGTAGTATGGAAATCATGATCAAATTTCTGCCATCCACCATTTTCAGGTTGGTCCAACATCTTCATGTCATAGACGACAAAATCATATACACCCTGGGCCGGAGTTTTGCCCTGAGTGACATTTCCACCCATTGCGATGTTAAGCAGGATGTTGAAATCGGCCATTTTCCTGGTTCCTTGAGGGATTGAAGCTTTCATGACCGGTCTTCCATCAATATACCAGACCATTCTGCCTTGGCCACCAGCCTGCTCGTTCTGGTCCCATGCAAACTCGAATCGCACTGGTCGGCCTTGTTGCATGCCAGGAATAAAGGAGCCGACAACACGATGTTTCCAATTATCCTCCGGGGTAAATTGGCCCCAGTGCAGACATGAGTGATTGATACCGTCTCCGTTCCACGTTTCGGCGATGTCGATTTCTCCGTCCGTCGGCCACGTGAAAGGTTCGTATGGCAGGAGCCAAAATGCAGGCCAGATGCCAGGGGCACTGGGTAGGGTAAGCGTCGCAACGAGGCTACCACGGGGTCGTGCTAGCCGCTGACGGGACACTAATCGTGCAGAGGTGTACTTCTGAGCAGGGTCAGGATGGGATGGGTTGGAGATGGCTCGGAGAACAAGGAGGTTGTTGCCGGTGCTGCATGTGAATTGTTAGATGGCAATGGAGAGCAATACGGTATGCCATGATGTCCTAGCGGATGCGAAGGACCCTCCCAACGAAGTCAGGACTCGGACGATAGACTCACAAGAATGAATTCTCCCGTTGATTGGTATAGTGCTGTAATTCATTATTCCCCCACCCGTTATTGTTGCCTTGTTTCTCCTCCCACTCCTGGCTCACAGCCGAGTTTGGATCGAAGCGTGCGGACCAATATACACCTTGTATTGGCTGTTGGGGGGGACCAGTGGCAGAGGCGAATTGAGGAGGGGGCCCTTGAGGAGGAGGGGCCCCGTATTGTTGTTGAGGCGGTGGTGGGCTGAAGGTAGGAGGAGGATAGTTAGAGTAGGTCTGTTGGCGCTGCGCTTGAGCTTGCTGGCCAGGGTAAGAACCTTGAGATGGTGGTGGGGGAGGTCGGTTATATTGCGGTTGCGGTGGTGGTGGTTGCCCATAATAATATCCTTGTTGCTGTTGTGGATAGGGCTGCTGCGGAGGAGGATCTGAACTGCTGCCCATCAATTTTTGGCCTTCTGCTTTGAGGTCCTTGAACCCAGCCTTGATGGAGTCGAAGAACGGCATGGTGGCGAATGGCAGAAGATATACACGCTGGAAAACGTTTTCAATGGAGCAGATTCGCTTGCTAACTCGCTATGCAGCTGTACAGCTATGTGCAGACGGCGTGAGAAGAAGAAAACTCGAAGAGGTGGACGATTTGGACGTTGTTGTGTTGAGTGATGGTTTAGATATGGATAAGGATATATGAATAAAATAATCAACAACGCTCAAACATGGCAATCCGTCTAGGGAAAGAGATCATTGACACTTCTGAGAAAATCTGAGAAAAGATAGCGGCTAGTCGAGGTTGACCGCCAGAAGCTCCAAGGCGATACTCAGGTACTTACATGGCCAAGCAACCATGTACAGAATTGGTAGCACCATGGGTTGCTTTATCATTGGCTTCGATTGTCGTCCGCAGGTTGTTGATGCGTTGTACCAAAATCGTTCCGAAGATGACGTTGGCCCCAAGACTTGAAACACGTGATTATAAACTAGGGCGAAGTAATATGCATTTGGCGCGAAGAGTATACGGAGAAACTTTTGAAGCATTGTTAACAGTCGCGTCTAATATCACGTGTACACTCGACCGCGTTCTTCTCTGCATTTCAACTGACAAACACCTCCACTAGCCCGCTTGATACAATGCAGGGCCTGCATACACATAAGGGTTGATCAACGATAGGTTGAATGGCGTCAGATATGGGTCAGCGCTGGTCAACACGATGAACATCGTATCGTTGACAGCTGGATCGCCTTCAAAAGTAGACCCGTTAGGTTGGATGGCCGAGGCACTATTCCCACTGATATTTTGAAGCGGAACGTAGGTCGCATTCAATTGTGAAACAAACATGGCAAATCGAGGTTCATCTGCCAGCGGTGATCGAGAGGTCACGTAGCTGTTGTTTGGTCCGACCGTCTCATTGACGTCTCCCCAAGAGAACAGAATCTCGCGTCCTGGGTACGACAAGGGGATCGATCGATTGCGCGATGTTGCCGCCGAACATTCACTGCCTATGCCAGTTGCCTCGACGCAGTAGTTGTCCTGAGGCTCAACCGTGCTGTTGGACGGGTTGGAGCCCGTGACGCTCTCATTTGGTCCCTCATTGGGATCGACCTTATTGATATTGGGTTGGTTATCGATGGTCAACGCGGGAAAGTTTTGCCAGGCAAGTCGAGTAGTGTTGGCGGGACACTCGGAGATGTAAGGAGCGAGCAATGTCCATGCCCAGGACTGTGGAATTCCAGCTTCGAACCAAACAGCCATGGGGAACAGCCCACCAAATTGTCGGAATATCAGTTGTTGACGAGCTTCAGTGGTGATGGACTGCAGTAGGAGAGTTGCCGACTCACGAGAGTCGAGGTGACCAAGGAAGCCGTAAACACCACTTTCACCAAATCGAGTCAACTTTTGGTTGAAGTCAACAAACTCTCGAACCGTTGTGAATGGATAATTGTAAGTGCACTGTGGTGGTGCTGCTGGACCCAGGATGTTGCTGAGCATAGTGGCGTGCCCGATCTCTTGGTTTGCCATGAATGCAATCAAGTGACGGTCTTCAGCAGTCAATCCAGCTGCCTCAAACTCCTCTTCAGAGTAGATTGCGAGGCCATGATTGAACAGATCCAGTTCGATCCATTCCTGGTACAAAGCCAGGGTGAGCGACTGGTAGTCAAAGTCAGACAAAGGATGGTAGTATGGCTCGGTGCCATTGGTACCTGCGCCACCATCTGGCTGATAAGGCACAGGCATGGAGTCGGCTTGGAGATCACCATCATTGTTGATGTATGTGACTGGCAAGGGAGGCTGAGGTGCAATCGACTCTGCCAGAGGTGGTCGAGACAGCGCTCCTATTGTGGTTGGCTCTGGACCTTCGTATGGTCCATGGGAAGTAACTCCAGTGGGATCCGAGCTCCGGGCTGGAGGGTCAGGTGGCGAATCTGGGGACTGTGTTACTTGAGGTGCTGCGGCTACTAAAGCACCAAGGCCTAGCATAATCCTTGCGTAAGACTTCATGGCTGTGGTACCCAGAGGCGTCTTGAGAAATTGTAGGTTGAAAAGAAAGTGGTTCGACAGTGAGCATTGCACCTCAATATAAAACGTGCTCTTGTCATTTGCAAAGCCCCGTGACCTCATTGAGGTCGTGAGACAAAGTCACTCGTCATCCTAGAACGTGCGGTAGATGTCATGGATGTAAGACTTGGGGCTCGATGAATAAATTGCATCTGCCGGAAATAGTGGTACAGTGATATGAGGCACTCGAGTGGAAGCGGAGGTGATTTCCTCGTCAAGATAATCGATAGACCCGGACGAGGCATCCGTGAATGTCATGTATATTGAAACCGATGGAACTCAGCTATTGAGTTTTGGTAGTGGTGACGCAGACTATGATGCCTGCTATCGAGTTCAATGCCTAGCCGTGGTTAGCAGATAAAAGCTGTGGGGCTGCGCAATGAGAGACATGGGACATCTTGACATCTTTGTCCGGCCGTGAGGTCGAAAGTAGAAGCATCGAACTTGAGAACACGGGTACTCGAGATGAATGGTGACGTTTGGGTACAGCGGAAAGAAATCCCGCCACAAAGTATCTCTGAATGTCATGCATGGGTTTTGCCTCGACTCAGGACTTCATCATGTTCACCCCAGTGTACCTTTTTCGGCATTTAACGACAGACCTGTCGACATCGAAGAAAGAGGACGGTATGCCATTCGATATGACATCAGACTTTGACGAGATCCTCGCTACCGGAGATATGGACCGCAGTTGGGTCCTTGCCACATGATTTCCAATCTTCTGAATAGTTTCGAGTGGAGATGGAATTGGCCGATCTGACGTGATTTCGTTTGAGAAGTACATAGACAAGATGTGATTTTAGAAGTTAGAACGTGATGATGCAGCGGTGGAAGTAGACGCGAGGAAGTCTAGATATCACGTGACCAGGACTGTCGCCACCACCAGGGCAAGGTAGACTCCTTGGATTGCTTCTACACGACAGCAGCTATTTGAATCAGTATAGTTGTTCTATGTATTTCTTATTATCTAACAAAGGCTTTTAGTCTAGTCGAAGACGGTCAGGCTCCTTTCCCTCTGGATCATCGATGTTTGTTGCTATTGTGAAACGCGTCGTTGTTGCTGTCATGTGATGTGGTCGCTGTTGTGTGTGTGTGATGACGCGTTTTTGTAACTCTGGGTACCGAGTGTAGGTACTCAGGCATGGGGGGCCGAGGGTCTCCGGGGGTCCCTCGGGCTTTGGGGCGTCCTAGTTTCAATCAAACCACCCCTAATTTAGGCTCCAAGGGCCCCAAGGGGAAATCTTAGGCGGTAACTTCTCATCTCTTTGGAGCCCTGTCGCCTTCTCACCCTCCTCCTCAACTTCCTTGTTCCCCAGATCAGCGAGACAAAACCACCTCATCCTCTTCCGAGTCTTCCGCCACCCAACACTCCCTCAATGGGCTAGGTTTGTGAAGATATGTCCCCCGATCAAGGAAGTCTCTGGCTGCCGACTTTCCTGTTGGGTTTGGGTTCCTTCGCCGTCTAAGCCTTGCAGCCGCTTTTGCGTTGCGCAATTGGAACCACCTATAGTCGAAAGGCGTTTTCGACACCCTGAGAATTGTCCCGTCCGTTTTCACAAAGCGGAGATCATCCATGGCCATCCTCGCATATTTCAAAGTCCTCTGTTGGCGTTCCTGATCCGAGGCCTTTCGACCCTCTTCCCCCAGGCAAAGCGAACTTATCCTCCTTACCCAGATATCCCGCGTCTGACCTTCTCGACGCCAATTCGGTCCTGGTACCACGATACATACACACATGTCGTAACATTGTGCTGGGTTCAGTTGGGGAGCCGTCCACAAACTGTCGGTATAATGTTTCTGCATCTGCTTCTCCGCTCGAGGGATTGCCTTGGTCCAGAAATCGATCGTCTCCTCCATTTCCTTAATGTTCACCATTTTCCCCAAACAGAGATGCGTGCTTGCTTCCCTATGCTTTGCCCGCAATAGCTCCACTTGAGCTTGGAGATCACCGATGATACGATGCCAGTATACCTGAGAACCATGGAGCCCATATACGTATTTGAAGCTCTCGATGTTTGTTGGGTCGAAGAACCGGTACGACCTGTTTGCGCATTTTTGGGAGTAAATGCGGCCTTCCTTCTTGCTGCAGCAACGACAGCGTGAAGTTGGGAATGTCATCCTCAGGAACCCATCCAGGACGGTATTGAGTTTCTTCTTCATCTTCCATGGCATCAGTGTGTGTGGTAGCCGAGTGAATCTCTTTCGCTTTGGTGTGTGTTTGACCGAACTGGTCTCTTCGCCCTTGGCCTTGATGGCTGACCTTGATCGTCCTTGCTTCGCCATTCTGTTGCCTTGTGCTTTGACTGTCACTGGCATTCTAACTGAACGGCGGCACATTTTGTTGACTGCTGTAAGTAAGTAAACAGTATTCTGCTGTTTCACTCGTCGAAAGAACCTGGTAGTGATGATAGAACGATGAAGAGACTGAAAGGGAGGAAGTTGCACGGTAAGGCTTATAATGACTTGATACTCGAAGCAAAATACCTTTGGCAAATACCCACTCCGTTTGAATGAGGACCTATACACTAACATCTCCACAACACTGTCGGACTTTACTCTCACAAACAATCTTGTTGCTCTCGGGAAGCAAAGGGTGGAGCTCAGCCTTGCGTTCCACATTTTGCCAAAGTCAAATCTCTTTCTTTTCCTTGGTTTAGTTCTCTTGACTTTAGCATGTAGTCACGCCTCAAGCCAAATCGGAACTTAGTTGGCTGACTTCATGTGACTAGAGTAAACCACAGATGGATGTCGACACAAAGACCAATTGGTAGGCCCACTGGCCCACTGGTGGAGGTATCGGACGGGCTTACCCACGTCGTCTGCGCCTGCGCCTGGTTCTGCTCTTTGGTTCGGTGGTGCTCAAATTCTCATATGCCACTATCAGCTCTTGGTCGTTTGGATCTGATTGTTCATGCTTCATCTGATTCCATCTCCTTCTCACCGCCCTCTCCGCCTCTTTCCGGATGGCCTGTCGATCTTCCCTGGAGTATCCATCGCCTTCACTGTCAGTATCTTCGCGCTGATCCACTTCCCAAGGAAGCTTCTCCGGAGTTTCAAGGGCGCTTCCACATGCCCTCCATGGTTCGCGGAAGAGCAGAGCTCTTAGTTGTGTGATAACTCCACTGAGCAAGACGCAAGTGGTACATCCGTAGGTACCGTCGGGAACGTTAAAAATCTCGTGTCCGTCAGGAAAGCTGTCACCTTCCTCCGTAACTTGAAGGTCCTCGCAAAATCGTCGCCGATTTTGTTTGCACAGATAGCAATTGTATATCTCACACATTGCTGCGCTTGGAAGGGAGCAGATGCGCGGCAAAGGTTCGTTCGTGGGAGCAACTCGCTGATGGGAATCTGCAAGGTTGTAAGCGAGGAGGGCACAGATAATTGCTAAGTCTGTATTTCGACCGGACGCGGACGCGTACCAAACTGGCCACAGAGGTGTAGTTTTTGTATGTTTAACCTTTCTTCACAGGGAAATCCCAGTCGAGCAGTGAGAATGTCAATTTCTCATTTTAGAGTTCATACAATAAGTACGCAAAACAGTGGCAAAGTCAAAGAAGAGATGCAAGGACGAGTCGGGCTTTGATAGGGCCATCTCATGGTGTCGAGGAGAGAGGGAGGGAGGGAGGAAGGGGAGAAGAGGATCACAAGGTTTTCCAGGTGAGGCAGAACCACTGTTGCCTCTGAGGTCCTCTGAACCCACCAAATTAGAACCATCGCACTCACCTTGAGGACCTGCTAGATTAGCTCTCTTCCAAGACGGACTTGGAATCGTGATTCGAGTCTAAAAGTTGGTGTATTCCCGCTTAGCACTGATGCACCAGATCGCCTTAGTCTTCACCTGACATTCTGCTCACAATTGTCTGGCGTTTCACAGGTAGAACAATCACCAGGACCCCAGGACAGAACAGCACAGCACATCGACAGACCATCTGGTCACATTTTGACATCGCATGCCATCAAACATCACCCATTTCCTGCGTGTTCATCACTTGTCCTCACGTGTCCACCCCTGATCCATCGTGGGATCTGTCTGCGACAAAAGGCTGAAGCCATGGAACGTAAAGATGATGGATTTGATCTCACTCCCACATATGGACCAGGCTATGTGATACAGCCACACCATGATTATACATACGTGAAAGACCAGAAGGTCGTTGCAGATAAAACAAGTCAACGAAGGAAGGATGAAAAAGGAGAAGTTGATCTTCGGCGTCGGATTAACATCTCATCCGACTGCGCCACAGACAGATCCTCACGTGAATATCACCAGCCACATTCGATGACCAGACGACAGCCTCGACGACAAATCCCAACAACTTCATCCTCGACATCGACCTCGACCATCCCATCTGATCTTCCACACATCGCCCTAGCGAGAAAAGGTGGACTCTACATCATTGCGGATACAGATCTATCACTTCTGCCCATCACACACCCCGATAGCCCTGCATATCGAGGCCCTCTTCCTCCAGAGAACAATATCACAAAGTCCTCAAGATCAGGCACGACCAATGCCACAGCTACTCCATCAACTGGCAGGTCTTTGAAGCCCAAGGTTCCCCATACCAAATCATCCATGTCAACCCATGACAGCCTGATTACCAACGACATGTCCAGCCCGGCTGCGCCCACGATGGAAGACCATTTCACTGTCTTCGTGCGCCTGCCATACAAGCGGGGCTCATTCACCGACCCGCCACCAGTATCATGGTCTGCAGCCAAGGAGCGTGCTCTATGGGACATTCTGTCACGCCAGTCCAAGAGCAATGAAATGGATTGGAAGTCGATGGCAGAGAGGTTTCAGGTGACCGAGAAGTTTTTACTGCAGCAAGCAGCCTGGCTCTACGAACGACAGTTGTCTCAGGTTCGAGCACAAATGAGAAAAGTTGGTAATCGTCAATCAGCAACTCCATCACCCGCTCCAGGATCGGCCTCCACGAGCATGGTTGGTGGCCAAGCAATGAAGCGAGCTGGCAGTGGAGGGTCACGTGTTCCCAGCCGGTTATCAACCCAAGCCATAGGAAGTCCCATCATCGGGGCTGGGGATAGCACTCCTGGTACACCTGCGAAGAGTCGGACATCTCTGCCATTTCGGGCCTCATCTGGCACCACAAATGTCAACGTTGCGACCCAGTCACGCACAACTTCTTCCGCAGCGAGGCCGCTATCACGACAATCATCCAAGGACAATGAGCCCGGCGCTGTGTTTCCACAAACGCAATCCCGTCGTGGTAGTATGCAGCATCAGATCCTACGATCGCCGATCCTACCTCGATCTAGTCCTTCTATCCAACAGACCAAACAAGAATCATCCGACTCAGAAGAAGACCTGACGCAGTCTCGGAATTTCGTGCGACGACCAAACCCTTCTTCAATACACCGACGAGCAGTGTCATTACGCAAAGAGATACCTTCTCAACACACTGGATCGTCGACCCCAATCGACCAAGCATCAGGCTCCCCCATCCCACCACAACACAACCAAGATCAAGAGGATGATGACGACGACGAAGACGAAGACGGCCCATCATTCCTACCATTTGTGGCGCCTGCTGCTAATCCCACCTCCAACAAAACCCGCCCGTCATCATCGTCGCAACAAGACCCTTCAGCAACGCTGCGCGGGACTTTGTACCAACTCCAGACCCAAAACGTACGTCCGACCCTGAATCGAAGGGGAACGAGCGAACGAATCATCAACTCTCCCACAGTTGAACCACCTACACCAAGAGCCAAAGACCGCGCAAACACAGAAGGTCGATCACCATCGCTGGGCTCTCCAACCACTACCACAATACAACACGGCCACCCTGTTAGTCAGGGCACAGGTATATCTAGTGGCAATACGTCGACACGACCATTGAGTTCACCTCTAACACGTCATGCTCCATCCCCAGCCCAACACCGCACACCTCTGACATCGACGTCATCAAGACCAACGATAAGCAACAGCAACGTCAACCCTCGATCCAACCTCACCACGACCACCAGCAATAACAGCAACAACCACCCCGGCAGCGATACATCACCTAGCATGGGCAGTTCATTCAGTGATCTAGAGGATGCTAGTGTGACGCAGTCGGCGCTTGAAGAAGCTCTGATGAGTGGGATTGGAAACACCGCTAGTATCATGACTGTTGGCAGTACTAGTACCAGCACCCATCCCAATGCGGCCAACGATAGAGCAACAGGTCCAGCTGCCGTCGCTGGTCGAGCCACCACGGGCATTGCTCAAGCTTTGAGATCAAGATATTTTGATGGTCGGGACAGAAGATGACGAAACGTCATGCATGTATGGTCGGAGATGAAGTAGAGAAGGGATGGACAGAGCAAGCGACATTGAGTGGCTGTGAGAGCTTCCAAATTGGATCGATCGGGTTATGCCACGCCCCCTTGTTTGTGTTTCCATCGAATTGAGCTGACCTGGAGATGACCAAGTTCAATCGTTTTTGCTTTTTTTCATTTCTGAGCGATACTCTGCAAGCCTGTGAATAGTACCTGTTTGAGTAATGATCATGAATATACCTACCTAGATTCTTGAAAATTTTTGGCGATCGACCGATTCCTTACGTCTTTCTATCGTTTGATTTCATTTCATCTGACGTGCACGCATATATGGATCAATGGATAGCTTTAGGCTTTGAGCAATCTAGATAGACACACCACACCATACTGGGATATGTACACCAACTATATGTTCCTTCCTATGCTTCTAGGTTCTGTATCTCTACCTATATGTCTCCAACTCTTTTCATAAATCGTCCTCCCCATTCAAGTCCTTTCAACGTGAGGTGAGGTGAGGTGAGTGTGAGGTTTCTGCCACCTTAAGCAACCGTTTCAAGCGCCAGGGAAGGGATGATCGTAGGGACGAAAATCCATACCCAGAACCAAGTAGGCTGTAGACATGAAAAGACCGAGTCTGGCCATCATAAGTGTCACATTTGAAGAGGATTGAAAGCAGATTCTTGTCTTGCAGGAACCCCATAACCCGAGAGTTTCATAACCTGCCCACAGTTGCAATCAGGCTGCGGCAAGAGTGGGACGGATAGACAGATAGAGAGAGGGAGGGAGGGAGAGAGAGAGAGAGAGAGAGAGAGAGAGAGAGAGAGAGAGAGAGAGAGAGAGAGAGAGAGAGAGAGAGAGAGAGAGAGAGTGTGTGTGTGTGTGTGTGTGTGCGCGCGTGTGTGCGTGTGCGCGTCTAGAAGTATGAAAGAGGGAGTCTCAGAGCAAGCAAAAAGCAATTCTAGAGTTCGCAGTCGCCCTCCATTGTTGGTTTAGTCATTGTGACAACTAAGGGGGGCATTGCATTTTGCATTGAGATCCAGCCTAGTCGTGGCCAGAATACGGTAAGTAAACGCCTCAGTGCCCTTCGGCCCCTCGCTTCCCCGCCAAAGATGGCTGGAGGGTGATTACAAAGGATGAAGTAATCGTCCAGAAACGGTTACCAAAGGGGGATTGGGGGAGTTCTCGACCATCCTCTAAGTAGGTAGGTAGGTAGGTAGGTAACGTAGTTCTCACCCCTCTCTCCCTCGGTGCGACCTAGGTTGGTAGGTATCACACATGGGGAGAAAAGTGCGTCCGCGTCTTCGTCTCTCGCGAAGGAAGTGTCATGTCGTGTGCTTTAGTACTTGGTGAACAAGGCTTGGGGTTCCCATTCGTCCATGTTTTTTGGCCCGTGATGGGTTTCGCAGTCACACGCTTTGATCAGCCATAGGCCGCCTGAGCAATTGCGACTCAAACTGAATTCGAGCCTGTAAAGCCTGTACGGCACGTCGGAGACTTGCTTCCTGTAAATTGCGGGAATACATGTACTGCGACATATGGGCGTTGAGGTCGTCGTAGGTCTTGTAGCCGAAATAAGTACAGAGATTGACCGCACGGGTGAGAAACCATTCTTCTTCACGAGGATAGTCAGTTGCGACCCACACCCCGATCAAAACCGACCAGAGGGCCAGACCGGCCTGAGTATGTTCAAACGGAGTGAGTTTTCGAAACGGATCGTTTGACCCACAGTCCAGGGACCATGACACCGAAGGCGTCCAGTAAGTAAATGCTTCTGCGCAGGCATCTCGAAATTTAATCACGTTGGCTTGTGCCGTTTGATCGCCGATGACGGTGCACGCGTACGTCAACATTAGGATTATCGTCTGGCGCAGTGCTTCGGTACATTTGGTGTAGAGACTCATTGGACGTGCATAACTTCCTGGATCAAGTGCTGGGGACATGGCGAGTAATGATCGTAGCACTGATCGAGCCTTTCGACAGAGCCATTCGGCGTCGAAACATACTGCAATGGGTGATAGCCATACCACCTTTGCGATTTCGATGCAGTCGACTAGATCGGCCACGCTCTTTCCAAAATGGCCGGCAAACACCCCTGCGCGGATCCCGCCGCTCAAATTCGTGCCCATTCGGTGGTCTAGCGTTCGAGAGAGGTTTTGCATCACGTCGTTGAATTTCTGTGGTGGATGGTGCGCCACCAGGTGAGTCGTGGGGGATGGGTATCCATATGTGAGAACCCGTCGTGCTTCGCGTTTGAGCATGTTCAGTCGTTCCGGTAACATGGGACCTGGGTCGAAGTCGAATGGTAGGACGGGCGGTTGTCCGGTCATCAGGGCCAGTTGATTGTCGACGTGGGCTGTTGATTCGGAGATCCAGTGGTCGAGATATATGTTGGGGTCGAGGAGGTGGTGAAGTCGTGCGATGACCTGTAAATGTTTGCGCGCCTCGTCGAACAGTCCATACTGAGTTTCGCTGACGATGATGAAGACCAGGTCCATCAGCGTCTGTTTGTCGACCGTCCCCGTCCGGGCGTTGTCCATGAGTTCTTTGCGGAGGTGTCGTACGGCAATGCGATAGACCTCTCGTGGATCTCCAGCGGGGCTTCCCTCGTACCAGACGTGCTTCATGCGAGCCGTTGCGGCGGCTATGAGTGAATATAGGTGGTGTTCCTTATATACGCTTCGCTGGACCACTGTTTGAATAGGGAATTGGGGCATGGATTTCTGTAGTTGGATTGGTAGGTGTGCGATTTTATAATTGTTGCCCGAGTACGCGTAGATCTGCAAAAGATGCTGGAGGACCGAATGGATGCTGCTAGTGATGTGGATGCTACCGGCACCGAAGGAGTCCATGCCCACCTTGGGACTAAAAGACGTGCGATGAACTGTCGCTGAAAGTATTAGAGCCTCTGCATCTTCATCACTACTACTGTTCTTGTCAACATGCCCATACCCATGGTCAAGTGAGACTTGATGGTCACGACAGCGATCGTCGCTGCTGAGCCTCCTCGTCAGCGGGCCATAATGGCTTTGGACCACAGAAAAGGTTGCTGGTGATGAAGTAGAGGTGCCATATGAGCATTGATTTGATGGAGTAGTGACATGAAAGGGAGCATCTGACGGTGTGAGCCCACTGGACGAATCCGTTGCTGGTGACGAAGGGGTTTCTGGGTCACTTCCACTAGAACTAGGATCATTCCATCAGTTCAGTTCAGTTCAATTCAATTTAAATCACAATCCTGGGAGATGGTGTTCCTCCAAGTCCAAAAACAGCTAAAGTCCTTACCCTTGAGTCGAGGTCTCCTTGCGATTCCAGCCATCTAGGGCGATGCGACGGGCGGATGAAGCATTGGTCTTTAGGGACTGGATTCGACGATTTTCACTTTTCCGGTTCTGCACTCGTTGAGCATGTCGATTGATGAGTTTAGCGATGCCGCGTTCGCTCCTCGACAGGGACTTGGAGTCGAGAGATTTGTTGACGAAGAGAAACGCTTGGCCGTCGCTGGTTGAGTCGTGACAGTTTCTCATGGTTGCCAACGCTGGACTCGGACGGCGCCCAAATCGAGCGGGGCAGCGATGCTGGATTCAAGTGTCGGATATGGTCGGCATGGTTGTACGTGGACGTCGTAGACGTAGACAATTGTATGCACGGATGGATGAATGGATGGAGGGCGATCGAGGTAATCGTTAGGGAGGCTAATAGGTCGTAGGCGTTGGCTGGGTCTGATATATCATCAGCGCCCAGCCACTTACCAAGGGCTTTTTGGTGGCAATCCCAATGCCCGTAGCGGCTGTCCGTTCTGGTCCGTTTCTGACCTTTCCACTCGACGATGGACACCTCCCTGTAGGTGGGCTGAGGTACCAGACGGATGCCCAATCATTTTGGGGATTACGAGATGTATGGGTTAAGCGATGCTTATTCAATGGTTGTAGACAGGGGTCGTTTTAAGGCATGGCGCCCCTCGAACTTGAGCCCATACGATTGGATTACAGGCTCGGATTCACTGCAAGGGTGCTCAAGGTGACCTGAGAACGACTGTCAAAGAGGAAAGATTCGCTCAGAATTCTTGATCGATCTGTGCCTGGAGCTCAAATCGGGCTTCTGGTCCGGGTATTTCTGCTACGAAATGTGGAGCATCACCCATCCTAGTGGTATTTCCTTTACAACTTGGGGACGAGGGACGAGAATCCACTCTGCTGCCGTTGACCAACATGCCACTTGGAGGCTCGGCAGTGACATTGCTCATTTCTAGTAACACCTTTGACCGTATCGACATGATCATAGCACCAAAGACCTCGCGAAAACCCAGTATTCTTGTATAACGGGCCTGTCCAACGCAGCTTGATGGGCATGGCGATTCCACTGTTATGACAAATAGGACAAATCCTCCAAAGCCTTGGTTTCCTATAACGGGCTGACGCGAGCGTCCCATGCTTACCTTGTTGCTTTCTCATACTCGGCGCTGCTGCTGAGAGACCTGTTGCCAAATTGTTTCTTCAGTATGCACATTATGCATGAGCCGAATGTGATCAGCCTTGGTTAGGTCTCTTCCTCTTCCACCCCGGACCTGGATAACATGGCTGTCGTTCTATGGCCCATCGGGTTCGGTGCCTTTGCTGAGGTTAGTTGGGTACCGTTTCCGGTCGATGCACATGTCTTGAGCTCACGAAGATCGCTTCATGCTCCCAGTTTGAGACGTTCTGTTCTGCCAACAGACGATTGAAATGCCTTGGTTGCCGCATTGTCCTCGTCGAGAACTGAGGGAGGGTCACGCGGGCCGAAGCCCAGAGCAGAGTGGACTTTCAACATGATTCTTCAAATCTCACCCGGCGAGACCAAGACCGGACCGAAAGCTCATTCATTGGGTGGATGACGCACTTGTCAAAGCCGAGTGCTCATGTGCATTGTCTCGACCTTGTGACACCAGATCATGAGAGCGAGAGGCCTATCTCTGTTTTCGGTCAAATCTCAGCTGGATGGCGACTCGGCGTTCAGAAGTTCCCATATCATCCTGTGGCCGAATCCCTCCGATGCGATCGATGGATCACGAAAATCAAACTTGCCAGCTCTGGATCGGGCTCTGACTCTGGTTTCGGTGTCCAGCGCACATACACCAATTGATCACGGACATGGCAATTCCTTCAGCGTTTTGTCTTCCAGTGTATGACTGCGAGAGCAGGCGATTCTGGATCGTGGAAGCAAGATGCCCACGACTAGCTTCCTGTCATCTAAGGGAAGTTGCACTAACTCACGGTGTGCTCTTCGTTCAATATGCAAGACTTATGTTAACTTGCTTTACCGTGGGTCGGCAAACTCAGCCTTGCAGGTCGAGAAGAAATTTGTTTGGAACGCATCCTGGTGAGTCCAGAACATTGGTCATATATCCACGTGAAACTCAGGCACGAACAGCATCAGATAGTCGATGCTTCTTAGCGATGCAAACATGGTAGTATTCGATACACTCGAAAGACGATCATTCGGCAAGCCAGGGTCTTCAACCTCGAGTTTCCAACCTAAAGCGCCTGGCCATAACATGACTCAGCCAGTTTTGGGACTTTTGTGCATCACTTTAGAAGGGTGTGAACCTTCAACATGATTGATCACAACTGACAGCCTCAGGCTAGGCCTCGTATTTGACATCAAAGAAGAGGAATTGCAGCTGGAAGCCTGCATCAACCACGCAGGCTGAGCACCTGGACACGAACGCCTTAGGCACGGGAACCATGCATCGTGCCCAATCAACCGCCCGTTTTGTCAGACAACAGACTTCCTCCACGGGTGCTGATTAACATTACACTACCTGATCCCACGGACGCGGAGCCTTCGGTGTCGGTAGTTCTGTTTCATTTTGTCGATTGCGCAAAGCACCAGGCTGACGGCTGACGATTCTGGCGGGGGCCATGGCCCATGGGTGGCCATCGTGGGCTTTCAGCATATGTAAGCGCCCGATCCGGTATCCGATATGCACTCAACGATTGGTCTTGAACGCCAGGACCCATGGGGCATGCTTGTTGCAGTAGCGAACCCGTCTCAAGTCCTTGGGTCACCGCTCTACTGGCTAGCTTATTCATCGAACCTCTTCTCGTGTTCCGGCGTCTGTGTCTGGACCACCGCCACTCGCTGATTCTTTATACGGGCGACACTGCTCTAGCCCCCAATAGAATGCGCATACGCTCTGGTTGATTCTTTTTATTAACTATCTTATTAGAAGATCTTGACGTCAAAATTGAACGTGTGTCAGATAAGGCTGTTGTGTCGAGTTGACAGATTCCCGAACCCAAACCGGGCTTGGTACTTCCTCGACAGAAGGGATACCTACAAGGGTCACATCTATCCCTCATCAATTGGTGGGCAATATGTATCGAGGTGACTCTGACTCGTATTCGGCGATTTGAACAGGAATCTCGTTACCCTCTGATTTGATCTCTATTCCTAATCCAGAATTTTCTTCGACAGGTGTAGCTGGAGATGAATCTCCCCTTTTGGTACTTTCTGGCGAATCGACTGTATCTATGATGAGGCCTGTTGTGGGCATCGGGGGTGTTTCGACACTGTTCGAGTCGACGACGACTTGATCATCAGGCTCGTAAATCCATTCCAGTACCGAGTGGCATTTGGGATCATGAGTGGCTTTGAGCGCGCCTTGCTTGAAGCTTCTAAACTTCAAAGCGGGCTCCACGCTGTGAAATAAATCCTTGAATTCCTGCAGCTCACGTACCTTGCCTTTCATCAGACTGTACATGACATTGTCAAGTCGTCTGGTTGCAAGCTCGGCGTATGGCGGAGCGGTGCCCAGTGGAGGCATGACGTATTCGATGGCAACGACACGAGTTCCTGGTCGAAGGACGGGTCGAAGAGCTTCGAGTATGCGTCGAGCACCCTTGTCACACCAGTTGTGAAATACCATACGGAACAGATACATGTCTGCAAGCACTGGCTGAGACTCTAAGAAGTCATGTGGCATGAATCTGATTTGAGCATTTGGGAAATTGGGACGTTTGGTGACGGTTGCATTAGCAGCGTTGATTACTTTAGGAAGATCTTGAACAATACACCGTACCCCTGGCTCTTTTTTGACAATGGCCTGGGCAACAGAGCCAAAGGAGCCGCCACACTGTCGACATGTTAGCGTCACAAACAAAAATCGTCAACGGAGCAGAGCGCTGGACATACATCGACAAGGAGCTTGTCCTTCATGGAATGCCAATCGTAACCTTGCTGGATTGCTTCATCTCCAGACTGAGCAGCCTGGGCGCGCATGTGGGCAGCGAATTTTTGGCCCTGATCCGGGTGTGACTCCAAGTATTGGAAGAGTGGCTCTCCCCTGGCGAGGGTGAAGCCGTCGACCTTTTCGGCCTCGTCGGTAGGATCGGTCGTGCAGACATCACCTAGCCTGAAGGAGGAAATGGGAAGGTGACTGAGCATGACCTCCATGCCGTTGGCCATCATGGGATCCAATTGCCAGATGGATGAGTTTGGGCTATGGGTAACTTGGCCGGTCTCGGTTTCGGCCAGGTAGTTGCAACAAAGGGCTGCTATCCGGATGAAATGCCTGAGCCGGTCTTCGGAAACGTTGACTTTTGCAGAAAGTTCGTGATAGGATATTGAACCGTCCAAGGGGACAGCTTTAGGGACACCGAGTTGACAGAGGGCCTGCACTACTCCTGCTTCGGCACTCTGGGTTATAATTAGGAACCAGCTCCCATTTTGGCTGAGGAGAGGCATACCTTGTAGTATAAACTTTGCATAGCATCCTTTGGACCCAGGACCATCTGCTCAAGACGTCTCAAATTGGTCAGAAGCTGGTTGCGAGCCTCTTCACCAGCCGCATCCAACTTGGGCACCGTAATTCTTGGAGGCGAGGACGCATCGTGGAGGGAGGGATCCTGCCAGGCCTTGCTCAACACCTCTGCTTGAGCATTGATGGCCTGAGACAAGACTTCGAGGGAAGACATGTTGTGTTAGTGGCGGCCACGGTACTTGGGAGAATGAGCCGTAAGGGAGATATGGACGGATCGAGAATGGCTTTGAAGACGATGGTTGTTGCAGATAGGTGAGGATGCAGTAACGAAAGTGTAGGGGTTGATGATATGTACCCAGATCATACAGCCAGACAAGACGAGAGCTCCGTTCGACGACTGGGCTTTGTGCTCTTAAAACATCGAATGTTGAGGTGGAAGGCCTTGATACCAAGGACGTTAGTAATTGGGCAGCTACGAGAGAGTACGAGAGCGAGCATTGCTCCTTCCTGAACGATGTGCATATCTCGCGAGGACCCCACGAGGAAGGTGCCAGTGCCAATCCCTGAGCGGATTCTTCTTTGAAGGGAGGGAGACACGGGAGAGTAACATCATGATAGAGCGCACGTTCACCTTCAACTTCACCTGCATCTGCCTCGAGCGGAACCGAACGTCCTTGGTCGATCATGAAAATCCGGCATTCGCTCTCCTGGGCAAGTAGTTGTGGACGATTGGCGCATAATGTATGATTCATGTCGCCACAAGCGCGTTGGGATATCTTCAAGTCGATACCAAAACAAGATGCCACGGCGGACCTCATGCGGCCTGAACCTTGGCAGCCAAAGCAAGTGGAGGATGAACGCTATGCTATCCTGTGAAAGTAATAAAGAACGCCTGATTGGAATGCACTGCTTTTTCCACTGTCACGAGTTTCTTCTCAAAACTAATAAATGACACGTTCATTACCAATCTGGTCGTGACCTCACAAAGTGCCATGTAAATTGCCCTGGATGCTTGCTCATAATGAGAATCTGTAACCATCGTTATCAACTCGGCCTTTGTAGAAAGCAGATATGGGACTCAGAAATCAGCTCGAACCCGCATTGTTTTACACTGCTCCCAGATCCACTGACCTAAACGGCAGCGGTCGGATGCATGTCTAGGTTCACGATTGTTTGAGCACACATTCCATCACAGTCCCTCGAAAAGAACATGGCGTTAAATCAGAGTTGCAGTCAACTGTGGAAGTATCACATTTATCATGGGTATGGATGCGATTCGGCTCTTCGAGGCGAGTCACAAGGGTAACATTTACTCGAAGACTCTGTGACCGCGTCGTTGTGTGGGTCCTCAATTCGCCTAGACTTGAGGTTGACTTCCGGGTATGACTCTGATAGAGGGGAGGAGTTGCTGCTTGGCCTGTCGTCTCCCGTCCTACCTATTCTTGGATGCCATAGAGATCAAGTCGAGCCCAGACTGGACTGTTTGAGTAAATATGTGTCCCATTCTTGCCTCCTGTGTGTCAGACGTCCACACGCGTGAACAATAAACATTGCTCATCAGATCTCATACCTGTTTGTCAAGACCGGCATAAGTCATGCTGCCGACGGGACACATCATGTTTTGGAACGAGGAGGAAAGCATATGATTTGTTCAATGGTTAGGCTCTCATACAAACAGTATCAGCATCTCGAAACCTCCTCCACGGTGTGATGTCTTGGATGCCTCGTTCTTGCACTGGGGCTACATCTTGCTCCCGCGACCATACCACGTATCATGATGCTCAATGCCCTGCACCGGGGAAAGACGATTGTAAACCAAGATATGAACCCGTCAGATCATCAACCTCACTGGTTGAAGCGGCACACCTACATCTCGGCTGTTTTGGCCAGCCACGAGTTGTCAAAAGTGGTGCAGATTTCTCAGGATCGTCCGAAGGTGTTTTCTCCAGAGTACCTATGAAACAGTCAGCATGTCAAGACAAAAAGAGCTATGTGTGTGGGGTTATGGGGTCAGGGGAATCGAACGTACGTGATGTACAAGAAACCGTCCTCGTCCTTGTGTTCCTCATAGATGCTGCTCATGAGGGCTGCAGTGGGGGGTAAGACTTCATCGACGAAGATGAAGATGGCTTTTTCAGGGCTGAGCTTTATTCGTTTGCGAATAACATATACGAATTGGCCAACCGTGAGGTCGGCCGGGACGAGGTATTTCTTCTTATCGATGGTAGCGATGTCAGATTTCTCGACCTTTTCGCAGATGACCTAGACAGGAATCAGTATGTGCGTGTGGGAGATGAGAGTTGTGGTGTGGATGGTTCTTACAGGGATGCGATCGGCATACTTTTGACGAATGCGTTCGGCTTCTGCCTTGCGCTTCTCAAAAGGGTGCTCGTCCTTGAACTTGGAACGCATGATGAATGACGCGAGAGATCGGGAGTTTCGAGGATGAAGTTGGGGATGGTGTACGATCTGGCGATGAGTGGTTGTTGTCGATGACAAGTTGAATTGAGGATGTGGGGATTGCAAAGGATGATGGAGTGGTAGATGGATGGAGGGGAGGTTGGTCGGTGAGGGAATGAAGGATGAGGGATGAGGGATGGACGTGTAACTGGTAGGAAGTCGTGATTAGGCTGCGGCGGCAAAGTGGTGAAGGAAGGTGCTAGGCACTGGGCCGCGTGGTAGGCCTGGGGGTGGCAGGTGCAGTGAACCAGTGTGGCAGGTGGCAGGCCTCGGGCGCAGCAGGCAAGTGTGGCAAGTAACCAAACGTCGCACTGTTCACCAACTCTCGACCTGTTCACAATCCGGAGCGAATCAGAATTGGACAGTGTGATCGTGCTGTCGAACCTTCGAGGTCAGCGGGGGGATTGATGAATAATATAACACACTGTGTCAATTAATCAATTGGGCAATGGATACAATGTGCCTTTTATCTGCGCTGGTTCTGGCGCAAAGAGTGTCCCAAGGTTGCCTGTTTTATTCTGGTGCAGGCAGACAAGTGCTGGATGATTAATGACACACCGCACCTCCGATTGCCAACAACGTATCTAGGTACCTAGGTACTGTAGGTAGGCATAAGGTACTGGTGCTAAGTAGGTGCAGCAGCTGTCAGGTTGGAGGCCACAACCCCGCACTCCTGTGATGCAAACGGCCACAGTGACGACAATCCAGGTCACGGGATCATCATTCATTGAGCTCTGACTCCCAGTTGATTGCACCAGTCAGCGGTCACCATCACTGGATGCATCACCCGACCTGTTCCTGGCAGCCTGATTGTCAACGCCCTTTATGATTGGTCTTTGTCAAGACTCACAGCTCCTTCTGCTCCCACCAACCAGAAATGAGTCATTGAAGGTATGGACTTGTTCCAGCCATGACTGAAAATGACTCGTGGGTAATTGGATAGATCTTGTCGTCAAGACAGCTTGATTGATTTACCGAACATGCCCGTCGAACTTGCCGGTTGCTGGTGGCAATCCTCGACTAAATTTATGACATTCTTTTCTTGTCGAATGGGAATGTGGCCAAAAGAGATCATCTTGTAGGAAAGATGGGCGTGGTGTGACTGACGGACACCACCACTGTAACGATCACGTGTTGGTGGAGATGAGGAGCAACCACCGCAGCGTCGATATCGACGGTGCAGCTCCAATTCTTCAGATTTCCCCAGAAGTTCCTGCGTCAAGACTCATGACACCGTTTCTGGTGGATCTCGGCACAAGACCATTCATTTTTCCATCTCAACCTTGTATGCAGCTCTACGGTCATGAATAGAATCATGCGACTTTGATTCTCGCCCTTGCATTACTGAAATGTATCACCAATTGGTCCATTTTTCTCACTAGTCGAACCCAGGTCGTGTTGACAGATTTGAAAATGTCGCTCACCAAATCAGTACCAGCCTCATTAAGAGCCCTCAGATCCTCTGGAGGGACGCCATGTCTCGCTCGTCCCATCCGATGCCCCTCCTCTAGCTTTTTTGCTCCCATTCCCCGATCTGCCTTTTCGACCTCAATACCTCGCGGCACCCAGTCAGATCCCCTGTCCCGGCAGCGGGTGCGTATGAAAAGACCCTACCTACGAATATCACTTGGAGTTTTATTCGTAAGCATTCTGGTGTACAATATGGCTACTGGCACCCCCACCGCCAATGACTCCCCTCCAATCCAGCCCACCTCTCTGGCCGAGGTGGATGAGATCACCAAGCAAAAGACAAACATTACACGCAAGTCGCCAATGCGGTTGCGGATGGAAGCTTTAATCAAGGAGCACCAGAATCGAATTGTGTTTGCACTCGAGAACATTGATGGCAAAAAGTTCCAGCGCGACGAATGGAACCGCCCAGCCGGGGGCGGAGGGATTTCGTGTGTTTTACAGGATGGCAATGTGTTTGAAAAGGCTGGCGTCAACGTCAGCGTTGTCTATGGCGAATTGCCACGTTCGGCCATTGAAAAGATGCGATCGGACCACAAATCTTTTGTTGCTTCGGATGTGGAAAAACTCAATTTCTTCGCTGCTGGTCTCTCTCTCGTCCTACATCCTCACAATCCTATGGCCCCGACTGTCCACCTCAACTATCGATATTTTGAAACGTCAGATCCTCGAGATCCTGTCAATGCCACCGGCACGGCACCCCAGAATTGGTGGTTTGGAGGTGGAACCGATCTGACACCATGCTACTTATTCGAGGAGGATGCCAAACACTTCCACAAAACCCTCAAGGCGGCCTGCGACAAGCATGACAAGGATTACTATCCTCGTTTCAAGGATTGGTGTGATCAATATTTCCGGATCCCACACCGAAATGAATCTCGGGGCATTGGTGGCATCTTTTTCGATGACCTGGACAGTCTAACTCAGCCAAATTCCAAGAATGCGCAAGAAGATCTATTCCAGTTTGTTGCGAGTGGCTTAGAGTCCTTCTTACCTGCCTACCTACCTATCATCAAGAGACGAAAAGACATGCCTTTCTTGCCTCAACAAAAAGAATGGCAGCAGATCCGGCGGGGCCGCTATGTGGAATTCAATCTGATCAATGATCGTGGCACTAGTTTTGGGCTTCGAACTCCTGCTGCACGGGTAGAGAGCATTCTCATGAGTCTTCCTTTGACAGCCCGCTGGGAGTACATGCACCCAGTCTGTGGAACTGGAGTGGTGGAAGACTCAGAAACAGATGAACAGTATGAAAAAGAAAAGGAGGTCATGGAAGTCCTCCGAAATCCCCGAGCATGGGTCTAGACTATAGAATGGGCGTACAGCATAGCAAGGAGGTATAACACCGGCATCACAGTCCAGCCCCGTATAAAACTGGCTTGAAGCGTTGTACAGTATGAGTTTGGTATCTAGGTAATGCAAGACTGTGAACTTGGAATCTCGACTGGGGGTAGCAGTTTTCAGCCTCCATAAATTTACATGTGTACGTAGGGGAGGGACACAGACACCCAGCGACCTTGGGCAGGTACCCCGAGCATTAGGTATCGAGGCGCCCCAGACTGTCCCCAAGTATTTACTTGGTCCCTTTACTTCCTTTAGTCCACCGAGCAGTTATTTATATCTATGGCCAAGTTAGGCAGGCGACTGTTACAGTACAGACCATGATCCTCATACTTGCTCCCAGTGCCGCCGCAGCATCAGGCCTAGTCGGATTGGGAGTGTTTGGCTGCCCGTCAGATCGGCAGGAGACCGCCGCGACAAGCCCCTCGGCCTGCAGCCCCGAGGCCTATAAACTGTACATGGTCCGGGCGTAAGCCATATGCTTATCTCCCGCTCAACCAGCGGCCCCAGTGTCCAAGTACGCGGTACTTAGTGCCTGTCAGTGCCTGTCAGTGCCTGTCAACATCCTGAATTTGTGGCTTCTTTCCCCCAAGGCTTGTTGTGACTGCGTGTTTCAATCACACGATTTGTTAGGCAACCAGTGACTTACAGGACTCCCCTCTACCGACCGCTCTTTCCTCTTGTCGCTTATGTCCAAACACGCCAGGCGCAAAGCTTCTCCACAGCTTGTCATTGCACGTCCCTCTACCCTCTTCACACGTTCATCCGTTTTCCGTTTTCTTTCGACAAGTCATGTTCTCCGTAAAATGCCCCATTCATTGGTGACCATTGACCAGTCAGCAAAGCTTCGACCATGGGGTCTGGACAACTAGCCGCCTCACACAGGCGGTGGTGGCTCACGCTCAATGATTTTAACCTCGAGCCAGACCACACTCGGTCCAGCCCCAGAGGGGCTACCAAAAATACACATGGGTAAGACCACAACACCCACCATTCACAACAAGTCATGGCTTGCTTCAGCCTCTCTTCCGTTCCTGTTCTTCCATCGACTAATCGCCAAGTACAGGGCTTCCCTCTGCCACGATTTTAGTACAGCTTACTGCATACCCTCTCTCCAAAGGTGCGCCATCAGATTTGTGGATCAGCTCAGAACAACGACACTGTCAGCCTCGACCCTAGCATTATAAAGGCCATTGGAAGGGCGGGGTCAGCAGGTAGACCATGCTTTCGTGTAACTACTACAACTTTCTCTCTTGCTACGTCTGTTGATTCAACATGAGGGCAGCTCTGGTGTCTGCCATACTGAGCACAGTATTTGCTCACGGTGCCCTTGCCCATCTTGGTAAATGGGTTGGAGTAAGTTGCACACCGCAGGACTTTTGTGCAGAGGCTAACGACGGCGCTCGACGTAGGGTGGCGATTGTCCATGGGGTGACAGAAAGGCCTCGAACACACATCCTGCTGATTTCCCAGATACAGGTGAGTGTCTGTTCTCCACGTGGCCGACTGTCCTAACCACTCCCCAGGTGTGACCAGATATTATGATTTCACCGTCGCTAGGGGCTCCTTTGCCCCTGATGGTGTACAACAGTCAATGATCGTCATTAATGGACAATTTCCTGGACCATTGATTGAAGCAAATTGGGGCGACTGGTAGGCTGCCTACCACATGGAGTACAATCATCAGTTGAGCTAAACCATCATTCAGGATCGAGGTCAACGTCCACAATGAAATTACTGGGCCTGAGGACTTGACCATGTTGCACTGGCACGGTCTCAACCAACCCGGAACTCCATATATGGATGGTGTTTCCAGTGTATCTCAGTGCCCCATTGTCCCTGGCGGAAACCTGACGTATCGATTCCGAGCTGATGAGCACGGGTCCACCTGGTACCATGCTCATTACTCTGCTCAGTACGTTTCTGGGGTATATGGGCCCATGGTCATTCATGGACCCAACGACGTCCCCTATGATGAGGATCTCGGTCCTATCTTGGTGTCAGACTGGTACCATGATAGCTACGAACATATCGTTGACCTTGTCATGCAGCCGACCAACGGTCCTCCTTTCCGTCCAGTCTCAGACTCCAACCTTGTCGGTGGAAAGGGCCAATTCCCCTGTGAAAATGTCACAAGTGGTGCCCCATGCACGGTCAACCCATATGCTTCATGGGAAATTGAACCGGGCAAGACGTATCGCGCGCGTTTCATCAACACCGGTGCAACTGCTTTCGAAACCATTTCGCTTGATGGACATACCTTTACTGTGATTGCGAATGACATGGTGCCTATCCAACCGTACGATACCGATTTTGTCACTATTGGCGTGGGACAAAGAGTCGACGTCGTCTTCACGGCTAGTGCGGGAAGCGGCTCGTTTTGGCTTCGTGCCTTCAACAGTCCTTGTGGGGACACCAATGGCTCTGACGGCCGGGGAATCATCTATTACAAAGGAACCGACCCATCTACTCCTCCCACTAGCCAAGGCAAGCAAGCACCTGAGAACCCCTTCTGCCAAAACGACCCTCTTTCACAGACCGTGCCCCAGTATGTCATGCCAGCGGCTGAGCCTGATATGACGATTACCTTGACCATTGGCGGTGCACCTGACGAAAAAGGCATCTTCCGTTGGACGTTTAACGACATCACCTACGAGGGGGACTTGGACACCCCGAATCTCTTTGAGGCTATCGCTGGCATCCCCCTCCCGCCCTCACGAAACGTTTACCTCACAGACACCCATGAGGTGGTCCGAATCATCGTTATCAACACTCTGCCTGCGCCACACCCGATGCATATCCATGGACATGATTTCCAAGTGCTGGCTGAAGGGACAGGAACGTGGGACGGTGTGGTGGTCAACCCTTCGAACCCGCAACGCCGCGACGTGCAAATGTCCCACGCAGGGGCGGATCGAGGCCAGGGAACGACCAATTATATTGTGATCCAATATGAGCAGGACAACCCCGGTGTATGGCCTTTTCACTGCCACATTGCCTGGCATCTTTCCGCAGGCATGAGTATCATGCTCATGGAACGACCGGCCGAAATAGCCAAGATCGAAGTCCCAAGCAGCGTCAAGGCAACCTGTGATGCATACAAGGCCTGGGAAGCCGCCAATCCGCATATACCGGTTGATGAAGGCCTCAGGAAGAGAGATCTGGCCAAGCGCATGGTTGACTTTATGAAGGGCCATACTTCACATTCGGCCAAGCATCAGAAGAGAGGGTATCATGGCTTTTCTCATCAAGACCGTCATGGTGCTTGGAAGGGTGTTGAGGAGCCGAGAAAAAGAGACGAGGTTTGAAAGGTCGTACTCGGCAGTAGGGGTGTCTGTTGCATACTCTATCGTCGTACATAGTATGGTCAGTATATCATGTGGGAAGCCTCTCGTTGGAAGACTAGAGAGGGTGATTTGGAACAACATAGCATAGGGTTGCATGGGGAGCCGGCCATTGTTTATGCTCCCGGAAAAATGCATGCATCACGATTGATATCATCTTTATAGCATTGACAAGCACGTTGATCATAGTTTTATATATGGATGAAGCCTGTCTTGGTCGAGCGCGAGGTTCATTGAGTGCAAGGGGATGATTCGAGATAACCCACCGTAGAAGTACAGCGGAGGCAACGCGCTGCGAACGTCGTCGAGGCATCAAGGCATCGACTTTTCCCTCAGCACTGGCACTCCCACGACATCCAATGCATAGGAGACCCGCAGACAAGGCAAAAAACAAGAATCAACGAATGCTGGGGCTTGGAAACACTTGCCCTGAAGAAGCGGACGCCCAGAGGCGGAACAGACCAACAACGCATGCTGTTCCCGCCCGATGATCTGCACAGCCCGTCACCGTCCGCAGGCAAAGTACCCCAACTAGTGTTCCAAATGCTAACAAGTACATGCTACAGCAGAGTTGCCCAAGACACACCTAAGCAATCCCAACAAGAATCACTGTCGAAGTCGCCGAGATATGGAGGCTTGGCCCCGAGGAGCTGACACTTGGGTGGCGTGCGTGGATGGTAGCATGGCACGCACGGCCATGTCTGTCTGTCCCCGCTAATGCCTCTATGGACTTTAGGCGCTCCGCGGCTTTCGGAGCAGGGTTTATTTGCTTCAGTGTTGTCCTATGTCCCCAGAGGCCAAGGCATCCTCGGTCACGCGCAAAACGTCGCCCAGCCTTGGAGTCCAATGCCCAAGCACCTCTCTTACGACGCATGCCCTTTCAGCGAGCCACCATATTGTGCATCGCCTAAAAGATGTGACGATGAATCCGGGCAAGAGTGTGTTTATGGGATAAATCAAGCCTACAGTGCAGACATCTTTCTTCATCATGCTCTCCGGTCCATACAATCTCTCCGTATCTCAGACTCAAAGCCACGAGCGAGTCTATCAAAATGCCGAGGACAATCCTTCGAAACAACGAGGAGGGGATATTCGTCAAGATCTATAAGCAAAGATCCACCTTTTTCCCGGGAGACACTCTGTCTGGCCATGTGATTGTGTCTGATTCCCAATCTCAGCATGACCCAACGACCAAGGTCAAGATCAGGCTCTTCGGTCGCGCAAAGTCAGAAAGGATCGTACAGCGGAAAGCCACCAAGGTGGTTTCTAGAGGAAATGCGGTCTTCTTCGAGGAGCAACAGACCCTGGAGATGAAATCCACCACTTCCACACCTCACTGGCCATTCTCTATCACTATTCCCAGAAACCCCAAACCAGGATTCGGTGCTCGAGGTGACGAGTTCCCACCTGGGGTTTCCTATAAGGCGACACTCGAGAGTGCAAGTGGCCCGGAAAGGGATGTTGCAAGCGACGACTTGCCATCGAGTGTCTATCTCTACCACGAGTCACCCATGACATGGACCAACATCGAGGGTGTGATTGAGTATGTTCTCGTGGCGCAGATGGACGATCGCATCGCCGAAATACCTCTTTACGTCCGTCAGCCCTCAATTTTCACACCTATCATGGACTTTCAGATGCACACACGAGCATTCATGCAAGTAATCAAAACCTCCAACCTCGTACCTCGACCCGCGAACCGAGATCCCAAATCAACTGCCATGTCAGCTTTGTCTCGACGGCCACGCTATCTATACTATGTCAAAGTTGAGTATCCACGGGTCATTCAGCTTGAGCACCCTGAACCATTTCCCATGAAGATCTTTCTAGTTCCTGACCTTGGCGGACAAAACACCACCATATGCCGCGATGGAAATATTGGAGCTCTTCCTCCCGTTGAGGTGACATCGATGGAACTCAAACTCTCAAGCGAGTTCAACATCCGATGCCCAGGAACAGTGTGGGAGTCGTCATTATCCAAGAGCGACTCATTTGTCTTTCACTTCAGTGGTAAATCCGAACCTACAGTTGTCCCTGTCGACTATGGGGTCAGTGAGGCCTACTTCACACCCCAAAGGCGCGACCGGTACGGCCGACTCAACACCCCAGTCACACCTCTGGGGTCTCCTGATGCCTTGCATCTTGGTCGATTGTTCTCTATCTACTTGGGCTGTTCCGCCACTTCGACCATGGACAATCCTCCTGTGTCATTCAAACGACAGATGCATCCTTCCTTCTCCACCTACAACATCTCCTTGGAATACCGACTACACTGGAAGATCAATCTAGTATGTGCAGGAGAAGCTCACTCAGTGGCCACTGAAACTCCAATTACAGTCCTTGCCACCAGTGAGGAGCAAGAGGCTTTGAAGATGAGCGGGACGGATATGCTCGGACTTAGCCGCACGAAATCCGACCCTTTAAGCACTGATGTTGCCACTCTTCAATTTATCGGTCGTTTTCTGAGGGATGTGCCATGCTAAGAGTGTCGATGGATTCATTGACTCTTCGTCCGAGAGCGCCGAAAACGAACAGTCAAACAGTCTGTAGAAAAGCCAAGCAAACATACTAATGAGCTTCCCTTTGTAAGATCTTCCCGTGATTATATTGCTCCACTCAACACCGCCTGCCCATATAGCACTCGACGCAACTTCCTCACTCACTCACTCTCATCCTCTCGTCAGTCGCTCCTTCCTTTAGTTCGCAAAAGAAATCTGCAAGATGACGTCAGTCAATGCAAGTTCTTCCGATTCCGCGACATGGAGTGATTCTGATACTAAATCGTCACGTGCAGCTGCATGCATGTGAAACACAAACATGTGACAAAACTCTGGGTGAACAAAGATTCAAACCTCCCAGCCTTCAGCCAAAGGTAGGCTTTTTGAGAGCCGCAGCGCGCTTTTGGAAACTCTAAACCTCCGCCGTGTTGTGGTGCCGCCCTCACACGTCAAATCGACCATTGTCCAACTGTCATGTCTTTTCGAGATGATCGTGACTACAGGGTCGTCTACTCTGACCGAGGTCGCGGCGGGCCAGAGCTGATCGATGACTACGCCCCACGAAGACGCCCACGTGAGCATGATTACGATATGGAACCTAGTCGTGGCTATGAAAGACCATATCGCCGTCAGCCACGAGACGATGACCGAGACTTTCGCCCACCAGAACCACGACCATATGCGGGGGCCTTGACAACAAAGACTCAATACGAGGTCGGACGAGACAGAAATGCAGATGCATATGTCAAACGCTCAAATGCAAATGCCATGGTGATCGGACCGATGGACCCAAGAGCCGAATTCGAGGTGTTGCGGCCCCAGAGAAGGAGCGACGGATGCTATGTCATTGACGCTGACGCGGCCCGTGGCTATGATGACCGAGGTCGCTACTATCTGGACGAGGGACCCTCGTCTCGATCCTCGCGTGACCAAATAGTCATCTATGATAGTCCACGAGGTGGCGACCGACCCGGTCGAGCCATCCGACACGCCGACTACAAAGACGTGCAGATCATGGAGGAGGTTGACGCTCGTGATCGCCATCACGAGATCGTACCCGCCGCGGCGCCAACCGTCACGCCATCCAGAATGCGGAGCGCCATGCGTGGCCGCAATGATTCACCTCCAGAGGAATGGAAAAGGCGACGAGGTCATGGCGTAGGATTCTTCCAAGACCAGGTCGACCGACATGACGCTAGTGAAGGCCGCCACGAGCGGCCTGGTGCCGAGGCCCATGTCACTGGCCGTCATCTGCATGCGTATCGAGACGAGGAAGACGAAGAGGATTATTATGAGCGGCGAAGAGGTCCAGACCGAGAACGAGAACGAGAACGAGAACGAGAACGAGAACGATCGGTATCGAGATCCAGACGACCTCGCGGTCCTAGAGGCAGTGACCCTCGGCTGGCCGAGGAAGATTACGAGGACGATCGTTACGAATATACGGAACGAACCATGAGACAGTATGATCACGAGGAGCCTCGGCCGCTCTACCCTCCACCGGATGACCGTGACCGTGACCGCGACCGCAAAAGACGACATCACCATAGCAGCCGCCGCCAGGACGATGAACGGTCTCAATACTCCGATTATGAAACCGTCACGAGAAAGACCAAAGAATACTACTGATAGATTCGAGTGTCGAACGAACAATTGCTGCGGATTGCAATCATATCATTGCATCTCTGGGAGTTTTGATCTTTTTTAGGAAGGATTTTATGAGATATGGTCATGAATCACGACATTGTTGCTTTGTTATGCTGAATTTTCGACGAGTTCGAGAGAAGAGAGGTCCATGAGCAAATTTCTCGGTCACACGGTTTACTGAGTTGAGACCACTAGATTTTCGCGTCAATACATTCCATCCTACTACACTCACTTGGTTGTTTTAGTCACGCCATCTGTCTGCCGTTGGCTTTAAAATATCAGAGACTCTACGGCACATAATCATCAAGTCAGACATTCATTGTGTGTTCCCCATCTCGCTCTGTACTCAAATCTCTACTACATAGCCTTTGCTCCAACCTTGACCTCGACGTCACCAGTCTTCTCATCGAACGAACCTTCGTCAGAATCACCAACCCCGACTTCGACATCAGTCGTCTGAGTCTTTGACGGAGGATACACAGCCTCTTCGATCTTAGCCACACCGACATCAGAGATAAATCGACAAATAAGGAAATACGTCAGTCCACTAGTGGTGAAGCCATAGATGCAGGAGAAGGTATAGATCTTCCAGGCACCACCGACATTGAGATCGTCGTCAATACTCTTTGCAAAGCCAGGCAACAACGGACCAACCGCCACCGCAAAGGCCGCAAAGGCCCGCCAGTTGAAACCATGCCAGTACGAGTAGATGCCATGTCCGTTGTACAACTCGTGGATGTTGAGCTTCTTCTTGAGAATGATATAGTACTGACAGCACATGACGCCACAGATGGCACCCATGAACATACTATACCCGGACAAGAAAGCCAACAACCCACTGGCATTTCGAATGATTTGCCATGGATTGGAAACCACACAAAAGATGGAAATGATCAACGTCGCACGGAAAATATTGAGGTATTTCGGCGACAAGCCCGAAATATCGTTCGAGAACGGATACGTGCCCGCGGCGATTTGGTTGCCGATGATGGCGAGCATGAAACTCGCCGAGGCGAAGAACTTGGCTGCCCGTGAATCAAACTGAGCGAAGATCGCGGGCATGTACCAAAGGAACTCTCCTCCGTGGAGATAACTGTGTGCTGAAGTGACGAAGATGGGACATAGTGATCCGAGGGTTCCAATGATGGGGAGGGCAAAGAATTGATTGTATCCAGCTAGGTTGTTCTTGGAGAATCGACTGAAATCAGGGAAGTTGACTGCCATGCTGCTGAATAGTCCGATGATGACGTTCAAGCCGGTGAGGGCGGAGTATGCAGTGTTCATGAACGAGGAGGTCATCTCGGCGTGGCCGGTGACTAGTGGTCCGCCTCCGTGGGTGACGATGGCGCCCCAGAGGAAGAGAGCGAGGAAGGTTGGAGGGACAATCACGCCTTTGACGAGAAACAAAATTCGCAGTTTCTTGATCGGCATGAGTGCGAGGATGGTTTGGCCGATCCAGTACAGGAACTGCGACGGGGGTCAGCACCGATAAAGAGAAGAAGTCGTGGATGATTGGGTGCGCGAAGCGAGAGCGACTTACAAAGCACAGAAGTCCAGCAGACGTGATACCGGCACTTTCGGGTAGATGGTTGGGGAAGTTGGCGAAGCTGGGCCATATGGCAGTCAAACAATTGTTGAGAAAATCACCTGCTTGGACACAGAGAATCGCTGTCCACATGGCAGCGACGAAAGCTAAAAGACAATGGTGAGCAGGATCCATTCGACCAGAGGGTTGTGACACTCACCTCTGAGGACAATAACAGGGTAACTGCCATACATTCCAAACATGGAACGCACCAGGACAGGGAAAGGAATGGAATATCTTGCCCCCATCTTTCCAGTCAAGGTCAATGCCCCCGAACAGATTGCGAAACCGCAGAAAACGATCGGGATGGTCGCGCGAGCAGTGAAACCAAGACTCATGACTGACGACACTGTCGATGTGAGAGGCGGTGCAAGCATGTCACTGGTCCAGTATGCCTGGAAGAATGGTTAAGTACGGTCTCTGGATGATATGATGCTTCCAGTAAGACATACCCAATAATCCTATCAAAGCCCCAGGTCAGCAATGCCATAGCAAGGATCAACATATCGCTAGCAACTTACCACAGCGCCCCAAGTACGATCTTCAGGTTTGATAGGGTCAAGATCAGGATTGGACCAGCGGCTGTCCTGATAAACACCTGTCTCCATGGGGACTTGCCAATGGAGATGGGGTTTGACCTTGGCCTTGATCCGCGAGGGAGCAAGACGCTTCGGGGAGAAGCGTTCGGCTGAGAAGTTCACCATGGTCAAAGTATGAATGGGTTTTGTTGCCAAAGAGTAGTGAGTGGAGGAAGCCAAGGCAAAGCGAACTGAGAACTGAAGGCGATGATTGATTGATTGCTTGCTTCGAATGCTGAGGCGAAAATTGGAACGCTTTGATGGGGCGATCAAAGATCAATATAGACATTTCGACAGGTTCCAGAGGAGTACCTCGTGAGATCTGAGAGGAAGAGTGAGGGCTAGGGCAACTGGTGAGATAGACGATATTCGAAAGAAAAGACCCTAGCCTTTTCTCCTCATCCAAGATATTGAGATTGAGATAGCCCACAAATGCCACGAGGATCCAGGTAGATAGGCACGGCACCTACGGGCCCCCGGCCCTAAGCATCTAGTCCGGCGGCGCACGCTTGATATCTGCAGATCAAGAACGATCAATCTCGGAATCCGGGGTATGCTAGAGGACGATCAAAGACAAAAAGTGTCATCTGGACGGTGGATAGAGGCGGCGGGACTGGCGTCTGGCCGTCGGCCGCCGCGCCAGGCCTTCGGCGCTGTGGCTTCTGATAAGGGGCGATATTCTGTATTGGTTTTACCATACGGCCTTCGGCCCAGAGGTAAGAGTTTGGGGCGTTGAGGTCCAGCCGCGGCCGCCGTGGGCGTTACAAGACGGTAATTTACGGCGAGACGAGCCCCAGTTTTCCCGTAAAGGAATTGAAGCTTATGGTGTAGGGGCCCTTATCGTCGATAACCTCCACACTTGACCGCCACCCACTCGTATTGTATGAAGAAAAGACATCTCTCCGCGTCGATGGACGATTTGGCCATGGATACCTATTGTTCGGATTGGATTGGAAATTTGGGAACCTTTCAAGATTGCTCGAGTTTACGTACTCGGCAATTCGGCTGGTGCGCATCTCCTTGGGCGTGGTATATTTGGACACTGAGCAAGCCTCACGCATAAAAACCACTACTCGTTCCTCTGCATCTTGTTTGGGCGAATTTGCGCACTGTCCTAGAGTATCACCTGGAATTTCTATCAAAGAATTCATCCTCGAGTGAGAAAGGCATTATGGGTGTTGATTCGAAAAGAGGCTTCCTCACCATTGAGGCAAAGCCATATCCATTTACATTTCCATTGGCCACCACTGCATTGCTTGTCATTGACATGCAACGCGACTTCATCTTGGCCGGTGGATTTGGGGAGATTCAAGGAGGGAATTTGGAGGCAGTTCAAGCATCGATTGCGCCAACAAAAGAATTACTACAGGCGTCACGCGATGCCGGCCTGGCTATCTTTCACACACGAGAGGGTCAGGTGCCTTCTCTGGCTGACTGTCCGTCGTCGAAATTAGTCCGACAGGCAGCTGCTCCTGGTAACAGCCAGCATCTCAAAGTCATTGGCGACAAGGGCGAGATGGGCCGGCTACTGGTCCGTGGGGAATACGGACATGACATTGTGGACGAACTGCAACCTCGGACGGCAGAAGTGGTTATCGATAAGCCAGGAAAAGGCTCCTTCTGGAACACGGACATTCTGCACAAGTTGAAGGCTCGAGGAATTACCCATCTTCTGGTCTCAGGTGTCACGACCGAGTGTTGTTTCGCAACCACCATCAGGGAGGCCAACGATCGTGGATTCGAGTGCTGCGGCATCACCCAGAGTACCGCTGGGTACAATGCCGAGTTCAAAACCGCTTCGTTGGATATGATTCATTGGTCACAGGGCTTGTTCGGGTTTGTGGCTGATCTCCAACCCGTATTGGAAGCATTTTCGCCCTGGAAGAAAACTTATGGAGGCGAGGGTACACCACCTCAGACGCCGCCGACTTGGGATGGCAATCTCGGAATTTCTGATCTGCAAGCTTCCTACAGCTCAGGAGTGTCACCTCTGGAAGTGATAAACGCGGTATTTGATCGAATCGAAAAGTATGACGCAGTGGATCCGGCAGTCTGGATCAAAAGAGAGTCTAGAACCGCGGTCATGGAAGCAGTGAGACAATTACTGGCACGTTTCCCAGACAGAAACTCGTTGCCTCCTCTGTTTGGAGTGCCATTTACAGTCAAAGACTCGATTGATGTCAAGGGAATCCAAACAACAACGGCCTGTCCTCCACTGGCGTTTGTTGCCACAAAATCGGCAGTCGTGTACGACAAGGTCATTGCTCAGGGTGCAATCTATCTCGGAAAGGTCAACCTTGACCAACTGGCGACCGGGTTGAATGGCTGTCGTTCACCATATGGCGTCACACATTCTGTTTTCAGCGACAAGCATATCTCTGGTGGAAGCAGCAGTGGAAGCTGTGTGAGTGTCGGCGCAGACTTGGTAGAGTATACCCCTAGTGTTCACGAGACCATGAAAGACTGACCTTTCATCAGGCGACATTCTCTGTGGCAACTGACACGGCAGGATCTGGGCGTGTGCCGGCTGGATTCAATGGTATTGTTGGGTACAAGCCTACCCGTGGACTGGTTTCATTTGAAGGCGTTACACCAGGTAAGAGAACCTAGTTGAGTTGCAGCAGGAGTACAACAGACTTGGCTCACTGACGACTTTCCTATCTTAGCATGTCTATCCCTTGATTGCATAGCGTTTTCGGCAAGAACAGTTCAAGATGCGAGGACACTCTGGCAAGTGGCTGAAGAGTTTGACCCCAACGACCGCTATGCAAGAGATGTCTTTCCCATGGAGCGACACGTCAACTCGATAGGGGCTCAAAGAAACTCGTTCAGGTTTGGAATCCCACCTCCCGAGGTCTTAGAGGTTTGCTCTCATAAATATCGACAACTGTTCAACGAAGCAGTGAACCGTTTACAGAAGATGGGAGGGGTCTTGACATCGGTGGATTGGACACCGTTTCAAAAGGCTGGTGACCTGCTGTATGCTGGGACATTCGTGTCTGAGCGTCTTGCCAGCTTACCGGATGACTTCCTCGACAAGAACAGAGCACACCTGCATCCAGTGATTCTAGAGCTCTTTGAACAAGTGGTTTCACGACAGAGCTCTGCAGTGCAGTTGTTCCGTGAACTTCAAGCCCAGGCGTTGTACAAACGACAGGCGACATCACAATTTGCCTCTGCCAATACACTGGGAATAGATGTCTTGGTGGTCCCCACGGCACCCGAGCACCCAACGATCGAAGCCATGCAGGCGGATCCCATCCGGCTCAACGCCAAGTTAGGCACCTTTACACATTTTGGAAACGTTCTGGATATGTGTGCTGTGGCAGTACCAGCGGGGATGTATGCAAGCGAGACCGGGGAGAACGGGGAACAACTACCATTCAGCATCACACTTCTAGGCGCAAGATGCACCGACGCCGAGGTTCTAACGATCGCGGGTCATTTCCAAGAAGCAATGACGCATGTTGGGTCGTAAAAGGGCTTGTTGGTTGTCAGGGCTTGTTGACTCAGTGGAGTCTAGGTGATATGATGTTTGTAATATCGGTGTGCATCGAGTTTCAACAATGTGGCATTTACAATCCGAAATTCATGCCCCCATGGGCTTTTATCAATCGACTCTTCTCATGAGCTGAAGGAACATGTCGCTGTGGTTGGTCGGTGCTTCAGCTCGTATCCCCCTCCACGCCTTCCCACCAATCACGTGCGTGGCTTTCTTATCTCTACCAAGGAAACACTAACTGAGCATCAAGCCTATGGATGTTATTTCTTACTCAATCAATTCTCCTGCTGCCAGCCTATTACGACCAGGCGATCCAGTTTAATTTACAGACAGGCTTTTGGGCGACGTCTGGCTGCTTGCAGCACTGAGATAACCCAAGATACCTGACCATCGACAATCACTACTCATCCTTAGCAACCTACCAATGCCTGCAAGCTTATCCTCATCCCTCCCAGGCTCAAAAGCAACTTACCCTCGACTGACAATGCTCCTTTTCTCGTTGCCAATAAAAGGGACCAGCTGTTGATTACCCCGTAATAAACAATGTCCGTGGCCATGTCGCGTGCCTTTCAAGCCGATCCCATTCCAGACGCTCTTCATTCAGGCTCTAGGAACTCCAGCCTGGGCGACATGCCGCTATCAAATTCTCGTGGCACTTCGACCCCAACCTCTCGCCCAGACAGGCCTTGCGATGCGGTAATTTTTCCCTCCCTCCCTCTCGATTTAGGTGTCCTGGGAGGACGAGACTAATCCGCCAACAGTGTCGACGTCGCAAAAGCCGCTGCGTCATCGAATCCGATGCCTCAAGTTGCGTCATGTGTCAGTTCCATAAACAGTCTTGCACCTTTGTCGAAGATGCAGCTCCCAGGCGACGCAAGCCGACGAACCAGAGTTCACTCGCTGATTCGAGTATGGGTCCGGCTGCTGGCTTAGCTCGGCAAAGACGTTCGTAAGTTATGCCTCCTGTCGTGGCCCGCCCACACCCGTCCCAAGCATTTCCTTTATCATCAAGCTAAATAGATAACAGAGGTTCCGATGGCAATGGCTATGCAGCCCCACGGAGAGAATCCGCCGATTCCCTGCGTACTGGTCCTGGAGTCGATGATTATGCCAACCTGCAGGGCGAGTCTTTATTGAAGAAGACTCTTGGGTAAGATGCACCGACTTGTTCCTTTATCCTTATCATGCCTTTCCTCACCTGTGTCCATGGTCTGACCATGGCCAGTTTACAAAACCATCGTTACGCAAAGTACATTGGCCCCACGGATGAACACGACTTTGCCTTACTTGATCTCCGACTCTACGACGACATCAAAGGCGAAAGCCCTGCCGACCAGGGCTCCTTTCGTAAAGTTGGACCTAATGAGTTCTTTCATCAATATGCCGACGCCGATTCTCCCAACCATTTCAGGGAGGTCGAAGAGCTCGACAACATCGAACGCATCGTCGCTCCCCATGGTGAGGCTTTGATTCGGTTGTACTTTAGAATCGTCCATCCCAGTTTCCCCATCCTCCACAAAAAAGTCTACCTGGAGAAATATGCCAGGACTCATCGCGAATTCTCTCCACCATTACTGGCTGCCGTCTACATCTTGGCTCTGAACTGGTGGTCGTATAGCTCGGAATTGGCCAAATTGAACAAGCCAGACGTCGCCGAACTCGAAGATATTGCCTACAGAACCTTGCAGGATGTATCCTACCGCGCCAAATTGTCTACAGTGCAAGCGGGATTGCTGCTACTTCAGAGACCCAATAGCAACCAAGGCTGGCAACTAACTTCTCAATTGGTCGCTATCGGCCAAGACCTGGGATTACATCTCGACTGTTCCAATTGGCGCGTCCCTGCATGGGAGAAAGGCCTCCGCAAACGGCTGGCATGGGCATTATTCATGCAAGACACCTGGTCAGCACTCATCTATGGACGACCGCCTCACATCTCGATGACCAATTGGGCCGTACACCCCGTCATCAGCAGTGATTTCCCAGAGAGCGCCGCCGATGAAGACGGCGAGGATGGTAGCACCGAGGTGGAAAAGGGTCGCACCTTGTTCAGCGCCATGATCACGCTCACCAAAATGCTTGCAGAAGTCTTAGAAGCACTATACTCGTTGAAAGCAGAGAATGAGGTCAAAAATTCCTATGACACAACAAAAGCTATTCTCGAAAGAGCCAAGCCGATTCAGTTGAAACTCCGCTCGTGGTATGCCGATATGCCTGAAGCTTTACGAATGGATGCAACACGAGTTGGCAAGCTGAGCTCAGTGGGATATCTACACCTCGCTTACTTCGCCACCGAAATCACACTACATCGAAGAGTGATTCGGTCTCTCGACCACAACACCGACCCTTACATGATCCAAATCTGTCGATCGGCTGCAAAAGCCCGGTTGATCAGTGCCATGGACTTCTTCAATCGACTCAAACCCGAACATCTTCAATCCTTCTGGTACTTTGCCTCTAAATTCAACTTTGCCCTCATTGGCACATTTGCCGGTCTCTGTTTCGTAAGCTCAGTCACACAAGAAGAAGCAGAATTCTACCAGCGACGACTACAAGAATATCGTTGGACATTACGCGTGTCCAACAAGAGTGCCGAATTCCTCGAAATCGCCAGTGGCATTCTCGAATCCGCTGTCGGCGCGCTGTTGAAAGCCGCAGACTCGATCGACAGCAAGGGCATATCCTTTCCCATGTTACAGCACCACGCACCACCAGAAGACGAGGACATTGCAATGGAAAGCTTCTACCCTTCTGCTGACGATCCATTTTACGACCAGAACATGAATTTGAACGCCTGACGATGTTATACTGCAGCGGGTGCCTGAATCACGCCTGGTGGTTCGGAGTTGATCTCCTGGCGCCGCAGTAGTGGTTGACTAACCACCACACGAAATTAAGATCCCGAACTTCCAGCCTCTCGGATATCCCAGCTTCGAACGCCTCATCACGCCAGCGCCTTTCGAGAAGCTTGGAGGATCCATACCCATAACCAATTTGACATCATGATGCGGTCATTTCCGCGGCTATTGAGTTTTCACGCCAAAATCCGACGTCGGCAAATCATGATGGTTCGAATTACCTTATACGATCTAAAAGCGGGCCCACATACAACCCCACGACTCGAGGCACAGTCTTTTTTGTGATTCATCGACGACGAACATGTCTCTACAAGGCCAGGAGTTTGTGTAGAAAACAAGTACACATACTATGTCGACCACAAGTGTGACTGAGTTGGTGTCAATCCCGCCTTCTCACGACAGAACAACAACGACGACAGCCAGACTCCCAAGTCCCTCACCAGTTACGAGCAGACGAGAATCCCGCAGCACCGCTGGTTCTGAAGATGGACCCCAGGCCAATATCGCCACGACAATCCCAGAAGGCGGGTACGGGTGGTTCGTTGTCGCATCATGCTCGATCCTGACCTTCTGGTTCAACGGCACTCTTGGATCATGGGGTGTATTACAAGCGGCGCTCCTCCGATCCGATCTAGCCACCACACCAACCTCGACCGTGTCCTTTGTCGGTAGTTTGGGCCTTGCCAACATCGTCGCCTTTGGTCTCTTTGGAGTTCGACTGATGCGTATCCTGGGAGCACGACTGACCTCGATTTTGGGAGTGGCGCTACTGGCTACAGGAGCTTTCACCTCGAGTTTCACCACATCGAATGTCGGTGGCTTGTTCGGCTGTTCTGGTGTGCTGTTTGGATTCGGGGCGTCTCTTTGCTATTCAGTGTCCAACGTGCTTCCGACGCACTACTTCTCTGCAAGGCTAGGTCTCGCCAGCGGACTGGTCAAGTTCGGAGGCGGTGTGGGAGCCGCCGTGCTGAGTATAGCGATCGAAGCTCTCATCAGACATGTCGGTATTCCTTGGACTTTTCGCATAATAGGCTTGTTGGCCCTCGCCACCGGCTTGCCCGCAGCATGGTTTATCCGCGAAAGAGTCCCCATCGGCCACGCTCCCTTCCTCGACCTGTCCATGTTTCGAAACCTGGCATTCACCTCGGTGTTTTTGGCTGGTGCCATTGGCGTTTTCTGCATGTTCGTCCCGCCATTCTTTCTCCCCTTGGTCGCCGAGTCTCTGGGAATGACACCCAGTACAGGGGCGGCAATAGTGGCCGGGTTCAACGCGTGCACCGCCGTGGGGAGATTCGTGTCTGGCTGGCTGAGTGACTACACCGGTCCCGTCAACATGCTTCTGCTGTCGATGCTCGTGAACGCCATCACCTGTTTTGCCATCTGGCCTGTTTCAGAATCGCTGGCACCGCTGCTTACCTTTGCTATGTTGAATGGTCTAGCCAACGGTGCGTTTTTCACCATCTACCCCGTCGTCGTGGCCAGCACCTCCGTCAATATCGGCTATGGTCATAGCAGTGGACAAGCAGTTGCTATGGGAATGGCCACCACAGGCTGGACCGGTGGCTATTTATTGGGAGTCCCCATTGCTGGGTATCTGCTTCAAGCTTCTGGTGTTGGCGCGCCCGGTCAGTCGCCGATTCATACCTCAGTGGCTCCTTATCGCCCGGCAATCTTCTACGCGGCTGCCATGGCACTCGCCGCAGCGGGATTCGTCATGGTCGCGAGAATCAGATTGAGTCGAGGGGGCAAGAGAAAAGTATGATGTGTTTTAAGATTGGCGAGAATGATTCTCAGATGCACACATAACACATTTAGAACAGGACCAGTGGTCGTTACAGAATAGTGTCAATTTTGAAGAATATCAGTCTGTCAGGAATGATACAATACTAACTATACATGCGTCCATCCATCCATGCCTGTGCGTGCGTGCTTGCGTGCTTGCTGCTTGCTATACTCAGAACCCATAGACTCTGTCCAACGTTCCAACTCCTGAATGCCTATGCTCTCGGTCATCCCCTGCGTGCTAAAATCAGAACTCATAGACTCTAATCCAATATTCCAACTCCATAACATTTCCTAACCTTTTGATCTCATAGATATCTCCGATGTTGTAGAAGTTGTAGAAGTTGTAGAAGTTCTATATCCTCTTGTTGGGGCCGGAGAAGGAGCAGCAACGGGGAATTTCCACGGCTCGCCGGTGTAGCCGAAGTATTCTCTCCAGCCGGTGGAAGGATCAAAGTTCTCCTCAGACAAATTGTAGATGAAGTCTTCGTCGTAGACACCGTAGACCCCGAAGTTCTGAGTGTAATATTCCCACTCATCCATATCTTTGATGCGGTATATCTTGCACCACTCATTTTCGCGGTCGAATTCTCTGTCATTGGAATAACAGCAGGTCTTGACCTTCAACCACATGGTCAACTGATCTTGGAAATACCGTTCCTCGCCATCATCGGGGACGTAGTGGTCGATAAGGCAACTCTTGTGAGGAACGACACCCATGGTTTTGTTCCAGCTGCCACAAAAGTCGCGGAATTTGGCGAAGGCCGCTTTGGCTTCGCGGATACATGTCGGCCATAGGATGGGATAGCACTTGTTGATAGTGTGCGGCATGGTGTAGAAATCTTCCCATCCAGTCCTGATTTGGTCTTTGCAGTCGTATGTCTCGCCTTTGGGTTTGCCTGGAGCGACGCTTGGGTATGGAAATGCAGCGGTGAACGTAAATGGATTGTTGAGGACGGTCGCTTTGTGTGTGACGTAAAATGTTGTCGGAATTGGCGGCTCCTGGGACACGGTGACGGTCATCGCGCCCGTCAAATGCCCTGGCAGGCCGACCGTCACGATTACATCTTCATCGGGGGCAACTGTGGTGAAGGCGTCGGGAGGGAGAACAGTCGTGAGCTCGCCGGTCAGATGTCCGGGAAATGGGATTGTTAATGTAACGCTGGGCGCCACCGTCTTTGTGGGCAATTCCAGCTGCTCGAGGCCATCCACAGTCTTGGATTTTAGGTCTCGCGCCTGACTGACCTCCAAGAGCATGGAGGCCAAAAGGAGGAAACAAGTGAACCAGATAAATCCGTGACCAGCCATTTTGGTGGATGGTGCTTCTTTAAAAAATGTAGAGAGGAAGGATGGTGGTTACTTTGTCGAAGTAGAGAGGGAGGAAGACAGAGAGGGATGCTCGTGTCTTGGTCGAATAATGCTTTCTGCTGGCTTTGAGTGTCGAAGTGTAGTGCTTGGGTATTTTGTTGCGGTGTTACTTCTATCTTGCAGATGTTCTGGTGTGAGAGAAGTGACGGACTAAAATCAACACAGGCTGGGGATGGACAGCTTTATAGAAAAAACGAAAACATTGATTCTGGAAACTGAGGGTCCTGAATGGGTCCATCCACCTAAATGTCGCATTTTGCCCTCAAAGTATGAAGACCGCTAATCAAGTAACAGAGGTCCTCGGAGTCTACTATCCACCACGAGGCTATACGACTTGACGATCTGATTAGTGCAGCCATACTGATGTCCGAACCTAGTTATATAGAGTGGGCCCAAAGGCCACTTGAACGGGAGTATTGTCGCACGGAGGTTTCCGAAGTCCTCCAAAGAGTTTTCAAAGAAAGTTCGTCCGCCATCTTAAAAGCTTACTTCACAAGAAGAGGCTATACGTAGCTTGAATAGTCCTTTCCTAACAGCGGTTGACCTAATGATTCGTCGCTAGTGACGGACTCTGTTTGTCTAGAGTGATGTGCCTAGAAAAGTGGGCCTCAGAGGAATGGTTCGCATCAGGATAGGTTCTTCATTATCCACACTCGAGTCATTTGACCGGGTAAATGGTACTTTTGCAAACCATCTGAGGTTGAAAAAGACTGGATCTAGAATGGAGTCCGGCGCTCAAGAAGACGAACCCCTTCATGATCGTTAGTAGCGCAGAGTCAATCATTTCCAGTCCGACATTGCATGACTGCTCCACGACCTTGTTCTTCACATTTCTCCGGTTTCCTTACGCTATGTGCCATGAATCATCTGAATTTCTGATGTATGGAGTCAACTGAGATCGATTCTTCGTGATCTCCGCCTCGACTTGACCATTGCCTAAGAATGCCCACCGATTTTGATTGTTGTAGCGAAACTCGTAATGTTCCCACCGCACAAAGTCCACTGATTTCATATAGTGTAGTGCCTAAATGATGTTAGTCTTGTGCAAAGCACTCGCACTGGACCTGTGTTTGTGTTCGTCATCTTACCGAGCCTCCCCAGATCCACAGTCTGCCTCCTGGGACATTGTTTCGATACCAGCTGGTGAAGGACGTATCAGTACCAAACTCGACAACCTGTGCAACAAACATTCATCACTTTAGGGGAATATGCCACCGGAAACTCACCTTTTGCAGTCAGCCCCCCAAACTGACCTCTTGTGCCACTCATCAATATGAGCGTACAACTCCCGAATCGGTTCCATCTTCACCTCAAGAGCGCGGATATTCTCATTCTGTATTCGGTGGACGCAAGTCAAGACATAGTTCAGACAGGCCTCGATAGAATTCAATGCTGTTCCAACTGCCCAGCTGCCTCGAATGCCGTTGACGGTAAAGTAGTTCGGGAACTGAGGCACCGTCATGCCTAGATATGAGTATGGTTCTGGCTCAAATGCCTCTGCCATATTAATACCGTCAATGCCTAGGATTTGGAACGAAGGCTTGAACGAGACATCGAAGCCAGTAGCGCAAATAATCGCATCGACCTTATGAAGCTTCCCTGTCTGATCGACGAGGCCCTCAGGTGTGATCTCGACAATTTCCTGGTGTACAGGAGTGACGTTTTCTGCCACAAGAGCTTCAAGATATCCTTCTCCCGGAGTGAGGCGTCGGCAGCCTGGAGGCCATAGCGGTATTAGACGTTTTTTGAGTTCTTCATGACCTGGTCCTAGTCGACGGAGCATCTCTGCCTGCATATGGGCTTGTGCTTTGACAGAAGCTTCTGAGTCCCTCAGGAACATGTCGAACATCTCATTGAACAGAGTCTCAAGCTCTTTGCGATAAGCCAGGAACTCCTGTGGATGGGATCGAAACCACTCCTTGTCTTCTTCTGTATATTCATACTGAGACATGGCTGCGGTTCCCGGTGCCTCTGATTTTCCCTTGGACTTTTCAAGGACTTCTGTTGCCCACGGTCCTGAGATCCAAGTTGTGGACCGCATGAATGGTACAAGTTGCTTCACACGTGGTTGTATCTGAGGTATGATTTGGATTGCTGACGACCCTGTCCCGATGACGGCCACTGTCTTGCCATCGAGGACAATTTCGTTGTTCCAGTTGGCGCTATGGACCAAATTCCCACCAAATGTATGTAATCCTGGGATGTCTGGCCATTTCCAGTTGTTCAAATTCCCCGTTCCATTGATTAGAATGTTGCACCAGTCATAAGATATGACGCCGTCTTTCTCAAGTTCGACTCGATATGTCCCCGTCTGCTCTTCCCATTTTGCGCTCACCACCTTGGTATTTGATTGGATATGACCCCTAAGGTCATACTTGGTCGCAAAGTCTTCGAAGTACTGTTTGATCTCTGCCGAGCCAGCGAAGAACTTTGACCAGTTGGGATTTGGCTCAAACGAATAAGTGTAGATGTGGGCCGGGCTGCAGGAATCATGAGCGCTTTGATTGAGTCCTAGAGTATTGTACTTACACATCACATGCACATCCGGGGTATCGATTCTCAAACCATGTTCCTCCAATCTCAGGGTTTCTGAAGTAGTGATGTTAGTTACCAGACACATCTAGAGTTGCGATCTGATGACGGACTCACTTTTCGTATATCGTGAGCTCGTAGTTTTCAAAGTCCTTTTTCATCTTATAAGCAACCAAAAGCCCTGTGGCACCTGCTCCTACGGACACAACTCGCAGAGGTCGTGGCTTCGAATGCCAGTGCTCCTCGATTGAGTAGGTGCCCATGCCAGCGTCTCCCATGATTGTTCTACGAAAGTTGAAAGTGTGTTTGGCAGAGTGTGAAATATGGATGCTGATTACAGAGAAAGAATATATCGATGTCAGAATGTTGGGGGGGTTGTTCGACAATGTGGAAACACTTCTTCGGTGCTGGAAAAGACACCGAGCCAACAATTCCGGTCATCTGCCGGACGAATTCATCATCCCGTCCATCATGGACATTCTTTAAGCACCGATCTCCAGCCTAGAACACCACTTTGACTTTGATAGCACTGACATTAGCCGGGAGGAGAAGTATGTGCGATGATTCAAGGCGATGGCATCCTCGTGTGTACGGGGGTGTGAGAACTTCCCAAAGCGGTAATTGCATGCCCAAAGGGGTTTCCTGACGCCTATCCTGCCTCCTCATTATCAGATATCAGGGTCCACGGTTAGTGTGTCACCCGCTCCACTAACCTTCCCCGGTACGAGATCTTCGTTATGAAAGGTAGCCAATGGTAGACACTTGGAAGCCTGGTGCAGTCGATGGGGTGCTTGCTATTGCCATCTGAAGAGAGCTCCACCCTGTTATCTATGATTCTCATGTGGATCGTTGAGATATACTCTGATTGTCAACCGACTGCATCAGTCTCGTTGGCTTTCACGTCCAAAGGTAGTACTAAGCCTAAAAGTCACCGAGGACAGGTAGTGGATTTGGACGGAGGACATCAACGAACACAAGGAAACAGTGGGATTCCGAGAGCCATACAACAATAAATGGTACAACTAATTCTGAAATGATACAAAATCATCTGACGCGTTGACAAGATACGGTTGTAAAACATGAGGTATATTGTGTGGCTAACATATCGGTACTATTAACCTTAAATTCTCTGGTTGGTGGTCACTGATGACCGTAAGCCCCCCTTGGCCAACGTTGCTGTAGAGTGGGTGAAAATCTGAAGGCCAAAGGTCTGACATCGCTCTTGCGAATCCCACCTTTCAGTCTAGTAGACATATCGAAAGTTGGTGTTCTTTCCATCAGTGAGGTCCTGCTCCAAGATCTCGTTTGCCACATGTTCGCGGATCTCAGCATTAACGGTACCATATTTACGATCGCGACGGCTATTTTCGATTCGTACTGCGACGATAAGAAGCGACATCAGTATAATTGCTGCCCCAAAGCAACAGGTGGTGGTGGTAAACCCGGTCTAGTCAATGTTATTAGCACCTCTGCTCGACAAGGCTGGCTCTGTTCGAAACTCACTGGATAAGCAGGTTTCTCGCTTGGTAGAAACGCAAATGGTCCAACAATGTTGCCAGCGGAGTATCCAATGACAGACATGCTAGTTGCAACACTCTTCTTTGTGAACCCAGCGGTGTTCGAGGCGATGATCGAAAGTGCGATAGACACTGTACAGGGGTAGGCATAGAAAATCAAGAATCCGAAGAGCTTGCTCCCGAGATTTGGGCCAAAGCGGACGAGAAGACTTCCCGTTAAACTGTTGACCGTGCGTCAGTGAATGTGGTGGCTGTGACTTGTGACGAGGTTGCCTACCTGATTGTGCATAATACTATGCAGACTGGAGCGCGGATGTTGCGATATTTGGTACAAAGCCAGCTGGCAGTAATGCCAAAGAGACCGTGCAACCCACCGGTAGCAATGGTGAAGAGATTTGCTTGTTTGACCTTCAGAAAGATGAATGTTAGGTGAAAGCCTCCAAAGTGTCTCCTTAGGTTGCTTACATTGAATCCAAGACCAACAAGGACAATTTGTGAGAATGCCGTCAGGCTGCTGTTACAGATTGTGACACAAACCAGGAAGAAGAAGATAAGCCAAATTTTGATGTCAAGCACTGCCTCGAGAAAATGGCCCCAGTGAAATTGGTTGCTCTTTGTAACACTTTGATTAGTAGCCTTGACGCGTTCCACTGCACGGATTTTCTGCTCCGCGGACAGAAATCTTGCATTTCCCGGGGTATCAGGTAGGAAGTAGAGCATTAGAGAAGCCCAGACTGCAGTGAGGATTGCCAATGCAATGAAAAGCCACTATATCAAAGTCAGCAATGGGTCGTGTGATCGCATCGTCTGATGTCCATACCCTCCATGGACCCGATCCTCCATCTGTTCCGATATGGGCAACACCAAAGGATAGAAGTCCAGCCAACATAATGCCTAAGATCAAAGATATCAGCTCAGCACAGATTCAGTACAGCATGATGAGGCAGAACCCACCGAGAGATGTGCCGAGAAACCAAAACCCGTGTCTCAAGGGGTGTTCCTTTCTTTTGTACCACATTCCGGTCATGAGAGAAAAGCCTGGAATAGCAGCTGCTTCAGCGGCACCAAGGAAAAACCGCACCACCATGATACCGGTGAAATTCTTCGTTGCAGCATGACATCCAATCAATACTGCCCATATGAAGCTAGGAATGGATATCAGCAAATCGTCCATCCATTGGAAGGGGACACGCTTGACTTATGTACTTACAAGGTTCCAACCAGCAACTTAGCAATGGGTAGTCGGACCATCAGATATCCCGTGAAGAAGGTGAAGGAGAGGTAGCCAAAGGCAAAGATGGAATTTGACCATGAGTATTGGTTCCCAACAAGACCCTTGATTTTGTCAGCAGAATCCCGCAGAGTGTGTCGGAGCCTCTTACAAGATCCTCGATAATGCCTAAAATTGAAGCCGCGGGTAGAGCTGATTTATCGAGGAACTGCAGCGACATTGAAAACGCCATCATGGGACATATCCTGCATTAAGGCTTAGATAGCACAGATTTTGGGGGTTCAAGACTTGACCGACCATACGTCAATGCGTCGTAACAACCTCTTATCGTTGATTGCAGAAGAAGTCTCCTCTGAAATGATGTTGGGCGTCTTCTCGTACTCGCCTTCAGAGGCGTGCACGCTTTGTGCTTGCTCAAGGTTGGTGGCCATAGTGATCGTTATCCGTTCCAAGTTGGGGGGATATAACAACCAAAGGTGACGATGCTCTTGAGACTGAAAAGTCCTTGGGTGATGAATCTCTGAAGTCGAGCCATGAAAGATGCTTCTCGTTGATATATAGAAGATTGCGCTTCAACTGATGTCGGAGTAGAATCAGGCCGTTATCATGAGTTGTCGTCTTTGTCAGAAGGGGAAAAGCTCAAGAGTGCCTAGAAGTTCCCGCTAAGCGCGGTCTCGACTTGTACCAAGAACCTGGGGAAATAGAACCTCGAGTCCCTTAATCAGACTATGCCTGAAACAGTATGTAACTGCTGAAAAGAGCAAAGTGTCAACCTTATTTTGTCAACCAACTCGTAGTTACGATGCATCTGGATAAACCCCGATTGGACAATAGATGCTGGTGATATTTTAATCGTGATACACATCATAATCCATGCTGATCTCAACGGTCTCAACCGCATTTGCAAGACGGGAGATAGAAAAAAGGCCGTTTGATATCGTCGGGGCCGTACGTCGATGACGGCTCGGTGAGTGTCGGGACACTGTTGGGTCTTGCCGGTTATCATGGTGGATACACGGAGATGTAGCCTTCTAATCCAAGGATAAGAACGTCGGCCATTATAGACTCAAGCGCTTCCACCGGAGGTCTTGCTATCTTGTTCTATTATTTTCAAATTGATGCTTCTTCGACTTCGTTATCTCTACACCCTTTTGAATTTTCAACTGTATCGGTACATTTCCCAAGTTCACTAAGCTGCTATTCACCATGGTGCACGACATTACCACAAGAAGAGTTGTGACAGGTATGCCCTGTCGAATCCCAATGACTTAGGACCCTGTTCTAATAGAAGCAGGTCACGATGCTGATGGCAAAGCCATCTTCGTGGACGACACTGTCTTGACGTCTCTCGACCCACGCAACGGCCAGCCACAGTCAGGTGGCTTTTATGGCAACTCCACCATCTGGAAGACCGTGGGGATCCCATCAACAGTCAACGCACCCTTTACAAATTTGCACGGCAAGCCAATTGGCATAACTGAGCCGGATGGTGTGATCTGCCGTGTCATCAACTTCCCTCCCCAAGGGCCAGTGAAAGACGAATTCAACATTATGCATCGGACCCAGAGCGAAGACTTTGGTATTGTGATAGAAGGAGAGATGGAACTTGTTCTCGAGGGTGGAAACAAAACTACTCTCAAGAAGGGTGATGTCGTCGTCCAACGCGGAACCAATCATGTAAGTCGGCCCATTTTCATCGCAGACCCTTGACTCACTTCGAGAAGCAATGGATCAATACCTCTCCAAATTACTGTGTAATGGCATTCATCCTCGTCCCATCGGATAAGCCTGTTATAGAGAAAACTGGAGAGGTTCTTGAGTCTACTGTCTTTCCGAGTTCCTAGATGGTTTGCTCTGTGTATAGATCGTACTAGGGAGGGAATTTAGAAGGTCTTCCCATGAATAGTGGAAAAGAAGTCCATAGCTCTCGTTCAATAAAATGGATGTTGTTGCTACTGTGACTGTACACATTCATGCTTCGACTAAATTGCTTCATCTCAACCCGCCACGGGACTAGTATATAGTAGGTATTGATTTCAGTTTGTACCCTGCCATTTACATCTCCTCGAAATATCTCCCGGTCTGGCATCCTAACAAATCAAGTGCAAGAACGAACGAATCTTAGACTCTTCTTCAGAGGTACACTGGACCTTATAAAGACAACCATCCTTTCACGGGCACATTTTATTGAAGGCAGAGGGCTTTATAACTAACTCCATACCGATCTGAAGCTATGAAAATTTCTGCTAGTTTGGCAGTCTGATCTGATCCTTGAACCATTCCAAGAAAATCTGGTTGGAAAATACTGAAGCTCCCAGATGACAGTGTGCTTCTGCCGACTCCTTCTTGGTGAATTTACGATATGTCGCTCGCTTTCCAAGTCCTTCCGCTACCAATGTTGGCTGATTCGATGCCACAAGTGAGTCATGCTCTGCGTCTGCAACAAATACAGGGCACTTGACCTGATGTAGAATTCCTTCAAGAGTCATCTTCTTGACTTGTTGAAGAGCTTCATGTGCGGAATCGGTGTTGAAGGTCCACTTGATTTGATTGGCCAACCACAGGGCTGTTGTATTTTCCCGACCCCGAGCTTCAAGCGCCTTGTGGAACTGGTCGATGTCTTTGTTGTCGTGCTTCATTGCTTCCTCGCCGAAGATGGCCTTCACAGAAGAGGACACGTCAAAGATGCCGTCGATGAGTATCACTGCAGCGAGTCGGTGCTCGAAAGCTGCTGCCCTCACAGCTAGATATCCGCCGAGAGAAACGCCCATGAGGCCAATAGCGTCTCTTCGAACGAAGTTCTTGGGATACAACCAGTCAACGATTGGCGTGATAACTCTTTCCCAGTCATGGATGAATCCCTTGCGCTGGTCGCGAATCACAGTGGTCTGCCCTGGACCTTCGTAGAGTAAGACGTGATATCCTCTTTCCAAGGCGGCCAGGCCATGGAAGTGTAGCATTTCCTCGATAGATCCATCTAAGCCATTGCCGAGAATAAGAATTGGACGAGGAGTGTCATCCAAAGAACAACGGGCTAGGATCAAGGGAATAGAGAAATCGCCCGTATCAATGGAATGGCGTTCGAGGGGAATATCCATCAATTGTCCAGCCTTGTCGAAGTATTTCGTCCATTCTCTCCACGTAGTCCAGTTCCTTTCGTCTTTGACATCTCCTATAAGATAGAAGGAGGAGGCGAAGCGGTATCGTGAAACTCGGAGATAAGCATCTCGGAGGGTGGCTCGGTCATAGTCACGGTCTTCACTGACCGTAGACTCTACCCAGTTGGCCAAGGCATCGAATTCGTTGTACCAGCTTTCAAAATCTCCAGGTATGATACGCTCACAGACGTTCAAGATTTCGGCCACGTCTGAACCTTGTGTTCTTGTTGTTGCGAGCATGCGAAGCAGCTCAAAATGAAAGCCAGGGTCGGGGCTGAGTTGGAGCATGGTGTAAGCTTGAAGTAATGAGTTCCTGCCGCGAATGATATCAGTTCAGAAATGATTGAGACCTTGTTCTCGTAGTGAAGGAAGTAGCCCAAATATATGAAAATAGTCGTCTTCACAAGTCGATATCTGACAGTTGCATATCTTCATAACTTCATAACTTTGAGGGTACCAGGAGTATATTGTGATGCTGTTCGTGAAGAATAACTATACCCAAACGGGAGTGCTTTTACCGTTCTGGGTAACAAGTTCTCCACCATCACCAAGGACATTCTTCACGCTCTTTGGTTGAATTAAAATATGTCCGAAAGTTTAGCCACCGAGATAAGTGTACGAGTACAGAGTCAGGTCTATCAGGCCCCCTCGGCTCTCTTGGCGGCTGGGCGGGGTTATCGTGATGCTTGATTCGAAATCAAATCTCGACTTCTTGCTCCTGAAATGGGTATTGAGGTCCTTTTTGAGTAACAGGATGTAAACTCATGTCTGCAATGGCCCAGACTGCAGTTCTACCTGACACCCAACCTCTGACATTCATCTCCGGCGATGCACGGGGTCGAGCGGAACGAGAGGCAATAAGGGTTCATGTGGTCAGGCGGCAGCATCAGCTACGCAAGCAACGACGAAAGGAGGGGCCAGGAAAGGCCTCAGACAGAGTGTACAATTCGGCTCCCGCATTCCGGATATGGATCCCCACCAATGGATCTCAGAAGAATGACGCCAGCCGTCGAGCGCCCACATCGCGCAGAGGACATCGCGAAAAGAGCCCACCACGCTCGGAATCAACAAGTATCCCCGCATCTTCTCGCGATGGTTCGGTCTGTTCTAGACACGAGGCAGCCTCCGTCGTTGCCGATATTCGCTCTCCTCCCATAGAGAGTGCCAAGGGTGAAGCCCCGGAAGCAATGCTGTTTCATTACTACTTGCAGTATGGTGGAGGGTCACAGGTCGCGCATGATCTGTATCGGGCATATTGTGAGACGACCGCGACTTACAGTGCCTTTCTGGCCGTGGTTGCATCGAATTATTCTGACGAAAATGGCGAGCCACCACCTCTAGATCCAGTGGAGCTCGAAAGCCTTGCCCTCCGAGATGTTGCAGACCAGTTGTCACGGTCACCCAAGGCTCCGCCTTGCAACACGATGCTTGCAGTTGCCTTACTGGCCAACTATCAAGCGTTTCGGAACGCAAATGAAGTGGTCCATTGCCATTGGAATGCCCTCCGCGAAATGATCAACATCAATGGTGGGATTGAGCGGTTTCGAATGAATCAGAACCTTTATACTCTGTTCTTCTGGTTGGAAGGCGTTGTTTTGAACGGCGTGGAGACTTCTATCGGACAGAATGTGGACAGCGATCATGGTCAAGATACCCAGAATCAAGAATTGCGTGGCTTTCTCGACAAAGTCAGATCCACGGCTCGTGGTGGCCTGCAGATCTTGGGCAAACCGGCGGCTATTCTAGACGAGCCTATCACAACTATCCTCTCAACAGCACCGTATAAGAAAGATGCATATTCAATCAACAAATGGCGTAATGCGAGGCTTGGCTGTCTCGTGTTCTTTGCAGCAATGTTTCTAGAAGAGGTTCTGGTCTGGACTGAGTCGTTCTCTCAGGCGCTCGAGGCAGAGCTGCTTGACCGACAGAGGAAGAATACACTGTATCCTGAAGAACTGTACTTTGTTCTTTGCCATGTGAGCAATCAGGACGAAGTATGCTACCTAGCCTGGAAAGTGGCACGGCTGATCAACGCCATCAAGCGATTGGGGTCACGAGACATGCACGCATGCCATGGCCTTCTATGTGCGTGTCTAGGATTTTCTGATTGTTTCGCGTTCGACTTGGCGTTCGAAGATTGGAACGAGCTCTCTGAGCGTTTAGCCATGGACAAATAAGGGGGCGTCAAGCCGTGGCCTTGTGTAATTCTGACTTGGTGGCTTAATAGGTTTGAGATGAGACGATATTGGCTTGGATTCTTAGTATGAGTAATTTGAGAAGATCGGAAGGATGGGAAGTCATGGAGACGCTTGAATTGCTTTATCTGAAGGCAGTTTAATCTTACAAAATGGCCAAATATCGATGAGGCCAATCGAATGCAAAGGTGGTCTTGAATTTCCGGTAGTAATGATGTAATTCTAAGCCACCAACCGACAAAGTCTAGGATCGCGGCCGCTCGATATGCACTATTCATTAATTCATTAATTCGTGTCTATTCTTCGAATTCGTTCAACTGGTGTGGAGGAGACGCAGGCTTGAGAAAAAGGCGAGGGCCTGCCTCGACGTTGGAGATGACCTTGGTCTTGTGCAAATGTTGCAAAATGTTGAACAGTTCGACATCAGTGCCGGGCCGTCCTACTAAGCTGATAGAAACGGGGAGATATTCGATCTGTCGGGATATCTTCGAATGATAGGGTACTTCGGCCACGGGGATCGTATAATCTGGGCATCCAACAAGGTATCCAAATGCATAGATACTAAAGGTATCATTGAAGAGGAGTGTTCTGTCGGCGATATCATCACGATAATCGGGTCGTCCGCAAGCCTGCGGGAAGATGATGACTGTGATGGCTTCTTGATCGTAGGATCCGAATAAAGTGGTTTCTGTCCATGTCCGAAAGGCTTGCATGGCCTCCAAAGCCAAGGTAATGGTCTTGTCAGGAAGATTGCGACCATGGTCCAAGCGACGTCGAACCAATTCAGATATGGGGGGGAGTCGTCCATCATTGGCCTTTGCATACTCAGCCATGAATTGTTTAATACCACCATGAACAGCCGATGCAGTTGTAATGGTGGAGTAAACATGTCCGACAGCGTCATCGAGAGAGCGAGGTTGACCTACAGGTGGTGTAGCCCTCCACAGCTCATTGATGTTGAAAGCTATCCGCTGGCAGTCAAACTTGGCCTCAATCTCTAGAACGACGTTCTCAATCTGCTTTTCGGCTTCTGTCCAAACCGACACATCCACTGACGGATGAGGGAACCATCGATGTTGGCCACCATGATGCTGGTCAGGATTGACAATTTGTGGAGCCCGAGTTGGGTAGAGCAGGTTGTATTTATACTTTTTGGTAAGTGGAAGTGGGAAAGGCTTCGGGTGAGGATGAACAAGATATGAGCCCACACGGGAGAAGACGTCCACATCCCTAGCGAAAATGCCGACCGTATTGAATAGGTCAGTGGCGCCAAGGACTCCTTCCAGACTGACTATGCCATGTGAGGGCCTCTGGCCGTAGAGGCCGTTGACACCAGCAGGATGTCTGATGGAGCCACCAGTGTCGGTGCCAATAGTAAAGTCCAACCACTCATATGCTGCTGCGGCAACGGCACTGCCAGTACTTGAAGAAGATGGCTTTTGGTGTTCGTCTCCTCGCGGATTGACAGGGCAAGGGGCTTCAGTCCATTCATTTGGATCCAGACCCTCTGCAAATTCGGTGGTTTTGACCTTTCCAACAAGGATTGCACCAGCTTCGATGAGCAATTCGATTACTGGAGCGGTGACTTTGGCAGGTGGGTGGTGGTCCCGCCAAGCTTGGTTGCCATAACCAGTTCGCAGGCCCTTGAGAGCAAGGGTATCTTTAACAGCAAATCTCAGGCCGGCCAGAGGCTGTTTGTGGGCTGGAGCAGTGAGTCCGAGTCTGGAGGGAACTGGAACTCCGAGATGAGTCTGACTTGATTAGCATGCTGAAGACTCGACGGAGTGTTCGAGGAGGCCTCACAGGTAGTTCAGTAAACATGGGGCGAGATTTGGATATGGGCACCAGCCCTGATACAAAAGCGTCATGGGTATCAAGCAATAGCTTAGAAACTGGCAACACCCTTCCTGTGGCTTTTTCAACGACAGATGGGCCGCTAGCCAGGGAAAACGAGGTCTTATCTACCGAGAAGATGCCCTTCCTAACCAGGCCATGCTGTACGGTAGGTGGTTGCAAGAGAATGACGACTGAAGGAGATGCATGTCAGTTTCTGTTTGCGAAGAAAGATGGATGGTTGAGGTATGAACGTACGCGACAGGAATGCACGAGTCCAAACATCATCGTTCTTTTCATAAGAAAGGCAGATTTCTTCGAGATTCTCGAGTTCGAACGCGTCGTCTTCCCATTCTATGATAGTTGCAGGAATGAAAGCTTCAGTAAACCGGGCGAGCTTATGAACAAGTGGTTGGGGCAAGGAATCAGGTTTTGGCGAAGAAGGGATCAGGTACGTGTGGTTAGCAATGGAAAGTAAAGGGAAAGAGATTGGGGCCATATCCCAAGGGTAAGGAGGCAAGTATTAGTGTAGAAAGGAACGACACGCGATGAATTATAGAAGAAAGACAAAGTCGCTGGAGAAGAAATTGACGTGGATGTGGACGACTTTATCTGGGCAGGTGCGAAGGCAACACTGGAATTTGATAAGGAAGGGGCCGACGGCGGACGGTGGACGGCAGGAGGTTACAAGGTTCCAGGCATCCTCCACATGGGAAATTCGAAGTTGTCCAAGGCTGTCACTTGGAGTAAGAGTCAAGAGTCATCAGCCAAGGCCGGATGAATGTAGTCAGCGGTTACACAGTGCAAACAGCATCACTAGAAAGGCTCATGGCTGCTCAAGTCATCATCATATTATTGAAACGCGCTGCTGTCGTGGTGGAGGACGATGTTGATGGTCGTGACGGTGAATCTTGCACCTTCCACAATGTGAACGGTTGGGTTCTTACCTAATGGAAGTGGTAGCAATCTCTTGGCAGTGTTGAGTTTTTGGTTTTTGGCAGAGCACGTGTTCTGGAGTGTCTGGGCAGCCAGGATTTGATCCTCCACCACGCCACACCATCTGCAAGGCAACGTCTAGCCTCGATGTTACGCAAAGGGATTGAGATTGACTCTCAGATAGTTGTTGACTGGTGGCAGTCGAGACAAAGCGGTAGACATACAAGCGAGCGCCTCGCCCCTCACCACAAAACGCACTCATCTGACAAAGACTGAAATCTATCTAAAGAAATGTGATTGAGATTCTGTTACTCGTCTGAGTCTCTCACCGACACCCCATTCCTCCCCATTCGCTGTCCAAGGCTCATCTCTCCTGCCTTTTTATGGAATTTGTCCACAAACTCGGCTCGAACGCCGTATTTCGAGCTGCGCATCCTCGCACTGTCATCTCGTTCCCTCTCGCGTTCTTCTCTCTCAGCAATCTCCTTTAGTCTCTGCTCCCTTTGTTGATCCAGATCTGTAGCATCTTGCTGCATTGCTGCCAGTCTAGCTGCTCTGTCATCTCCCCCACCACTCGACGATGATTGCCCTTCCGCTCGTGATGAATGCCAACTTTGCATTTTGCGTACCCCGTTGTTGTGACCATTGCGTCGAGGTGGCGAGTAAGAGCGAGATCGACTTCTTCGACGACGTGTTTCTGGCTTTGACATTCGCTCTCTCTGTCGGTATGGTGACCTGGACCTCGACCGTGTCTGTTCTTCTTCTCGTCGTGGCGGAGATCGTGACCGGGATACAGATGATGTATTCGATCGTCTTCCCCGACGGTGACTTCTTGTGGACTCGTCATCTTCCCTCCGGCGTCTGGGTCGGTCTTTGCTGTGTCGGTCTGACTCTCTGTCACGTTCGCGTTTCCTTGTGCGGTCTGAGTGTCGGTTCTTGTGCTCATCCCTGTCCCTTCTCTCGTGGCTTCCGTCCCGACTTCGACTGCGGTCTCGAGCACGATCCTCTCGATGTCGATGATGGTGGTGATGGTGACGGTGATGATGCTTCGCACGTTTCTTTTCTCGCTCCGATTCATCCCCTTTACCTGCAGCTTTCAGTAGAAGTCGTCGTTTGACAGGGTCGTTCATCATCGCCTCGTAGGCTGCCTGTTCTTGTTTCTTGATGGCCAACATCGGGTCTTCTCGAATCTTGGCCGCGGTGTCTCGTGCTGTGTTGGCATTTTGAATGGCCATGAAGGAGTCCTGCGTCGCTGACTTCTCCAACTTTTGATTATCGGTCCCCTTCAGTAGTCCATCGATCCTCCTCTTACCCAAAAGATACCCTTCCATTTCCTCGGTCGTGCCAGCTTGTCCACTCGATGGCCCATTGTACATCCATTCCACTCGTGCCTGTCTCTTGCTACCGCCTGCAGCAGCCTGTAGATCTTCCAACTCTTGTATCTGCCGCTCCTCTGCTCGTTCTTTCATGATCTGATCAATCTTTTTCCGCTCTTCCAGTGCCTTTTGTTCCTCCTCCCACACCTTTTTCTGGTTGCTCATGAGCACCGGATGCCATGATTTCTTGAGGTTGAGGTCGCCGCCCATCGTGACTGGTGTGCAGGCGGAAGGGACACAGTAGAGGACAAAGAGGGTCGGAATTTCCGAAGAAAAAGTTGAGCGCCAGGAGACTTGAAACCAGATACAAGATGGCGGCGTGGATCGCAAGTGGACCAAATTATGGAGTTGGGTAGTCGTAGTCACAAAATCTGAGAGTGACGATTTCCAAAAAGATGCTAATGTTTGATAGGAGCCTTAAAGCCGGCGGGGAATTAATTTGCATGCATCACATCACGCCCCTCGCGCCTGCCTGGTCTCCACCTCCACATCTCATGAATTGTCAACGACGTGATAAACATTCTTCATTCTTCTGCACTCAACTTCTGGCCCTTGAATTGATTCTCATCTCACGGCCTTCAAGCATCCAGCGTGAGTGGCTCTGCTCATGCGCGGTTCATTTTAATTCTAAACCTACCTCCCTCCGATCCGCATAGATCGCTTCCACCGCAGCTTGCCTCCTCCCAATTACCCTCACCATGTCTGACGACGATGATTTCATGCAGGAGTCGGATCCTGAGCAGTGAGATTTCTTCTTAGACCCCGCAAATGACCTTGACTGTTCTGACACTTTGGTAGATATGATTTCGAGTACGAAGACGATGATGATGGCTCCACGGGTGATGTCGACATCGAAAACAAATACTACCAAGCCAAACAATTAAAAGCCGATGATCCCTCCGCTGCGGTCGATGAGTTCCTCGGTGTCCCCGCCCTCGAAGAGACGAAGGGAGATTGGGGCTTCAAGGGCCTCAAACAAGCCATCAAACTGGAGTTCTCTCTTGGCCGATTTGAAGATGCCGTTGCACATTACAAAGAGCTGCTCACCTATGTCAAGTCTGCAGTGACGAGAAACTATTCGGAAAAGTCCATCAACAATATGCTCGACTACATTGAAAAGGTGGCCACCGAACAGACGGCGTACAAGTGCATGGAGGAATTCTACAGTCTCACGTTGGAGACATTCCAGAGCACCAACAACGAGCGGCTGGCACTCAAGACCAATGTCAAACTTGCAAAGCTCTACCTTGACAAGAAGGACTACACCTCGTTGACGTCCAAAGTGCGAGAAATTCACAAGGCATGCCAAAAAGAGGATGGCTCTGATGACCCGGGCAAAGGCACGTACTCCCTAGAGGCATATGCCCTTGAGATACAAATGTACGCCGAGATGAAGAACAACAAACGCTTGAAATCTCTGTACCAAAAGGCCCTGACCGTCCGGTCGGCCGTCCCTCACCCTAAAGTCCAAGGCATCATCCGTGAGTGTGGAGGCAAGATGCACATGAGCGAAGAAAATTGGAAGGAGGCACAGTCGGACTTCTTCGAGTCGTTCAAGAATTATGACGAGGCAGGCAGTATGCAGCGGATCCAGGTTTTGAAATATCTGGTGCTCACCACAATGCTGATGAAATCGACCATCAACCCCTTTGACAGCCAAGAAACCAAACCTTACAAGAATGACCCGCGCATCTCAGCCATGACGAACTTGGTCGAAGCCTACCAGCGGGATGAATTCCACCGGTACGAGTCCATCTTGAAAGACAATCAAGACCTCCTCGCGGATCCGTTCATTGCCGAAAACATTGACGAGGTTAGCCGCAACATGCGTTCTACCGCAGTTCTCAAACTCGTGGCACCATACACGCGCTTCACCTTGAAATTCATTTCCAAACATGTCAAGATCCCCGTCTCGGAGGTGGAGGACATCCTTGGTGTGCTAATCGTGGACAAGAAATTGGACGCCAGCATCGACCAGGAGAATGGAACAGTCAAAGTCAACAAATCGAACACGAGTGGCAACAGTGACGGTGGAGACAGGGAACATCTCCAACGGCTCAATGAATGGACAACAGCGGTGGAAGCGCTGTGGACCACGGTCCTGCAAGATGGCGAAGGATTCAAGTTTGAGGAGACGCAGAGTGGATCCAATTTTGCCCCCTTGATGAACTTCAACCTTGGTGGAGATGCAATTCCTACTCGAGGGCCAGTACGTCGGGGCGGGCATGCGAGCTTTCGAGGTGGTGGACGGGGAGGCGGCATAGGTGGATTGGGTGCTGCGGCTGGTGGTAGTAAACTATTTCCTCAAGTTTGAAACTCGACAATGCCTCCGGAGCTTTACGCCAGGAGGGCGTGCATCTTGCTAGCGAAGGCGTCTGTCACACAAGCGAGGGTCACACAGAGGACAGATGGTACCTGATTGCTTGTCAACCATCGTGTTTGTTGCACCTTGCACCTTGCAACTGCCTACTACCGGCAATCCAGCTGTCAATATCGAGCAGCGATCATCAAAAGCCGGTCCTGGGGTTGGTTCACGTGAATACATTTGACGTCAATTTGCAAGTTGGGGATGGATGCTTTCGCTGAGCCCTGAGGATGTATGGTACGCACTCGCTCGTGTTCCAGCTTTCGAGACTCGGAGCAGGATCGTGTTTGAGGAGATTGTTGCGCATGCAACAATGATTGATTGGGGGAGCATTTACACGAGGCCTCTCGGCCCAGCCGGCATGCTTCCAACTTCTCAGCAGATCATTTTGATCGCGATCCTGTGCATTGTTAGTCTGTTTGTGGCACTGCGATGGCCCGGCTTGGAAGTGACGGGCAAGTGAGCAAGCGTTGGATCTGTTACATGCTAGGACCTCGGATCCAGACTGCTGGGACGAGATGACGAATCAGCCCCAGGCCTAGCCCCAGACCTGGTAGGTGAATGAGCAGGCGAAGATAAGACAAAGGTTGCAGTTGAAGCGGTTGCTGGATTTGGGGTCCACACGGGCATCAGGGGTAGTGAACTTGATCGTTCCCAAGGTTGGTAGTTGCAACTGAGCATCGCAAATGGCTGAAATGGCTGAGAGAGGAGACGTTGGCACGTTGGCCTTTGCTAGCGACCCTGGGGTGGTCTGAGAGTGTGAGGCCGATTGAGGATGAGCGAAGTCCAAGTCTAGAGATGGTTGCCACTTTTGACGACCGAGAAAGCTGTCACAAACCGTTGTGTCCTCCTCTTTCCGGCTTGAGTTCTCCCGAGCCCTGTAGATGATCCATGTCGCTTACCCAATTCATGCCCCTGCCCGGACCAGAATCGGGCACGTCGGGGGGGTGCACGATGGACTGTTCAAGCCCAGACGGGCCAGGTCAAGGATTGCTTGCTGGGGTGTGTTGGCTTTTGTCTGGATTCTCGCTCTCTGGAGGCAGGGTCCGCAGTCACTGACTGGCCGGCTCTGCACATCGCAACAGCCGCGAGGGATCGTAGGTTGATGTTGGCAGTTCAAACGGTAGCTGGAAATTGATTAATCAAGACATGGTTCTCTGTGCTGATGGGTGGCTGCGTGGCTGCGTGGCTGCATCACGCGCCTGGGGGTCGCCGTCTATACTTTCCGCTGTCATCTCTTGTCGACGAAGTCTGCAGGGTCCATGACATTAAGCGAGCAAACAGCGATGCCATCACGACCCTCCAGGCTCGACCAGACTCTGCGATTTTCCGATATCACATTTGAACTCGTGTGGGTCAGGCTTTTCCTCAGTAGGTATTCGTTGGTGACCACGGTCATGGCGAATTATCACGGAAGGTCGAGTCGTTTTTGGCCTTGCGTGTCTGGCTCGATGCCGCGGTGTCCACTCTTGAATGCCTCTTCCGGTTCGACTAGGGTGAGGGAATATGCAATGTCCAATCTTTTGCAAACTCAACTGGGCTTGCCTGTCGAGGTGGACAGGGAGCACAAAAGTAATTGGAAGTAAATCAATTGTTCAACCAGCTGATGCTAACTAGTGCTGATGCTAATAAAGTTTTCTCTACTGATGCAGAAACTGACATTGAAGCGCAGAGTCAGATGGAGTTACTGGTCAATCCCATGCGTGAAACCATGTCGCTTCTTTCGAAATTGGTGATGATGGGCGGAAATCCCACAACTGGATAGACGGTGAATCAATGATATCCAACAGATAGAGAGATCGTCGGGGTTGTCCTCGGAGCATTCTTTCACTGCCAAGGGGGGCTCACTAGGGTTAGAGGTCCATTGTACGATCGTTTGTGCAGACAATGTGCAGCCAAGTGTGTTGGACCATGCGTGCCATGTCCACTCTCGCGCTTCAACTCAACAAAACACGAGTTTGAATAACCAGGGAAGTGCTGTTTCGCCTGGAGTTGAGCCAATAGTGCTGAGGACATGAGTGTCACTTCGCAGACACAAGCCATAGGGCTCTCAATTTGGAGTTGTGACTATTGACTCAACTGTTGACTGATGGAGGCTGGCATCTGGACAGTGGAGGTTGAATACCTCCATGTTTTATTCCATTCCATGTCCACAGCCAAGGGCGGAGGGACGAGGGGGGACGAGGGGGAAACCACTCGGCCTTCCCGGGGCTCCAGACGGAGCGACCCTCGGGCCACCGTCCACGCAACATTTAAACAATATTGTCACTTAAAGTAGACGTCTTTAGCCCGCTGTGGAAGGCCCGAGGCGCCCGAAGGCGTCCGAAGGCTTCCGTCCTAATTGCCTGCAAGGGACCTGCTTTATGCTGCAGCGTGCCGCCTTCCCGCCTACTGAGTCACTGAAGTAATAACCATACAGCATTCACGGAAGGGCAATCGCTTGATAGTTTATTGGATCCTCTCGGCCCCTAAGTTAGACTAGTTACCCCCTAAGGTACAGAACCAGGTACCTCAGGTAGGTATCTACCACACACAGTACGGAGTAGTCTACCATGCCTATCTTGCTTCCCCCTGGGTATCTGTGCCTACTAGTACCGTAGCTGCCTGAACCACTACCGAAATGGGTTTCACAGATCCCAGGCAAAGCAAACATGAAATTGCATGCAAACCGCGACATCGTTGTTGCCTCGTTGGTGATGGTGAGCGGCAAATAGTTCCTTCCTCTCAGAACAAAGAACCAAAGGCCAACGCATCAGAAGGAGGCTCTTGCTCTGCTCTGCTCTGCTCTGCTCTCGCCCTCTCGCTCTTCCCTCGTCCCTCTTCCAAACTGCGCCCCAAATCTCTCCTTCATCCCATTAGAATTTTACCATCATCACCACCATCACCGATCCGTCGTCTATGGGAATCATTTTCCGTCATTCTAATGGCCTTGCCCTACTTCTCTCATCCCTCATCGAGTCAATGCCAGATATCTCAAGCCATACTTAAGCCTCCCCACATGGTGGACCGACAATCCGTCCCCACTGCAACATCTGGATGGACTCTTAACTGCTCATGGTGGTCAACGCACTGGAACTTGCCACATTTCCTTAAACGATCCGACATATCGATCCATCCAATATCCTCCCTGCCATTGTTCAAAACTCTCGAATCATCCCTCAAGCCTCAGCGGAGGCCAACATATCCGCACTAAGCGAGTGTTGCACCCTCTCTTCCCCGCTCAAGATCCGGTCGCCCTACTTTTGCACTCGTTCTTGACCCATCCTCTCCCCTGCTGCCGTCATTTCCGAACATCAAGATACCTTTTCCCACTCCCTCCTCATTGACTGAAGACCCTAAACAGCCACGCCGCTGTCGGTGCCGCTCTCCTCTTTGCTCCCTCAGCCTCGCCCACCGCCAGTCTTCCTCGGCCAGCCTCTGTCATTGCGCACGTCGCACCACACATCCACTAGGGTCCCGCATGCTGCCCATTCACCCACTCTTCACCATTTCTCCCCTAAATCTTCCGATTGGCTTGTCCTTGGTCAATCAGTCAGGCTCTTCTTGACGCTAACCACAACATCCTATCGCAACCTACCGTCCCTACGCATATTGTGTCGACGCATGCTGCTGAGGATTGTCAGACGCCGCTTCCCCCTCCCCGGCTGCATTGGCGTCTTAGTAGGCTAGTCGGACCCTTGAATTCGTCCTCTAGCTTCAACTTTCATCAGCGTACGTTGTTTGTTTGCTTCGTGCAACGACTCGTGGGCACAAAGCATTCAAGATTCTTTCTCTTGGGGTCATTCCACCATCAGGTCAGTTCCTCTTCCCCATCCCTATGATTCAACACACCTCCTCCGTTGAACTGCCTTCGACCTTTGCTTCACGCATCATGCTCTCAATCGTCATTCGTCCCTTGAATTCGCCACCTTCCTCCCCCCATGAGCTTCCACCCTACCATTGTTCTCGTACAAGTTCTTCCTCGATCCCACCTGAGAAGATTGTGTGGCCATTTCTGTCATCTCTGTCATCTCTAACCACCAGCGGACACTCACACGACAAGCTTCAATGCGAGCTGCCAACACCATACTCGTCTCTGGGCATGCCGTGCCGTCTTTCCAGCTCTCCTCTCTGACCTACCATGGCCACGACAACCGTCAACCCTATTTCCGGAACCCTGCTTCCTCTCCACCAGTCCTTCGCATTCATTCAATAGTGGGCACCGGACAGAACACTAACTCGACCTGGAAACAGAGCCATCTTCACTTGCCATCGTCGGTGCCCAGCCCGCTCCGCCACACTCACATTGCAATGGCAACTCCAGACCCTGAGGAGTTGGAGCGCATGCAACAGCTTTCCGACAACTACCGGCCTGTTCTTTCTGTATGATCTGCCCCACCATTGTTCTGACCTACTTGCTCTAATACTATCATAGGGACCCAAGGTCGGACCCAAGAAGCCCATTTCTGAACTTAGTAGCGAATATGCTCAAGCGGATCAAGCCTTTGTCATCAAGACCCGAGTATGACCTATCGACTACCTCTCATTTCGTGGCTGACCAGCCGCCCAGGCTCTCGAGCAAAGCCATATCTCATATCGCACCATCCAAGGCGACGGACAGTGTGGATGGCGAGGTGCGACTCAATGCCCCCTTGACTTGAAGCCTTTGCTGATCATCTAGCCGTGGTCTTTGCTTATTTCGAGATACTGCTCAAGTCTGGCGACGTTGGCTTGATCAACCAAGAAAAAGTTCGGCTGCAGTCATTCGAGCAGACGATGCGTGCCGTAGGTATCGACTACGATATCATTGTCGACATGTTTGACTACACATGGGAGTTTTTCGATGAGATTCTCAAGGCTATCCAGCAAGGCCAGCAGGATGAGGCTGTCCTTTTGCAGGCCTTGAACGATGAAAACCAATCAAACTCGATCATCTATCACTTCAAGGTAAGCCTTACCCGGCATTCACACCATGGACAATAGTTTAACAGCCAACGTAGATCATGACCTCAGCCTTTATGCAAGTTCAGTCCGAACGATACGAAAACTTTCTCGAGATGTCAGTGAATCAGTACTGCCTGACCAGGATCGATCCTGCAAACCAAGAGATTGACCATATTGGTTTGCAAGCTTTGACTGACGCCGTCATCTCCCCTGCCTATATCGCCGTTGAGGTATCTTATCTTGACCGGAGCGATGGCGACCAAGTCACTCCACATGCTTTTGTGCCCAACGCATCTCCAAGTTGGCCAACCATTCGTCTCATCTACAGACCGTAAGTTGATGGATTCACAATTTATTTAAAGTCCTGATTGACTCGTGTCACAGGGGTCACTACGATCTCATCTACAAGGACGACCCGGTCCAGGTGTTCCTGCAGACCCATGTCCCCCAATATGTCCCTTCCTACAGCAACGACCCATTTAGAGGAGACATGGACTCGTTGAACTATTCTGCCTTTCTTTTCCCGGGCTCAAATGTTATTTCCTCACACTCGGAAGCTTCGACAGCTTATACCGCACCAGCATCCAACTTCAGCGATCACTATGCGGTTGCTCCGCCCATCAGCATGCCAATGGCAGAGTCAGCCCACTCGTCCTATGTTTCTCCCGTCTCTTTCAGCGACGTGGACAGTCAGCAGCCCGCCCGAAATCGTACACTGACATATCGTGCTTACTCGGACCCGGTCATACAACAGCCGCGGAATAGCCATCACTTCAACTCGTCTCCCCATTCGCCTCAGCCGTCGCCCACATCGGACAATCACAGTGGTGGTCCTCAAGCCACAGCGACGGGGAAAGAACCTCTTGTGCGATACAACGAATATTGTTACAACTACAAGTTGGAACGTCATGAGAGCATCCCGCTCGACCCGGGTACGTTTGGGAGCTCGACGCAAAATCTGAATCATTTCACCAACTCTGAGTTCCAGCCTCAGATATGGAATGCCAAACATGAATACAACAAAATCGATTGATTCGTTGGTTGGTTGACTGACCGGAGCGAATGATCGCCGGGAGATGTCTCTTGCCTCTCCTGTGGCTAGTTCAGCCGCATGGAGATCCGGTTCCCTGCCACACGACCACTAATCATCAAGAGAGCCATGAACAGCTAGGAGGACAGGTGAGGGCGGGTTTTGTCAGACGAATCACAATGATACAGCAAAACAGTCTGAATGCTCAGGTGGGAGCTTGGCGTGCGACCATTTGGTACGCGACGCGGAGGCGGAGGGTCTGAAAATGGAAAGTCCTGAGACTGGATATTTTCATCTTTGTTCTCGTCAAAATGACAGCGCAGGACCGGGGCGCCACGTGAGCTTCGTGGGAAAATGCACCATAGATGGCTCATTTGTCAGGAGAGAAGTTCGCGGCCCCAGCCGTAGATTTACAGAATATGGCTCGAGACTGCGGATTTTGAGGGCACATGAGCAGGCTTGGCGTTGATGCATGGGGGATGTTTGCTGATGCCGGTGGTTAGTCCCGTTGATTAATGATGCCAACTGCTAATCCTTATCATTCTCACTCTGATCATTACCACTAAGATACCATCATCCTCGTAACTGGGGCCATTATTCTTGTCACCTTGTAAATCATCCATGAACATGGCCAAGTGACGAGTCATAGAGAGAAATGCACACATGGGGAGACAGGAGAGGCTGGGCGGCCCCTTGGGGTCGTATGCCTCGCACTCGTAGATTTCGGAACGAAAAGGATCCGCTACTTGGACAGGTAGTCGGTCGTGCACCGTGCATCGCCTGATCGATGGCGCGAGGCCAACGAACTCTTTCAAGAGCCTGCTGGCTCATCGCAATTGGCTAGGCTTGGCGACACTGAATGGTGGCATCTGTCGCTGGGCAGTGGCGTCCAAGGGGGTAGCTCCCACCATCACACCGCAAATTTGGAAGGCAACATGATTCTCAAAGGCCAAGGTCGGCTTCGCTGATGGTGTAGACGGCCGAGATTTCCTCTTTGCCGTTGGATCTCATTCGATTGATGTGGCGGGAAATCTGCACTGCAAATTCATCGGCGATGTGGGGGATGTGGGTTGGATTTGTGGCGGTTTGTTGGTCGCCCTTTTCGCGGTCTAACCATGTAACACTCTTGCCCTCGAGTCCGCACGCGATCACCCGACTAAACCCCCAGGAGAGAAAACCCTTTGTGAGGGGCGAGTAGGATGGCGACTTGATCTGTGTGGGGGTAAAGGCGAAAGTGGAGGCCATGTCCGGAGGAATCGAGTGGTCAAAAATGTTGAAACCAACTCCGTGGCTGGTGATGCCTCTGGAAACCTGGACTCCAATAGCACAGATCTTACGATCGGACCCCTTTATCCAGACTCCAGGATCATCAGTGCGGGTGGTGTCGCGCACACCGAAGGCTGCACAAGTGTGCATGACGCAGTCCTCCAGCATCTGGATCCAACACCGAGGGGAAATTCCATGACGTCGCAGGTCCGCCACAACATATCCTGTCAGCTGACCGGGAGCATGATAGGTCAAGAGGCCCCCACGGGGAGAGGCATGGAAGGTGGCAGCGCCCGATGCAGACAAAAATGCCTGTTGCGACGGCGAGATGGGGTTGGTCTGGAGGTGGCGACGACCGACTGTATAAGTGGGAGTGGTTGAGAAGGTGATGAGAGTTGGGTCTGGGGGATTTGGACTGCTGTGCTCAGCACCCGGGTTGTCAGTGGTGGCGGCGAAGGAGAGCGATGAAGAAGAGGATGATGTTGAGGTTGAGGTTGAGGTTTCCAAAGGGGCAGGAGCAAGATTCCTTTTCGTACGAGTGGTCTCGGTCCGTTTTGAAACAAAGTTGGGAAATGGTGCGGGTACGAGACCGGAAGGGTCGTTCGTTGGTCCCTTGATATCGACTCTGCTCTGGTCTGGTTCGCCGGAAACGCCACTTCGGAGGCTTCTCCTAGCTCGTAGACTGTCTTTAAAGTCAAAGTGCCGATGTAGAAGAGCGTCCTGCAAAGCTAAAGAGCGTACGTACGAGATGGGCTTCGTAAGATGTAAGTGGGCGAGACGCATTGCCGGAGCAGGTGGTTTTGGTTCCTCATGAGGTGTGAAGAAATCTTATCGAGGATGAACTAGAGGTAGAAGAGACCGCCAGAAAAGGTATAGCGTTGAAACTATGTGGATATGGTTGTGGATACGGGTGCAGATGCAGATCCGAGCAGTATCAAGAGTAATCGAGGCGCGGGCGCGCACGAGGCCGAGCGCGAGGTTGATGCATGACAATTGAGTCAAAGTGGTTGATTGGACACCAATGAGAGAATTGATGAGGATAGAGACTGAACGAGGGAGAAGGGCGAGAGAGTTGCAGACACGGAGACGAGGACCGCGTGCCACGTGAAGGTGGGAGTAATTGGAATACAAGGCAAGTGGTCTGGGTCAGGGTTGTTCCTTCCCCCGATCAGCCGAGGTTTGGACAGAAGGCACACATGTGAATTTGGTTGTGAAAATAATGAAGAAGGATTCAATCATACGATTTTGCACAAACGCAAATTCTAAATACAAGCCCACCACTGCCTAATCAGACTCACCGCCCATCACATCGTCGGTGTATCATCCAATCACGGTAGTGAGTAGTGATGTACAGCCTCTACATACTTGCTCGGATTGACCGAAGAAGCATGAATTTAAGATACTCACAGGTTGATTTGGTAAGCGTGCACATTACCGAATGACACGAGGTCGGCACCGGGGAGATCAATGGGCTTCCACTAGTGGGGGGCTCCTTCCTAAGTTGGGATATTGGTTCGTACCTGGGCACGCATTTTGGGCGGAAACGGAAAGAGCTCGGTCGGTGACAATGATCTGTACTCCGTACTCGTAGACTGTACTCTACTTAGCCACTTTAGAGACGCTGGGGAACCTGGGACGCTAACCAAACTCTCGGAGTTCACCAGCCTCGACGCTAACTTAAATCTTGCCATCCAGGTATCAGGAACTCGTCACGTCAGCATCATCCATGAAACCTGCAACGCAACACCTCTCCAGTCATCTTGTAACTTGGCATTCAACTCGCGCAATCACTTCAGCCCCTGGCGATCGACTAAGAATATCTCGTGCTGGATGTGTTGAGACTCTTCAATACGAGAAGAATATGGTAACTGTCAGAATACCCTGATGGCTGGTGACGTGATGAGTACAGCCTCATCTTGTCAACGAGTGGGAAGGTACTCACGATATTGTGTCGTTCTTGCTGTCCAATTCTGTCCTTCCGTACCTGCCTCTTTCAATCTGCTTTTGTCTGCTCCTGCCTGCCTTGACTGGTTCTGCCTGTTCTGCGTCGTCGTCTTCTTCTTCTTCCTCTTTTTCTTTTCCTTCTTCTTCTCGCCCCCATCCACAGCCCTACATATCCCTGTTCGATCACGCTACTCCATCTCCGTTTCGATCCCTTCCTTTGCCAATCAGGCTTATTGTCAAATTGATCTACTCGGCTGTTGTCGGATCCTCCTCGACATCCCCATACACGATATACGCACACCTGGCTTACCTGCTTCTACCGTCGCAACCCTACCCTCTCTAACGTCTAGTGTCTATATTGCCATCCATCCAATCCACTTACATGCAGGATATGGGTCTAGGGCGGCGTTTAATGCATCATGCATGGGACAAGGCTCTGTTGTAGACTCGGGACCTCAACTCCGTCCAACACTGGACTCTCTATGACCTGACATGACGTCCTCGACACGATCAATTCTCAACTCTACACTGCCCGAATCTGAGCCTTGTCCATTCTTCGCCTTGTGGCCAGTGTCCTCCTTCGTTATCCTCTCCTCTTGTGGTATATGCACCATGCCCTATTCAGGTAGAGCCCCGCCATCCTCCGCTCCGGCTGGACTAAATGTCTTGGTTCTTGCTTGCCATGCTCTGCTAAAGCCTTGCTCCGAGTCATCCCAGGGCCTATCCGATGTGGTGCTATCTGGCGTCCAGAGTCATACACAAACGGAAGAAACTAAAGTCATCAAGCCACTCAAAGATCGTCAGGTCAAATTGGGCCAGTCCGATCTACACAGGGATTATGGGATTAAGCCCTTGAGAAGTTTATTTCATCGATTTAATATCTTGGCTATAAAGTCAGGCATTTTGCCGCTCAACCCACATATCTGAGTTATAGCTCGTCCAAGATCGCGATATCAAAATCCTGTTGATAGTAGTTCCAGCAACTGATATTCTACTTCCAGTCATCCAGAGCCAATAGCGTTATCGAAACTGTCCATCTCCCTCCTCGTCACCCTCATATCCCTCAACCATCAAAACCTTGTTATTTGCCTTGACCATGAGTATCCCAAAGAATCAAGACTCACCATCCGGCAACACTCCTCGCTCGAGTACTTCCTCGTCATCTTCCGCCGCGGCCCAACCTCACACTCAAAGCCAAGCTCGCCGAGAGCAGACCACCCAAGCTGTCATATCAGAGGTTGGACCGTCCAATTCCGCTCAGCTTGTTCACTTCCATGTATCTTGTCACTGCTCTAACCTCCGGCCCTCTTAGTACTTGTCATATCTCGGACGCTATCTCGAAGACTCCCAAGTCACCTCTGCTCAGGGACGTGGCGGAGACAACCACCACCAGAACAAGTGATTCAGTCCTTGAACCCATCGCAATCGCAATGGCATGACCAGAAAGTCGTGACTGTTTCTTTTCATTTCAGTCATGTTTGATTGGCGCAAATGGTCGTGGATATTCAGCTACGTTAGACTCGGTCTCATTTCATGGACATGGTGGCATGTGAGGTCGAGATTCGGGCCCAGATCTAGACAGAGGTAGTGGATATTGAGATCTTTCATCGCAGGCTTGTATCAACAAGCTTCATTATGACAATCTGCACAGCGCACAAGCTGATCTTTGCATTTCTCAAAAATACTCTCTCGCATCAAAGTCTCGATATCGCCGCCTTGGTTGCTCTATCCTTTTCCTTACATCTGAAGCACCATCATACCATCCCTCCAAGAAGGTGCCATCGTTGCCAACAAGCCTTCCCCCTTGCTCATACACGTCAACATGAAAATAACCCTCGTGCCCGAGACTGCCAGAGTGCCCATACTTGACCTTGGGGTTATTCAAGGCCTGCACCATCTCATGGCCTTTCAACAGACATCCATGGTCACCCAGCCCCTGGAGAAAAGAATGGTAGACCTTTGCAATGGACAGGTGACTGTCGTCTTTGATGATTGCATGATTGGCCCACGTAACCACGGCCAACAATGTCAAACAGTGAATCACCGGTATACTTGCTAAGATAGCCGCTGCATACCTCCAAGTGACTTCGAGATACTGTGCGGCGATTGGCCGTTCAGCGCTTAAGACATACCTCCGATCTGCCGCGAATGAATCGTCCATGAATGACACAGCACCGATTGTGAACGAAGCGAGCTTGTTGGCCATGTCCTTGGTGCCCGGCGTACTTGCGAACCGTACATCAGATGCATTCGTGTACACTGCATACAGTGATTTGCCGTCTTGAGAAGGCCCATTCGCACTCCAACCCAAGGCTCCAGCCAACATCCGAGCAACTTCATCGGAAAACATGTATTCCCAGGTCAATTCCTTATTTCGTTCTTCCGCCTGCGAGACGTTGTTGCTGCAGGTGAAGTATCGAGCCTGTTCAACAAAGTATACGTCGTCTAGGTTGGTATCGCTTGGGTAGGATTCTGCTTGGAATGCAGTCACATCCACGCATCGATCTCCGCATGTTGAGTTCAGGTGGGATTGAACCAACAGTCCTCCCGGACCGGGTTGGGCTGGAAGAGTTAGATTGACGTCCTTGTCGCCATCGCGGTAAATAATGTACGGCATATTACCGTACTCTCCCTCAGTTACCCTGTAACCAGTACAGGATGACATGGAATCGATGTACCGATACGTGATGAGGCCACTAGATGTGTCGTTGGGATTATGATCCTGAAAGTAATACCGAGTGTGGCCGGCAAAGTCGGAGTAATAAGCCTGCGCGTATTCGACTTCAGCATTCCAGTCAAGCGGAGTGGTGACCACCCCACGAACGCCCCAGTTCTGAACTGCAGCCAGACTGGCGGGATAGTCATCGGTCAATAAAGCATCGAGCGATAAGATAGAGACCGTCCCTTTGGTAAGCAGGACGTACTTGGTCGACGTTTCGAGGTTGTAGTTGAGCCCAATGATGCCGACCAGCACCGTGACGGCCAGATGAGTCAGCAGCCATAAGACGCAATACACCTGAGTGCGTGATGGCCAGAATCGCGACCGTTCACTCCTGGCGTTGAAAAGCAGCTTGATCACATTAAGCAAGCTGTCGCATCCCATGACCAGGTCAAACGTCTCCAATGGCCGATACACCGCGGCCAGCATGCGCCACCGCATCAGTTTCGCATAGCTTCTGAGCGACGCGGCGAGATTGACACCCAGTAAAAGCGAGTTTGCCGTTGTCAGTGAATTGAAGACCCGGCGTTGCTGGACGCTGATCGTCAGCTCCCTCGTGTATGCATAGAGAATGCCAAAGTATGTCGAACATAGCACCAATGTGTTGAACCATTCTCCAACTGTCAGCCGTAGAAGACGTCTTCGTTGTCTTCGATGATTGTATTCTCGTGCCGTACCACGTGGATCCTTTTCGATCAAACTGTGAAGCGAAGGGTCGACGGAGCCGTACATTCGATTCTTTATCGTGCTCAAAGATGAATGTCGCCTTCTAGAGTCGTCTGCCAGTTCATCATGTTCGACTTGTGCGGGATGCGACGGCGAGGCTTCAAGGGGTTGCGGTCGCTGAGTTTGAACATCAGACTCGATAGGGAGGACAGTAGAATCTCCAGTCTCTGTATCGGCGTTGGGACCGGTTGGCTCAGCAAGAGGTCGCAACGAAGGCGAGGCTAGCAAGCCATCAGTGTCCTGTGCGGGTAGTTCTATTACAGGGAAAGTATCTTGAGTTTGCTCCTCGGTCGAGAGGATACGCGCATAAGCAGTTGAAGGATTTGAAGCCATGGTATTCTCGGTCTGAACCCTCCAAGCGCATAGCTATAACAATAAGATTGATCTATAAGTCCACATTGGGATTGCCTGGCTGTCAGAGGTATATCAAATGGATCTCCACAAGGCACCATCGTCGAGGGTGGAAGTCGGTGGCAATATGTACCCTGCTTTGAGTAAGGGCTCCCCGACTAAGTAGAGTCGAAGAGCACTCGCATACCATACTGTAAGAACATGTGGGGAAAGGTCCAGACTGAGACTGCGAACCGGTTAACCCCTGTCATGGGCTGCAGTACCATGTAGACGAATTAATAATTGGGTGTTGGCGCCGGACGAAGATGTCTTCCGTTAGAGCAAAGTATATCGCAGTATATAATCCTAGTTCTGAAGGGTCATGTCCATGGATGTTCTGCATGGTTAACGTTTGAGATCCACTTAGATTGGGGGCCAATTGAGGTCTCGAGGCTGGCATGACCCGTTGGGGGCCGGGCCAGGCCAGGTTCGTGAAGCTTGAACCGTTCACGGCCGTTTCATAAATTGGAGGAAATGGTAGATGAGGACTGGGTGCCTTAACCTTGTTAGGCTGAAGCCTTTGCAAAGCGACACGAGCGACATAGCGCTAAGCTTGTTTGATTCAAGTTGTAAAGCTGACAAACAAACCCCCGACCCTACTTGCCGAATAACGTGTCTGGCAGTCGTAGATACTGATCGATAAACATGGAGACGCCTATGGTTCATTCCCTGACATGGAGATCAAGTGATTTACATAACATAAGGTCGTATATTCCTCGACCTGCCTCTTCTTGGGCCCATGATTGAAGAAGATGATTGGAGTGAAAACAACGCATTCCCATCCGTTCTGACTGACTCGTATCTTGGAGACGCCAAAGACTTCAGAAACATATAGAGTTGAGTATTCGTTGTATTTTTCGACCGTGCTTACGGCCGAGTATGTGATCAAACACCGAGTTTGACCGTGTTTAGGAGAGCTGCTCTCGTGGCAATACTGCAGTCGTCACCGGGGTGATCCTTTTCAATTCGTGAGGCCGTGAACAGGCCCTCCCAGTACGAGGCAGTTCCACGTGATTCAAATGTTCGCCCCAGGTGCTCAGATACAGAGCAGACTGCAATTCAACCCATGGCCGTTATTCATCGGGCCATTGATTCTGCCTTCAGCCCCTGCTGTTTCCATTCCAACACAGCGGTCTGCGGTCAGAACGCTCCATATCGTGTAGCTTAGTGCCCAACATGGTAGACGTGCTGGCTGTGATCGAAGAGCGGAATGGCTAACGCCCAGACCTGACAAGATTTTGGGAGGCCCATTGGGAAATTGTTGGCAGTTTGACCGTCTTGATGAGTAGATGGGCGAGAGACTTATGTGAGAATGTCACCACCATGATCATCTCGCAGAGGGTCTCGGAACGAAGCTGGGCGGTGGTGTCTTGCTCGATTCTTCCGCTCTTCCTGTCAACGAAGGCCATTGCCGGGTCATCTGTTGTTTGAAAAATATACGGTGTCCTGGAGTCTTTATTTCTCTTTCTCTTCACGGGTCTCTGGGGCTGCCGCTGCTTCGTCGGCCATGACTGTGAATCCAAGATTCTTCCACTCATCTTTGGCCATCAGACCCTTGTCCATCCTGCACCCCAAGTAGTCTTTTGCAATCAATCTGCATTCGTCTGTATTCCTTCCAGGAGGGTTTTGCCGTCGCAGGCATCGGAGGTAGCTAGAAATGAATGATTTGCATTCCGCATCGTGATCGAGTGGGAATGAACCTCGTTCCGGTGGTGTGGGTTTGTAGTTGATGGCGCCTCCACCAGGAGCACCAAATCCCGACATATCTATTATGCAGGAATAGCCAGACCTGTCACGTACCGAGAGCGGTGAATTGCGCCTTCGTTCGTGGCGATTTTATGGTTGAAGATGGCAGAGGTCTGCGTGGAGTGACAAGTTTATAAGCTTCAATTTAGACCATGGTTCGACCATGATCACGTGATATGATGGACCGCATTTAATTATGGGTTGCAACAACTAGATCCAGGTGCCCCTAGGCCTTCTACTGCATCGTGGTTGTGATGGAGTTTCATTTCATCCAATTTCATTTCTAATATAAAGGTTCCTAGATTACAATGATTGGCCCAGCCTAACATCTTCTCCAGTCGTCCTTTCTCGACCTCGGTATAGGCCATTGTGGATTCACATTCGTGAGCGCATGAACGGCGAGAATGTATCGACAGATCAGGGGCAAGAATACCAGAAGGGTCACTGTACTTCATCGTCAGCGTCTTGTCAATCACGAGACACGAAAATTAGATTAGATAGACGGTCTCTATCAGTTCTCCAAGGTGATGTATGTTCGACATGATGATTCCGAAAGAACACAGCGAATACATATGATATCATCATAAAGGAAGGCAAAAACGAAGAGGGGAGACAAACCTTTTGGCTTTAGGAAACCCCGAAAACTAAGATCATACCTAGAGCAGAAAACAGCGAGTTAGCCCTATCGAACTCGTATGACATTGACGAGTAGCTAGGTGGAGATTGATGCATCTAATCAGGCTATTAGTACTCTGTCAGTAAGGAAATGGATCAAGGATGATCAAGACTTACCTCATTAAATCAGAATTTTCAGTGTATGTGCGTTCATTCCCAAGCGAATAGCTCGGTTCAAACAGTGTGAATAGTGTTCATCATAAGATGCGTTTTGGTTAGAAAGGATGGAGTGGTAAAGTATTACCTGAGATCTGTCAGTATGAAAATACTACCAAGCAAGTCTCTGAACAAATGTCCCCAGTCTCTTGAGCAATCAGCTGACGAGTTCTCAACAAGTGTCACATTCTCTCATGCGCCCACAGGATTTGTACGTCCTGCTTGAAAAGACGCATGAAGATGCACACGTAGTCTGTCCGCCCGTTCGTTCAAGTGTTCGTCATGGAAAGAGGAGATGGGGAAGAAGTTCGAAGGGAAGAAGTACCTAGACAACTCTCATGTTAGTTGGGTTTCCAAAACGACTTTCAAGAGTATGCGAGTTGGTGTTTCGGATTCAGACAAGGCTGAAACTTGTATTTGACAGATTCCACATGATATATTAAGTCTGAGGAATGCCTTACGTGTCGTATAGTCATCACAAAAACAGTCGGGGGAGGGAAGATGATGAAGGTCGTACCTTTTGCAAAATCATGAGAAGATCTTTCACTGCCACAAACGCGGCAAGATTCACGAACCTACATCAATCTTTCTCGGTCAGCTTGGCCCACACACAGAGTCGCAGGATCGAGGGAGAGTTGGAGTGTTGTCAGCGTAATTCTAGAGTAATGTTTGTTCCTCAAAGATGTTTATGATCTCGGAGTTGGATTGTGTATGTTCATCATTCGAAGTGCTCGAAGCAAGGGTTAGCTTACCATGGAAGCGACGCTGAAGAAGAGATGGTGCAAGCTTTAGCTGCAAAAGGGGAAATCATTGCAGTTGGTCAAAGATCATTGCGTAGATGGATGAGATGTGAAGGAAGGTCACTCAGTTGCAGTTAAAGGATAAATTTTGTTTGGAGAGAATGCCAAGACATTTGAGAGACTCACAGGGTGTAGGTAGTTTCGGTCCTCACACATGGCAGGCTAGACTTTCACTGCCTATGATAATGGAACAAAAAACTAAGTAGTGTAGATGAAGAGAATACCTTTACTGAAGCCAAAAAGATGTCGACGCCTATAGAAGCGGGGAAAAGTTGCAGAGTATATATTTCAGTGCTGGATTTAACATCACAATTCAAGGGAGGATGGCCGAGTTGGTTATGGCGTCAGGTTAAGGCCAAAGTCTTGACACTACGTTTCCTGATGGGAGCAATCCCTCGTGGGTTCAAATCCCACTCCTCTCAAGTGAACTTCACATGGATTTCTTTTTTGGCCGATCTTGGATATGTCCCAAGTGGTATATCACCGCAGTTGTATGATGGGCACAAAACCAGTGCTTGTGCTCTCTCAGTGATATTTTTTGCTAGTAATGTGAAATCAGCTTTCCATACCATCAAACTGCGGTTTGAATTCATGTGCCTGTCGCTAACTTAAGTTGTCGAACCTATGCACGCATTGAGGTACCCGACTGTCGTTTCACCATCTCCTTTCTTTCCCGCCACAATGTTTACTGCCCCAGGGATTGAACAAGTACCCTACAACAATGTCACACCGTTTCATCCCATCTATTCATCCATGAAGCTTCATCACTATGCATGAACCTAATACGAAGTACCTATTCGTATACTACATTTGCCAGATAGGATCTTGCTCGGCCCGTCGGAATTCCGTCGGTAGCAAGTTCTCGACAACGATCGACCCTGGCACGAGTTTACATTGGTCGATGCATCCTGGATGTCCCACGAATGGTTCCTGCCGAACTGTAGCGAAGAAATTCGGCCGACTTGAGAGGGGCATGCACTAAGCTAGAGGGAAGTTTACGGTACTTCTGCTGATAGTCTCTGGGGAAGGATTAATTGAGTATGGAGAAGCTGCAGGTTAATCTCATGAATCCTCGTGAGTCAGGTGCTGTCATCTCTCGGTCCAGGGACCGAGCAGCGCAGTGAGGCGTTGTTGACATCGCAAAACGGCACTACGGATCTTCGGCTCACGAGAGGAAAGCAGGGTAGATCTTGAATGCTGATTCCATTTTGCTGTGTTATATAGTGACCTGCTATCCACGGACGCCGGCTATCGAACTTTTGGTCATTCCATTGTTGAAACAGCTCTGTGAATTCCCGCGAGACGCAATACCATTCATCATTATCTGTAAACATGCTTGACGAAAACGCTCTTCGATACCGAGATCTAGGTCCGATTGACTGTTCAACAAGTATTAACTTGGATAAGCTGAAAGGCAAGACCGTCCTGGTCACTGGAGGTGAGCGGCCTCTTAAATGCCCTGACATTGGAGTTCGAGGCTCTGATCTGTGATAGGAAGTAGCGGATTGGGCTTTGCCTATGTCAAAGCATACAGCGAGGCAGGGTAAGGCCATCCACCTTGATCAGACATGGCGTGGTTGACCACAAGATTGACATTCACTTAGAGCAACCGTGATCAATGCTGATATCAAGGACATTGCAAACGATGTCAAATTGTCCGGGTGGGTGCCCCTTTGGTGAGGCCAGGATATGGATAAACGATCTAACCTTCCTTTTCAACCAGCGTCCACTATACCAATTGTGATGTTCGATCATGGGCGGACCAGAAGAAAGCGTTCCAACTAGCAGCATCCAAGTCCGCCAGTGGTCTCATTGACATCGTTGTTGCAAATGCTGGCATCTCGGGAAATGATCACTTCTTGATGGGTCGTAGGTCAAACCACAACCCAGTCGTCGAATATCATCACAAATGTTGACAATGATATCTTTGATAGTCGACGCCGCCGATGTTCAGGAGCCTGACATGCGAATCGTCAACATCGATCTGATCGGCGCCATGTACACCATCAGGCTGGCACTGAACAATTTCATCCTGCACCCAGAGACCGGTTCGACGAACAAGTGTTTGATCATCAAGGCTAGCCTGGCGGCATATGTGGACACGCTTCCATCCTATGGGTCTGCGAAATTCGGACTTCGAGCTGTCATGAGGGCTCTGCGTAATAAAGACTATTGTCGAGTCAATCTGGTCGCACCTTGGTGAGGATCAAAGCCTCATCTCATCCTAGCAGATAAGGTCCCCCGAGTTAACATGACTACTAGGTTCATCCATACCCCCATCATGACAGACGAGGTTGCTGGTGTACTTGGTGCTCAGCTCAAGAAGCAGGATTCGGATTTCGCCCATGTTGAAGATTCGGTTCATTGTGTCCTCCGCATTTCCACTGACGAGTCCATCCATGGTAGGTTAATACTTTTATTCTGAGTTGATAACAACTTCGTAGTTTGCTGATCTCGGTGCAGGTCGTGCGTTTGGAATCATTCCGCGACAGCATGCAAAAGAGGGTTACATCGATCTGCAACAGGATGAGTTTAAAAAGGATGATGCTGTGATGCGTCATTTGCAGGCTGCGGTTCTTCAGGTTTCACACCGAAAGTGATATGGTTCTCCAGCCAGGAAAAGCCGGGCGATGTGGGATGGATAAATCCACAGTTTAGTCTTGAAGATTGCGCCGAGTCGCGTATCGCTTGACTGCTCATTCACAAAATGAAGAAACCGGAAAGACTGTGCTGTGCATGCTCAGGAACATCAACTTTTGTATTCGTAATTCTATTGCGGTAAATCAGACCATAGAACCTGGTTGGGCCTGTCGACTACTCGAACCGGGCCGGTCGTCATCAACTGTTGCTTCGGTAGCCTCTCGCTGATCCGGTAATCCACCGCCAGTAACGACTTGATCAAGCTCAACCTGTGTACGACGAGATGTTTTGGCGCTGTCCCAGCCTTCATCCCCCACGTAGTTTGCACGACCAACTCCGAGCCAGAACGCCCGATCCCGACTTCTCGCTCCCCAGGCCCAGCCCGACCCTGTCCGGATAGGTAGATGGTACCAGCGGAAGCCAAACCAGGCAGTGAATATTCCGATCAGAGAGCCTGAGATGATGTCGAATCCGTGATGTCGATAGTCATACCACCGTGACACTGAAATATATAGGGCTGCACCAACGGGGATGAAGACGAGGATGAGTAGATAGATTGGAGGAGCAGCTGATTCGTTGCGCGGAGGCAAGTTCTGTCCGAGGGTAGTTCCACCGGGAGATGTTGGTCGTTGGGATTTGTTGGATCCTTTTGGATCGACTTCGTCTTCCTCGTCGAAAGTGGAAACAAATCGACGACTGGTGGAGGACGAGGGAAGGAAAGGGATCTGGACGGCGAATTTGGCGCAGAGGAAGAAGGTCAGATACAATAGACCAGCCCAGCTGAAGCTCGAATGACCTGATGGCCAACTGGCAAAGGCATTTCTCATCTTATCCGCATCTGTACTTCGACAGATGTGCCAATCCACCATAATAGGAACCGCAGAGTCCAACGAAGACCCCAGACCTCCTACCTGCCATCTGCGAATAGATTCTTCACTGGTGTCTGGGTCGCACACGGCCAGCGTAAACGGTCGAGGTTTACCAGACACATCCTTCAGTCCCTCGGTGATCATAAAGGCGCTTGCCAGGGAAAGTCCAAGACCCATCCATGCCGTATTCCATTCCCAGATCTTTCTGCGCCAAATGAGGGCTTTGGGGGTGTTGTGATGAGCCGTCGGACCGGGGATGAGAATTAAAGAGACGAATGCGGTGATGACACCTGGGACAACCAAGACGATAACCAGGAGAACACTAACGGTGACGGTGTCTTCGCTATAGGGGAAAGAAATAGTAGGATCTTGCAGCGAAAATGCATGTCTTGCTCCGTCGATTTGATTGAACGCACCGCCAACTGCTGCGATACCCCTGCAACATGTATTAGAATCAATTTTAAAGGGATATTCGGTGATGCAGCATACAGTATCAAAATCCAGTCGATGATATACGACAGGAGCAGACGTTTGGACAGACGACGAGCGCCGGCCTTGAGCGTATTGACTGTTCTGGCGGCGGCGACCATATCGGGGCCAAAACAATGAAAAGGGAAATGGGACACGCGACAGTGAAGTCAGGCTGGGGGAGCGAGAAAACAAAAGTGCAAGGTCAAAATCAAGGGTGATCAATTAGCGGGGGATGTGATCGCCATTTATTTAGGACTGTCAAGAGTAACAGCACTGTCGTCACTGCTGAACTCAGCTAACAGTGGGCTTGGTTGAACCTTAAGAGGGAGTATCCGTCACCGAGATGGAACTGATATGGATGACACTCGATGTTTATGTACAATACATTCTGTATGCATAACAGGGCCTGTGTTGCGTAGGCGCCCAATTTTAACCCTCCACAGCCTCAAACTTCCTTCGGACTTTCGGGCGCTACAGTTGAGTCCTTGGGGACGCCCAGGCCTTTTCACGGGTCCGAGCATCACTCTGAAGCCAACTAATCTCTTCAAGCTTTGGCGAGTCAATCCGTATCACCTTGGCAATGGCCCTATCGAATCGGAAACTCCCCTCTCGAAACGCATAGGATTTCAAAGCCCATTCCTGATGACAGAGGTGCAGTTACTCTGTACATACAAGCGAAGTGGATTGTCGATCTTGAGGTTGCATGGGGGCTGTGCATAAAGTTTGGCTGGCCTGACAAGATATTGTGGATGGATGATGCACGAAAATGTTATATACGCTGGTATCAACTACATAAGAACTTGCATCAATTATTCTATTGCGATTTGCTTTTGTTCGAGGCTGAGAGGAGCGCCAAACAAGGTTACATATCCAGATTTCAATCCTTCTGCAGGTTTACTTTTTTCCGTCCAAATCAGTGTAAAAGTCCCAACCAAAGGATTCTGAGGGATCGTTGAATCGTAACTTTTTGTCCAATCCATCGATCTTTTTGACATCTTCGGCATCGAGTTTGAAGTCACCCTCAAGGTTGGCTTTGATCCTGGTTGGAGTCTTGGATTTAGGGATCACGCTGTGTCCTTTTGCGATCCCCCAGGCGAGGGCCACCTGTGCACCATTCTTTCCATATTTCTTCCCAATCTCCGCCAGGACGGGGTCGTCAATCAACTTTCCAATGTCTTGACCTTTTGTGTAGATTTCATTCGAGTTGCCAAAGGGAGAATATTGGGTGATGTGGATGCCCTTGGACTTGTGGAACTCGGCAAAGTCTAGTTGTGCGAGATAAGGGTGCATCTCGAGTTGATGAGCTGCAGGTACAATTGAAGTTTCCTTCAAAAGTCTTTCCAATTCAGCTTTGGAGAAATTACTGATTCCAATAGCCCTGACTTTGCCTTTTGATACGAGCTTCTCCATGGCTTTGTAGGTGTCGACATAATCGCTGTCACCAGTTTGAATCTTGTCGTCCTTCTTGGGGAACAATTGGTCGCTCCTGGCAAATGGGCTAGGCCAATGCATCAAGTAGAGGTCAATGTAATCGGTTTTGAGATCTTTCAATGATGCATCAACTGCCTTCTCTACATCATCCGGGTGATGGGAATTGTTCCATAATTTGGTGGTGATGAAAATCTCGCTGCGTGGCACACCACTCTTCTCGATACCCGCCGCTACTCCAGGCTCTGTACCATATCTGGATGAAGTTAGTTGGCTAGGAAATGGATTGAAGTCGATTGACTCACATGCGTGCAGTATCAATATGTCGATAGCCAGCTCGTAGAGCATGGTACACGGCTTCTTCTTGGGCACCTTTGTCCTGCCATGTTCCAAAACCGATCAGAGGAATCTCTGCACCGGTATTTAATTTTGCTGTAGACTTGTTGTATGCAGACATGGTTCTTGTTTGGCCTGTAATATGTCGAGATATCTGTGATAAACGGGAGGTCGAATTCTTGCTGGTTCTTGATAGCATGTTTGTATCTATGAGCGTCAAGAAGTTGCACGGACAACTGCGACAGAAAGACGTCGAAGCATCAAAGTTGGTATGAGATCATGGAATGAGATTTTACAGCTTGTGAACAGCCACAGTGACCCAATCAATCAGTTTGAAAGCGTCTGGTAGGTTGATAGATGATGCTATGGGAGGTTATTCTGGGGTAAGTGACATCACGCGATTGCCGATTGTCGAGTTTGAATAAAAGTTAGTGAAGATAAACCACACATTTTCCTAATTGGGCAGTTATGCCGACCTAAAATGGGAATTCATCCGTGATTGGGCAGATAGACGGACGGGTAATCATGTGACTCTACGGACACAAACTCCTCGCGATAACAACACATCTTTCTGTATCTCTCCCTCGTATTATCAGTGAGTCCATGTCTAGGTCTCAAAACTACCTTGTTCAACGGTCTAGATCGTGGTGCGCTGACATAGTTCGATGGAATGTTACTTTTGTGTCGTATACATTCAACATTCTTCGTTGTCATGGAGCTCCTGACATTTGGGAATGGGTTCAGCCTCGCTGAATACCCAAAACAACAACAGGACCATTAATGATAAAGCCACGTTGAGATCAATCGTGCTTCGGAAGTTGGTATGTAATGCTACGCCTTGAATCGTGAAATCTCTTTCAGCCTTGTCGACGTTGCCTGTGATATCTCTCTCAAGACCAAGCAAATTTGCTTATCCGCCATGTCGAGTCCATTAAACGAGCCTACACCCAACGCTCCACCCCTCGGGGTTGTGCCGATGCCTCGTTGGTCAAATTGGGTAGGGTGTGCTAGAGTTGTGATCGCCGTCTTGGTACTTGCCTTCACCGCTGCAGCAACGGCGATTTGTGGTGGATACACTGGGTTTGGATTTGCCCTCTTCACAGTAAGTGATATATCTATCCGAAAGGCAGCTGGTGTTGATATACTACAAGTCTTCTGCAACGCTCCTCATCTTTGTTTATTACTACGTCTGTCTCTCTTACAAACCTCGGCTGTACAATCGCTGGGTGATTCTCGGACTTGAAATTTTTGGCGTCGTCTTCTGGATAGTTGCCTTCGCCTTGTTGGCAGATTGGACTGCTTTCTACAATGCAAACAATTGGTGGCTCAACTACTACGACGACAACTATGATTATTCCTGGGAATACCCATACACCAACGACAAGTCTCGACACTCGGGTCGCTTGGGAGGGAAATATCGAGCCGCAATTGGTCTGGCTGGTACAGCTGCTGGTCTTGGTGCTGTCGAGTTGTAAGTCAGCCTGAGGCATGGAAGTGAATTTCTATCCGATTTCTGATTCTGCACCAGTGTCCTTTTCGCTGTCACGCTCGTCATCTTCGGTTTATCGCTTCACAAGCAGCGACAAGAGGCTCGTACTGCATCTACAGCGCCTGCAGCCACCACAGAACCAACCACATCGACTGTGGAGACCAAGGATGTTGAGGTTGGGCAAGAATAGTCATTACACGTGTGGTACAGACACCAAACTGGACTTTGTGGTGATATTGGGGGCATGCACGTGATCTGGCATCGACCTGGTTGTTTGCTGGATGAACATTTACAAAGTGCAAGCACGGCCATTTGACACGATTGGGCTGACTCTGAACCAGCTATTTCTTTGAATTCCAGCCAACCATGTTTCAGGCATATGTTGAGACCAACAGACTTTGTCCATGGCAGTTGACCACGAGGTCAAGAAACATGTCCGTGTTCTCCTATTCACGTGACCCGGACATGATCTCGGATCCGATTTCTCCTCCTCCTTTCTCCGGAATTAGCGTCTTGGTGATACTCTTGTCTCAAATTTCATTACCAAATTCATCAAAATTTTCGTGTTTCTCTGACGCCAACTCATTGCAATCAAGTGCTCGGACACTCTTTGATTCGATGGCAAGGTAAGCCTTTTTCCCCGAGGTCCACGCTTTAGACTATTTGCTCCGCAAAACGTGATGTCCAAGATTCTGCTCAATTGTCATGGAGACTTTGGGTTCTCCCTGAGTGACTCAGCTTTGACTCTGCTATTCTCGGTCATCATCCTTTTGCCCCTGCCAGGCATCGACTCATGTTGACATGAGGAACCCACTTCATTGTTAATATAAGACGGAAATCAGGGCCATGTAACCGGGTCTCTGGTTGTGTGTACTGCTAACCATTGTTCTTTCCCACTGAAACATGTCTACAATTCCTGTCGGTGGTACCAGCAGAACACAGAGCCAAGGCCAATGGTCAGTTCCTGGCTCTCATATCGCCGAGAATGATTTTGAATCAAGCATCAACAGCAACGAGATCTTGGATCTCCCCGTGGCCGAGAAGATGCCTACCGAGGTCGATATCGAAGAGTCTTTGGAAGTCCGAATTGAACGATTAGGCCGAGAACGACCGCCAACGTTCAAGTCGATATGGCAGGAGCTTGCATTTCTTTTCAGCGTTATCATGTCACAAGTGTTGACTGAATACTTTGTTTCTGGCTTTGGCGTCATTCTACCTACTCTAATCCGCGAACTCAACATTCCAGCCTCAGCCATTGTTTGGCCAGCCACGGCCTTCTCGTTGGTCATTGCAAGCACACTTCTTGTTTTTGGCCGATTCGGAGACATGTGGGGCGCATATCCTGTTTATCTTTGGGGATTCTCCTGGCTCTGTGTTTGGAGTATCATCTGTGGATTCAGTATCAATCCCATGATGCTCAACTTCTGTCGAGCTCTACAAGGTCTTGGAGCCGCAGCATTTCTGCCAACTGGAGTCATGATCATTGGCAGTGTATACCGTCCCGGGCCTCGCAAGAACGTCGTGTTTGCCTTATATGGAACCTTTGCGGTGGTGGGATTCTTCCTTGGTATCTTCTGCGGTGGAGTTGTCGGACAGTTTCTCAGGTGGTCGTGGTACTTCTGGATTGGAGCTTTCCTTGCCGCCATCAGTATTGTGACGTCCATCTTCTCAATCCCCAATGATCGAAAAGAAAGACGGTCGAACAACATCAAAATGGACTGGCTTGGTGCCTTGGTCCTTATTCCTGGCTTGATCCTCATTGTCTTTTCCATTACACAGTCCGCCCACGCAGATTTACGATGGCGGACACCCTACATCCCAACTCTGTTCGTCCTTGGGTGCTTATTCCTCTTCGTTGCGGTTTACATTGAAGGTTGGGTGGCCGAGTTTCCTCTCCTGCCTGCCGACCTGTTCAAAGTCCCTCATATGACACCACTTCTGCTCGCTCTCCTTCTCCTGTATGGCACAGCCGGCATCGTGCTTCTTTATGCGACACAATATTTCCAGAACATCCTCGATACCTCACCACTCGAAATCGTTGCCTGGTACACGCCTATGGTGGTGGGAGGACTTTTCCTAAGTCTGATTGAAGGGTTTATCTTACATATGGTGCCTGGCCGAATACTCCTGGTCATTTCAGCCCTTGGGGCCGTGGGTTGTCAGGTTCTTCTGGCAACGCTCCCAGACTCACCAAATTACTGGGCATGGATCTTCCCGGCTATGGTCTTGTGCACCGTAGGGATCGACCTTTCATACACCCTGGCCTCAGTATTCGTCACAACACAATTCCCAAAAGCAAGACAAGGATTAGCGGGAGGGCTACTCAACTCCGTTCTGCAGCTCGGAGTTGCTCTTCTGCTGGGGTTTTCTGACATCATCCAGTCTTACACGGTGGATGAGGTCGGCTTGAAACATAGCTATAAGAACGTGTTCTGGCTGGGAACGGCGGCTGCTTGTGTCTCAGTGGTAGTGATTGCTGTCTGGGGAGGAATTCCCAGAGCAAAGAGCGACCTGACTGCGGATGAGAAGCTTGAGCTTGAGCGCGAGGCAACGAGGATTTCTTCACAATCGGTTGAACATACAACGACGAGATAAAGATGAGATAAAGATGAGATGACACATAGATGTACATATATTCTTAGAGGCATAGCATGAATCACAGTATAACGAATTGTATGACACGACGAGACCAGGTCTGGTATTGGGGTATCTTGTCCTTCCCTGCACTTGTCTGGCATGCACATGTCCACGCATAGGTGAAGAGTTATACCTCGCAAGTTTATCAACCATTTGCCAGTAGGATCTCCATTTGATGGGCATATGTACAGGCTGCATATATGGCTCAGCCTTGTAGGTCGCCCTGATGCTCCGCCTTGTACGAATATAGTTTAGCGCAGCGTATTGACCAATCAAAACGGCGACTTCTACGTCTAATTCGATTCCTTCGCATTTGTTTGTCGCCTCGCGTCCGGCCCCAGCCCACCACTTTGTCACGTTTTGAACGACTCTAAGCATCGTGATTCGAGTTTGAGATCTGTGGTATCGAATGAGATAGATTCCTTGAAGGAGCCTCACTGCACCGGCATACCATCCATTGACCAATCCGCCTGTTTCATCATACGCAATACCCAACGTGCCTAGTCAGCCTGACCCTAGTCTCGCCTAGGCAAGGTTCGAACGACGACCTGACTACAACATTGCCCAATTTGCTGTACTTTGAGTTTGAATCTTGTGCGATCCCTTCTCAACGTTCAAGGCCAACATCTCCCTGGATTTTCGCTTCTCTGACACCTTTCCTTTGGCCTAGTGGACCAAACTAGCGGAGCGGCTTAGAGACACTCAGCCTTGGAGCGGATATAGTCTTATAAGCTCTATGAAGTGGAGGGAGACAAACAGTCAAACGCACCATGCGATGTATGTGCATGATACGTGAGCCCACACATAATTCTCGGGTCCAAAATTGTGACAATGGATGAAAACGCCCAACCTGATCGGCAAACAAAGGACGGAAATCGCTGGTTTAATTTCATCTCATCTTGTTCCTCCCTCTTTCAATCTCACACCTGGAGACAGTCTTCGAATATCTACACCAACTCCACGCCACTTGCTAGCGCCGAATCGACGACAAAAGCATACACGGGAAATCGCATTCGGCGATCGCGAAAGCTGAGGATGTCGTTTGACAATAGCGCCAGCCCAAGTGCTCTCCGGAAGATCATTGATGATGGCAGTTTCTGGACCTTGCCTGATCTCAAAGTCCTGGAAATCATCAAGAATGAATTCTCCGACGAACTAAAGAGGTTGCAAAAGGCCACCTTCATCCGAAATCCGAATGCGCCGCGGCCCAGAGGCAAATCGATTTCGGAAAATTTATATCAACAAGACTTTGCTGAAGTCAATCGAACCCTTGTAGGGGTGCTGGCCCTTCGATGGCTACACAATAACCAATACGAGGAGTTTATTGGGACCCAATCGCCACCAGCGATCGTTCTCCAGCCCGACTCGTTTGCCTGGTTACGAAGGATTTTTAGCGACTTTATCAAGAGTGGAGATGACATTTACACACTCATCACCTCGATGGTGACCAACGACTTGGGCAAAGACCCCAATCTAGCCAGCGACTACGCGAAAAAGATCGGACAGGACATTTCCCAGGTCAACCACGACATGATCCTCTACCGCGCCGTCAAGGTCGGCCTAGTACCAGCATTGAACAACTTGAGCCTACAAAACCAAGACGACGTACTTCTAGGCATCAAACTCGGATCCAACTTCAATTTCGGACAATTGGCTCAAGCCGAAAACGCTCCTGCCTCGTTAGCCGGACTGTTGGAGATGCGAGGACACAAAAGAGCATTCGAGTTACGATTCTTAGAACAAGTCTTGGACTTGTCTGGCGCCGCCGGTCACGAAGATTGGACATGCGCCAAAAAGATGATCGAACCGATTTTCCAGTCTTATAAGAATGTATATGACGTGGCACATGCGATCATCGGCGGCAAGAAGACCCTTCGACAAGGATATGACATGATCCTGATTCGCAAACTCGAATTATTGCACCGAGCGGGATATAAGCGACAATTCGACATTCACGACCCGACGGATCGCGCATTGATGAGGCTCTTTTGTATTGGAAACACCACCGACACGGACAGCGCGGATGTTTTCTTCGCGGCGTTCAGAGAGAGGTTGTCGGATAAGACGCGTCAGAAATTAGTCAGGGGGTTGAATGTCGATGGAGGGGAAGGGTGTCCGGCGGTACAACCGACGTATATTCCAGCTATGCTCACTAAAGCTGCTGGGAATACTGCGACGGGAGCGGTTGAAGAGAAAGTCAGATCTATTACGGCAATGTTGAGGTATCTTACTCGATGTCTGGTGGTTACATCGGAAGATTTGGCGAATTTGCCGGAGACGATCACAGTGATTGAAAGGGATGTGAGGAAGTTGATCCCAGTGTTGGATAGTAGGGAGTTCAGAGAGAATCCAAATGTCTTGGACGATGAACCAATACCAGGCAATCAGGTTGCGAATAAGGTATCGCATGTGGGAAGATAACGTGGGATGGGATGGGATGGGATGGGATGGGATGGGATGGGATGGGACGGGTCGTGGGAGATGATATGATATAATATGTGTTTCATTCACAGCATGGCGATGGGGTGTTTTATTATGGGTTGGATTTCGGGGATACGGAGATAGGATGGATGGTTTGTTGGGATCGATGAAAACTGGACATGACATGACATGACATGACATGGGCATATGACCCAGATGAAAGACGGGACACGGAGTATCAGATCAGATGCATGATCTTGAACACCTCAAGAATCGAGATTGATGATGATAATATTGTCCGTTCAATTACCGTGGATATGGTGATCTGATCAATTGAAACTCGGCTGAAGCAGGATTAGTCGTGTTCGTTAACGTACGGCCGAGGGTGAGTGGATATCGATATCGGTGTTCTTCTGATGAGCAATGAATGAATGTATTGGGGCATGTCGTGGTTGTCGAAACTATAGGACTCGATCGACAGCGACCTCACAAACCCTACATCAATAAACAGCCGTCTAGGGTCAAGGATCACGGCACTTTAATTTCCATACAAACAGTCCCTCAATTCTATAGATAAGAGGTTTCACATAGAGGACGGGCTTGTTCATATCGATAACCTGCCCTATTGGCACCGAGACTCGGCCGTGGGGCGCCCTAAGACCGCCTCAACGCCCAATCTTGTGCTCGGGCGTCCTTATCGAAAAGTCATTCTAGCCGCTGATATCCCTCTGTGACTCTGTCAGTGCACCTCGGCCAAGGAAAGTGAAGGTCTAATGAGAACTAACTGCTGGTCAACCTCTCTTCACATCACTCATCTTACTTGACACGCTCTCTTTACAAGTCTTGACCTCTATCCTGATATTCAGATGGCGGCGACCTATATCCTATCGCCAGCCTTTCGGATAACCACGGGGTGTATCGGCCCCAAATCTGTTTCTCAAAAGACCAAGACCAAGACTCGAACTCGCACGGGTTGCAATACCTGTCGCAGAAGGCGAATAAAGTGCGATGGTAACAACCCCTTCCCTAATCATATGTTGCTGGCATGATGTCCTTCTTCGTTCACTTTCACGTTGTTCGCCCTTTGTTTGCATCTGTATTATGTATCCCTGTACCTGAGTGAGAAGCCCTGATATTTCGACATGCTGACCTCTTAACGTAGAGGCACGTCCGTCATGTTCATGCTGCACCAAATCACAATTGTCCTGCAACTACCAGCTCCATTTGATATGGGAGCAAGATCTGGCGACCTCGGGTAAATGCCACGGGCGGTCAGGAGTCTGGTCGAAGAGCTCGACGAGAACAACAAGAAACCCCGCAAACAAAAGCGTATTAACCCGCCACAGTGCGCAGAGTCCGTTGTCGCTAGTCAACCGTCATAAAGGTTGTGAAATAGTGGCCAGCGATCAGAAGCCTACGAAATCGCATATGTTTGTGAATGTGAGCATTCAAGAGATGCAGACTTTGTCTCAACTGGACCACCGACACAGAAAGGATGAGCTCTGTCTTTCCACATCTGCCATTTCGTCGCCTATTGACTCTTTCAACGACGGCTTCCCTCTACCTACATATATCAACGGGACTAGCTCTCCAGGATATACCCCATCGATGTTTCCTTGGAGTTATGAACATGGCCATGAGGAGTCTTTTCTCTTGTCCTATTATCAAGACGTCCTTTGCGCTGCCACCACAGTAGTCGATGATAACTACAGCAACCCACTAAGGCGTTTGATCATGCCAATGACTGCCATTTCCGAGCTGGTCTACAATGCAACTTTGATGGTGGCGGCGCACTATCTACAACTTGAGGCCCCAAGATACCGCGTCACAGAAATGTCTCTCCGACAAAGGACTCTATCCAATTTGCGACAGGTGATCGTTAATAGTGACTGGACCGCCGACGAGGTCTTGTTGGCAGTCATGATGCTCTGTTCTCTCGATGTAAGTTTTTCTCCTGTCAAATTTCCTACAAGCCAGCCCTCCCCTTTCGCCCTGAGCTGTCTGGATGTTCTCTCCGCACCCAACAGCATCCGCAATCAATGTGAATCGATCAAGCTTGCCTTCACAAGTCGTTCTGCAACCATTCTGTTTCTTTCTAGTCCGCTCATGTCCTTCTTTCTTTCTAGATCTCCTACCAGTGCGACCAAACCTGGCTAGCTCATCTCACTTTCTACCGCGCATTCCTGATGAGACGCGCAGAACAAACATCCTCGAGCCCTTCAATTTCATCTATAGCAAGATATGTCACCAGTTATTTCTCATCCCATACTGTGCTGGCCAAGACTTTGTATGATATCCAGGAACTGTTGCCCAGAACTGAACAACGGTCTTCCATCAACTCGATATATCCACCATGCACATCCTGGACCGCAACCGACCTCGTCGGATCGATCATGCCAACGGAAACTCTAGACGAAATCGACTTGTGGAATGGTTACAGCAACTCCCTCCTCCTCTTGATCAACGAGATAGCGGGACTTAAATACGATGTGGTGCAAATGCATCAAGGCGGCACCATCTGTAAGCTATCCAGGGTCGCGCTGGAAACCAAAATTCTGCGACTGCGGACGAGCATCGACCAACTGTCACAATCGAGTCCTGTGTTGTCAGAGACCTCGAGTTCTTCAGCTATATCGCCACAACAATGTCGCATGCTCGAAGCCATTGCCGAAACATATCAGCTTGCGGCCCTCCTCTTTTTGAACGAGTCTTCCACCCCCGCCTTTCTCGGAATATCGTCCACCAGCGATTCAGACTTGTCCATCCCACTCCTTGACGATGTCGAGAAACAGAACCAGGTCCGAGCGGTTCTCAACATTATCCATGACATTGTGCATCAGACCAAGATGCCAGTTTCGTGGCCGTTGTGGGCACTGTTCATTGCAGGCTGCTGCGCGGATCAGGAAGAGGACAGAGTCATGGTCTTGTCGTTGTTGCACGCCGCACAACAAAAAGCACCTTATGAGAACATACCCCAAGCTCAGAAGGTGATAGAACTTGTGTGGAACTGGCGGGATTCCCAACTCGAGCGTCACACTGGGGGGCGAGCTCGATCTGCCAGGGTCGCATGTTATGATTGGGAGGCCATCATGGATTTGAAAGGCTGGAGACCCAGCTTTGCGTAGTCGCAGAGAGAGATTTTGCTACGATATTGATCTTCTAACTCTTCGAATCATGTATTCCACCACCACATCGCTCCGATAATGTTCGACGCCTTCGGCACCTACATCTTGATCTTGACCCTCCTCCTCCTCCTCCTCATCATCAGAGACAATATCTGAAGCTCTTGTTCACCCAATCAGAAATGTCCAAATCCGTCGAAACGGCATCTTCTCCCTCGACTTGTGATGCGATGTCGACATTGGACGGGTCCTTAGGCTCCGGGTCAATGACACGGCCCTGCATTTTGTCTCGTCGAGTGTTTTCCCACGACATATACAAACGAAGACCCAGGATGGTCACGATGGCGATACAGAAGCAGGAGAGGATAGCAGCGTAGGCGGACTAGCAAGAACATGGACATTATCAGCACATGGGGAACACCTCAGGTGGGAAAGGAAATCGAAATTGCAGGATTGGCACCCTCACCTCGTAATACGGTGCCTGGTTTGCTTTGAAGACCATTGGACCCCCAATGTTTCCAGCACAGTAACCGATGAACAGGATTGCGGCAACGGTGGTCTTTTTGGTGTAGCCGGCGAAATTGCTTGAAATGATACTCAAGCTGAGGGGAAATCCGCAGGCAAAGACAAATGTCAGCCAGATACCCACCAACCGCCCACCCCGATTGGAATATGGGAGCTCGCGAACGAGAATGATTCCCACCAGAGCCAGCAAAAGGCTACTGGCCATGACATAGCATCGCATCCGTCGATATTTGTTCGTGATGTATGCGGCGATCAGCAGCACAACGAAACTAATCGCCGGTCCAGGCATGCCGAGTAGCAGTGTCTGGAAGGTATCGAATCCAAAGCCTCTGATGATGAGACTTGCAAACTGTATGAAGACCATGTCAGTGATCTTGTATCTAGTTGTGTATCAGGGATCCAACGACCGTGGAGCCAAGGAGAAAGAAGTCTTGGGGACACAAACATTGGTCAGGCCTCCGTTGGGCAGACATATCATGACATTGTACACAAATAGAAACCACGTTTTCGGATCGATCAAGGCTTCAATGAATTGATCTTTGCGCCACTTTGTGCTTTTGTAACTCTTTTGAGCTGCTTGAGGACGCTGAAGGGCAAACTTTTGCTCTGCCTTGGTCAGGAATCGTGCTGTAAGGGGTGTGTCTGGAAGGAGAATAAAAAGGGCAATTCCCCAGATGAAAGTGACGATGCCAAAAATGATGAACAGCCACTGTTTGGAAAAAGGCTCATGTTAGTTTCTTTCTTCGACGGGAGCAAATAGATTTGATTTGAACGAAACGATACTTACTCGCCACGCAGCGATGCTGTGTTGGATATGGCCAATGGCATAGGACAAAAGTCCCCCAAATATGGCCGCAAATGCATTGCCTGAGAACCAAATACATGTTCTCAAGGCATGCTCTGACGGTTTATACCAGATACCTGTGATCAAGGTGAAACCTGGGCTGATGGTGCTTTCAAAAACTCCAAGGAGCACACGAAGCACTGTGAGAGATACAAAGTTGTTGGCTGCGCCATGACAAGTGAGCACAACAGCCCAGATGATCCTAGACAGCGTCAGAATTGAAGATGGCTGAATGATGGATTGGCCGAGGAAAGAGCGCTAACATTGTGACTGAAAGATATTTCGCAATTGGAAATTTGATGAACCCGATCGACGCAGGATAGCTGGCCACCATGAAGCCATAGTAGAATGCACTCGATGCCCACGAATACTGATTGCCAACCAGTCCCTGTGGCAGAATTCGTCAGTTGCTAATCCTTCAAGAAGGAACGAGGAAGATTCTTACTGTTCCCTCTGGCAGACCAAGAACTGCAGCATATCCCAAAGTGGTTTTGTCCAAGAATTGTAGAGTATAGGAAAACCAGAGGCAAGGAAGCAACCTATGTAACGTTAGTGACGATAGAATTAAAAGTCCAGAGCTATTCAATCCAACCATCGATCAATCTTCCTGACAAGAGCTTTCTCCTCTTCCTCACTCATGAGGGGCACGACCGACGCTTCGGCAATGTCGGTCTTTGTATCCATTACAGTCTCGTCAGGACAGTTTGTGCTCATTGCAGGATCAACTGTTTTGGCGGTCATTTCTATAGGAATATGTATGTACCCTCAGAGCTGTCACTTTGCAGCACGACCAGTGGCACGATAGATGTTGAGTTGATCTGGGGAAGGAAATATGGGTTATTGTTGAGCTGAGGTGCTTTTTTATATGTCTCAATCCATCCATTTCAACATCTCGCCTCGTCGGCCTCTCGTGATATTGCAGTCTTGTGGTTGTCCGTAAGAAGGTCCAACCGACGATGAAGACGACGACGGCAGATAGACAAACTCATCTATCCGTGTCCAAGCGAAGATCCTGCAGGTGTCACCAAGGAGATTCTGGGGAACTATGCTTCGAATCTCAAAAGGTCTATGCCCACTAGTCTCATTATGGTAATAATCTTTTCGCTTGCACCTTCATCCACGATTAAGGTTTGCTATAACACGGCATCCCTGGTCCCTGACTTGTCGCGAAACCCAATTGCCACGATGCCCAGCTGATTATGATGTTTCCTGGCGGAGTATAGAGTTTCTTTCATTGAGAGAGCCATCTACCTCGGGCTTCGCTTCGAGCTTCCTCTGAATTATGCACTTGCCGCTTCATCCCTATGATGAATACTATCGGTCATGGCAACGATGTGACGTGGAGCCACTCAGTTCGAAGAAAGTCAGGTGTGACGGCTTGTTGAAGGAGTCGCGATATAAAGAGGCTGTTCGAACCGTCTTCGAAATGTCTTATCGCTGATTCCTCGGATGCAACCACCCAGGACTAGCTAGCAGCAATGGCATTGTCAATAGATGAGCAATGCTTGCAAGGAGCGAAAGCCGAGATTATGATCCCTGGGAAAGGACCCGTGGTTGCGGATGGAACAGTGATCTGGAAGAACAACACAATCGTCTATGCTGGCCCTCAAGAGTCTCTCCCTGAACAATATGCGAATGTTAGCTGCAGTAAGCACAAAATATTGATGCCAGGGATGTGGGACTGTCACATTCACTTTCTGGGAGCCACATCGGCAATGATGCACACTTTCACGACAACATCCCAGTCATTGGCCGGAGCAAGAAGTGTTGGCGACCTATATTCCACAGTGATGGCAGGGTTCACCTCGGTACGAGAGGTTGGTGGTTATGGGTGTGAGTTGACCAAAGCCGTCCAAGAGGGCCGGGTGGTTGGGCCGAACATCTACAGCTCTCACAGTGCGATCAGCATGACCGCTGGCCACGGAGATATTCACAGCATGCATCTGGATGGGCTCAAAGATTTGTGTGCCCACGGACTGCCTTTTACTATCGCGGACGGGGTGGATGAGTGCAGAAAGGCGGTCCGTCTACAACTACGAAGAGGTGCTCGAGTCATCAAAGTCTGCGCCAGTGGCGGCGTGGTCAGCGACATCGACAACCCCCACCACCAGGAGTATTCGCTGGAAGAGCTGAAGGCGATTGTCGAAGAAGCCAGACGGGCCGACAGGGTTGTGGCAGCCCACTGTCATGGAAAAGCCGGGATCATGGCTGCTCTGGAGGCCGGGTGTGCTACAATCGAGCATGGCAGCTATCTGGATGAAGAAGCCATCGACATAATGATCGAGAAGGGCGTGTTACTTGTGGCAACTCGCACTATTCTCGAGGGTGGATTGGCCGCGCCTCAGTTTTTCACTCCGGGTTCGTACCAGAAAATGCTACAGGTTGCAGATGCGCATGCAAATGCGTACGCGCTGGCGATCAAGAAAGGCGTCACGATTGCATTGGGTACTGACTTGTTTACCAATGATGACAAAGGTCTCCTTGCATTCGGAAAGAATGGTCAGGAGTTGGGATATGCGGTCAAGGCTGGTCTGAGCCCTCTAGAAGCCATTCAAGCAGCCACCGCGAATGGACCTCTTACCATCGGGCCTCAAGCGCCCCTGTCAGGACAAATCAAGGAAGGCTATGACGCTGATATCATTGCTGTAACTGAGAATCCGCTGGAGGATGTGGCGGTTTTGGCAAGTGCCCAAAATATTTCACATATCTGGAAGCAGGGCATATTGATCAAATCGCCTTGACATTTTCTGGCAAAACGCATTCGGCCGCCGCCTGACAAGAAGGATGCTGTTGAGAACTTAGCTAGCATTTAGAGCGAATAGTTCTTAGGTATGATACTTTGTGCAGTCTTCCAGCAAAGCTTTGATGTTCTGCATCTGGTAATGTAACCAGTCAAAGATGAACTATAACTGAACTCGGCGAGTTCTCATTCCACAAAATAAGCGAATTGGAGAGGAGGGGACTCGGTCAACAGCAGCAGGTGGGTAGAAGAGGTCTCAAAGAGTCATTCGTGGTGCACTCTGGTCGCTTTGGTATGCCAGCGGCCAATCTACACCTAGCCTCATTTTCCGGCCATTTTCCCCACTGAAAGATGTCTACACCTTGGATGCCGCAAGCGCTGCCATTACATTACACAGGGGACTTTTAGGAACCCCAGTGGATAGTGACATTCTCGACCAGAAACAGACAGCCAAGGGCGACGGGTTAGGGATGTAGCATCGATCTCGCGCACTGCTTGAACAAAGCTACTAATGACCGAGAAAGCTGTAGTGGATGGGTAGAGAAGAAGGGTACTTATTCGCACTCACTGACGTCCCTGGATCCTAAGGTCCCTACGCATGGCTATCGTACGGATAAACCCCTTCCCTCATCCGACCCCTGGTCACAACTCGCGAGAAATTCCCGCTCCGATATCCGGGCCGGGCCCCATTCTGTCAGGACGCATGAAAGTGCATGAGCATAGGGGTACTTAGCTGCTGTGCCTAGGGACCAGTGTCACATCATCTCACATCATCAATCGTGGGACCCTTGAAAAAAGGGCACGTCAATTGCATAGGGATGGAATTTGGGATTTACAGCCTTGCCACAGATAGAGATAGACAGACACCTACAGGTAGAGATATCCATTGACTACATAAAGACTACAAGATGTGCGACTTATAATGATGATATCATCATGTTCAGGTACCCGTGGTACCCTTGGATTTTATTGACTTGTGGCGAATTATCCGTCGTCAGGCTGTGTTTGCTCATACTGTATCTGCCTCATTTCCGCTCTCCATCTCCATTTCTCCGCAAGCAAGTCCTTCACATCGATGAATACCTACCTAGCATGTAGTAGTAATGCCAAATAATCTATAGGTAGATAACTAAATCTCAAGTTCGTCATCATCACTCGGAACCACCCATTTCATGCTAAGTAGGTACCTAACCTCTGGCCTCCGAACCCACCCCACCGCCCTGGCGAGACGAGACGAGACGAGACGTGACGAGGCTCTGACGCACAACCACAAACGCACGTACACAGCACAATCCACGCACGCCACCCACATGATAGATACAAGCCCATTTTCATCACATGTGCGGATAATTAAGTTTTGCTAGATCATACCCGTACCTACCAGGCTACCTACCAGACTACTAAGAAAATATCCACTCTTGTCATGTATTTTCGTTTGACTGATACGAGATTAGAGATAGCTAAAAAAAACAAGGAGACGAAGAGAATCCCCCGGCTGCTTCTGGGAGTCTCGAGGATTCTCGTTGCCGAGGTTTGTTTTGTCCGTTCTATTGTTTGTGCTAATGTCAATTTTCATGTCATCGTCATCGTTGTCGTCGACTCGTTGGGATCGTTCGTTGGCTTGTCGGCCCGTTGTTTTGGACTCCGATTGGATTGCGTGGGCATGTGATATGTTCTGCCTCGCCTCGCCCATTCCTGTCCTGGCTTTCCCTTTCAATCATGGCGGTGGGCATTCTACCGAGTAGATGCTTGGGCTGGGTCCTGGCACCGACACTGATACTGGAGCCTGGTCGGTCTCGGGATCTCTCCGTAGTAGTTTGTACAGTACTCGTTCTTAGTTCATATGGACACTTCTTTCGCCTTCGAGAGTCCTTCTATTGCTAATCTTTCCTCTCTCTTTCGCTTCTTCCTCTTCTCTCTTCTATCTCTTATCCTCATTTTATCATTGATATCCTTTGATTCTTGCTCATAGACAGGTATAGATTCAAGTCATCATCGAGGTTCATACCTTGGAACATAAAATCCCTCACTCACTCACCGACTCACTCACCTATCAACCACTGATACAATTCGAGTTGCCGTTGTGCGCATTTGCCACTCTTCACAGTCTGCCGACTACAACCACCACAATGTCTGCTCCCGCCCCTCCACCATCTCACACTCCTTCACCAGAAAATCCACCATCAACCTCTCAACTATCCGAAGTCCGAGCCGCCATCTCATCTCTCCTCTCCCAACCAAGTTATGACGACGGATCTGCCGGTCCAGTCCTAGTGCGACTAGCCTGGCACTCGGCGGGCACCTTTGACAAAGCAACTCACAGCGGCGGCAGCAATGGGGCTGGAATGCGCTGGGAAAGTGAAGGTGGCGACCCAGCCAACGCTGGTCTCCAACACGCGCGAGCTTTCCTCGAGCCCATTAAACATCAATTCCCTTGGATAACATATTCAGACCTGTGGACACTAGCCGCAGTGGTGGCCATTGAGGCCATGGGAGGTCCACATATTGAATGGAAGGGTGGAAGAACCGATTTCGCCGATGAATCAGACAAGAGAATCCCACCACGAGGTCGATTACCTGACGGAAGTAAAGGCGCTGATCATCTGCGTTGGATCTTCTACCGCATGGGATTCAACGACCAAGAAATCGTCGCCCTGAGTGGCGCTCATAACCTCGGTCGCTGCCATGCCGACCGTTCTGGATTCGATGGAAAATGGGTCAATAATCCTACCAGGTTCAGTAACCAGTATTTCCGACTCTTGCTTGCGAATGACTGGAAGAAGAAAACGTTGGATAATGGTGTGGAACAATTTGTCTATGTGGACGAGGATACTCTGCAGGACGTCAGGGAGGCGAATGATGGAAAGGAACCTTCGGCAGAAGAGATTGAAGAGGCCACGTTGATGATGCTTCCTTCCGATATGGCACTTTTGGACGACGCCAAGATGAGAGTCTGGGTGGAAAAGTATGCAAAAGATAAAGACCTGTTCTTTGATCATTTTGCAAAGGTCTTTGCCAAGCTGATGGAACTCGGCATTCAACGAGATGCGAATGGAAACGTCATCAACACAGACAACGTTCGAGACGGATATAAGAGTGCCCCGAAGAAGAGTGACCGGCCTACCGCTCCAGAAAAGGATCAGAACAAGGGACAAATCGGTCATGAAGCCGCTGTGTTGAAGGAACAGAACAGAGAAAAATGGGCCAAGTTATAGAACGGTATCATGGAGCAAGTGTTGAGCGTTGTGGAGGAAATGGCGTTTCGATCTAGAATGGTTTTATCTGCACCATCTTGTGGAAGGACTTGATCTCCAGCGAGAAAGAGAAAGCGATACCCGACGATGTGAAGTCCTGACTGAAACCAAGGGATTCCTGGCGTTTTCAATAGAAATTGATGACTTGTCCATTCTTGAGTCATTTCCACCGTCATTCGACTCTCTTCTCAACTTCTAACATCTCCCAGCTATTCTGTGCATCATCACCAATGTCGAATCGCGACCAAAGTTCGATGGTTTTGTCCCTTGTCATCCTCGACTCCTTGATCAAAACCCAGCCCCATTCTTTCCAGCATGTTCCACACAAACTTCCTCTTTAGCCCTTCTCGAACTGGAATTCGTTCGAGAGCCTCGGACCCATTGAAGTATCTGAGAAAGAGTTGCCAGTACTGCTCAACATGTGCAGTTGCATGTTCAGACGATGGAGTTGACGACAGATCTGAGTGTTGCCCATTGGCGGGGGTCTCCATTTTAGATCCAATATATTCCAACCATTTGGACTCTTCCAAGGACGCTTTGGTTGGGCGCAAGATCAAGCTCGCCGCTTTGGGGTTGTGGGTTGGAAGCTGTCCTCGTATGCTAGTGTGGTCTGTCGAGATGGATTGCCGCCCGTCACTCGAAGGTCGACTAGCCAAGCTGGGTCGCTGTTTGAATGGGGATACAGAATTTGCAAAACTGTCGACGTTGGCGTTGCTGCTGCCAGAACTCGTCGAGAGCTCACGTTCAGCTCCTGTGAAATAGGGCGACTTTCGTTCGTTGGGAGTCTTGACTCCTTTTGATTCGTCCCGATCTCTTTCCCTTACTGCTTTCTTCACGCTGGGGTCAACACGCACAAAGGCAAACGTGCGCAGCTGAGTGACCCAGCCACCACGCATCAACCAGGCAAGAACCTTGTAATATTCCTCCTTGTGATCGCTACTCGGAATCAGACTGCCATAGGGAATGGGAGTGCCACTCAAGGAAAGTAGCATCTTGGGTAAAGAGGGCATCATGGGAAACGCGGTTTCGTATGCACGAGAAGCCGAAATTAGTTTGGACATATCAGCGTTTGGAGAGACAATGTACGTGTCTCGTTGATGTAGTGGAGGTATAGCAATGGCCCGTCGCCAGTATACCAGATGTCGAGCGAGGTGTTGAATATCCGCCAAAGGAATCTTGGAAATGACTGACATCTTATAAAAGGATTTGGTTGGCTCCGCTTTGGTGACAAAGGTGGTCAGAGGTCCAGACAGAGCGCCACCAGTAGCATGAATGTCTTTGAGGATTCTCTGAGGGCTTGATCTGAGGAGTAAAGTGAAATTCTTGGAGAGTTGCAAGGCTCCAGTGACTGATGCAGTGTCCATGTCGGACGCAGTCGAGACGGGGTCAGTAGCTGTGGTCAGCCATAGGCCAGGATCGAGAGGGGGCTCGTTCAATGACGGCAAGTATGAAGTTGAGGTGAGTGGAGGGATCTGCAAGGACACAGAAACCTTGGAGTCGAGAGTCACTGCAGCAATCTTGGAAGCGGAGATGTTATCATAGGTTTTGGCAATTGCTGCTGCTAGCGAAGATCGCCGGGCCATTTCGGTGTACAGTGCAGCCGTGGAGGATTTGTCGTGCAGGTGGTGGGCCTTGATGGTTTGCAATAACTCGGCCTGCTCCCATACGTAGTTGTTCCTTGCCTGTTCATATTTGAGGATTTTGGAAAACTTCCTTGCGACATGATCGTACATTTCCTTGACACGGGCTTGATGTTGAAGAGCGGGAGGATCCATGACAAAGACCAGGTGGAACATGGTCAACTGGCTCTTTGGAAAGGCAGCGTCCTTGTTCTTGTTGGATTTGTCTTGGGTGGGATCTTGCTCACCAACACTGTCTTCCTCGTCCTCTGTGCCTTCTCCGTGATTTTGGTTTGTATCAGACATATCTTGATCATTGTCATCGTCACTGGCCAAATCCTTCCTGGGCTTCAACTTTCTCCAATGTCCATCTTCCCTGGCAAAGACAGGCCGTCCGACAAAGGTCAAGTCGTTGATTCCAAGCTCAAACTTGCGCTTGTGCCAGGCACGACCGGGGGCGAGGAGGCTTACCAGGCCATCCTCCCCGAGACCAAGTAGTGGTTCCCAGGAGGGTTTCCACTCTTGTGTGTTGTTCTTGTCCTTCTTTGACGAGTACAGATCTTCCTCCTCGTCTGAATGCAGTGAACGTACTTCGGGAGCCAGATTTAGCCCACTGTTTATTCGTTTGTTGAATAGTTCAAAGTCGTCGTCAGAGGACTCTGACTGAGAGTCGGAGTCGCTACTGGAGGATTGGGCATTGTCTTCTTGGGCGTTGTGTGAGGAGTGATTGGCAGTGGCGGCTGCTAGAGGGTCTGGAGGGTAATGGAAGACGATTTGAGCGGCAGATCCTGTACGTGCCTGTACAACTAGAAGGATAGCAAGTAGAGATGGATTAGAAGAGGGTGCCCTAAGCGACATGGTGAGCAATGGGGGATGCCAGAGGGAGGATAAGGTGAAGGCCTAGTACAGGCGCGTTGACCAGTCGCGTTGTCATGACTTCTGGTGCACGAGACAGTTGTACTTGCACGTTGTTGACGGAGATAGATCTGGAACCATCACGAGTGCGTTGTCGGATAGTAAGGCTACCCGAAGGACATGATGTTCAACCTCAGATGCTACATGGTTGGCTGTCCATTAGAGTCTGGATGAGGTGGGTTGGGGTTGGAGGTGATGCTTGGCGGGAGGGACGCTCCGCAGTTGGAGAGTCACAGAGCTACGTACCTACGTACCTACGGAGTAGTAGAAGGTGCGAACTCACCACCGTGCCACCTACCACGCCACACACGCCCACCAAAGTACTCAGTAGTACTTAGTAAGTACTAAATAAAAGTTAGGAGCTAGGCACGGTAGGCCGAGGCGCCCGAGGTGCCGTCATACGTGCAGGGAGGTCGACAGGGTAGATTTCCATGTTCGTCACCCCAATCATCAGAATCGACCAAAATATGTCCTCACCAAATCAATTAAATGATACAATCGTCGTTTTATGATAATGATAATAGCTTGCAGATAGAAAGTGATGCTTGGATTGACTCAGCCATCAACGATGTTCATGGTTCAGGTAGGCACGCCGCATGATATCGCGTGTCTGGCTGCAGCCTGTATCCTCGCTTTTATTTCAATTTATCATTCCAGAGTTGATCCTATTGACCGATTACCGGTTGCCCAGGTCGTTTGCCATACAAATCCTGGGCTCTAGCCGAATAGCCGTTCGGAAGGCAAGTTGTGAACGATTGCAACATCTCCATGGGCCATGGAAGGAATGCCGCGCCCAAGCACTCGTCGAGTCCACTCCACAAGGTCATCTACCAATACGCTCAACCCGGAGCAACTTGGATTTGACCCTATTACTCCATGGCTTTGAAAAATGGGGTGTTTAGCTTTGCACAAAGAAGAAAAAACCCAAGGCCCACTTTGGAGAAATATGATGACCAAGTTTGATATTTTTATTATTGAATTTGAACACAATAATGACTGTCATGGCACGACATGCCTGCCTAGAAAATGCTGTAGTAACAATAATAAACCAAGGTAAGAGTCGACGGCCTGACTGTAAAGATGACTCCTCGGTCCAAGAGCCGTGGTGACTTGCCAATAACGATCGAATGAGTCCTGATCCAGGCCCGAGTCCCCCTGGTAGAAATCTCCAATCCCTACCACGCTACACTATTCTTCTGCGTAAACAGGCCTGCAGAAAAAGTTGGCCTGCATCTGAATCCCCTCCACACGGCCAGTCTCGGGCAGTAGGCAACTCACAGGCGCCTAATAATTACCGTAGTAGCTAACCTAAAAGCTACTTGCACCGTGTCAAGTGACACGGGACGCGGGCACTCAGGCACTCTTTTGCCCTGGCTGCAGCTTTTTGAAGTGAGTCGAGTCTCCACCTCTGACCATTGCAAGGACGCACACAAGCATACAAGCACACAAACACACTAGGCACAACGCAGACTAAGTACGCACACTACCTAGGTACGCACACTGCTGGCGGCCATTACCAGTCAACCATACCCCCGTGTGCCAGTGCTTGTAGTGCATAACCACTGCCAGTCCGAGTACGACTGACGCCCACTACTCCGGACTCTGCCTGCACTCACACTGACTCTTCCCAGTCACTAGTACTACCACTCCTCACTCACACTCCAACTGCCACTCACAATCATAACCACAACCACTGCTTCCTCTTCCATTTCTATCCACTCCAACCGATCACCGACCACCGACCGCACCACCACTTTTATTTCTCCTCCCCGACCTCACCTTGTCCTCATTTGTCCTCGCGCAGTCCCCTCCATATCTTCATTTCTACCCATTCTCATTCTCATCTGTCCCTCATCTCTAATCCTCGAGTCTCTCGTTCCCCCCCAGTCCGTCAGGGTTTTTCCCTGGCGTCTGCATGAAATTTCTACCACTCAAAAATAATCACCACATCTCTCACACTCCAGAGCCCCCTCGCAGTCTGTCCACCAGCTGACGAACCTCTCCTACGAGTGACCTTCCTTCTTCCTCTATCGACCTTCCTGCTCGAGTCCCGGCTCCTCCTCCTCGTCATCCTCCTCCTCCCACCACTGACCCTCGGTGTCTCAGACGCCGCTTTGTGCACCGTTTCCTCCCCGCCGCCAATGAGGCTCGAAGCCTGACTGAGATCTCTCTCAGACTAGTCTCCCTGTCCTGCGGTCGAACCCACCTCTAGACCTTCGTCTGCTCAGATCTGCCCAAGTCATCATCACATCAATTCAACCTTGCCTCATCGAGCCTCGACGACAATTACACCGTCGACTAGTCAAGACATCCCAACCACAGACTTTGTTAGCCACTTGGTTGCACGGATCATACGTATCTCGGGTTGTGCCTTGACCTCAACATCATCTGGGGTGCTCTGTTACGCAAAGTTCAGAGCCAGAGGACCAAAGTCAAATCAGCTTCGTGCTGGGTTCGCGCACTTGCGACCTTGCATTGGTCACTCAACACTACAGCCAGCACAGTGCTGGTGAGGGGTAACTAGTTCGAGCAGAAAATCCTCCCTTGAGGTTTTGGTCCTTCGATCTCGATACGGTCATGTCTGCTTCAACTTCAACCGCTGTGCCGGTTTTCTCATACGCACAGGCTGCAAAAGGTCTAGCTCCAGCATCCTCCCAGGCCGCCTCGAGAAATGAGGTCCCAACTTCGGACAAGGCTGGTAAAGACAAACCAACCCAAGCTGTAGCTTCAGTCCCTACTCCCAAATCTTCTCAGCCGGCTTTGGGAGGCGACGGCAAGTCAACTACAGTCGATTCAGCCACTGCGAGCTCCACACCAGACATCCTGGCATCCAGCGAGGTCGGACAGAAAACCACTGAAAACTCGCAACAAGAGTCGCAACAAACTCCACAGAATGACACACTGGCCAAGGTTAATGGTGTATCGCCTAACGCTGCGTCAGCCCAAGATGTGCAGAGCAATACGAGGCCTGCCCTGACCAATGGTCGAGCTGACTCTTCTGATCGCTCTCCCACCGTTGCAACACGCGATGATAGCTCTCAGAGCACTAGCGACAAAAAGACAAAAGACACAGATGATGATTGGGAAAAGGTATCTAATCCTTCGATAGCGCCGGAAAAGGAGCTCAAGGCTGCTCCCATTCCAACTGTCAACATCTGGAAACAGAGACAAGAGGCACAGGCGGCAAAGAAGAAAGAAGTCACCGCTACTCCTGCGACACTTCCGAGCTCACAGCAAAAGCCGAAACCAGAAGAGAACAAGCGTAGGCCATCAACCAAGGATCAGCCTACCATTGATCGAGAGGGTCGAAACGGCGAGGTTGGCCGTCCCGGCGTCCGCAAGGACAATACATCCACTCGCTCTCCTCGATCCATTTCCAGACAGGGTGAGACTCAAACCGAGTCCGAAGCACCTCCTACCGTCGGCGACTCTCAGTCATGGCCAACTCCCGAAAGTTCGATGCCCGACGAACGACGCAAGTCATCAAGCTATGAGAAAGTGGATAAACCGGATCCCAAATTCAACGTGCAAAAGTCTCACGGCAAGAGCTGGGTCTCCGTGCCATTTGTACCATCCGCAAAATTTGAAACTCAACTCCCCCCAGCGGCTGCCCGTCGAGGTGGCCGGGGCTCTGCCAGGGGTGCTCGAGACGCTGGTGCACGAGGAGCTACAGGCAATGTTACAGAAAAGCAAGAAACCAGTGGTTTGATGGGACCCCCTCCAATTCCTAGACCTTCTGGTGAGCAAGACCGTGGACGTAGGTCCGAAGGTCAGAGTGGTGCACGCGGTGCGTCCGTTCCCACTAGTTCAACGGCAAATCGCCAACCAAACGGCGACGAGAGCCTAGCCACTATCGGACAGCGATCTTTGGCTATGGACAAGGAATTTATTCCCAGCGAGAACGCTACGACATCCAACTCTTCGCATATCCGCGATCAATCTGCAAAGACAACAATGAGCTCCAGATCATCCTCTGGACACACTGGTCATGCCGGCCACCGAGCTTCAGATGGTAACACTAACTTGAACGATCAAGCCATGGGCTATTCCCATGTCTCTGAGCAGGGCACGAGGCAGTCCAGTTCTGGTGATAGGTTCAAAGGCGTTGGAGCAACGTCTGGCCCACCCCGTGGCAACGGAGACTTTGCGAGAGATCGTACGGCTGTAAGAAATCGTGAATGGTCACGAGACAAGCCGGAAAATGCACGTGAAAAGGTCGAGTCTTGGAGAGATCGAGAGAACTCTAATGATCAAGGCAGCCGTCGCGACACCCGTACTGAGCGTGGGGGCCGTAATGGACCATTCCGTGGAGCACGGGGCGGCCATAGCTTCGGTTCTACATATGGTTCACACACTTCACCACTGCCTCAGAATGGGTTTGAGCCAGCTAGGTCAACCTCTCAGTCTGGGACGCGATCGAGACAATCCTCGCAGCCCTTTGTTCCAACCCAGACGGCCACAAATCCCCGTCAGAATCCACGATCGCAGTCTATTCCGGTGCAAATGGTGTATCCCCAATACTATCAGACTGGTCACAACGTTGCGCATGGTCTGCCACCGCTGCAGACTGATGGTTACGGATACCCACAGATGCCCCTGCAACCAGGCATTATGAGCGCAATGCCCTACAACGAGCCGTTGAATCAGTTAGCGTTGATGTCAATGGTCGTGACTCAGATGTAAGTGCTGGTTTCTTGTCTGGGCTGTCACTATTCTGACTAACAATTTTTGCAGTGAATACTACTTCTCGATCGACAACCTTTGTAAGGACGTTTTCCTACGCAAGCACATGGATGGTCAAGGCTGGGTCCCTCTGAGCGTCATCACCAACTTCAAGAGAATCAAGACTCTGACTGAGGAGAACATGGCAATCGAAACCCTACGTTTTATCTGTCAGACCGTCAGAAGCGTCGATTTTCTTCCTGGTATTGATGGCGATGACCGTCTCCGTAGCCGGGATAACTGGAGAGATTTTGTGCTTCCCCCAGAGGAGAGATTCGAGTCTGCTCGGCACGATGGGCCTGTCCACGCACCACAGCAGTACATGCAAATTTACCCAGGCGCACACAACTCGTTTGAGGGTGGCTTAGATGCTGAACAAGCACAGAGTCCGCCTCCTATTGGAGGTGGTGTGCCCAATGGTGTTTTCAGCCATGGGTCGCCCCCTACGTTCACTCCAGGACTTCCCATCGATCTTCACTCGACTAACGGCACTTTCATCCCACCCATTGAGGATTCTCTGGCTGCTGACATGCGCCACCCATCAACCCAGACTGTTCCTCCTCACATCCCTGCCACGCTTAGGTCTCCACCACTTCAAGGCTCACCGTCACAAGTTGCTCACATCAACGGACATCGTCGTCAGTCGTCTCGCTCAGATATCGAAGCGAATGTTTTCCCAGACGAAAGCATTCCCAACATCAATATTCGTATGCAACAACGTACAGCAAGCACGAAAGCTGAGACAGTGGCTCGCTCCTCTCAAGTGCAGGTGGCAGCGCAAGACTCCAACGGCGTGGCCCAAGAAGCATCTGATCCAAGCACACAGCAAGGTGCACCCAGCTTACGGGGTGGTGCAGGGAGCCTGGAACAGTAAGCCGGCACTTCTTGTTTGAAGTCAGTGAGCTAATCATGGCAGACTGGAGCAATTTCGCACCACATCATTTGCGAGCATGAAAGGAATTTCGTTTGGAGAAGAAAGCTCAGTTATGTATTACACGAGGGACGGCCATGAGACACAGCTTCCTCCTCCCCGCCCGGGTGAATACGACCAAGACTATCTGTCAGTGCGTGACGCTGCATTTGAGCAAAAGCAACACGGGGTGGAGGGAGCGCTGGAGCCCCTTTACTCCTTCTGGGTTGATTTCCTCAGTGCCAGATTCAATCTTGGAATGTACGAGGAGTTCAAGACTGCTGCATTGGGTGAAGCGGACGCCAATCACGTCAATGGCATCCTTCACTTGATTCGCTACTACACCAAGGTGTTGAATGGAGAAGTGGCCATCAGCGAACGCATTGCGTCTGACATGGTGTCCATTGCAAGATCTTACCAGGTCAATGATCGTGTGTTGTTCCAGACTCTGCGAGCAGCATGGCGAAACGGAGCTACAAACATGAAGACGATCAAGCGACTGGGTGATCACTTCACCGCGGAAGAAAAAGCGGAGCTTGACAAGAGTGGCTGAAGGTCCGACAACAGTAGCAGGTCTTTTAGCATTGCGATGTGCCGAAACCATGTCATGATGCAAGATTTGCGATTTCGGACACATCTATGTACTGGTGGACGCTAGGGCGAGGTGTCGCTCAAGGCCGATATGGTCGCCGAATCGAGCGACAGCATCTTGGAGTCATGATTGCCATCTGACCAAGACAGATGTGCAATTTGTCGGTGTTGTGTGCTGCTGAGATGTATGTTTTGCCGACCTGGTTGTTGGGCCACGGCGGCCATCCTCAACTGATACCTTTTCTTTGTTTTGTGCTGCATGGGCTGGCGCTATTGGTGGTCTGATTCAAGCGGCAGGCCTTTGCAAGATTCAAAGGCTTTGTTGTGGCAGACATACGACCAGTCATGATTGATTTACAACATACCCAGGATGACTTGTTGACTCTCATCTCTGTGGAACGGGACGAGTATCCCTCTTTTTATTTTTGCTGCGTTCTTGCATAGACCAACATGGGAGGAAGGGGAGGGACGGACGAGTTGAAGGACACTGGGGCTGCCCATGAACAATGTCGATGGGCAGATGTGAGTGGTGGCACTGGATTATTCTAGCTTGCTCGATACCCTGGAGGAGCCTCGATTGTGATCTGAGCAGGACATGCCAAAGGTCAGGTCAGGGCAATGTCATGCCATGCCAGTCAACGACGGTGCTTTTTTCTTCTTCTATTTGTTTCATGGTCAGAGGTACCATGGATGTGTTCAAATGGCCAGCCATATTGCATGGAAAGCATGGAGCGCAGGAAATCACATGTGTGGGCAAATGTGGCCGAGATGCCACTCTTCCTCTTCCTCATCCTCATCCGTTTGTTTCTTTAATTGTACGCCGACTGACAGCATGAAAGAGCGTCAAAGACAAAAGTTTGTACACAGTATCATGAGATTAAAAAAAAGCTTGTTGGGGAGAGTTTTTGATGGAGTTTTTGATTGTGATTCTAGTCTGAACTAGAGTAAAGGGCATACATAGCTGTGGCCCTAGATAGCAGGGCTTGAAGCCGTCAACTGACGATATTGACGTGTGTTGTTCACGGCCACATATAGGCCATGGAGTGCGTTGGGAGAGGAGCAGGCAGGTAGGCATGAACGGTTGAGCTCTGTGTGAGAAATTGATAGAGAGGATGGAGAGGATGAGTGTCGCAGCCAGGACACATATCAGATTGCTCTTGCTCCTTCCTGCCTTTGCCCTGGATCAGCCAGAGTCCGACAAACAAGGCAGTTGCGGTTGCGGTTCAAATGCCAAGGGCCAAAGGCCAAGTAACCACGACGGAAGCCTCGATTTCGATCGGTGTTACTCCTCCTGCAACACATCCTTGTAGACACAGACAGGCTCTAGTCCAGAACATCATCATTGCTGCGATGTCCATCCATCCTTCCTTGAAGTTCTGTCAGCCTCCGGAGACGCACACACACACAGTCATCGAGTAGAGTCCAGTATGATCCGATCGATCGATCGATCGATCAATTAAGATCCAACTTCCACAACCCATCTCCCAAATAATGACCGGCACTAATCGCGACGCCCTTTTTCTTCTCCTTCATCTCCTTTGTCCCCATATCCAGTTCCCCAATCATACAAATTTCATTTTTTCCTTCCGCCGCAATCGCCACCACCTCACCCTTCTTGTAACCCTCCCCATCCTCATCCTCATCCCCATCCCCGGGTAACCAACCTCCTTTACTCGTCAACCCCGGCACCATGAGCGCCGCACCGGATAAAACAAATCGGATTGCTCCTCTATCGATCTTGATTGTTTTAAACGCATGGGGATATTGATGCACGACTTTCAGGTGTGGGATGATAGGGTCGTCCATGTGTTGGTAGAAGAGCGGGGAATTGTCGAGCGAGTACAGGGAGACCCGGTCGGGGAGTTTGACATGGTCGAGTTGGGATTTTTTGGGGATCAGGTCGTCGATGTGGGGGGTGAGGTCGGGGTATTGCTCGAGGATTTTACTCCGGATGGCGCGTTGCACGGAGGATTTGACTTTTGATTTCGCGCCGGGTGGGAGGCTGTGGTGGGGAAAGGAGAGAGAAGTTGGTTAGTTGAAAAGAATGGCGAAATGGTGGTGATGGTGGAGGGGAGAGAGACGGAATCGGAGAGAGGGAATGGGATGGACTGGAGGTGGATAGGATAGGGATTAATGGGTTGCTGACTTACTCCTTCTTGAACATGACTATGGAGATATTGACCACTCAAGGGTCAGGGGTGTTTGGTGAGGAGGGTGGTAAGGGAGTGAGTATGCGGTGACAAGAAATTGTGGTGGTGGTGGTAGTTGGTAGCATTGACGTCGTTGCAGATTTGATATTGCGTTGGAGGGTACATGTACTGTACTGTACAGTAGTGTAGAACACACCGACAACGGAGTCAGCGGGGTAACTATCTACTACCTGGTACGCATAATTCCTGGCCGCAAATCCAGGCCGTTAGGCTAGACTTCCAGGGGTCAAAAGTCGATGGTGAGGGGTAAAAGGGCGCCGAGGTGCGCCTGGGGCTAAACATCCTATAAAACTTGCAGTTGCTCATCACGTGTCTTTAGGGGATCGATCTTCTTACATCCATCTTGATCCATCTTCTCAACCTCCATCTCAACATCAATTTCATTCCCAAACACGGTCTATCTACAGCACTCCTGATAGTATTTCCCTCGCCATATGCCCTAGAAAACGCACAATCAGAACAGAAGCATGGTTCAAGGGCCCATTCAACTCTCATTCATCCCAGCCAATGTGTCAACCCAAACCTTGCAACCCCTTACCAGTCAATGAGACCCATTTTGCCCATTTTGGGCAACTTCAAACTCCCGTCAATGGCTGGAGCCTCTTCGACACGGTCAAGTGCATCACATATTGCTTCCGCCTCCCTGTCTATATCGGATTCGCCCGTGACTCTGATTGTTGGTTGCAATTTACGTTTGGCTAGCTTTTCACTTCGTTGATGTTGTGTCAAGATGGCTAATAGGTCGATGGTTCGTCCTGAAATGGGTCAGATCATGCTCAGCCCTTAGACTCACCAACGTCTCTCAAGGTAGGTCGTGAACTTTGCCTTGACTTACCTCCGCATTCATACGCAAAAGACTGTCGTGGCGAATCTTCTTGGCCGTTACTTGGAGTCAGAGCCATGATCTCCTGCTTGACCATCCATTCCCATTTCTCTGCGGTTCCACTGGACGTCTTGCTTTCTTGTCGACTGTAAAGATCGCATCTGATTGATACCTCTGCTGTCGAGATCGGTACAATGATCATGGTATACCACAGGTCTGAGTTCACTTCCTTAACAATGCTCAACGGGCCGAGAAGTCGAGTCTGTTTCGGCATCTTTTGAAGACGAGAAAGCCAGCTGAATCGAGTGTGAGACCGGTGAACCTGGTCTGAGAATCCATTTGCTAATCAAGTCAACAAAGTCCGCTTCTAGACGTGCCCTCCGCATCTTCTCACCAATGGTTTTCCAATTCGCTTTGCAATCCACACTCATCCCATGCACCCAAGAACAGCTCCCGAAATCCACATGCGACTTGACATTGTTGAATGGAAGTTTCATGGTATTGGCATCAAAATTGACAAAGATGAGTCCATCTCTCGTCAAGATCAACTTGATTTCAAACAGACCATTTGCTTGAGGATTGAATCCAGGAGATTCATCAAACTTGGGTGCCTTGACCAACCTACCGGTATCGTCATATTGCCAACCATGGTATTTACACGAAAATCGAGTTGAACTTCCACACGATTTCCGAACCACAGTGTATGCGCGATGTCGACATACGTTGTGGAATGCGCGTAAGACGCCGTCTTTCCCTAGGACAGCAAAGAAGGAAACTCCTGCGATGTCGAAAGTGAGATAATCCCCTGGTTTGTCGAATCTACTTCGATGGCAAACGAACAGCCATGTCTTGACTACCATGTCAGTCCAAAATCTCAACCACTTTTCACAATCACATTCCCCCCTCTCACTAGCCCCCATCCTCACCGTTACGTACCTTGGTGAAAAAAGCCCTCTTTTCAAGAAGAAACGCTTCTTCATCGGACAGAACGTCGTCTCCTTTCAAACTCCCTTTTTCGGCCAGATCAAGAGTCGATCCCACTAATGTGGACTTGATCGGGAGAGTTGAAACCACAGCTTGAACTAGTCTGACGATGTGTCCGCCTAACAGGTAGCCCAGACATGACAAGACAAACAAGTATGCTGGGAGAGGGGCGTTGGTGAGAGAAGACACCACCACGAATGTCATCCTGACGCCCAAGTCAAATGACCCTGCCTTGTGCGTAGACACGATGCAATATGGAAGGAGTGAACAAACTGATGGAAGGAAGTTATGTCCAGATATGTATGCGAAAAGACGGCAACCAGAACCAGACGCCGCGATGGCTAGCTGGCTTATCGTGAACTAGTGAGCGAGAGAGAGTGGAAAGGAGGAGGTGGAAGTGGCAGAAAGTCAAGGACGGGTATTTCCATTCCATATCACTCACAACTCAATTCGGGCACTATTTGGGGAACGACCCAGAATGAGAGATCATGACAACGAAGACATGAGTAAGTAACAAGGATCAGGATCATGGAAATGAACCAAACTGCAAGCACCGCCAACATTCATCATTATCCCTACTACAACTAGTTCAGGTATTACAACTACGTAAAATCACCCTCTTGACAACATCCTCGTGTCAGCACATGTCCGTCCGAGTCTATCACGGCGGAAATCACCTTTGAAGATACAGAAAGGCAAGAAGAAGAAAACGACTCATTCCTCAATCACGATTGTGATCGAATCATTAAATCATCGATCCATACCCTGCATATCAATTACTCCGTAGGCATATGAAATCAGGATCCTCGGGCAGCATCCCCGTAGACCAGCCGCCTAGCCTATCTAACTGAATGAATCAATCAATCCATGCCATGTCCTTAGACTCGCTTCTCATTTGGGAATTCCCAAAGAAGGCATGCGATCCAGAGACAGCAGTCCAATGTGAAGTGTGATGGCGATGGCGCTGCAGCTCACGCACACACACACTGTGTAACATCATCCCTCCCTCCCCCACCCCACCTTTTAGCTTTCGGATATCAACGAGTGTGATTGATGAACAACGGAACGTTTGGTTGGTTGGTCGGTTGGTTGACCTATTGATGATTTACGATTTACACCCTGCTGAATTTCCACTTCTTTGAAACTTTATCCTGCGTGTTAGGTCAGGTCAGGTCATGTCATGATGAACATTATCGTAAACTGGAAACGGGAGTAGCTGAGTACTAGGTAGGTAGCAACAGTATAAAATGTCAAGCACATGAAAAAACCACTCCTGTTTTGTGCTGGTGCTGGTGCCACCCCCACTATTTGAGGATACCTTGTTATCCATCAATCGTCAAATGACAATGTCGCTTTGCTCTGCTATGGTCTGGTCTGCTCTGCTCTGCTCTGAGTTGTATCGTGCTAATAAGTGGCTGGATTTAGCTTCCAATTTCAAACAAAAGACAGACACTACGATCTATCTTTTGAGCATTGGAATACCATATTAGGATCACCCAGATCAACCAGGTCAATCAAGTACTTTATACGCTGGAAGGTAGAATCCCTTGAAACCCAACATCCCGATTCTCGGCCGTTATCAGATTCCATCTGCCTTGATTCTGATTCTGATTCGACCTCGTGATTGACATTAGCCCACTGGCCACGGGTCCTCGCCATACGATACGCGCCGACTACCCAATGTACCTTGTTCTGACGAGACGATGAAGACAGATTGAACCGGCATAAGTTCACGACCGTTTTCGAGTAGATCGTAACGGATCCATTCCACACTATCCATCCCTGCTTCTCAATCCTAGTTAGTTCTAATCCCCATTCCCTCGATATTCCCCTTCCCCTTCCCCCCCCACGTAAATACTCGGTCAAATCCCTGATTGCTCTTTTGCCGTCGATCAGACAGACGGATTTATCGTTCCAAAGGCCCGCTGGGTATTCAATAGATCGATTACATACATCGAATCTAAAACTGATAATGGACGCCACCAAAACGCTCCCGGCGTCATGGTACTGTTCGCAGAATCTGTACCAATTGGAGCGAAGAGCCGTCTTCTTCAAAGCATGGTATCTCGTTGGCGCTGTACCCAAATTTGCGATTGATCGTATTATCGAGTATGAATTCGCGGGTGTTACTGTTGTGGTTGAACATGATGGGAATGAGAATTTCAGTGTCGTCAGGAAATCAGATGTATGTAAACCCATTGCATCCGGTGAGGGGAGAAGGAGAAGGTGGTGCGAAGTTCAGGAGTTTGAGTTGTCAGGGTGGTGATGGTGATGGTGAAGTTGTGTTGTGCTGTGCTGTGCTGTCTTGTCTCGATGTTTGACTGCTCTCATTCGTGCTTGATACTGACCTCCAGAGTAGAACCAACCACTAGCACACTACTTGACGCCAACAGGCCTCCTCTTCACCACCATCTCAGAGTCCGCACCACCGTTTGAAGAGTGGTTCCCACCATCACTCCTCCAACTGGTGTCGAAGTATGACTTCCGTCGACTACCACACCGACGCACCATCAAATATCCCGGCAACTTCAATTGGAAAACCATGGTCGATGGGTATCAGGAATGTCTGCACTGTCAATATACCCATCGGTCCTTCAGCGTCAAGTATCCTCCGACCTTCTATGAGGTACACAACCATGGCTCATATAGTCGACATATTGCCGATCCGGCGAATCCCAATGATGGTTTGTTCTTGTATTTCTTCCCTGTTTGCACTCTCAACCTGTACGGTGGGGGGATGAGTAGTTTCCGGGTCTGTCCTGGTGACAAGGTCGGTGAGAGTAGGATGGAATTTGACTATTACTTTGATGACGGTAAAGGTGGAACAGAGGGGTTCGAAGATTATTATAAATTCGTCCGGAAAGTCGCTCTGGAGGATTTCGAGTTGTGTGAAGTTGCTCAGGAGAATCTGTGGAGGGGGGTTTATTCCCAGGGTGTGTTGAACCAGGTCAAGGAGAGTGGTGTTCTTCGTAAGTACTGTCCTCTCCAGAAGAACCTGAAAATCCCCAGAGACGTTCGACTATGGAATACTGCTATGCGATCTGGACTGACAGTCTTCCCAGACTACCAGCAGTTGACTCGGAAAATGGTGGTGGAGAAGTTCAAGGAGGAAGAGGCAGAGAAGAACGCTTTGACACCGGCAAGTAGCCGTGCAAGTGCAGGTTTTGTGGCAAGTGGTCAGGATGATGTCGCCGTGTCTGCATAGTGATGTAAAGATTGATCATAGACATGCAGGTCACAGTCAAATCCCATCTTTCTTCGTAGTACTGCTTTCAAGCGTATCAGGGTCCTTGGCTTCGAGGCTGTCTCCTGTGGCTGGTTGAGCTGACAGCTCGGTGTTTGTAGCTGTTGCTGTCGCCGTTTTATCCTTCGCACTAGCGATTACTGGTGAAGTCACAGCCTTGATACTCTCCTCGGCCTTGTCAATCTGCTTCAGAATGAAAGCGATCGTAGCATCTCGAGCTTTATCGAGTTGTCGAAGTCGTTGGAGTGGCATCTCGGTATAATCAATTGGTTTTATGGTGGGCGCTGTTGACACTGCACCTGAGGATGACGCTGGAGTCGCTGTCGGCGGAGTGCTGTGTTGTTGCGATGACTGAGAATCCGAGCCGCCGGAGGCTGCTGCCATATCAGCTACCAGTTTGGTTTTCTCGGACAATAGATCCCGGAGGATCAGGATACTCTTGTCACGCTCGACGAGTTGACGTGCCAATCTAGCTCTTTGCGCGTCATCGGCCACGTTGTTGTCACCACCATTGGTAGTTCCACTGGCATTGTCGCCAGTAACTCTGGGTCGTTTGACAGAGTCCGCGTCATTTCCTCCGATGCCATGACTTGCACGTTGCCACATTTTGATAGCTTCTCTCGCAACCATCTCAATGTGCGTAAATCGCACAGGGCCAAGTAAAACGCCACCATACCATCTGGCAACCACTACGGTGCCTTGAACGTCAAGATCGACAAGAACTCGTTCCAGGCGTTTGCCAGCATACTTCTCTCCATCGTCATCCGAGCCAGTTGTGTATGTGGCCTTGTCGTTGAGAGTACGTTGATTAGATCTTCTTCGCCACGCGACCATCTTGTGATCTGCCGAGGCAAAATCGGGATGTGATTGGACGGCCTTGATGCTTTGAGTCAATGATACAAGACGGGGCTTGTCGGAAGAGGTTGATGAGGGCGTTACACTCGGGTCTCCTGGGTGGAAATGTGCGATAAATGTTGACGAACGGTCATGAATCGGCGTCGATATGTAGACATTGTCATCGTTTTCGACAGCCAATGGCCGCTTGTTACTGGATGCAGAAGAGGAGGTGGTCATGGCTAAAGCAACAGCAGGCAACGTGGAAAATTTCGTGTCAGTCGGAGGGGAAAGCTGTAAGATTTGTCATCGCGCCTGGAAGGCAAATGAATTTGGTACTCCCTGTGCTCTTGTGCTCTTGTGGGATGGCATCAACATTATTGTGTCTGGAGTGGATTCAACAAGTTTAGATGGAAAGAAACAGATCACCTTATGTGACTGGTCTGATACGCTCGGCTAGTCTATTATTGCCTAGTCGAAGTCCAGCAGGCCGCTTGAAAAAGCGATGCTCGAGGTCAATTTCAAGCATGAAAATCAGGTACATTTCAAGATCAAGTGGACAGATTATGAGTCTGGCTCAAAGCATGAGTATCACAGCTCAATCAAGCTCTTCTTGTGATATCCTGTCGTGCCTGTGTTCTGCCATGTCACGTGTCTTTCACGAACACGTGCACCACGTGATATCATTATCCACGTGACCCATATCGACTTGGCACGCTAAACCGAAATCATCATTTGTGCAAATAGTGGGTGAATGCACAAAAGGACGGGTGTATTGTCGTCCACATCATATCCGTGAGTGAGTCGCAAAGGACACAGGACGGAGTCGTTGTTGAGTCTGAGTCTGAGTCTGAGTCTGAGTCTGAGTCTGAGTCTGAGTCTGAGTCTGAGAGTGAGTCAGAGTCGTTGTTGTCCGAGGTGCAGACACCCCTGACGAGCAATCAGTTCAATTTCATTCCACACAAAAGCAATGCTTGTCAAGATGGGACCGCCAGCTGTGAGAGATGTTTCTTAGACTCTGGTCTCTTGTGTGCAATTCGGCGAGAGGAGACTCGAGATGCTGTGCGAACAAGCCTTCTTTTCTCCGTCATGGTCTCTTTCGTCGCGAATGCTACATGTCGTTCATCCGATGTGGTGCGTCGCCGGATAGGCTTTGGTCTCCCACCCATTTCTTTCTGATAGGCCGATGTTCGTTGTAGCTGCCTGGTGAGGTTGCTGATGTGACGACGGCCGCCTCCGATCACCATATCTGTCCAGTCATCGTCTTCGTCTTCTTCTTCTTCGTCGTCCGATGCCAATGCACTTTCGGTGTTGCCGTTTTCATGAATTTCGCATGGGCCCTCATACTTGCGAATGGCAACCCGACCCTCGTCATAAACCTCATTGATTGCAGCGAGGGCTGTAATTGAAGTTGCACTCGCATGTCTGCTGGAGCGTTGGGTGGACTGTGTCAGCGGCAAAGTGCGATTGCCCCTTCGAACAAGTCTCCAGTCTCCTTCGGGTGCACGACCAGCGGGGAGAAGGGGACCAGGAGTGCTGTCGCGACGAAACGACCCATTTCCATCTTTGAAGGAGCTGTTGGCGCTAGAGACGGAAGATGGATGGAAACCTCGACTGATACGCGTTCCATCCTTATCCAGGTAGTGGCTGGCGCCAGCCAAAGCACCATCTGAGTCGGAACTTTCTGAGCTCGTAAAGCTGATGACCCGATAGTCCTGGTCCTTGTATTGATCCCAAGTGGCTTTATCCAGTCCGACTGGAGGTTCAGCAACAAGGTCGATAACACCAGTGCCTCGAAGATCACGTAGATTCTTATCAAGATGTTCCAGACGCCACTGCGGGTCTGCCTCTACCGAGTGTCTGTAACGACCGAATCCGCTCATCTGCGGCATGGGAGGCAGAGGTTGAATCTTGGGGTTCCAGATGTTGTCGGTGCTGTAGTTTCTCTTAAGATCATCTGGGGTCATGTCCATGGCAGTGATGTCTGGTGGACCAATAGGACTCTTGAAGACAGTGTTATTAAAGGGTTCACAGCTTGAGACGGCTCGTTGGTGGGATGAGTGGAAAGGTTCTGCGCTGCTCAGAGAAGCCTTGCTTGGGGGGCGAGTGTGTTGACTGTAGAGGGAGTCTACTGTGCCGAAAAGATTAGTCATGAGATCAGGGGTTAGAAGGCTAGGAGGGGCTAGAACTGTACCTTTGCACTGTGATCCAAGAAAGATCTTGTCCATGCTCTTGATGATTGATTCTGTGTCTTCGAGTTGTTGGTCGAGCCTACGCAGTTCGCTTCGTTCGGCCAGTGCTACACGAATGGTATTAGAAGATGGATGCCAAGGGTGAATGAACCACTTACCCTTGCCGGTGATGAGCCTCGTAATGGACTCGTACAAAGCCATGTTGCATTGGCGGGGAGTGATTGAGACTTGGGCAAGCAGAAGACTCGTAAAGACAAGGTGCGTCTAGGAGGAGGTAGTGGGAGGCGAGGCCCTGGCTCACAGAGTCTGGGAGAAAGCGGCGACCCCAGATGTTGTGATGGCTGTCTTTGTTGAATTGATCTGGGTGGCTGGAGGGTGGGAAGATGGTGGGAGTGGATTGAGTTGATTGTCGTCAACGGCTCGAATGGATGTGGAAATGGTGAAAGGTATTGACATTAGACAATAAGGGCAGACTAAGGAGATGATGGAGAGAGCGAATGCGGCTGGGATACTTATGCGATGACAAGGACGACGAAATGTACAGTGATGGAGTTGAGAGGGGACGGTTGTGAAGTTGAAGGTGAGGATGAGGGTAAGGATTGGAGGGGAAGTGATGCAGGAGCAGCAGCGAGTGAGGGTGGAAGTGAAGGTGAGAATCAGGGTTCGGGTGAGGCAGTAATTGCAAGTGAATGTGATGCCCCAATTGACACCCATTGATTGACTCTTGACTCTTAAGTGATTGTTGCTGAATTGGAATTCTGAGTAAAATGTCGACCGTGCCTGCTTTCACTCCTTCCTCCCAGAGAGAATCTAACGGGTTGGGCGTGGGGACAGATATTTGCAGGTTTGGTGGATTGAGTCAGAGCTGGAGAAGTGAGTGTATCAACACCTGTCACAGAAGCATTATGGTGGCGACGCCGTCATGAATGGTGTTGAGTATTGACACAGAAGAAAATGCAGACGTGAACAAGCTGACTCTAAACTCCAGCCACTGGCCGTCAACCTCAAGGTAACAATTTGAGGCAGTGGCTTCTCGGTAACTCGCAGCAGATAGAAGATAGCAGACCAAAAAAAGAGTCAGACAGCGAAATCACAATTCAATGGAGTAAGTCAAGACTTATCTCTAAGCTGCTCGGAGGTGCAGCCCGTCTGTTGATCCATCTCAGCCATCTTCCAGATAAGATGGCACTCAACGACCCACGGAGCTCTCTGGAACGCGTCCATCGCATGTCCCTTGTACCTTCTGGCAACCGGAGTAGCACAAACACGGCGACAAGAATACCACCTCTCAGTCCTTCTTGGATTTTGACTTGTTTGAAAGCCAGTTTAGCCAGGCTGGTTTGCAACTATGTTCACAATGGTCTAACAAAGGACAGAAATCATTGTGTACACGAGGACATGGCTCTTATCAACAAGGTCGGTGACAGGGTCAAGATCCAGGCCGACCAAGAGATGAGGGGTGACAGCAAGCAAATTGTTGTACACCAACTGGGCTGATAAGACACGTTCCATGAGTTGAGTCCATCATACCATGATAAGTCCGGATGAGAGGTCATGCGTCAGAGGTTCAAATTCATGACTGACAAGGCTTGCGTATTGAGGGAAATGCTGTACAACGAGGATAAAGACAAACAATTGAAGATAAACACAGGATTGGTAGCAGACTGGTGTAAGGTAACTAGGATATAAGTGGACGTGGTGGATGTTGTAGGTTGACTACCCAATGTTAGCACAGTGAGGTCACCAGTCTCCTCCATTTCAACGGCTTGGTGCACCATGTGGCTAAGATTAGAAAGTTGCTGGGATAGAACATTGGGGGATCAGCATTGACAAATACAGACAGCTGAATATGCGTCTGGACCTGGGTCTGGGTGCAATAATGGTCCAACCAACCTGCCTGGCTCGATCTTGTCACTCCTGGGTCTGGGTTGGAGGGGATAAACCCCAGATTCAAGCTGGAGAGCGGAGATGCAGGATGAGATCAAGAGATGTCATGGGTTGAAATATTCTGGTTGGAACGCGAAGCAGTGCAGGTAGCCGTCGGATGGTCGTTCCGTTGCAGTATGACCCTGGCTAGGAGCTGGCCGTTGCCAAAACAAACAAGCAGGGACATGGGGAGTGTTTGCAAGCTTCGTAGTAGAAGTAAGAGAGAGAAGCATGGCGGTGCGAAAACAGACGACGAGAGAATGCAAACGCGTGGATGAATCGTTTGCTGAATTTCAAGCTTGAATTGCCATCTGGTTGCCAAGTTCTTCATCATCGCGTACTTCCGGGATGGTAGCTACCACCTAACAAGCAGCCCGGGTGACATGTACAGTGGGTTAGGTAGGTAGCTTAATGTAGGTACCTGACTCAAGCCAGAAGAAGCCCGAGGCTCAAGTTCGAATGGAAATAGGTGTGCAGAAGTGCCTAGAGGGCCTAAATCTGGAACATAAATCCGAGGACTTTAAGCGTTGCTTGGGCATTCTTAGCCACAATTGGAGGAAGGCCCAGGCCCCATGACTATTTGACCTGTCGTCTCGACCAAGCTTCTTCTAAGTTGCTTGTATCTTTCGACCATGGAACAAGTGCTACAGCCACAATCCTGATAGGCATGTATGTACATGCACTGATGATCTCTTAACTAACTGTACCCGACTTAGTCATCAAAGAAGTTCTGAGAGGATGCTGATGAGCAAGGCTGGAGATAAGTGTTTAGGATCGGCAGGGCGATTGAATTTGTTAGCTGCGCCACCCTCGTCGATTTACGAATACGAGTGTGCGAAACTGGCTAAGTTAGGCCGCCAGCCTACAACTTGAACCCTAGACTGCGCCTTGGGCTTCACCTGATGTCATTGGGAATGAGCCTTGTGCCGATTAGGACGATCTGGTGCCTATGAGATCACAGGGTCTAGCCTGAGACCATGTCACAACGTGGCTTATACCAACAGGAGGATATGATATATACGTGAAACAAACACCCTAATTCAAGGTCCTATCCAAGTCCCACCCTGATGACTATTCGACTTGAACAATTGAAATCATGCCGTGCAACCCTTTCAGACGCAAGAAATCAGTTGCCCCCAAACAACAGGTAAGTCGCCATGAAATAGCCTCGAAACATTCCTTTACGAAAACAATTAACACCTCTCAGAGCAAGGTATCCGACGACACGTTCGTAGACAACGGTCGCACACTCCACGTATATGTCGAAAGCTGGAAGCAACGCCAGGCCACCATTTTTGATGACGACAAAGAAACTGTCCTATACAACATCGACATTCGAAATCGCAGACCCAACTTAACATTCAGAAATGGCAATGACGTTCAAGTGGGCACCATCGCATTCAATCCATGGAATCGTGCCATCACCGCCAATATCCAAAACACAGACATCTCAGTCAAGAGCAAGAATTGGAAGACTTGCAACCTCCTGTACACCTCAAAAGCATTCGGCGGCCAACAACTAGAGTGGCAACGACAGACACCATGGGTGGTGCTTGATCATTTCTTGGTCGACGAGCACAAGATGCCAATCGCAAAGATTAGTCCTAGAGAATGGGCGAAAAAGAAGTATGCCGTCATCGAGCTTGTAGATCCGAATCTGCCTCAAGAAGCCATCGATGAGGTTGTCATGATAGGATTGGCAGTGTTCCAGAACACAAAGTATTATACAGCCGTCAACGCAGGTTCGAGCTGATGATCCTACTGAGCGAAGCGAAGGAGGTTCTACATTGGGTTTAGAAAATGTCTTTCAGAAAAACTTTCACGTGATATGATTAGCTAGAAATGATTGGCTGAGAGTGAATCTTGGCGCGAAATGATCAGATATGCGCGAGTTGCGATCCCGTGACTGAGTTTTGTAAATATATTCTCCTCGAGTTTTTCCGAATAATCTTAGAGTACCACGTGAGTGCCCTAGAGAGAGTGCCCTAGAGAGAAGTGCTATATGGAGAGTGCCCTAGAGAGAGTGCCCTAGAGAGAAGTGCTATGTGGAGGGTGCCCTGGAGAGAGTGCCCTGGAGAGAAGTGCTATCTGGAGGGTGCCCTGGAGAGAGTGTATAGTAGTAGTGACTTCTGGAGCTCTGTAGGCGACTTAGCGTTAGTTGCAGCTGCTACTCGCTACGTATATTTTAGGATGGGCCCAGTTGCCTGTGTACAACAAAACTTGAACATAAATTAGGGATACCCATCAAAGCATTTGTTCAGCATAAGTCATTCAACCTAGGAAGTTCAGTGTTTTTCCATCCGAACTTTCTGTCTACTTGTCCATGCTTGCCCCGTGGCACAAGCTGCCTCATCTGTGGCTCAAAGAGACACAACCACGCCAACCTCGCGATTTCGTGTTCCAGGACTCCTCGTCATACTGGGCATAAATCTCCTGCTGTACGTTCTGTGCAGCAGTAACGAGCTGGCTCATGGACTACGGATGCAGTCATGCTCTTCGATTGGAAGCCTTACATTCCACGAGGCAAGGCACAAGTTCACCTTGAGTCACCTGTAAATAAGTACCTAGGTAGGCACGATAGGATAGGTAACTACGTCCGTGTCCTTGGTCGCTCCTTCCTCACTGTCATCGGAGCGAGTCGAGGCTTGGCATTCAATCACGCAAGATCTCCACGTGCGACAAATGCACGTCATTGGGCAGTCGACGACATCCAAAAAATTCCTACAGACAAAAGTTTCAACGAATTGCTTCCAAGTCCAATACAGATATCAAAAGTCATTGTTATACAATTCCTCACGTTGATAATAAAACCCCGGCAGATATCTTGCAACATATATCAGCTGCGCAACATGGCAACGTAAGTTCCCCCTCCCCGCTACCCCGGCCCCAATTCGATCCATCATAGGGAACTTGTCGCATACTCCCAAATCCTTGCAGGCGAGAGGTATCGCATAATACAATGGCAGACTCTGATAATGGGTCCTATTGATATTTAATTGGATTACTACTATCTTGCCCAGAAGTTGTCAAGCACTCCACATACACATACTCAACCATCCATCACTTTCCAATTCCACTTCCATATCTCGAACTATTTCCAGCTTACCCTCTCGTCTCATCTAGCAATATCCACTTCCACCCATCACCACTCACACCCAGTATCCGGTCTGGACTCCGCAAACAAACGGGTCTCACCATCTGGCTCACAGGCCTATCCGCCAGCGGCAAATCAACCATCGCCGTTGCCCTGGAACAAGCACTTCTCCGCAAACCATACAACAAAGCCGCCTACCGACTCGATGGCGACAACATCCGCTTCGGATTGAACAAAGACCTCGGCTTCTCGCCCAAGGATCGCGAAGAGAACATCCGTCGCATTGCCGAAGTCGCAAAATTATTCGCCGATTCCGCCACCATTGCCGTCACGAGCTTCATCAGCCCGTACCGGGCAGATCGGGATCTCGCTCGTCAATTGCACGAGGCTGCCCGTCCGGACGGTGAGGCTGGTGTTCCATTTGTGGAAGTCTGGGTTGATGTTCCCGTGGAGGTTGCGGAGCAGAGAGACCCCAAGGGTTTGTATAAGAAAGCGAGGGAGGGGAAGATTCCAGAGTTTACCGGTATCAGTGCCCCGTATGAGGAGCCGTTGAAGCCGGAGATTCATATTCAAAGTGATAAGACTTCGGTGGAGGATGCGGTTAAGATTATTGTCAAGTATCTCGAGGATAAGGGGTATTTGGCCACTCCTCCGGAGGTCAGTGATGATGAGTAAAAGCGGGAAGCTGGGATTGAAGAGATGAGATAGATCATTGCATGGTGTGGTATGATTTTCATTTCATGTAAAGGGCAATAGATAAAATTGTATGTACTGATATCTACATGAACAATACAACGACGACATAACATCTCACTATTTGGACGTCGTCTTCTCCTCCTCATCCTGATTCTTCTGCACATCATGTCCACCCGGTCCATTTCGTTCAACACCATCATCATTATCCACTCGATCTTTCACTTTATCCCCTTCCACGCCTTTTCCCCATTCACCGGCTTTCGTTCCCCACTGCATCATGCCCCAAGCATGTTGCCAACCGAATTTCGGTGGCGGCTGCTCACTGACGCGAAAAGGACTTGCACCATGTTTGAACAGGGTATCATCCCTGTCTTGAACTCCAGAGATCTGGCCCCGCTGTTGGGTGTCCGCATGATGATCAACATCCTCATCAGCACCACCACCACCACCAACCCCAGCAGCATCAATAATCTCCTGCGCCGACACCCCCTGTAGTTTATCAAACTGTTCCCACGCTCTCCCCTCTCGATCTATCGGTCTCCACCAATCATTCACCCCAACCTGAGATTCAGCTCTTTGATCCCACCATTTCTTACCACACATTTCCCACAATCGACTACGTGCTCGTTTGAAAGCGAATCTCTCATCTTCACCAGTCATCGCTCCGGTTTGTGTGAAATCAGGACCCTGACGTAATTCAAGTTCCGCCATACCCTGTGGACCGTCGACGTCTAGATTGACTCGTCCAGACGACATGCCCTGACTTCGTCCGTTTCCGTATGTTGGACCGAAATCGGCGTCTTCGTCTGCTAGAACGGACCGGAGTGAGGGTGAAATAATGGATGGTGTGAATGCAGGTTGATGCCATGGTACTGACGTGGCGGTGTTGGAATCCGTGTAAATAGCGACGTTGGCTCGGAATGGTGCGACCGAGTCTTGGTACATTTCTGAGAAGGATTCTGATGTGATGGAGTCGCTGTCTTCTTGTTCAAGGTCTTGGTCGAGGGGGAGGAGGTTTGGCTGCCCTGATCCGGCACCGTCGGTGGAATTAAGTCGTGATCTTGTTTCTGGGAAGAATAGCTTGTCTGGAGGAGCTTCTGCTTCTATCAATAGCCGGCATCGTGCTTCATATAGAGCGTCGAGTAGTGTGATGAAGCGTCGAGCTTCGTTCTTTTGTAGTAATGTCAGTACCGGCACGTCAAGCAGGATCAATGTGTGGAAGGTCGAGCATAGGGATACATAGTCAGCTGGTCCGAGATATGTTGCGCATAACTCTGAGAATGTGGCCTTGAGAATTCCTTGGTGGGTTTGGGGAAGACTCAGCCGACGTGCATAGACGGTCAAAGTGCTGGGTGTCCAGGTATCGGATGGGTTGAGGGTCAGGATGTCCCGTTGAAGAAATGAAGGTGATGCATTCGTCGACTCTACCGACACATGATAGTGAGGAGGAGCGTCGGCGGATGTTTGAACGTCATCAGCCAGCGCCGTGGTTGTAGTGCTGGACACTTGATCCCCTGTATCATGTGGCGATTCGACTGATGGATCGTCCTCGCAGGAAGCAGATACCGCTTCACTCTCAGGGTGGTGGTCGTCTTCTTCTCGAGTCTCGAGTCCTTCAACACCATCATCCCGCCTCCAGTCTCGCTCACCCTCCATCTCCCACACCTCGCAACGCGCTTTCAATACTTCGAGGAAAAGGCCAAAGTCACCCTTTGCTTGGAGCTCCGCCTGGCTGCTCCTGCGAGCACCCCACCCAAGACCCCAAAGTCCTCCCCTGGTACCCCATCCATTGGACGCGCTTCGACCAAAATCAATTCCTGCGGCTTTACTGAGTTCGTCAGGCATTCTGTTGGAACTGGCAACCAGAACTCCGCCGAGGTGGAAGAAGCCTGTGAAGAAAGAATTGATCAACTTGGACGCCGTCCGGTCAGGCATTTGAAATTCATCCAGAAACAGAATAGGGCTATCTCCAATAGTGTCTTTGGCGAGGCTGAGAATGACATGTTCGTTGTCATTGACCCCGGAATCCTTGCCGAAAAGCAGCCAGGGTCGCCCGCCACGGCTAGATACTTGTTCTAATTCTAATCTTTCACGCCGACTCTGTTCGATTCTGCGGTACAAGTCGAGCATGAAAGTGTTGAAATGCCACCGTCTCTTCTTCCGTGACGGGAGTGAAGTGTAGAGAAGGTCGAGAAGCATCGACTTGCCTCGTCCCACTTCACCATAAAGCAACATACCCTGAGGCGAAGGTATTGCAACTGCCGAAGAATGAAGTGGTTCTGTCCGAGTCAGGGCGAGTGTGTTGGAAGGAGCAACATTGAGCAGGGAAGAAATCCCAAAACCCTTCTTAGCACTGGATTTGTGTCCATTGGAAGGTTTCAGCGTCCTCTGCTCGGCGCCATGGCGTTCAGATTCGTCGTTGTTCCTCGCAACGGCAGTTCTTCGAGCAATTCGTTCAAGTCGATATCTATATTCGACTTCTGGGGCATAGTCCTTGAGACGATAGTAGAGCTTCTGGAGCTGGAGGGCGAGCCGATGCTGTGCGGGGTCAGGTCGGATCTTCTTGGTTGCAACAAGGGCTCGGTAGAGAACCAAAGGGTTCGTTATACTCAGACTCAGGTTCCTCGCAGGACCGGGACCTGGTGGGGGCATGGATTGTTTCTAGGCTTATGGAGACCACAACATTAATGACGTCGACCAGAGGGGTTGCTTTGGAATGTTTAAGACGCTAAAAGGCGTAAAACTCGTTACTAAGAACACCTATGGGGACATGAAACGTAAGATTTACAGATTGAGTAGGAAAATCATTAGTCGGCAAGTAAAATACAGTCATGAGGCAATGACAATCATGTTCGAATGTGTGATATTCCTTGGAATTCGTCAATCTGATATCAGCGCAACTTCGTAATACAGTCCACCGTAATGCTACTGCGGACCAGAAATGTGGTCTTGGCGATATATGTGAGGAATGAGCCTGAGGTTGAGGCAGATATCGAATATATGGGTACATATGCGAGAGATCTACTTTACAGTGGGAAATATGCATGTCATGTGGAGTTGAGTCATTCATATAATCTGTGGATTCGTGGGAAAAGTACCAATTTATGATTGGTATATCGTATCTATCGTTGTGGTCATCATCTCAAGTCGCTCGAACGCTAGCAAAAACGTCGTTTCTTCGTCAAATCAAGTCTCTTTCAATAAAAGAGGCTTTGAGGTTGATGGTCATGATGGTCCTTCATATCACTCGGTCCTCGTCGCAGATGTCACCCCAGTTTAAGATTGCTGATCTTCCTGAAGAGTGGCAAGCGTCGACACGCGACTCCGATATTGAGGAGGCGGAGTATGGATTTCATAGACATCTGGTGGGGAGGACGAGATCTCTTCGTTCTGGTGCATAGTGTATTTGGATTCCTTGGACTCGTGGTATGGATGCTGTCTTCCTGCACAAGGGCACGGTGTGACCCGTTCAAAGAGCAGCATTGTTCGTGGTGTCCGATCCCGCCTTTGGATCGGCAATGTGTGGCTTTGGCCATCTTCAATGAGACAGACGAATTTCCTGAGTCGCTATTAGTGACAATGGAGATGAAACTTCCAACAACTGAGCCTGCTCACCATCCTTTCGATTCTTTTAAATTCGAGTTCTTTCGTAATTGAGACTTTACAAACTTGGCCAGGATCTCGCCACACTGGTCAAGGTTTGTCCGGGTGTAGAATCTCAGGTCTTCTTCGGGGTCAAAGTCCACCTCGTCGACATAGGTAAAACACCATCCGTCTCTACTGGCTCGGCCATGAAACCCCCAGTCACAGAAGACGATCTTTCTCTGCTTCGCTGACTCGGCACACTGTGGGCCTGTAGCCTTGACCGTCTGAAGCGACGACCTCTTGATGAAGCTAGACAACATTTCGAGGGTGAAAGTTGTTCAAAGATTGGTGTCTCGCAGAAGCTGTGATACGAATGAGATACTGACCCAGAGAGCTGAGATACTCATTCTGTTAAGTATGATCATGATTTTCGTCGGGGGTGAGGTCCGTGTCTTGATAAGCGGGGTCAGTGCTGGCTACTTTCACCGCAACATTATTGACTTGAGGGTTGTTCGTTTACCCAAAGCAATCCGAGCACCATGGGGTAAGCGCCGGATATGGCTTGCGGAGGGTAGGCTTGCATGTAACTGGTCCACAACAAATTACGAAGGTGCATGTCTGCTCGCATCCAAGTTGTGGCGGTCGGTTAGAAGGGGGTTGTCGAGGGAGTTGCTCTGCGGAGGAGGGGCACGGATGCTCATGAGCCACCTGCGCATGGTCTGTGCTCTCAACTGGTCGCGGCACAGGGCTGCCTTCACCCTTTTAGGTTCACGGCGAGATCTCATTATGGCGTTCCTCGAACTCTGCAGCGGCGCAAGTGGAGCAGAGGAACTCAATAGTCCAGTCGTCAAGGAGAAAACGAACACTTCGGAGTAACTAGGTGGCTCCTTCGTTGGATTAGGACGGCGACATACGGAGTATCTGCAGCAGCCATATGAAATGGTTGGTCCTGAATGTCGACGTTCACATTGACCGTGTTCGAGCCCCCTCCACTCTTGCATCAGCGATCGTCTTATCGATCATGCAAAGATGGAAGACCTCGGTAGCTATTTCATTATCACACATGTTTGCAGTGGAAACATGCTTGACGAGAGACGAGAGCTGCCCATGGTCACATGTCTCATATTTGACTTCTCAAGCCAACATGATCAACACGGGTGAAGAGGTCAGGGTTCTGTCAGAAGACAGGCGGCGTAACCTTCAGAAGTGAAATGACATTGCGTGGCCTGAACAGTGGTGAGAGCCGTGGTGCCATTGGATGACTGGAGCCTGTCAGACTGTGTATTTTGAACCCTGAGTTTAGTCCATGTCGATCGCCCGACACCGACTTTCGACTTCAACGTTGAGGCGTCGCCTATACTCCGTACAATTTGTTTCGGTGAGAAGCAACGAGACGGCGCCACGAGACGGCGCCACGAGACGGCGCCACTAAACGGGCGATCGGTCGATGCGAACCTTGCATGCTGACTGGATAGCACAGCATCGCTTGTGGGTTGTAAGATTCGGTAGTTGAGAGCTTGGGCCTTTCAAGGGCTCAATATCCGAAAATTCAACCTGGACGACATTTGACCAAGATTGTGTACACTGCTTGCCGTACGTCAGTGGCGCGCAAGCCAGGGCCTGACTATGGAGAAGCATCCAAAGGTCTTCTCTGGCATTGGCGAAGGTCCGTGAGCCCTCTGTTTTGCTTGTATTTGACTTGCGCGGCCTTGACGGAACGTTGCAGCGTTCTGTGTCATCCACAAAGACGTGTATTTCTACTTGTATCATCCAAGCAACGAACTTTGCAGATTCCCATGCGAGAATAACAGTTTGTAGGTGGTGTGGTTCGAACGATTGCAGTCATGACACGTAGGTTGTACATGGGCATACCTTTATTAGGATCAACGTTTGAACTCGAGATCCGTGCATTTCCCGTTTCCGAGAGCCCCCACGGTCTCTGGCGGAGTAATCTTAGTGACTGAATCTGAAGAGATATTTGCCGATGGAGACCTTAATCGACTGTCGGCGTCATCTTTGGCATGACCCTGGTATTTCAATCGTCGAGATAAATGCTTGACATGTGCCATCAGAGAGGTTGATCGGCAACTGAGTGATGGAGTAAGCCTGCCGAGTGATTTGCATAGGTACACAGTCATTACTGGTCGCCATGATGGATGTTGCACGTTCCCACATTTCCTTCCAGTTCCATGTATGGAGCCAGCATGGTCGCTTTCAGGTACGCTGCGGCGAATTAATTCCTGCCACCCTGCCTATTATGTATGCCCAGAAGAGATCATCATTTTGAATCTGTAACACGTGAGTAGCCATCGGCATTTTCCGCGGTATTCACCTCATGATGTCTTTCGTCCTATTGAGATACGAGAGCACGTCTCTGGCGTTGACGAATATGCCGCTTGTTGTGGTGCAGTGTGCTTGTTGTGGAGCAGTATGCCCTTTGATCAGGGAATCTAGTTGAAAGCATGAGATTGCCACCAAGTTTTCTTAACGTTGAATGCATCAAGGCCTCTGATAGAGTCACATACAAGTTTTGTTGTTGTTGCTGGCATTCACAAACAGTCACGTGATGATATCACATGTCCCGGCACAGGAAGAACATTGTCCCGCAAGTCATCGGCACAATATCGGTAGATTTCTCCATCCCACCAACTGCGCCTGGTGATGTCTGATGTCTGCTGTCGGTTGTCTGATGTCGAAACAACTTGTGATGACCTAGACGCGAAGACATTGAGACTTCTGCACATGTTCCTCTGACTGTGTCTGGACCATCCAAGTCGCCGAGATGGGCATAGAAGAGCAGAAAGAGGAGCGGGAAGTCCTGGACTCGATATTTCCAGATGAAATCACTGGTACGAACGAACATTTCTGGCACTGGTTGGTCTGGCCCTAAGATGACAATTTGACTAATAGAAAAATATGTATAGACATCTCCGACAACTCATACCGAGTATCGATCACACTAGATGTGCCCAATCCCAACTTTGAAGAAGACGTGGACCCTCCGGTCATCTTACTCAACGTCACATATCCAGAGTCATATCCTGACGTTGGCCCCCATCTGGACATCACCACACCACTAAATGCAGCGAAACATCCATACATTGACGTCTCGGCGGACAAGGCGCAACTACTCGATGCGTTAGGCCCAACGATCGAAGACTCACTCGGCATGGCAATGGTGTTCACATTAGTGACCACACTGAAGGACTCTGCGGAAATACTCATCTCAGATCGAATGCGCCAGGAAGAGGAAATCAAAGAAGTGGCAGCTCGACAGAAGGAAGAGGAGGAGAACCGAAGATTCCACGGCACAGTGGTGACGCGGGAACGATTCCTAGAGTGGAGAGATAAATTCCGAAAAGAAATGCAGGAGAAAGAAAAACAGCAGCGTGAGGAAGAGGAAGCCGAAGAGAAGAAGAAAAAGGGAGTCAAGATGGAAGAGAAGAAATTGACCGGCAGGCAGCTTTGGGAACGTGGTCTTGTTGGCAAGGGCGAAGAAGAGGATATTGATGGAGAGGATGCCATTCCCGCTCTCGAGTCTCTCAAAGTCAGCGGCTAAAACCGTGCTGTGAGGGGATTATGAGTACAACGAGAGAACCAGGTCTACGATATCACATTTTCACGTCAACCAAGCATGTGGAATGGGCTAGAGAAACGAAGCGTTGAATGATCCGATGATCTGGCTTGCATTCAGGTCGGTCACGGCTCTTAACTCTTTACGGGTTGAAAGTATCTCTTCCGGAATCGGTTCAGCTCATCGGCGGTATATCCATTTTCCACCCGTCCACCATCGGGATCATGTCTCTCCACAACACCCGGGACTCGTTGATAGACCAGCAACCTGCGACTCCATTTATTGAACCGCTGGATGCACTCATGTTTCAGGTCGAGGAGAGGATGTGTGGGGATGGCGGTGATTTCTTCCTCGCCCAGCTCGTTTTCATTGGCGCTGGGCATCCAGAAGGCAATTCGACCTCCATCAACCAGTGTTCTGGCGGCAAAATCCAAAATGTCGTCCAGCATCCTGTCAAAGGAATACGGCCGCTTTGGTGGAATATAATCCGGTCTCTTGTAGGCCAGAACTCCATCAATCATGTGAATTGGTGGTACAAAGGGAGGAGGAGGACAAGGGGAGAGAGATCCGTCAGGGCCATCTGATTCAGGTTGGGGATTCGGTCGACGCAGTCCCAGAACTTTGAGACCTTCTCTTACTCCGTATGGAGGATCAGAGACAATTCCATCGAGCCATCGATCGTCCTTGTTGTTCTCTTTAGTTCCCTGGTTGATTCGCAACGGGGTGTTTGTCAAATCCGAGGTAATACAATCCCCAAAGAGATGTGTGAGATTGTATTTCTTAAAGTTAGCACCCACCCCTTTTTCGAGACCCTGTCCTTTGCCGCGAAAACTCCGTCCATCAATATCAGAACCAAAAACCAGTGCGCCGAGCTCCGCAGCAGCGACCATAAACCCACCCGTTCCAACAAATGGATCCAAAAAGATCTTTCCCGGCGCAGCCAGAGCCAGAGTTGCAGTAACCAAAGCTAATTCAGCATCCATCGACGTAGTCGAAATATATGGCCGTTTCTTGAGATCATGTTTATCAATCAAATAACGTTGTGAATCTCCAATCTTGCGACCAAAGTAGATATGTTTCAATGTCGGTGGTACTTTGACCTTTGGAGCAGAGCCAGACGGGGATACCACCTCATATGTTGAAGGTGCTTCACCCTCGGTACTGCTGACATGTTCCGGCAAAGTCCACTCCTCCATAACCGCAAACTCGGCCTCTGGATTCTTCATACTGATTTTCCCGCGAAAGGCCAGATAACTAAACGATTGAATCAATTGTCTCTGGGTATTCATATCTCTGGTATTGCCGTAACAATCAATCACAAACTTGAACGTCATCTCCTGGAATTCGGGCCATAAATGTACACTTCGTGTCTGGACATCGGCGTGTAATTCGTCGTAATTCGTCCCCACGCCCCAGAGTTCGTAGATTCCGCGTGAGATGATGGCTTTTGCTTCGAATGCTCGTATGATTTCGTCGATGACGGTTTGATGGGGAGTTGATGATGATGATGATGATGAGTGGGTGGAAGTAGACGTAGGAGTAGAAGTAGAAGGGAGGTTGTGGAATCGAATTATGCAGAATGGTGAATCGGATTTATATGAAATAATGTCATATTTCAAATTGCCGGCGCGACAGGCCAGTGCTTCGATTTCGGCGAGTCGGAAACTTTCGTGCGTTTGGGCGAAGCGGATCAGGTACTCCATATTGGAATCTATGGGTGGGCGATAGTATTTAAGGAAACGGCTTGTTGTTGCTGTCTATTGAGAATTTGTTGGGGGGATCCAGCTGTTGAGAATATTGTTTGTGAAGGATATAGTCATGGTGTTGGATCATGGACTGATTCCTTAGCCACGATACGATGCATTGTTCTGTATATCAATTTGTTGTTTGGTCGAGTCGATTAAACAAATTAGGGCTTCAAATCCGACATTTTCACCTTTTTCTTCGTTGATGGACCAAAGAGATACAAGATATGAAATTCAATATCTTTAATCCCATTAACTTGGAGAAAGTTTTGGTTCTACGATGGGGAATTTTATATCGAGTCTTGGCGTGCATTGCAAGGCTGAGGCTCAAATCCACAACATGGGAATCTGGATCTGATGCACGCAATAAGGTTGAAAATAAGAAAACAAGAGGCAGTAGAAGCGTGAGAGATAGTAGGACCCTCGTACTAGGACCTCCCATCGGTCATCAGTACACAAGGTATGCTGCTAGGCTGACAAGTGTCTGTCTAGGTCCTGTTGTCCCGGCTATGGTGACTCATACCACATAGGCAGAAAACCACGTTGCTTGTCAGACTAGACTGTAGGCTATCCCAGGCCCCTCGGCCCACCATGTGTGAAATCTAGGCTACCAGGGAACGAGAACGAAATGAAATTCGATTTGGGCTGCAAGGCTGACATTTAGGCGGACTCGCTGTACCTGTGCCTTTCTTGGCGTGAGCCGAGGTTGACTTGCTCGGGGGACGGGGACGGGGACGGGGATCCATTCAACATTCATCATCTCTTAATTTCTACCTACATATTCAATCACACACACACAGGCTGATACGATACTGCCCGGTGAAAGTGACACAAGCATATTATAATATACCGGTTTATATATATTGTTGGACAGGCCCATCGAAAGCAACTCCCGGGTTTACAGGCAGACTCGTTTGATTTAATCAGTGATAGACAACACCGCCTCATTACCGGTTGACATTTGTTCAACTTTCTCAACTTCTATATATCTTTGCATATATACCCCATATACCATATCTGAGGATTACAAGACGATAGACATACACTTGAAGCTCACAAATCACAACCACCATGTCCGACCCCAACGACAACAACACCGACCAACCCCCCACTCTGATCCAGGAGCATTCCCATCATCAAGACTCGACAGACACAACAACAGTTGACCCATCCACCCTCCCCAAAACCAAAGACTTTAACCCCCGCTGTCCATTCTGCATAATCTCCGTCACATATCCACCAATTGACCCTCTTGACGCCACCTCACCCACCACCACCTCATCATCCTCATCACCACTCTCTCCCACCAAACTCGAACCTCCCAGCTTCATCCTCCTCACCACTCCCCACGCCATTGCCTTTCTCGACATCATGCCCTTGACACGAGGCCACGTGCTCGTGGCCCCTCGACACCACCGCGTCAAACTCGGTGACATGTCCCCCACTGAATCAGCCGAACTCGGCCGCTTACTCCCCATCGTAGCACGCGGGGTTCTTCGCGCCGTCTTACCTGACATTCCACACGATCAAGCAGATTACAATATCGTGCAGAATAATGGCCCTGGTGCGGCGCAAGTTGTGCCACATGTGCATTTTCACGTCGTGCCGAGACCGCCGTTTGGATATGTGTATCCAGAACAAGGGAAGGGGAAAGGCAAGAAGTATCCGCCGAATAAACAGCCAGAACCGAAATTAAGGAACGCAATTCTTTTTGGGAGGGGCATGAGGGAGGATTTGGATTGGGATGAGGCCGAGGTTTTGGTGGAGGAGATGAGGAGGATGGTGGCGGAGGAGTGGAGGAGGGTTGGTGGCGTGGTGATGGAGGGGGAGGAGAGGGCGAAGGATGCGAGGAAACAGCAGAAACAGAGGGGGGATTGGAAGGTTTGATTCGAGGGAGATGAGGAGAAATTTGGTCGTGTACCGTCGAGGACGTTGAGATAGATGGTCGAGTTCAAATACAGATGGATAGATTCTTTCAACCAGGAAACACGACTGGCATGAAGGATGTGACGACAATGTGTTGACCAGACAGAAAGAAACAGGCATACAGGAATTACATTCATGCATAAGAGCATGTCTCCTCAGGTCATAGCATACACCAATCAACTCATCGAGGGAGCATCATACATAGAACATAGACATTGACAACAAAGAAAAACCAACAACAGATCGAGCAAAGTCGATTGACATGAATGGTCTTGTGACTATGTGGTCTATTGCTGAGCCCATGGAAATTTTCCATTGGCATTGAATGCCATAACGAGGCGCGGCGATAGGTCAAAGCCATGGCCATGGAAAGCCAATGACAGCAATTCCTATCCAAATAGCTCAACATCATCTCTGCCATTAAGCTCCACTCGACACGTTTTTTGGTTTGTTGTTTGGCTGCGCTCAAGACACAGAATTGAAAAACAAATCCAAGATTCAAGCTCAGGCAACGATGGTGGTAATCCTTGCCTCCACTTGCATTGCATGCCCATTCATTTGAACGCCAGAATTCGCCGTGGTCAAATTCTCTTCATTTTGCCTTTGCAAGCCCATATCAACTCCAGTTGTGCAACGCCCGAAACAACGCAGATCCCGTAAACCCAAGATGGGCGCCTTGTGAACAGACTCGCGCGTGCTGTGCGCCCTTGCCAATGCGCCTGCTGAAAACGATGGTGATGGTTTCGACTTGCACGTAAACTCGCTCATGGACAGCGCTGGTAGCTGAGGGCGCCTGTTTTTCGACTTCAGAATTTGTTCTTGGTCTCTCGACGCAGGATTTTCTGTGTGGATAATGATGCGGATGTAATTCTATCGAATATCGTTCTGTACTCATGACAATGACTGTTGGAAGCGTGAAGCATAGCCATAAAGGCAGCCAAAGACTTCTGATCCATGCATACCCTGGAGAATAGACTTCACGTCTTTTGGACCAGAACCAAGCATATTGCGGAAGATGTCTTTGGATGAGATGGTCCCAGATGCTATCATCATTGTACCCTGGCATCCGCAAGGGAGGCGCCAGCATTTCTCAAGTTGGAACAGTAGTCCTTAGCCCACTTTCGGGACAGGATGGATGCTGAGACATCATCGTCAGTCAAGCCTCAAGTAGCGGTCGATGTTCAACTTACATTTCAAGAATTTCTTGCTTGCATATTTTTTGAAGAGTGCTTCGTGAGCAACGGGAGCTTGGAGGTAGTCGATCATAAGCTCAAACACGGGCAGGATCTCTTCTTCGGAATAGCCAGCAAACTTGGTCAGTGTTGCATCCTGGAGATTGTTAGTTAGATGCACGTGGTTAGGCATAAAGAACATACCCAGCCTCCACGCTCGAGGATCATGCGGGCCAGGTACATAGACGCGGCAGCAATATGACTTTGTTTGTATTCCAAAAAGCGGTGATCGACGAGACTGATTTCCATGAGGTACTTTCCAAGGGTGCGCGTATGAATATCGTAGTTATCGGCCTTGGATATACGGCGGAGGAAGTTCATGGGGTTGGGATAACTCAAATCATACTTCAAGGTGGATAGTGTGTAGCGTTCGGCGCTCAAGACTTCATCGATCGTGAAGCCATCATCGGCAACGTGAACAAAGTTTTGCACATGTGGTGAGAGAACCTCTTCGTATTTGGACGCAATGAACATGGCGGTAATACCAACCAGTTGAAGCTTATCGAGAGGAACCACCTTTTGTGAGAGGAATCGGTCAACAATGTTGACGGCGAGGAACAGGGTCTCGGGGAGCAACCGGAAGCGAGTGTGTACTTCGATGAGCCAGTCGATCAAGATGCCTCTCATTTTCCATTCCAGGTCATCTTGGTGATCCATGTAGTTGGCGTTTGGTTGGGTGGCTTCTTCGAGGTGGTAGTAGTATTCGAAGATCTCACGAACATATTCGGCACACATTGAGGGATCGTCAAGATCTTCGGCATCAAGGTCGGCGACAATGTCTGAAATCTCTTCTGCCTGGATCTCTTCAACGGCCTCTTGTGTTAACGACTTCTTCCGTGGGGGTTCCTCCAGATCTGGGGTGGCATCTTTTGACGACGGCGCGATCGAGGTGGTTTGAGTGCGTTTCTTCTGAGTATGGCCAAGGACACCTGAACCACTTCCAGGTTTCTTGAGATCTGCAGCGGGTTTTTGTTTGGCGTTGTTGTCCTTGAGGCCCAAGGCTGCTCTTGAAGAGTTGGTCCTGCTAAGTTTCTGGACACCTCCAGCTGTAGGTTGAGCAATCTTTGATGGCAGACCAGCTTTGGTAGCGGCAAGCTTTTTTCCCTCGGCAACAACTTCGACACCTTTGGCAGCATTGGTCACATCACCAAGAGCACGCCGTCTCTGAGTTCCATTGATTGTAGATGTGGTGGGTTTCTTGGCCTGAGTTGCCTTCTTCGTAAGGGCGATACTATCCTCTTGACCAGATAGACCGGCAGCTTTTGCACGCGTCAAACGGGTGGATTGAGCCGTGACATTCTCATCGTTTTCATTGTTACCGACACGCTGTCGGGTGCGAGGCTGGGAGAAGAGTTAGTATTGTATCAAGACAACGCGTGTATTGTTCGGCTCAGGAACGATAGGTGGGGCTTACTGCAGGCATCGTGTGTTTGGGAAGCCGTGTTGGCTGCGTTCACGTTGAGTCGAGATGACAGAGACGATCAGAAAGGTGCACTCGTGTAAGAGATGCAGGTGTAGGATCGAAGACCTGGACCGAGTTAGCATGTTTATAGTTGGAGGTTCATATCATGATATGACGCACCAGACTGTGGATGGTCGTGTTTCGATGCGGCCAGAAGAGATGAAAAGACGCCTTGAGATAATCTAAAGGTCCAAGGATCTTGTGGAACGGTAGAGGGAAGCGTGTGGTATGTTGTGACCGGGACCAGGCGAAGTATTGGCTTGCTATGGCGCGTATTTGCAGTTGACGGAGTTATCTGAGGACTATACGCGAGGCGAGAGGAAGAGCGGATTACTAGGATGCTGGAGCAGAGAAAAAGGCGGCAAACAACAGATGCAGGCTGATGAGGAGATGCAATTGAGGTCAGAGACAACGCTCAGCAGGAAGAAAGGTGGTGGAAGAGTCTGGTTGGGAGGTGGTGGTGAACCTGAGGTGTCGAAGAGGTTGTAGCAGTACAGAAGAACTTGAGTGGTTCGAAGTAGAAAAGGCTGAGGTTCAAAGGTTGATGCCAATTGGGTGGATCAGGTCGAGTTGTTTTTCCTTGGCAACGGAGCGTCGCGGTGGGAAGCGGGCGCCGGTGGGTTTCGGTGGCTCAGGATGTTACTGGCCTCTCAGAACGCGGACGAGGGGACACTGAGTGGACTGGGCTTGTTCTCGTACGCAAATGGCGTTTGGGCTCTGTGCTTTTTGGCTGCGGGCGTCTGGCCCCGGGCGGCAGAAGTGCAATCCGCCTACAATCGTTGTTTGGTGCCCTGGTTCAACGCCCCGCAAGACACGGACGCTGACTTGTGGGATCCTGGCTGTGAGTTCGCGTTTATGGCGACGGGTATCGCTGTCAATCGAATGATGTGGGCCTGTTAAAACTATCGTGCAATCTCTGCCAAAATGCCGGGGAACAAGGTATTGAGGAATGCAGAAAGTGAGAACAATTGACAGTACAAGATGAAGAGATCAAAGAATCCAAGTGTAGTGTTGAAGCAGAGGTCGACTGAGTCTGTCAACTGTTTTGGGATTAGCGGTGAAGTGCTTCACAGGTCGCGCCTTCCCATTGTTTGTCCCACCCAAGTCTGGGGTTGCCAGGTGCAACCGTTAACCTTCTAGCCAGATTAGGAACCAATCTCCAACGCGTACAAGTTAGGTCTGATGGTGACGATGGATGCCCATGGTTGTGATAACCTTCTATTCTTGTTACGGATGATCTCACGATGTTACGGAACACACAGAGTCATCGGTGATTGTGTTTTGAGTTACTGCTGCTCCCAAACTTTGCTCATTCATCTCTGTTGGATACGTCGAATGGTGCTGGGTACGTATGCTAGGTTCTCGCCTTGAACTAGATACCCATCGTCATCATGCAGTCGAAACACTATCGACTGAAAAGACTCTCATGTCTCACATCATGCATAATTGCTCTCTCGAACACTACCCAGCTCTAATCTCTCCGCCTCTAACGCCTCTAACGCCTCAGCACCGGCTTCACACTGCCTTCCAGAATGACATTGCCCGGCACTTCTTTCTCAAAGAGGGTCGATCCCACGCCTTGTCCAGTCTCCCATCGTGCTAACATGTCATTACTTTCCACCGGTTTGACGTTGGGTCGAATGGTTCCAATGGTGATGTGGGGGATGGCGTTGCTGCATTGCCATAAAGGACTTCCTTCGGCTGGGTAGATTCTAACCACCACTGCCATGATCCGATCATCCCATACCACACGTTCAAGCTTGATGCGAGCCAGACCCAAGCTAGGAGTCAGCTTGTTCTTGTCTTTGTTGTCTTTACTTTCGACTGTCTCACTGTAAGCCTGTGTGTAGCTTTGCCACAGTTCTGGCTTTGCCACAGCATTGGCTCGATGGATCAGAGTGACGTGAAACTCTGTTTGGATGCGGTTCGATTGCTTAAGACTTTGATAAAGGGCTGCCTCATTTTGACTTGCTCGGTCAAAAATTGAAGCGAGGATCGAATTAATGTTGGTGACCGAGAGAGTGATCCCAAAGTATTCCAGTTTGTTCATCGCCTGTTGGGGGCTCATTTCCTTCTCCCGAACAATGGCAATCTTGTTTGCTTTCTGGCTTGGGTGCGTATTGGCTGGCTTGCCGAACGAGAGATCATGCTTGGTGGCTACCTCATGATCCAGTGCAAAGCTGATTGCATTCTGCATGTCTTCGTGGCTGGGCATATCCTCTGGTAGCAGACCTGGGTAGGTGTTGTAGAGCTGCGTAATCACGTGCTCCAAGTTATCCAGAGATGAAGCTGCCACATCCAAGTCGATGACGAGGTCGAATTCCGAGTCGGGCGCCGCATTCCTGTCACAGCCTTGAAATCGATACAGAAACCCTTCCATAATACCAATGATTTCTTCTTGGCTTTTGCTGCCGGCACGAATGGTTTGATGGTTGTCTCCTCGATCGAGAACCCGCCGCCGCGTGACTTCACGGATCTGTTGGAGCATTCGATTCTTCGGCTCATGCACGTAGTGTAGCGCCACAAACCGAGCCTGCGGGATGACCCTACTGACATCTCGTATGATTTGCTCTCTTTCTCTGCGCTGATGGTTGTTTCGATCTGCAATGACGACTTTGTGATCAGCCAAAGAGCTGGTGATGCCGTCAGCGAATCGCTGAGGACGACCTTTTTGGCCTTCGATGTTGTCATTTTGGATGTGTCCGAAATCAAATAGCCTCACCAGAGCTGAGGCGACTGTCGTCTTGCCACAACCGATGGTTGCAATAGGTACCAAGACTATATTCGACGGCGAATCACCTCCATCTCCATCTTCCTCCTCTTTTTCTCGTGCGATAATATCGGAGCCTCTCTGGCCGATCTCCGCAAGAAATCCATCCCTCATCTTGATGATTCCATGGTTTTGATTGTAGAGCTTGCCAATTGTCGAATCCCTGGCGAGCTGTCGTCGTGCATATAAGAGGTATTGTTCCGTGATCTGCTTATGTTTCTTGAACTTGGGAGGCTTTCCGGCAATGACTGCCTTGGTTACCTCACGCCACTGCCGGTACATAAGATAAGGCTCCTCGAATTTGTATTTGAAGAACCAATCAACAGCTGGTTGAGCATTCTTGCCTCGCAATTTGCATCTGACGACGAATCCCTCAGTGTCTCGCCCATCCCAGGAACCCGTCTCGGCGCACTTGTGCAAAAAGCTTTGGACTTCGTCAAGTGTCTGTATCATGACATATTGAGCCTTCTTGAACCCCCATGTATCGGCAAACTCATGCACCTCAGGGCCAGACAGTGTTGCAAACTCTGGGAGATTGAAGTTGATGCCATGGAGGTAAAGGCCAGCCATGTTGGGAGGATATTCCAGAACGTGCTCTTCAAAGTCATCATCACACAGTTCACCAACAGCAGTGGCATTCATCTTTCTGAGTGTCATTGCCAGTTCGCGCGTCGTCTTTCCGACACTCTCAACGTGTAATTTCACCCATTTCTCTCCAACCATTGCATGACTTTGGGCGACATCAGACCGCGCACCGGTGGAATGTTTGCTGCAAACGAGAAGTGAGCCATCTTCGAGACCCGAGATGAAGATGATGCAACCGTTCTCCTTGACACTGAGTTCGTAGGGACCAGTGGTATCTGTTTCGATATTTTCCCATTTTGTACTAGGAACTTCGTCGACGTTGAAGAATTTATCGTAACCTCTGACTGCGATCTCTGGGGTGCCATCGGATCTCTTGGTAGTGAAAAGGCCTCGTGCATAGGTTGGAAGATCATCTCGCTTGTAGTCCCAGTCGTTGAAGCGCCACGAGTCGACCGAGATGCCCTGAGAACCCTCAATGGGGAATGTGGTCTTTTTGCATGAGAAGCCTTTCCTTCCACCTTTGCCCTGTCCCTTGGCAGCTTCGAGCGTTTTGACGAGCTGCGAGACCTCGTGAGAATCTTGAGCCATGTCTGTGGTTATGATTGGTCAAAGAAATTTGAGATGAACAAAGATCGACGACGTGGGGAACCACGATCTGAAAGAAAGAAAATGTGATATTCCGCTCAACTTGAACTCCGGTAGCAGTGTCTGAACAACAGAGACCTAGAGAAAGAGAGAAGCCAGTGGCCACTCAGTTTTGACCGTCTGGAGAAAAGTGCTGGATCAGGCACTCATGAAATGACGAGAAGCAGGAGGTGAATAAATTTATCTCATTTCGGAAAGTGTGACTGGGTAGAGAAAGAACGAATGAATCGCAAGGCTGTGTTGCACCAACAAATGAGTCATATCATGTCAGTGTTAATTTATTGCAGGAGAACGGATTCAGATCCATGGAATCTTGGAGGGTAGAATCAGATTTGATTGCTGTAGACCATGTGCACGGGAGGGAGTCTGCATACTCAAGAAATGACCTCGTTGCCACTTAGTACTACAATTGATTTCCTTAGAGGCTGCTTGCCAAGAAGTTGGTGTCAGCCTTGCCAGCAATCCAGAGGATCCAGGCACCATGTTGCAGCCTCGCGGGCCCCCCAGCCCTTGAGGTCATAATTGAGCCACTAAAAACAACGCCCGGTGCGCCCGCAGGATCCAGAACCCACCGGCCTCGTCTACACTAAAATTCAGCAAACGGGGTTAGACGAAAAACTGCCTTGTCTGCGATCTCACAGTCATTCAATCTATGCGTAGACAGCGTTTGATTTCCACATCCACAAGCGCATATACGTCTGACTAGTGGTCATCGATGAGTCAAACCAGCACGGTACTCTCCTAGCACCAACAATAATGGCAGAACTTAACCCTTTCCTCCTTGCGGCCACGATCCCAGATCCTGATCCCCGACTTTTGCCCTTACTACGTTCGAGACCCGAGTTAGCCTCTGCACAAGATGAGCACGGTTACTCTCTGGTGCATGCCGCTGCATCTTACAACCATCTTGACTTGTTGAGAGCATTGGTGGGCGATTTTCATGTTGATATCAATCTCAAGGACGAAGATGGAGAAACATGTCTATTCGTTGCTGAGACGGTGGAAATGGTACGACTATTGGTCGAGGAGTTGAATGTAGACACGAACATACAGAATGATGAGGCGCAGACAGCGGCAGAAAAATTCGAGGCCGAGGCCGAGTTTCCAGATGTCGTGACATATTTTCGCACTCGATTGGCTTCATCGTCCCTGACAAATGGAGAGAACTCAACTCCAGTGGGCGGTGTTCAGCATCCACCTCCACTGCCACCGAATGTATCCATCAACATCAATACAGCCTCTGATTCAACCCAAGAACTTTCCCAGGAGCCAGATCCAGAATTCCGGCGCAGGATAGAAGAACTTGCGGCGAGAGAAAACTTTAATACGGAGGAGGGTCAAAGGGAACTGCGTGACTTGATCACAGATGCGGTAAGAGGTGTGGGCAACGATGTACGAGATGTTCGACGACGGATTGACTGAACCTGTCAAGAGTTGACTTGACATGGGAGTCAAGCAGAAATGAGTTGACATGAAGCGACAAAGGTGTCACGAGAAGGGATGGAGATCATGCCATGAGTTTGGTTTATTCACACCACTTCCGTGGTCGTGCACACTCTATCGTGCAGGGGCCGGTGCGGACGATCAGTCGTTCATCCACGCAGCTACCCGACCTCCGCCTACTCTTGCAGCGAATCGGAGTCCTTGACTCCCCATGGGAAAGTAGCTGACGAGATACCACACCAACGCTACGAGTTGGACGATGGAAGAGATCAAGGTCAGGAGTGTCGAGTGAAGCTAGGCGAACATGGTTAGTAGGGCTCTTGACAGTCAGCAAGGCTGGTCTACGTACCCCAACCGCAAAGTATATCGTCATGAAGATTGAGCCAAAGTATGCGGCGGTAAATGGAAGACGAGGCCCCGAGACCAAGTGAATCACATATTGATACGGACCCATCAAGACGGCCCAAGACGCGAGAAACAGGATGGAGCCCACCGACCACCTACAGAGACGCGTCAGCCAACCACGACCATGAGAAATGGCAAGCGCACATGTCATTGGGGATGGCGCAAAGGCTCGAGGCTCACGGAGTGCGCCTGGGCCAACCCGGCCCAACCTTGGGCGTCACAGCATGAGAGTCGACTAACTGACATCATCATGGAGGGACGCGGTGTCACATGGCCTGGTGTTGCCAAAGATGGTGGTGTGGGGGAATTTGGCAGGGATGCGAGTCCAACTTACAAAATGGCAAACTTCCTTGGCTTCAAGGATAGTACTGGAAACAGGGCAAAACAGATAACAAAACATGCCAGTGCAGCAAGGTTGCAGCCACCAAAGATGAGGAGTCGATCCCAGCGACTTACTATTACAGAAGCCTAGTCAGTTGTCTTTTCTGGAAAGGGTTCTGGGGCCTGCCGAGAATGGCAACGGGCAGCTGCATCACTCACATGCGAACCATCCTTCTTCCTCCTCTCTCCTGGAAGGCGCGGGCAGAGGCGCTCCGGGAGACTCATGTGTGGGTAGTTGAACATAGCCACTCCGTCCGAAGGGATTAAGCTTGGAGAGCAAAGAAGTGGAGGAACTGGTGTTGACCGGGACGTCCGGCTCTCGTCGAGACCAGCCCAACGAGTTCATGGAATCTCGAAAAGCTGATGAAGTCATTTTTCAATGGTGGTGGTGTGTGTGTATCGTGTGTTTCCCCTCCTCCAGCTATTAGGATAGACGTCGGAAATGGTCCACGAAAATGGTTGAGTCAGCCGACAGGTACTGCCACTTTGGAAGATCGTCGAGTGAACCAATTCAACCCTGAGAATAGAATCCCCCCACGGTGCGCGAGCGACGTAGTTGGGCGTCCGGGTAAGAGACTGGCAATGCGTAGGCCGATGATGTGGTCGGCGTCACGAGGCTGCTAGGTTTCAAAAGGGGTGGAGGAGGATGGGATTCGAAGCAGCGCCTTTCGATAGAATGCTGAGAAGGGTCCAAAAAGGTGTGTGGAAGCTGCCAGGAGATAGGGACAGGACGCGCAGCGACAAAGGGCCAAACGGTTGCCTGCAGGACTGGTTCTGGCGCAGTGAGGTTTCGGGGTTGGCCGAGGTGAAAGGGGAGGGCTTCAGTGGGTGTCTGCAGACGAAGTGACTCTGAGGACGGAAGATGGCAGCAGCAAACTCTGAAAGAGTCAATTGAACGGGTGAGAAGAGCTGCAAACCAACAGGGTAGTTTGAGGATGGTCTCAGATCAAGAATGTAGACGGTGAGGGTTTAGTGAAATCACTGAGGTGCAGTCAAGCTGGAAATCATGGTGTATGTGTCTGTCCAGATAGAGTGGCACAGTGGCAACTTTGGCAGCGGTACGTAGTACTAGCCTATACCTTGTTAGTACAAATAAGTAGCTGCCTGTACTGCGGCTACGGCCGTGGATTGGTTGGTTGTCGGTCTTTAGGAGGGGTGGAACTGGTGGCTGGATCAAGGAAAGTTGGCCGTGGCGCTCGGAGAGTCTGGGGCACCGTAGGCAGGCAGCAGACCTAAGCCTTGGGGGCACTGGGGGATGTTCTAGGCACCACGGCCACTATGGCTGTCAACCTGGACATCACTCCCACTTTTCTTGCGTCCACCCCATCGTGCTCGTAGGTACCTACTCTGTATGGTTTTCCAGCCTGGATGACATCTTGTTGATGACGGCTGGACCATTGATGATAAGATTCACCTGCAGTAAGAACCATCGTCCGAGTCTCCGAGGTTGTCCGTCTGATCTGCGTCTCCATCAGTGAAGTAACCACCATCGAGCGATTGTCCACCTAGCAGTTACCAACCACAAAACATTGCCGCACTCCCTCTCCCAGGTTCATGTACTCCAAGATATATGCAAACATATTATCGCTTACCTGATTGACCTTGGGTGCCAGCCGGAACTGGGGTCAGCATGGCTGACACAGAGCATTGAACGCCATGCGAGTGCTTCCCCAGGTTAGGCCAAGTAGCCACTTTTTCCTAGTAGTGGGCATCTCTCAGCATCAGCATCAAGGCAGCTGCCAGAAGCCGACGGTGCGACCCAGCCGAGATAGCCAGAGACTCTCCCGTCTTCGAGAGTCAGCCACAGCATGCACGGCACAGCATCTCTAAGACATGGAACCGCATGACTTACACCTGGGTCCCCCCGGGAAAGGGTATTGGCGGAGCAGCTTGCGATGGGATTCGTTGTTCAACCGGATTTTGGTAGCACGACATGCATTTGACATGGCTAAACGAGAGTCAGATCCAACCCCGATGGCGCGGTAGGTGAATTCCGGTTGGGGTTAGGAGAACCGTAAGGACACCAACAATTCGCCGAGGCTGGCAACATTGACGCATCAAGAATAGATGCAACCTTAAGCCATCTAAAGGTGGGATGGGATGATGTTCTCGACTGACCATATGGAGCACTTGACCAGATGGTGGTAGATACAACAGCCTTTACAGCATGCAGCAATGGCAGCCCATCCGCCTTGCTTCGTAGTCACGCCCCTCGAAAGACTAAGAACTGTCATGGTGAAAAGGTGTGTTGTGACGAGGCAGTGAGGGGGTCAGCGATTGTACACGTGTGAAGAAATGACCACTTGATATCCGAGACATGACCATACCTGGCATCCACCAGCACTTTGGATGCCACAGCAGGATAGCCATTCCGCTCTCTAGCTACTGGACCCCCATCCTACTTTGTGGTGGTATTCGCGCTAAAGGCGAAGATGCTGCGCACATGCTGAGATGCTTTTCCCATGGTGACTGTGGCCGATAGAACCCCGGACCTGGCTGCCTCTTGCGGCTGTGCCAAAAGGGCATGGAAGTGTAGGTAGGCTCCAGGGAGCGGAGTATTTTGCAGTTCCAATAGAAGGGGGAAATGGGGAATGGCTCTACATTGGTGTATAAAAGACAGCCGATGACCGACGGTGAGGCGAGCTTGTCAAAAGTTCTAGCTTTTCACTTGTATCAATTCGTCCCAAGTACCTACCACTACCTGGTCAATCCGATCTCCTCCTATTGGGCTGAGCATCACCTTCACCTTCTTACTCCCTAACAAGGCTGGAAACATTCGACAAACAAATCGATCTGCATCGTCTTATGCTGCAGTCATCTTGATCGACGTCGAACAACACGTGGACAAAACATCAGCACTAAGTGGTAATTATCGTGAAGCCCTGATCGAACAGGGATATTGTGCCGTCTACAGGATTGTTTTCCAGTAATAATAAGTAAGTGAATGGTTGCTCTCTCTTTTCGCTTGATGTCATACCCGGAATCTCCCATGCCCCTCCATCAGAGTTCCAAGGCTTGTATGAGTCAATTACTAGCACCCCAGACAGATGTGCAGCTGCGCAAAATGCAGTCCAGGTGTGCAAGGGAGGGCCATAGTGGGCCGAGGGGGCTCAATGGGCGCCAAGGAAGGCCGAGGGGCCCGAGCCTATCACCATTGACAGGGGCCTCCCCCGAGTTTCGAGGCTCGAGTTTTAGTCGATAGTGCGTGTGCAAGATTCCAAGCACAGACTGGAACGATTCGCCCGCAATTTGACTGGGGGCCAAGGTGGCCATATTACTTATTATTATTTGCCTGCCAGTGACAGAGTGTCGCTAACCAGCTGCGTTTTTTCTTTAGGCACAAACAGCACTCACGTCACTCCCCAGTAGTGGCCCCGTAAACCATCAACCATCCATCGCCTGAGTCAACAAGCGAAACGAGCTGCATTTCGTATCGCACAAAGCCCCTCTGCACCTCTGCACACCTCTGCAGCTCAGCTCCTGTGAGACATCGGCGTTCTCATGGGAATATTTTGATCGATCCACACCATCGGCACGGTCAGTTGGATAAATAGGTACCTTACCCATGATATCCAGGGTTGAAAGAGTTTGATTCTAATTCTGGATTTCGACTACCCGCAGGCTGCAGGGAAAAGATCAAACACCAAGGCCCGGAAATCCTGGCTACTTGTGCCTGTTTCGAGCACCGGCCACGAGTCTAAAATAATTCCTGCGTAAGGCCACGACCGCCCACACGCCCACGCCCACAACCAGACTCTCTCTTCTGGAGACCAATCTTGTACTACTTTCACTCCTACAAGAGACCAAGCATTGCTACACCACGGAAGAGTCACGGCGCCCCACGGCAAGATTGTGCAGCGAGCCTCATTCGGACTTCTGACAGGTTGACAGAACCAACCCGCCCTCATCATCGCCGCCGCTGCCGCTGCTACCGCGTTGATCTCCTCGGTGCTCGCCCAGTTATACTGCCGCTTGCGCCTCTTAGCCCTCACCCTGTCCTGACCCTCCCACGCCCTCTTCCCCCTTCCACATTTCTTCCGCCTGAAGTCGGACCCCTCCATATTCCACCTCCCCCTCGTGTTCCAACTCATCCCAACTCATCCAAATCCATCCATATCAGCATTCTGTTGCCTCATACTCATATCGACCTGACTGGCGCCTCATAATCCCGCATCCTGACGCTGCGTTGTTTGCTTCTGGTTCCCCCTCAAACCCCTCTCGACCACAACTTCACCAGCGACCTTTCGGTGTCTACCAGTCAATTCAACGATAGCTCACCACATCTTTCACTCCACTTCCTACCCAAAACACACCGCCTTTGCCTTTTCTAAATCACTACAAGTCCGATATCCGTCACTAGCAGTCCCCATTGGCCACCCGTCGCTTATCACTCCGTCGCCGACATCCCAATCGAGTCAGACCCAGACCTCCTTTCCTCCCCTCCTTTCCTCCCACTGATCATCCAACTTCGAAACCCCCTCTTCTCGGCGACAACAGGCCTCATTCGCAGAACGCGCAACACGCCTGCCCTTGTCCGCGGATGCATTGCTAAGCTCCTATTGCATTCGTCCGTTTTCCTCGACTCCCTGGTTTAAGAGTCATATCAACTCGAAGGCCGCGACTCTGGTCATATAAAAACATATTTCATCCGGCTGTGCATGAGACAACCGCCACTGTCGTCGCAGATCTGCTTTTGATCTGCTCGTCAATTTCGAATCAGGATACCATCTCTACGTTTCTATTTGGCCGATGGTGATGGCCACTTGATTGACTACCTGACCAAGTTTTCTTGTGCCAGCCCACCGCGATCCCTGATATCGAAAACCCTTACCGCCGCCACCTCGAATCCCATCCAGCCCACACAATGGCCAACTCAACGGGCAATATACCCTACATCAAGAGCGAACCCGATGAGTTCGGCAACAATCCCAATCGTTACATGCAAACTCAAGCCTCCAACTTCGGTTCATCACAAGGCTTTGGCAATCAGTTCTCCAACCAGCAAGACAGCGGCAGCATTGACCCGTCAGCATTGTCGATGCAGAACAACAACTATGGTTTGAATTATAATTTTGGAGGCGCCAACATGGCCTCAAGCTATAGCGTTGGCAATGCGGCATTGGATGACAGTGAATTGCTTGATGGTCTGGACTTTGGGAGCAACGGTCAAAACATGATGGACGAGTTTACGACAATGTCACAACAGAACAACAACCAGCGAATAAATAACGCGATCCCCATGAATCAGGCCATGTACTCGAGCACTCCTGATGGGCCTCCGATCCAAAGCCCATTTCTGGGGAACTTTGACTATACCCAGTTTCGGCCAATGAACTCACTTCCGCAACACATGTCACCAATGCAAGGGGGTCAATTCGGAAAGCGACCCGGCATGCAATCGGCGAACCGAAAGTCATCTGACCAGCGATCTCCTCTCACACCTCGGACAGCGGCGATGGCAGGTCTTCAAATAGGAACTCCTGAATCTGGCAGTCTCGCCAATGGCCGGCCGATTCGAGCTCCAAGCGTCCAGAACAGACACTCCAAGACCTTGTCAGGCCAATACGACAGCACGCCAGGAAGTTTGCACTCGTACCTAGATTCTCCTCTGTCTTCTCCTGGGACTGGATTTCACCACGCCGGCATCTCAGAAACACTTGGGTCTGGCCAACATGCATCATTACCAGCCAAAGTCGAGAATGGTCTTGGCACAAGCATCCCACAACAAAATGCCGACGAAAAGAAGAAGAGACGGCGCGCGTCACACAATGCAGTCGAACGTCGGCGGCGTGACAACATCAATGAGCGGATCCAGGATCTGTCTCATCTCGTGCCACAACATCGCCTGGACGATGACAAGGTGAAGAAGCAGCTCCAGAACAACGGCCCCATGTCGCCTACCATGGGAGCGACAAGCATGAGTCCACCAACGGCAAGCAATGCGGCCACGTCGATTCTGGCAGGTGCCGGACGGCGTGCGGCCGGAAACATCACGCTGGGTCTGCCCTTGGATGACAAGGAAAAGGGCCCAAACAAGGGTGACATCCTGAACGGGTCCGTCAGCTGGACACGAGACTTGATGTGGGCTCTGTATCAAAAGTACCAGCAAGACGACGAATTAGCCCAATACATTTCCTCAATAGGAGGTACCTGGCCCTTCCAAATCACCGACGAAGAGCGACGAATGCGGACTGAGGTCATGGATGCGATGGAAAAGAATGATCCATCGACGTTCAATTATTCCAGGGCCGACGGAAGTGGATTGCGAGTCCCACGTCACACCAACCTTGCAGGCGACCGACTCACAAGTAATTCCAGTCTCAGCCCACAGAGTAACTTCGAATTAAGCCCCGGTTTCCACAGTGGTGGCAGTGGCGCCAACAGTGGTAGCAACGGAGCAGGACAAACACAGTACTGGCATTCAGCCGGTCATGGAGGAATCAGTTTCAAGGAGGAAGACGAGTTTATGGAGATGAATTGACGAGACGAGACGAGATGAGAATCATTGATGTGGCTGGTGAATTGCATCCTTAACCCCGAGAACCGGACCAGCGGTGAAGATGGAGGCGGTAATACGCCGCAACAAGGTTCAAAGGGCTAAGATGACACGAGATTTTCTATAAGCACGATGGATGTTTCTTTTGACCGACATGCCGTCTGGCTATGTTGGCATGTTGGGATTTTGCTGGGACTGCGATTGCTATTGGCTTGGGAGTGGTCAAGTGGGATTTATGTTTGCCATGATTTTGTGCTGTGATTGATACCCCTTGCTTGTTTTCCCCCATTTCCTCTTTTCCAATTCATGCCTGCTTCAAGAGAACAGTATTGTATGGAGTAGGTAGATAATTCTCTAGCATACTAGGCTAATGGAACCAGGATTGACGAGACAGGGAATTAATCGATGTGGGATGATTCTATCGTTCATTGTGCGTATCGTATACAAGATTTGGTGGAGTACTGTAGCAAATTCTGTCCCTTGGACATGTCCGAGAGCTCCTCGGAAGCTCCGATTATAGCCTAATTAATTCCGAAAGATGGAGGAGTGGGAGTGTGGGTGAAGCTGTGAGAAAAGCTCTGGAGGTTCGGACTTGGAGACCGACACCCGATTAGCTTACCTACCTAGCTTGACTTGGGTGATTACCAGATATCCTCTACTTAGGCACCTAAAGGTACGTGGGTCTTAGGCTGTCAGGCTTCTCCAATTCCCTCCATCAAGGCTGCAGGTACCTAGTAGTAGTACTTTCTACACTACGGCTACTTCGGTACATGGATACCTAATCCTCTCCTCACTCTTGTACCTGACAAGGAAACTCGGCACCCGCCCGCGCCCAAGCCTCTCCCCCAACCTTCGTCCCCCCCCCCAAGGGTCCAATTCATCCCATCCGTATCTCCCCTACCGCTATCCTCCTCTTAACAATATCATCCTATCAGCAAGTCCTCCACTCACCTACTTCCTTAGGGCGTATCACCCTCTCACCTGTGCTCCGGAAACTTCAAATCAGACATCCCGCCCCATCCCCAAATCCCTCCAAATCGGATCATTTTTCTTTTTCTCCAGTTTCCAGTCCAAAAGTCCACGGGCGGGAGTTGTCATCAACGTATCTCGTGTCTTTCCACTGTAGTTGGGATTCATTTTGAGAACATCTTTCTTTCAATACACATCCAGTCGTTCATTTCCTCCAACTTGGGTCCGCTGCGTTCGAATCTCACTGGTTCTTCGTCTCCTTGTTGTCGATTCTTCCCATCTCGCCATATTCCCTCTACAATATCGGATAACGCACATCCTACACAACCGACAACATGACTGAAAAGCCTTTGCCTTTCATCTACCAGTTTGGGGCTGGTGCCATTGCTGGTGTCTCTGAGGTATGTTATTAGACGAAATGAAGCCTATGCGCGCATGTTGGGAACACTCGGAGCTAATTGATCTTTGGTGATATATAGATTCTTCTCATGTAAGTGGCTGCGACAGCATCTATGAAGATGCCTTCACTCTCACCAATCAGGTACTGACCTCTGGGCTCTTACAGGTACCCTCTCGATGTCGTCAAAACCAGAGTGTAAGCCTCTTCTATCTCCTGCGCGCCCGACAACTAGTCTTACTGACCCATCTTTTTCATAGTCAACTACAAGGCAAGGCCGCTGTCCCAGGACAAGACCACTACACAGGCATGCTCGACTGTTTCCGCAAGATTGTCAAGAACGAAGGTCCCGCCCGACTTTACCGTGGTATCACCGCCCCGATTCTGATGGAAGCCCCCAAACGAGCCACCAAATTCGCCGCCAACGACTCCTGGGGAATTTTCTACCGCCGACTCTTCAACGTCGACAAACCCACACAACCGCTTGCCGTCCTCACGGGCGCCACCGCCGGCGCCACTGAAGCCTTCGTCGTCGTCCCCTTCGAACTTGTCAAGATCCGACTCCAAGATCGCGCATCCGCAGGAAAATACAATGGCATGATCGACGTGGTTGTCAAGACCGTCAAGGCCGAAGGTCCCCTCGCTCTCTACAACGGTTTGGAATCAACATTGTGGCGTCATATTTTGTGGAACGCCGGTTATTTCGGATGTATTTTCCAGGTCAAGTCACTATTGCCTGCAGTCGACAAGAAAGAAAACCCTTCAGCCGCCATGCTGACGGATTTTGCTTCTGGTGCTATTGGTGGAACGGTCGGAACGATCCTCAACACACCCATGGATGTGGTCAAGTCGAGAATTCAAAATACTATCAAAGTCCCTGGTGTTGCCCCTAAATATAACTGGGCTTGGCCGGGTCTCGGAACGATTATGAAGGAAGAAGGTTTCGGCGCTTTGTACAAAGGTTTCACTCCCAAGGTGCTGAGACTGGGACCCGGTGGTGGTGTTTTGCTCGTCGTCTACACTGGTGTCATGGACTGGTTTAGGAAGATGGGTGCTAAGCCTGTCGAGTAAATCAGCTCATGACTCGCATCGCATCGTGCCTTTGCAAATACACATATTGGGAAAGAAGTTGGGTTCGCCGGAATCACATCTGCAGTTACAGCATTGCAGCGTTGTTCCAAGGAGCCCTTTGCACATGACACTGAAAAGACAGGATGGAATGGGAACGGAACGACCTTTCTGGGAAACCACTACCTACTTAGATTTGTGTTATCTAGACTCGCAAGGAGATATGGGATGGATTCATGCTGGGAGGAGAGCATGATACCCTCTATTTTGTATCCTTCAGGAGGGAGTGATATCTCTCGAGGAGGCATGATACATCGAATCATAATCAAATCATGGCGTTCTCTGTCTGGTCTCTTCTCTCGTTCTTGTGTCATTGGGATAGTGTGCTTGCCAGCTGCTTGCTTAAGGACATAGCCAGCTCGTTGTCATGATCAATGCCACCAATCCAATCCCGTCCATTCTTCCAAACATGAATCTGCTCCCCTAGCACCCCCATTCCGTTCGTATGCATGACCCATGACCCAAGACCCATGACATCCGAAAGTTCAATGTTCCAAGTTGATAACCCAAGTCGGTATTGGTACAAATAATCATCATCAATGCATTTCTCTTCCGTTTCTTTTTCTTGACTCCTTTTTTCTCGCCGTAGACCTGCCGTAAGAATGATATTCAAACACAGAGAATCCAATGATTCTTCTCCAGAATACTCGTGTACTGAGTGAGTAATCCAATCGATTGAGAGCTTCGCACAATCTTGACTTCCTATAGCTGATTGACTTGCTTGTTTATTTCTTTCGCCGGACATACCATCTCGATCGAGTCCCCTCTTCGAGTTCGATGATGACGCGACATGGCTCATCTGCGGCTCTGACTGGATTTTGGACGCCTTTGATGTCTTTGTCTCTTCCTCCAGTGCCAGGAGGAGGCAGGGAGGGTTGATCTGCCTCGGATGTTGGTGGTTCGTCTTTCGGTAGCTCTGCGTCGTTGAGCTTGATGGTCGGAGCAGAGTCTAGAGCTGGGGTAACGGTCAGGTTCACGGCTGGTGCGTCTGGTTCCTCCTTCGGTCGAATCTGGAGATTCTGTTCGGACATAGCTGCTTTCATGGGAGATGCGGGTCTTGATATCGAGGAGACGGAGACGGAGTCCTTGCGATCCTCGGAGCGAGAACGAGACTTCTGAGTCGAAACCACACTGCTAGTGGTCGCTTTATTAGACGGTTTCGATTTCGGTTTCGCTTGCGCCTTTTCCGCCGTCCACTGCCGTTCCTTCAACTCCGCTGTCCATCCCGCTCGTCGACAGAGTTCTTGGACAATCAAATCGCATTCGCCGAGTAGCTCAATGTCCACTTTGACCCCTTCGCGTGTACACCGTTCCTTGCTGATCCAGATCTGTGGTACTGACGACGGAATTTTCAATAACATTTGATTGACTGGAGCCACTTTCAAAGACGTGCCGATGATAACGAGCAAGTCCACCTTCATCGTGTCGATGTCGAGTCTTGTCGCGTAAGACTCGGCAACATGTTCTCCGAAGAAGGTCATGTCCGGTTTCAACAATCCCTTGGGGAATCCTGGCCCTGAATTGTAGTCATCCTCATCGGACGTGTCGAGATCGTCGTATTTCCGCTTTTTCTGTCCTGTGCGACCTCTTCGGGATTTCTTCGACGTAGGATTTCGTTTGATCGGGTCGGGCTCTTGTGAGCATTTGCAGAACGGGATATTGCCCGCGCAAACGATGGGCATGTATTTGCGTGCAGTGACCTGCTTGCCGCAGCTCATACAGGAGGCAGTTGAGAGCGTCCCATGACATTGGATCAATTTAGATGAAGACACCCCGGCCGCAGTTTCCAGACCATCGATGTTTTGCGTGTAGTTTGTCAAGAGCTTGCCCTTTGCTTCAAGCATCGAGATGAACGCGTGAGTCGGTCCGTATCTAGGGACAGATTTGAAGTCAAATGACTGCCCGTCCTCGCTGGCCGTGTCGCTTCTAGGAACCAGGCCTTGCATGCTAGGAAACACCTTGGCTGCCTGTCGGAAAAACTCCTGCGGTTCCTCCTTGAAGTTGTCAATGTGAAAAAGTTCCTGAGGGTCATTGTACTTGCACCCGTCCAGTAAGCTGTAAACCCCTTGACTGGAACGAAAGTCCGGAACACCTAATGATGTCGAGATTCCTGCCCCCGTGAGGACCACAATATTCTTCTTGGATTGAAGTAATGACACTGCATGATCGATCGTGTAGTATTGGTTTAGTCGAGGTCGAGTTTGTCCTTTGGCGGGTGACATGGTCCGTCGTGGCGACAGAGACGATGCTCTCTCAGCACTTAATTGATACAGACGTAATAACTTCGATGGCGAGGGCCGTGACGGCGACCGAGATGCGTTGGACACTGCATCTAACTCTCTGCTCACTGCTGGTGATGGTGGTGCTGAAGGCGCCATGATGGTGGGATGTGATGAGTTACTAGGCCTCGACTCTTCACCGACCCCCCTCAAATTCAAGCTGACGAGAGATTAATGACGAAGTCCAGCGCCGAGAGTTAACGGGAATCCTTTATGGGTTGACGACGAATGCGAACTCATGACCACGTTTGTAAGTTCAGAGCGTAGGGTTAAGTACGATGTGGGATGAACTCGTTGGTCAGTTTTCGTTTCGTTTGATCGTTGAAAGGCGAGAGAAAGTCTGTGAGGATCATATCGAAATTGTCAAATGGCAGCAGATGAACGGCTGATTATGACCTGAGCTGAGCGTTTGTCAATGCTTAGGAAACAATGTAAGACAAGCTGAAGTCGTACCGTTTGATCAGAGTAAGATCTCCTGAAAGACCTCAGATTCGGGTTTGGCTCGAGGTATTTTGTGAGCCTATGCATCTCTTCAGCCACTTGCATGAGGGTATTGGGGGTCTGAGGAGTGATTGGGCCCTAATATCCCCGCGGATGCACGTTGCCATGCTGGGTATGGGTGGTTTGGTAGCCCCTCGGTCATCTCTTCTCTCTTCTGACAGGCTGCGCTCAACCAACAAATCGTTGATGTCATCTCGCAGTCATTGACACGTGATTTCCCGTTTCGACGCGTCTTTGTGTGACGCGGTTGCCGCTTTTGCTGATTCAACATCGAGACTCCATCACAACATCAAACTTGACTCGATCTACACTACGCACTACTTTATTTTATTTACCTTTTCTCACCGCTATAGTATCTGATACCAGCCTAAATTGGTACAGACTGGCAATTTTGGCAATTTTGGCAATGCTGGGGCAGTCCCAACCCTCATCATCACTATGCCACCGGCTCCTCTGGCAACCATTTCTTCACAGTCAAAGAGGAAATTGAATGCTTTCAAATTCGATCAGACATTGATGGAGGCGGAAGGCAATAAGGAAAACCAAAACCATCTCTCCGAAGATCATGCTCCTGTCAAGCACCATATTGAATCGCCGCCTCGAGCAAAACCCTCCCAGAATACCTTACCACATACCCCCGCCGTCAAAATCCCTATCGAAGACCTTATTGCCAACACAGAAGACGCATTCAACTGTCCTCCTCCCTTAGCGACGCCGAAAGATCATGTCCTATGGCAGACAAATCCAGATAGCTCAGATCCTTCGTCGTCTGCGAGAGGTACACAACAAAGTAGGAAGCGAGCTCACAGTTCTTCTCCTGCCTCCTCGCAGCTGGGTCGGTCTGAACATTTGTCCGGACGCAAGGAAGCATTGAATTTGGATACACTGCAAAAGTCTCTCCGCACGCCGAACAACGACCCTACTCAAGACTTATGGAACCGTTATTCTGCGGTGAACAATCCCAGATCAAAACCAGGTGAACCAATTTTGCCTGCCTACGCTCATCTGCTCCCGTCGTCGCCACAAACACCAGGTACGACTGGAAAGGAAGCATCTTTACGAAGGACACACAGCTGCGGCACGGAATGGCCGGCATCAAATGCAAAACGCCGAAAGGTCGACACAAGCGAAGGGCCTCAAGGTCGGACCAAAGAAATATTTGCCGCTTCACGGAAAGATATTCTACGTCACGACCTCTCAAACAACACGAAGGTTGGCTTGCTTCTGGAGAAGATTCATGAGAGCCTCAGCAAGAAGCAAAGGGTAGAAGAGGGCCCGTCTAGCTCTTCGCCCCTCCCCGAAAGACGCTCTCAGTTCCTCGAGTCTCCAACTCGACCACAAGTTCGGCCACAGCCTTCGTTGATGCCTGCTCCTAGTGAGGCTGTTCAACCCCGAGCGAGTCCTTTGCGAGAAACTCGTGTTCGAGAGAAGACTCCCGCTTCTTCCGATTATGGCGATGATGAGCTTGACCTCGAGGCTTTTGAATGCATCGAATCTGCAGTTGCGCAACAAGCGGAGGCCGTAGAGGACAATCGTACGGTGGTCAGCATCGATAACAAAAAGGACTCCAACAGCCAGCGGACGTCGTGTCATGTACATCAAGTTGAGAAACCTCGACATGATCCACGCAAACAAATTTCGAATCCTCCATTGCAGCCAAAGCCACCCACCGTGATTTTGGATGATGAGTTCGATGATGATGACGATGACGACGATATGATGAATGGAATGATTGACCTGGTCTCCAAATTTGAATCTCAATGTCCAGCAAAGGCGTGCGGCACAGCTGAGCCAACAACACAGGCTCCTTCGCGCCTCGAGACTTTAGACGAGTTTGACGAGGCATTTGACGACGATGACGACATGTGGGACAGTATCATTGATGCTGGGCACAATCAGACAGATCCTGTGAGGATCAACCCCTCACAACAATACTCGAAAAGTGCACAGAATGTTCGTCATGGATAGCTACAGGCTTTATGAATATGCTGATAGTGTAAATAGACATTGATCGATCATCGAGCAATCAAACGATACCTCATCGTCGAAGTTGTTGAGAGTGAGTACGAAGCCAAGTCGGGACGTAGACGAATCGAAAAAGTATGCTCTACCTCCTTCATCTTGAAACCACTTCTAATTAGAAGCAGATGTTGTCTGTTAAAGATGAGAAAAGCGGCATGCGATACATCGTTCTCTTGCGCGACTCTTGGTACGACACAAGATGTACAAAGGGTTCTTATGTTCACATTATCGGCATATTTGACAACACAGGGACTTGCATCATCGATGATGCCAGCAACATGATCATTGTCCACCCGGACCACCTCATATCTTCCACTGTCGTGGGAGACTCTTTCACCTGTATGCGGCGAGCAGTTCTCCAAGACCGAATCAAAGCCACAAGCATAGCGACAGCACCACAAGTGTATGGTCATATCCTCCACGAAGTCTTTGGGCAAGCTCTTCTTCTGGATCGGTGGGATGCGCAATCCTTCCGAGATATCGTCAACAACATATTGCCCTCTTACCTCGAATCACTCTATGAGATCGGCGTAAGCGTTCACGATGCAACTGAATATCTACTTGGCAAAACTCCAGAGTTGATTGCCTGGGCTAATGTCTTTGTGGGCCAAAAAGTGAGCAAGGACTCTGTCATCCGTGATCGCAATGGACTACTCGTTCCGACCAGTATCAACAAAGTTTTGGAACTTGAAGAACACATCTGGTCGCCCATGTACGGCCTAAAGGGCAATATCGATGCTACGGTCCAAGCCCAAATGATACTCCCTGGAGAAGCATCACCACGCACCTTGGTGATTCCCTTCGAGTTGAAGACTGGCAAGAAAGACAATGTTGAGCAACATCGAGTCCAGACGGCTCTTTACACGCTCTTGTTGACTGACAGATACGATATTAATGTCACTTGCGGTGTTCTCTATTACATGGAAACCTCCAAAACTTTTCGCGTTGAGGGTATCAGGAACGAGCTTCGTCATATGGTCATCCAGCGGAATGAGCTGGCTTGCTATGTCCATGACAAGCTGGCGTTGCCTCCAATGATCAAGAAAGAACACCTCTGCAAGACTTGCTACTCCAAGGCTGCATGTTTCACATATCATAAACTCTCGGAAAATGGCGACGGAGTCACAAGTGGGTTGGGCGAGAAGTTCAACGAGGTGGTGGGCCACCTTTCGCCAGAAGATCAAAAGTTCTTCGAGAAGTGGGATGAACTTCTCACGAAAGAGGAACGAGATACCATGAAATTTCGCAGAGAGTTATGGACCATGTTGAGCTCTGAACGGGAAGCTGTTGGTCGATGTTTCTCACAAGTCATGATCTTGCCTGGGTCCACTGTTGAGAATCATGAGAGCTCCAAGATCAATCGCTTCGAGTATACCTTTGTCAAGCACAAAGCGAAGCCAGGCTTCTCGTTCACAGAATCACAAATCACAATAGGTGAGCCGATCGTGATTTCAGATGAGCGAGGGCATTTCAACTTTGCTGCGGGCTACGTGACTAATGTTCGTCCGAACCGAGTGACTGTCACAGTTGACCGTCGACTTCAGTATGCTAGAAGAAGGAAAGACGGTTTCGACTCGGAGAGAAATCAGACTTTCACAGGCACGCTCGGGAACGGGACCCAGGGCAGCTCTCAACAGCATGATGAGGGAACACCACTCCTTTACCGAATTGACAAGGATGAGTTTGCCAATGGCATGGCAACGGCTCGAAACAACCTGCTACGGATTATGGAGAAGGATCTTTGGAGAGCCCGAGAGCTCAGACAACTCATCATCGATCAAAAGGCCCCAGAATACAAGGTGAACTCAACATCTTACTCGTTGGGTGGCCCTGCTTCACAGCAAGAGCTCAACATTGATCAACGTAAAGCCATTGAGAACGTGATGAGCGCGAAAGACTATGCGCTAGTGCTGGGCATGCCAGGTACAGGAAAGACCACTACCATTGCTCATATCATCAGAGCGCTGGTATCTCAGGGGAAGTCTGTTCTTTTGGCTTCCTACACCCACACGGCAGTTGACAATATTTTGCTCAAGATCAAGGACGACGATTTCTCCATCTTTCGCATCGGCGCTATCAACAAAGTTCACCCGGAAGTCAAGTCATTCGCCGATATCTCTGGTCTGCAGAAGCGAACCATCGAGGAACTTCATGAAGCATGGCAGGGCAGTCAAGTAGTTGCGACTACTTGCCTGAGTGTCAACCACGGCATCTTCAACGCTCGCACATTTGACTATTGCATCGTGGATGAGGCATCTCAAATTACACTTCCAGTATGTCTAGGACCGATCCGAATGGCCAGGACATTCATCTTGGTCGGAGATCATTACCAGCTTCCGCCATTGGTACAGAACAAGGATGCACAACAAGGCGGCCTGGACGTAAGCTTATTCAAGCTCCTTTCAGATGCGCAGCCTGATTCGGTTGTTAATCTTGAGCATCAATACCGAATGGCTGAGGACATTATGCTGCTCTCCAAGGAGCTGGTCTATTCTGGCCGTATCAAATGTGGCAACGAAGCAGTAGCCAAAAGAACACTGCACATTCCCCATCTTGATACCGGTCTAACTGCTTATCATTTCACATCTTCTTCGCTTTCCGGACGAGGATCTGCTCAGCAGCCAACGACAATATGCGCCTCAGATGGATCATGTTGGCTTCGCAAGGCACTGTGCCCAACGTCGAGATGCTTGCTGCTCAACACTGATAGTATCAATCCAGCCGGAAGTGCGAAAGAAACGGCTTCTGGGCCACGCATCACGAATACAACCGAATGTACTCTTACAGCCCAGCTTGTGGCTGCACTGATACATTGTGGTATTGCTCCAAAGTCGATCGGAGTCATCACATTCTACCGTTCTCAGCTTGCCTTACTACGAACTGAAGTGAAAAGTACGGCAGGAAGTGTAGCCGCAAGTGAGGTCGAAATGCATACAGCAGACAAGTACCAAGGCCGTGACAAGGAGGTGGTGATCCTCAGTTGTGTTCGAAGCAATGACCACAATCACGTTGGTGATCTGCTGAAAGATTGGAGACGAGTCAATGTTGCAGTGACAAGGGCGAGGAGTAAGCTGTTGATCTTGGGCAGCAAGTCGACACTTGAGGGGAGTGATGTGCCGATTCTTCAAGGTCTGACAAAGCTCATGGACGCACAAGGGTGGATCATGGATCTTCCAGCATTCGCCACGACCTGTCATACCTTTGAAACGATCATGCCCACTACAGGTGCGACTCAGGTTAGCACGGTAGGAGACAAGGGTCAAATAGCTCCAACTCCCGCAAACAATCAGTCTAGAGCGGTGAAACGACCACTCGACAGATCAAACGGTAATACGTCGACAAGTCCTCGAAAGATTGCAAGCAGCACGGGTGTTCATGCGCCATTCAAAATGCCTAAGAAAGTGGTGCATGGTAGCAAGATTGTGGACTTGGAGAAATTGCTCGATCAGCGACCAGTGATGCGGGATGTGATGAACGACATTGTCGGACAGGAAAATGTGCCAACGATACAGCAAGCGCAGAACAAAAGTCAGGGGTTTGATGTTGATATGGATGATGACTTTGACCCGGCTGCTTTTGGAATTTTCGAATGAAATGAGGTTGTCATGGTGTGTTGAAGAAAGCGATCCTTTGGATAATTTTCGGTACTTAAAGGTTTGGACAAACTCCATTCGAATGGCATTCTTCGCTTGTCTTGATACCAAGCATGAATTCAATCACGATCAAACCAAGCCTGATGGGAAATTGATCACCCGAAGCAATCTGGACCATAGCGCATAATGGAAATCTTTGGTTATGCAATGAGATGATCTCTATTCCAACATACAGTCTATTGCTGTTCGAAAATAGGCGAGTTGAGCTTTCCGGTCTGAAGAGCCGCTCGAATGTTATTGATGGCCCACTCTTCCATCTTCTCCTGCGTCTCACTTGTCCAGGTACCCATATGAGGAAGAAGCATGACTTTGTCATTTTTGAGCAGACCCGGATGGATTTCAGGTTCCTTCTCAAAGACATCGAGACCAGCACCGGCGATAAGACCACGATCCAACGCATCCACCAAAGCAGCCTCATCGATGACTGCACCTCTAGCTGTGTTGACAACGACAGCAGTTGGTTTCATCAACTTGAACTGCTCCGTGGATATGATGTGTCTCGTCTTAGGATTCAAAGGCAGATTCAGACTGAGAACGTCGCTACGTTTCAGCAAGTCCTCAAATGAGACATACTCAGCACCGGCAGATTGAACATCATCTAACCGTCGACGATTGTGGTAAATCGTCGACATGCCAAATACCTCGGCCTTTTTCTTCATGTTCCGGCCAATACCTCCCATACCGAGAATACCGAGCACTTTTCCCTGAGGATCATGACCCAGCGCTGGAGGAGGAGCTCCTCGCCATGTTCCCTGGCGCAGAGCTACCATGGATGGATTGAAGTTACGTAGGGCTCCCAACATGAGGAAAATAGCCGTGTCAGCAGTAGCATCATCGGGTGCTGAGGGTACATTGGACACTAGCAGTGGTGGGTCGCGTGCTGAACATGCCTCAGCGTCAATCTGATCGTAACCAGCACCGCAATGGGCAAGGTATTTCCATGATCGGGGCAGGGCGTTGATCAGTTCTGAGTCGAATAGTCCAGTGATTTTGACGCTAACAAACGTTCGATATGCGGCGACCACGCCGTCGAGGGCTCCGGATTGGCATTCTGCAATGAAGTCGGCTCGGTTGGTGGAGCTGGGTGTTATCAGTTCGCCGAGTTCGCTGAGAGAATCCCATTGTTTATGTGCACTTTACATTGATCAAGTTAGAATGTCATCGTCACCAAGGAAAGAGGGCATTGGATACTGACTGGTCGAGTTCTCCAAGGAGAAGAATCTTTGGTTTTGTCATGGTGAGAGTCGACGTTTGGTATTATGCTAGTCGGTGAATTGGACGGTATCGTATGAAGAAAGTGTCCCTGTTGGACTGATTTGGAGACAGGATAAATGATTAGATGAAGGTATATACAATCACCACTTAAAACGAGATGATGTCTTAGTCGTCCTCGGTCGCTCCAAGCCGTTTCTATCAATTCACGTCGGCAGACCCTACCGGCAGAGGAATGATATATACGTATGAAAATTATAAGGGGCTTTACAATCTACAACCATTTCGAAATTTGTTCATACGCCCTTCCCAATCATCAATATTGGCGTCGTTGGAGTCAAACATGCAAGGCTGCCTCCCCGGCGCACTTCATCCCGAAAAGAGATGATAAGAGAGTAATTGGTGACACGTGATTGGCCAAGGTATCAAAATATGGATCTTGGGCGGAGCATTCCTCTTTGATAACGCGCGGGGGACTCCTCCCGAATTCAGTTGGAAGCGAACGTAGCAGACCAACCGTGGAGAATCGGCATCTTTGAACCGATATATTGTGACAATGATCTCTCGGCGAGGTAAAAACGTTCAGTCGTTCATGAAAGAAGTGTAGAAGAGCAGGTGTGATTCATTGCCCTCCTGGCCTCCTGCCCTCCTGCACAACCCTCTCAAAGACTCCGCTGAAGTGTAGAGGGAACTGTGCTCTGGGTTACGTCACCATCAGGCCCCTCGGCCCCCTCGTTGATAAAAGGGCTCCTACTACTAACACCGATGGACAGGACAATTGCTGAAGATCCCTACATCGGCTTCAGGGTTAAGTCCGACTAAATCCTACCACTACAGATTCGACTGGCCCTGTGTTCTACGGTTGATGGTTAGGTGCACACCAGATACCTGATAGATCGACACTTATGATGGAGATAGGTAGGAGACGGTTTTGTTTCTGAGTTCGAGAGGGTGAGAGAGACTATAAAGTCCTTTGCCGTGCACACATTCATGCAAAATCAGACGCTATAGACCTTCTACATACGAAATCCCATCATGACTACCATACTAATCACAGGCGCCAACCGTGGCATTGGACGAGGAATCGCAGACATTTTCCTCTCACGACCCAACACTACGTTGATAGCCCTGGTTCGAGACACATCAGACGAAACGACAAAATCTCTCAAACCTCTTTCTGAAGGCAGTGCCGTTGTCGTCTTACCATACGATGCGAGCGACAACACATCCGCACAAACCGCCATTGAAGTCCTCCAAACTCAACACCACATCACATCACTAGACATAGTCATCGCCAACGCAGGCATCCAAACCTGGCAAGGTCCCTCCATCGAAACTCCTCCGGAAGCCATGATGTCGCATTTTCAAATCAACACCATTGCACCGCTACAACTATTCAAAGCAACACTCCCTCTTCTTCAGCACCGAACATCATCATCATCAAAGACCTCCTCCCCCTCTCCACCCAAATTCTTCACCATTTCATCGAGTGTCGGATCTACGGAACTCATTCCCCAAAGACATCATCTCAGAGTCCTGCCGTATGCGACTTCCAAAGCCGCAGTCAACCATGTCATGCATAAGTTACATTCCGAGCATCCTGAGATTGTCATCGAGTTACTGGCCCCGGGATACGTAGCTACGAATCTGTCTCGCGGTTTGAAATTGGAGGGTTCCACTGTCAATCAGACGGGTATGGTGCCGATTGAAGATAGTACAGCGGGTTTGGTCAAACAGATTGATATGGCGAATCTGGAGAATACTAAGGGAGCCTTGACGACTTGGAAGGGAGAGGTCGTGCCTTGGTAGGATGAGCAGACTAAAAAGAAAAGAACTTTGCCACTGTCTACCCTTTACTTGTATTTTTTGTCGTATTTGCTAACATGGCCGATGCCGATGTCAATATATCGAGTAGATTGTGATTCTTGTGAGTAAGAATGTTGGTATACGTGACCGTATATTTCTGCACCTATGAACCGCAAACTCGACCGTTGCCCATAGCTCCATCACGTGATTATCTCGACTCCAATCAGCTTCAAGTTCATTCACATCACAACTGAGAACGATATAGACAAGACGAAACGAGTGCACACCTCTCCATCTCCCTCGCTCTCAACAATAGAAGCTCACCAGGATTTACGGCCACCATGGCCAAACCTCTCAGGGACGTAGTCGGCGTTGCCAAAGTAAGGATTCTCAGACCCGCTTCAGAACACACACCGCGACCTCAAACAACCCAACAACCAGCATCACCTCATCCCCCTCCCCTTCCCACCTCACGTCCCCTCGTCGCCCTCCACTCCATGTCCATCCCTCCAGAAGATCCATCCATTTATTTTACTAACCCCAACCCCTCCTCGCAGAAATACACCCAACAATCCAGCGGCCTCTACGAAGCCATTCGAAGATTTTTCGCCGTCGACCCCGAACGCAGCAACGGAGTTCCGATCAAACACTTCCGCAACCCTCCTCCCGGCGGTCTCGATCCTCATTCATACGACGAAGCCGTCACTACACCAGCGGCCGATATTGCCGACAACCCATACTGGAAGCGCGACGTGCGACGAGCGTATCCCACACTGAGTACCGTGACGCAAAGCGATGCGGTTGGGTTACTTAGCTTTGGAAGTGCAGCCGACCCAAGCCCTAAGCTCCTGACGGGTGACGAGGGTGCGAAACAGTTGGTGGAGGTCAAGCAGACGGGTGAAAAGGGTTTGGCGGCGTATTTTGAATCGCAGGGTAAAGGTACGGGTGTGTCGTCGGTTCTTACCAATGGTGGGTTGCCGCCGAACCCGGTCGCGGTGAGGAGTAAGCATCTAAAGGCGGAGAAATATGAGATTGGGCAGACGAGTTATGGAGAAGAGTAAGTTCATTTCTTCCCCCCATTGGTGGATTTTGTTATGGTTTGAAGTGGTGTGTTGTGGTGTGGTGTGGTTTTTCTTGATTTTGATACTGACGTCTATGGTTCTTTTTCTAGTTATCCCTGCCGGAGCTTCGTTTAAAGCAACGGCTGGCCCATACCTGGTCGCTATGAATAAATATCAAGGGTTCGGTCTGTTAAACCACGGGGGGCTTGTTTCTAAATAGAAATCCTACCGCCTTCCCATCAGGAATCGGAAAAGAGAAAAAATGAACAGAAATCTATGAATTAACAGCTACTGCTCTTCAACTCATTGCTGCCCGTCGCTTTTCCTCTATCGCCGCTTGTTCTTGTTCGAGTAGCTCGCGTTGTTTGACGGCCTCCTCACCCACGGCCTTTTCACCCTTGCGTCTTTGGCGGTCTTCAAAGGCTTGTCGTCCTTTCATGATACGTTGGACGATTTCGCCTGCGTTGACGTGGGCGTACGGGTGTTCTGGGATTTCTTTCAAGATTCCCATGTCTTTGGCGTCGCTGTAGGGGTCGTAGGTAGATGGCATGAATGCCGTAGGGCCGTGATAGACGGCGGAGATTTTACCCATCGGCAGGGCGTCGAGGTATGGTTTGGACGGCGAGAATGGAGCTCCAAAGACCACGGCGTGGACGTATCGACACTGTAAGACACAAAGACCACGTTCAAATATGTTCATGATCGGGTAGTTGAGACCCTTCCAGTGATTGATGACGGCGTCGTTGTGTACCCCCGCCACCACGTATGCCTTGCCCTGTTCTGCTTCGTCAACCTTTCGGAGGAACTCGATGTGACCCGATGAGAACAGGTCAAAACCGCCGTCCACGTAGACGATGCGTTGGCCTGGTTTGGGTCCTGTACCAGGAACCAGCTTGGCGAACTCGCCAGCATCGTGAAGTTGGTCCGCCGAGTTGGCTTGACTCTTAGGCCCCCACGTCCATACTTCAGAACCAGGGTTCAACCCGGTCTCATCGGTAGCATAGTCTTTGATCCTTTGAAGCATGGCAGCCCCTATTGCAACTCGTTCCGGATCAGACGTGCCTTCTGAGATTCCGTTAATTTCATCTGTCAGGGATCTGATGAAGTGTGTCTTTGTGCACAGCAACATGCGTCCGACAAGGTCGGTGGTGGAGATTCCGGGAGTTCTTTTGACGACCAGGAACCGTTGAGCTGCTTTGACATAACGATAACAATCTTCGCCTCCAGCGTCTGAAGTGATGTCGTCGCCGTGCACGACGTACCAGCATCCGTAGTGGGAGATCCATGACAACTGTGTAACATAAGGAGCATGGGGGACGGATTTGGTCGACCACCGACAGGCGTCAACTGCAGCTACACTTGTTTCATTAGTGCTGAACGATAGGTATAAGAATATGTGGGGTTGGGATGGATGCAAGGCTGTCAAACTGCACATACCGCTCGTCTAGAGTCATGACTGTGGGACCCTTGTTGTCGAGGATATCTTCATCAGAATGGATACCGACATAGAGCTCTGTGCCGCGCTGGCGAGCTTGTAGCATAGCACCGGCATGGCCTAGACAGGGTTGATCAGAATGAGCCTCATCGAAATCGACCCTCGGGAGAAGAGGCTTACCGTGATGGGCAAAATCAAAACATCCATCGATCCAAATTCTCTCTTTCAGGATCTCTTGGTCCTGCTGAGGATCGACTGGCCATTGACCAGGGCCTGGGACTGACATTGTCGTCAGGGAATCATTGACTGATTCTCGTTTAGATGGTAATGATAGAGCCAGATGAGAGTTGAAGTGGGGTTGGGGACAATAGGGTTTGATGTGAGATATGATGGACACGAAGAGGTCAAACAATGAAGAAAGCTCAAGGTATGGGTTGTATGGTGAGTGTCTTGCCAGTTGCTTCTGGGACGTTGAGCTGTCCTGTGTCCTGTGTCCTGTGTTCTGTGTTCACCGTCAAAGCCCTGCACAAACCTGATTTTCAGTGATTGGCAAGAGGAGATTGGATATTCTTCCATGCACGTGAACATGAATTGAACAACGTCTGCCACCCTGAAGCCTCGAGCGCCCCTCGTGTCCGTCATGCCCCTCGCCCGCGTGTTGGTACCCGAAATCGGCAGCGATAGGGCCGATGCGCCCTAGTGGGAATTAGGGCAAGGGGGCCCTTCAGTCCCTGGCACCCCTGAAGAAGTCGCAATAATTAAAAAAGTACGACCTGCAGGTACGAGACTGGGCTCAACTTACAGGTGATGATAGTGATAGTACTAAGTGTTAATTAGTAGCTAGGTGCCGATTACCTGGCCACTCTTATCCCTGTTTAATAGTCATTAGTGAAGCCTACCTCCTCTATCCAGTTAAACAATAATTTAGTAGCACTAACTGTACCCTGTGGCGTACGGCTGTCTTCCTCCGCTCCCCTTTTTTCCATCTTCAAACTCTTGCGTGTCACAAATCCATCCACAATCTCGAATCCACATTCCCCGTTCACGGTCCACACTCCACACACCATCGTGCTCAAGCCTACCAGTCTGCCAGCCTGCGTCCTGCACACGCCTGCACCACTCCAACAGACTTTACCCATCTCTACACGGACGCACGCGGATACCCAGGCGCGGACTTGCTGGCTGTCTCGGAGAAGTGAGTAATCTTTGTACTCTCATTTATTGGTCTTGTCATGGTTGAATCTTCCTCCTCCTCCCATCGTAATGCTCTCAGCCCCTCGACATCATCCACCTCAGGAGTCACCACTGTACTCACTACCGGCCCTACATCGTTCTTCTCCAAGATCACTCGCTCTCCCTCAAAGAGGCACAAGCCCCTGGGATCCAACAACTCGATCGACACCACATTAAACGCACCCGCCTCTGCATCTCGTTCACGTTCTCGACAACCATTTTCACGCACTCCCACCGCCCCCGCTGCTCCCTCCTCTATCTCTTCGTCCAAACCCGATGTCATTACCAGAACTACCAGTGATGTAACTGGCACTTCAACCCCTTCCTCCTCCGAGTCTCCCAATATGTTTATGGTAGTCAATCCAGTCGCGTTGCCCGCTCCGCCTAACAGCGGTAACACGCTTCGAAACCCGTTACCAAGAACCACAACTCACGATGACCAGTCGCGATTACCGACGCCGACTGGAAATCATGGCATTGGAGAAGGATTCAAGGCCGTTCCTGGGGACGCAGATGTCCCATCTGCACTAGCACTGAATGGCATGTTGACCAACGGGTCGGCTCAATACTCAAGTACATCTCTACTTCACGCACACCTTCAGGAAATGACCAATAAGAGAATAGCGACACTAGACTATTTGCGCAAGGCACATGAAGGCCGGTCCTTCTGGTTCAACACTGTTCGCTTCACCGAAAGCGACATTGGAAGGTTGCCTTCATATACGCCTAGTCGACTCTCACGTCGTGCAACCAACTACATGTTGTTGGGCATGTCCTTGCCCATTATCCTTGATGTTCATCCCCAACCACATCCTCAGAGTGCCTCTTCAACCAATACTGCTGTGGCACAAGACTACCTCCGGAGTCTGATTGCCCTCCTGACCGAATTTGAGTCATTCCAACAACTACATCCCCCTGACGGCAGCACCGCAAGTTCTTTGAGTCGTGCACGAATCCCTCAAATGTTCAAGAGGGCAGCGACCACGTCGAGGCCGCGCAAGTCGAGTGGCCCCGTTTCAGAAATCGGTGCGCCTATGTTACCAACACAGTCTTCACCCCCCAACCTCCCCGATAGCGGAATTCATCATGGCTCGCATGCTTCCATTGATACTACCACGACGGGGACATCATTCCCCTCTAATGCATCCATTGCGACCACACTGGTCAACTCATCCTCATCCACACCAATGGCCGTCAGTAATTTCACCAACGTGTCGGCCTTTCCCCCACCGGCTCCGTTCGACGCACCCAACTCTACTCTCCTCGCCAATGAAGGACCATACACCTACCTTCAAACCCCTCCTCTCCCATTCGTTCCAGACTTTTTTACTGTGTTTGCTACACTCTGTGATGTCCTCATCGAGACCTATCAACGCTTAATGCAGATCTTGATAAACCCGACGGCGTGCACGCCCGTGATAAACGACTTGTTCACCAAGGTTGATGGGCGGATTCGGAAAGTAATGATCTCAGCAACGATCCGAGAGTTTGAAACGTCGTCACGAGACATGGTCAAGCGGGAAATGATGGGGGTACAAAAGGTGGTTCTGGGCGGACTGATGGTTTGATTTTATAGCACAGCGACGGCACAATGTTTTGTTGATCGTCTGAAGTTTCTCAAGACATATATGCAAAGGCGTTGGAAGACTTGGATGTGGGTAGAATTGTCAAAAATGTTGGCTCATGACAGCTTGGCCAAGATCGTGCTCAGACCCGGGCATATCACTATTAACCTACCTAATACGTGCAAGACCGATTCCACCAGGTATGTGCATAGTAAGCGTCTTCGTGCCCCTACAGTGAGTGCATGTGCGACAAGTTCATCAACATCGATGAACTTGCATGGATCAACATTGTCGGACCATGACTTGGCTAGTTGTCATGTCGGACAAGAGTCGCCGGTTACCTGGTCATCTTGCCGTCCATGCTGCCTATACGTGATAAAGGAGAGCATTTGTCTGGATTGAGCGATTGAAGGCTGCTCTGACAGATCGAACCTCCTGAAACCGTCAAGATCAAGACATTTGACGGCAGATGTGAAGCCTGTCATACGGCTTATATTAGGTCTAGTAGGTATGTAGAAAAGCTAATTGTTGCGTTTTAATCTTGACAGAAGCTGAACATACGAGCCATACCATGCGACGAATGTCATGGTACTCGGAAGATACCTACAGATACAGAGTCATTGAGATGGAGGTCAGCCCTAGGACTTGAATGAGAGATCGTGCATATGGGTATGAGGTGCCCAGGCGTTGTCCCCTTAGCAGATTCCCACTGTCGGTATAAGCCTTTACTATCGCCCAACCCGCCCCTCGGCCCCTGCTGGTGGATGACACTCGGGCCCCTCGGCCCCTATCGAGCCCCAGAAGCCCCAGAGATGTCGTCTATTCACACTCCCTAATGACAGCCAAATGACAGCCCAATGACCCACATCTTCTCCTCCCCCACAATGCCCGAGGGCCATTTCAGCCCCTTCGTCCATCTTCTACGCATACCAGGATGAAATTCGTGCAGGGCTCCTCGGCAGTCAGGGCCGTTCGCTGATGTCCTTGCACCTTATCATGCTTGTTCATGCACAGGCGGGGTCTGAGCACGCGCGACAGGCGCGGCACGCTTGTGCAACTGCCAAACCGTACAGGAACGAGAATCGTGCAGTTGCCACAATGTAGACACCAACTTTCAGGACATTCGCATTTCTGACAGAATTCGTATCCTCCCTCCTCCCACATCCTCCTCCATCCGCCTTTGCCTTGCAGCAGCCTTTTGCTCATCTCCTCTCGTTTATACATATACCCCCGACTGCCACAGCCGCCGCGGCTTCTTACACGTTCTATGATCTCTCCTCTTTTTGTCATCCTATTTTCCTCGCTTTTTGGATATTGTCTCTCTCGTCTCAGTTTTGGCATTCTATTCAACCGTTGGTCTCCTGTCGCAAACATTGTATCCCTCGAGAGACTTTCAACGAAAACTTGTACATAGCTACGAGTCTCACTACTTACCGATCTTTTCAATTACCCTGCCGATCCGTACGATTTCTTCAAAGGACTTGAATGGCCACACTCCGTCGCGGCCAGGCCTTAGGCCTTGCTATCTCCATCATCGCCATATATTTCCTCTTCTTCGCCGGATCCGACTCAGGAACCGACTTTCGAAGAACCACTGAGGCGTCCTTGTCGCTACGTCGCGGCGTGTTACGTGGCTCTCTCTCCGACGCTGACCTGACGGCGCAGACGAACCGAGAATTACAGAGGATTCTCGACCTGCAAAGGGAAGCACTAGACCAGAAGGCTTTGAGAGCCGACCGTCCGACGCCTGGCTCGCCTGCAACGCCAGCGGTCGCCGCCGCCGCAGCCGCCGCCGACGAGGCAGAAGAAGAGGAAGCGGAGCAAGAGCAGGATGTCGAGAATATTCCAGTCGCCGGCCGAAAGATCATGCCTGTATTCAAGGACAAGCCTCAACAACCCGTCGCCGAGGATACAGATACACGATCGCAGCTTGATGATGACGATGACGACGCGGGTTCGATCGTTAAGACGCCCCAGCTGGCCAAGCCCAAAGATGATGCAGACGAGATTGCAAGAGAAGAACTACAGGCTATTCTGAAGAAGAGTCCAAGTGAGTACTGTCTGATACAGTAACAATGAAGCAACATGACTAACAATGCTTTTCCCTCACCACAGTCATCATCTTCTCCAAATCCTATTGTCCGTATTCGAAACGTGCCAAAGCACTTCTACTCGAGACCTACACCATCATTCCCACACCCTACGTCGTGGAACTCGACCTGATGAACGAACCTGTCTCGAGCCCGGTACCCAAATCCGAAGAAGGTGAAGAAGTTGAAGAAGATGAAGAGAGCCAATCCAGTACCAGCGACTCGACACCACTGCCGCCCACGCTTGGTCGGAAACTCCAAGACCTTCTCGCTAGTCTCACTGGCCGCAGGACGGTGCCCAATATCATGGTCAATGCCCAAAGTATCGGTGGCTCAGATGATATTGTTAGGATGCACGAGGACGGCACTCTCGAGGCCGCCATCAAAAGGTTGGGTGGCAAAAGGATCGTCAGTGTCGAAAAGGCCAATAAAGCCAACTCAGGCCATTCATATCCTTGAATTAGGACAGTCTAAACGTTCGCGCATCACCTCGATTTTTCACTTTTCTGTCGACCAATGTTGATGTCAACGCACCGCCACATTCGGCGCCTGCACGGCCAGGATCAACGGCCCCCAACATTTATCAACATGGGCATTTAGGGGGGACGCGAGTTCGGGGACAGAAGTTGTATGTTAATCGCCTTCACTTGTGAGCAAAGGTCCACGCCGTCCAATCCAACATGCTGAGAGCAGTGTCGAAATGAGACCATTTGACAGACCTAGTCGTTCATAAGTCGACGGTCTCGGCCATGGATCTCTCCCAGCGTCCAGCCCATCTCAGTGAAACCATCAAAGGTTCCACATACTTCCACCTCCATCTTCAGTCAGATATTGGACCGGGACCAAGAGCAGATACATCATCATCTCGTCCCGAATTAGCCCCCAAGGTCGAAAATATGCGGTTGGGTGGTAAGCCAACGCCTGTCTGGAGCGTACTGCCTCCTCAACCTGCGACTTCATTGAGCCCAACATCACATGCATGAGTCGACGCATCAACTGATGAAAGTCAGAGCGGTTCGCAGTCATGCAAACACGTGCACTCTTGAGAAGCACTTTTGGAAGATCAACCCTCAGGAGGGAATGACACCGTCTTGGTCACGATCACAGTAACGATATATCTTGTATATAGTACTAAGCCTTTGGAACAGTAGGACACATAGATTCCCGCCGTCGATTGTTCCTGTGAGCCAGGATCGCCAACGGCTAGGCTAGATCTGTTCCTATTGAATACTATCAATTCTCACGCTTCAAGTAAGCCTCGTATGTTAGGGGGAACAACGTGAAAAATACGTTGTCCAAATGAAGTTTGAGATCACTCACCAAGGGGATTCAATCCGAGCCGTGGCCCGTGGAAGATCGTCAGTCAGACACGCCAGGAGAAAAGAAAGATGCCTAAATTCTGACTTTTCTGACTTTTGTATGAGCCAAAGTGAACGTCAAATTATTGCGACATGGTCGACTGGTGATTGCGACATAGACATCTTAACTATCATTGAACGAGCTTGCTTGTTCCGATGCGAGTCCCATCCCATCTGCATGATAGTGTCAGGTCGATCACCCTTTTTAATCCGCATGCGTCCTTTGGCGCCAGCCTTGAGCGTCTTCCTAGTTCTTTTCGTACGCTTGGCTGCTCCAAGTCGATCACACTGTGCAAGTATCTAGTCTGGACTAGGTGGGTACACCAAGCCTATCGTTGATGTCGCTATGTCTCGTCCAGCGGCTACTACGAGGTTCTTTCCGGGGTTCTAGGGAGGTGCTTAATGTCTAATTAGGTTCGGTAGGTACCTGAATCGAAATACAAGGTCAGGTAGGTAGGCGCCTCAAAAAGCCAGGAGCTGAATGAATTCAGGCGTCGTACGCCACCAATGAACCCCCACTCCATAGGAGAATTGACTGATTCCCTTATGTAACGTGGCTTTCCAACGTTATGCAGAGACGAGGCGAGATTGAAGTGGACAGGGATTATCAACGTATTCCAGCCTCGTCAGGAAATTCAGTCTGACAATCATGATAGTTCATATCGAGAATCCATGACACCATCTGGGTTGTTCCTTCCGCGGAAAGACGAAAGTCGTCCTGGGAGACCAATAATCGTCCTTGCCGATATCGTCACCTGCGCTCTGTCAATCAAGCAGATCCCGTTCAGCGAGTTTTTCCTCCAGGAGCACCGATCCCTGCCTACTACAGAGTCGTCCGTTTGCCCTTGGGACAAGTCATGGTTAGTCGATGCTCTCCCGGGAAATACTTCAGCAAACATGTCCATCACCTACTCTGCTTTCAACCTACTGTTACATCGAGTCTTCGTCTTCGCGGTCAATCCATGCCGAGCATCTTGTCAGTCCCTAGCGATACAGGGTATCCACTGGATCCCCCATGCTCTTGGAGCAAATCACAGGATTTATCGAGTGAAGCCGATCGATATATCAGAGGTACCTCCCTGATATGTACGCCAACTGCATTCGGTTTTCGGAGCTAACGTGAAGGTGCAATAGGGACATCGGAGCACGCCTGTGCATAGTGTCTTTAGCCATACCTTTGTCGCCTCTCTGCATACCTCCAATTCATATCCCTGCTTAGTGAATGGGAATCAATATGTCTATCTTCTAGCTCAGCCGTGTCCTCGGCCGAATCTGCATGGTGCAATAATAGCCAACGATGAGGAATAACAAGAACGTGGTCTCGGTTCGAAGCGAAGCATGCAGTTCCGGACATCCCTGCTTACCCACTTGTATAAAGAAACCTTCCCTTCATTATGTTTGGTACATCGAGAGCTCTGAGCAAAGACAACCGTGTCAAGAGCTCGAGAACTATTAGCGCGACCTACCCTATTTTGACCAGCGATGGCTGTCTTTAGCCGATTTCCACGCTGGGCCAGCTCTCGCCAAAAGGACGCGACTGCCAATGGTAACGATGTTCAAGCCGAATTTGTCAGTGATGGTGAATACAAGTATACTGTCGGCCTTGGTGGAAACAACTCTGGCCCAAGCTACCAGGAGGTTTCGGGTGCCCCCGTGGAGAGCAATTCGCCTCTGGGTTACTCGGTCGGCAGTATCACCATCCTGTTCTTGAATATCAGTATGATGATTGGAACTGGCATTTATTCAACCCGTCGGTATCCTTCACTCACTACGTAACAAGGCCCTGACCAGATCTCAGCATCCGCAATCCTTTACCTGCTTGGCTCTCCAGGCCTCTCCTACTTTTACTGGGTTATAGGTTTCCTCCTCTCTGCAAGCTCGCTTGCCGTCTACCTCGAATATGCCTCATACTTCCCCAATCGATCCGGTGCCGAAGTCGTCTATCTGGAACAAGCCTACCCTCGACCGAGATACTTATTTCCCACCACTTTTGCCATGTGGTACTTGATCCTCGGCTTCAGCTCTAGCAATTGCATCGTACTAGCAAACTACCTTTTCCAGATCAACGGCTCGCCCCCTAGTTCATGGGGACTCAAGGGTGTTGCCATCGCCGCATGGACTGTGACAATACTCTTCTTGGTCTTCAGCACTCGGATCTCCTACTGGATTTCTAACATGGTCGGCGTCGTCAAGGTGATTACATTGACCTTCATTGCCATCACGGGACTTGTTGTCCTTGGAGGCCACACCAGAGTTGAAGATCCCAAGGCGAACTTCAGGAATTCATTCGCAGGTACCTCAGACTCTCCTTACGGCCTTGCCACTGCTCTCGTCTATATCTACTTTTCTTACGGCGGCTACAACAACGCATTCAATGTGGTCAATGAAGTCAAAGTCAGTTTCTATCCTCGCCCTTTCAATCCGTCGTTCGATCTGACGCATGAAACAGGATCCAATACGTCAAGTCAAGGTCTATTCGTCCATTTCCCTACTCATCGTAGCCAGTCTCTATATCCTGGCCAACACCGCCTATCTCGCTGCAGTACCACTTGACGAGCTCAAGGCTTCGCAACAAATTGCGGCAAGCTTGTTCTTCCAAAAAGTCTTTGGCTCCAGTGGAGCAGTCAAAGGACTGAACTTCCTCATTGCTCTCAGTGCTTTTGGCAATCTCTTGTCTGCCAACCTTGGACTTTCTCGGATTACTCGAGAATGTGGCAGACAAGGTGTTCTTCCATACCCGAAGTTCTGGGCGTCTACTTGGCCATTCGGAACTCCTCTAGGCCCATACCTCGTCAAATATGTGCTTACCGTGATCATGATCCTGGCTCCTCCCGCTGGTGATGCCTTCAATTTTAGTATGTGCCTCCGTTCGTCGATTCCTCCTCTGTTACTGACCAAGCCTTAGCCGTCAGCCTTCAACTCTATCCAAACGCAATCTACAACGTGTTCATGGCAGCTGGCATCTATCTTGTGCGATGGAGACGCAAGAAGGCCAATCTTCCGCAACCACAATTCAAATCCTGGCATGTTGTCTGTCAGGAAACCACTCTGATCCCTGTGGGATCGCCACAAAAAGACTAGAATCTCGTGACTATTCACGAGTAGACTTGAGTGGTTTAATAGATATACTGTCATCACAGCCGTGCATGACATTGTCATTCTTTTCAACATTCTGGTCAATCTTTACTTGGTGGTGATGCCATGGTATCCACCTCCAGGAGGAGCTAATGCTGGAAACTTCAGCTTTTGGTATGGCACTGCCAATGTGACTGGGATTGGCATGTAAGTTACTCTCCGTCTTGTTACACATATCCAGCTCGGTTGCGCTGACATGATTTCATCTTAGCATCATTCTCTGTGGAATCTACTACTATCTCTGGATTCATGGTATTCCACGATGGCGCGGATACCGTATACGTCAGGAAACAGTGTCATTGGCGGATGGTGGTTCTCTAACACACAGGCTGGTTCAAGTCCCTCTTAGTCAGCTCGACGAGTGGGATCGTACACATGATCCCCTCGGCCGAGATCTCGACCACGGTGTTGAGTCTGGTAGCAATAGCGAGGGGATCACTTCGATCAAGGACGAGGCTAAGGTGTGAAGATTGTGGTTGGATGGAAAGAGAAAGATGTTCTGCTTACCCAGTGATAAGAGAGGACTCCCATTCATTTGGGTTCCTACGAAGCGTCACTAAGATTGATGGCTGCGACTTATCTACTACCATCCCGGTATCTGGCCATTGCAATATGTTGTGTCTCATTTCTTTTTCAAGTTGAACAATGATGAATTCGGTTATGGTTCTATCATTCTATAAAGACTAAACGTAGAGGAGTCATTGAAAGTGCGAATAGATAGAAGTGTACATCACAGGAATGGTTAGGAAGGAAAGGAGTGCAGAAGGAGGAGGAGGAGGAGTAGAGGTTGAAGGGTGGGGGGAAGAAGGCTGAAGGTGTAAGGCTGCGAGTGCAGAGTGCAAAGTGCAGGACAATAGAGAAGTTGGGGTTTAGAGAGTGCAAGTTAAAGGTAGAAGGTGGGAAGGTGGAAGAGTGCAGGGCAGCAAGGTGCAGGGTGGAAGGTATAGAGTGCACGAGGAGTATGAGGTTGGAGAGTGCAGAGTGCAGGATGAGTAGAGAAGGTGGGGTGTAGAGAGTGCAGGTGGAAGGTGTAGAGAGTGCAGGGTGGAGATAGATTAATGGTTGGGAAGTTGATACACCATGAGGAGAAATTTGAGATAGAGGATGAGGGGAAGGAAGGAGCGACGGGAAGGTGGGAGGGGAGGGGGGAAGACGATGACGATATGGCCAGCAGCGAGGGCTATGAAGACAATGAGGTATGATAAGGTGGGGGACGGCGACGATGACGAAGACAATGAGGTATGGTGAGATGGGGGACGGCGACGATGAC